ATTGGTCGCGATGATGATCCATCCTTCGATACTGCGCACTGCAACAGCTGACGCTTGCGTTCTCGGATCAGAGGTATTGTTGCCCGACTGCGCGGGGACCTCCTCCTCCTGCGCCACGGGAGGGTCGACTTCCATTTCTGTAGACATGGTGACAAGTAGCGAGACTAGATTGACTGGAAGTATTGGCTCGAGAAGGGTGGATAAAGGGAGAGGTTCTGGTCCAAGGTGGGCTGTTCAATGACCAAACTGTTGCAATGCGATGGATCTTCGCGAAGCTTGCGGTGTGCTTATGTAATCAAATGATATCCAACGACGGTCAATGTTGATGGCCATTTTATACTACTCTCAATTCCACGAATATTACTCGAGATCGAGAGTGGGCAGATTTTATAAGAGAGCTTGTGAAGTTATTTGTATTGTCTGTATGATCTGTAGAGGCTTCTCCCAGAGACTTTTCATATCACATCCATAAAAAGCAGTATAGTGCATGGTACAACTCATGTGCTGGATAGAACAAGAGCAGAGTAGTGGTTCGTAAGATATGGTTGTTGCATTACTGTATAATATCTCAGAGTCGGGGCTTTGGTTGCAGTTCCAATGGTCGTTTATCAGTAGCGTATGCCAGTGAAGGTATGTTTCTATCAACGCAACCAGATGAGGATAAGTGCATCTACATATACAATTGCTAAAGGGCTCAACGACTACAACGGCTGAATATTCATGAAGCTGGCTTAAAGACATGTAATACTCCTACAAAAGTTTGTGGGGTAAAACAGGCCTCCCTTCTAGCAGAGATGTCCAGCCTTATTGTCAGGTTACTGTTCACCTGGAACGATCAAATTCCGCCAACAAATGTCCCTATCGTCAATGAGCACGTTTATCAAGTTACAAGTTCCAGAATGTCTATCCGTTAGATGAGTTATCTTTGAACTGTACTTACCAGTGGCATTGTCTACCGCTTGAAATCGCACTCCATGATCACCCTCATCCTTTTCCAGAGTATGATGACATGTTGTCGATGAATGGGGCAGGTTTGATGGATTTATGAGACTCTGTTAGAAACAGGCAATAATAAGCTGTGAGACACCCACCATTATGAATAGCCATACTGACACCAATAGTTTCCTTTGACCATGTGGTGGTATCTTGTGTTCCTGCTGAAGACGGTGTGCTGGGTCTAGTCTGAGTAACTGAGAGCTGATAAGAAGAGCTTCCCTGCGTACTCGTTCTCTACTGTAGAAACAGAGCTTTGGGGAATATCAGTGAATATAGCCAGCCCCTCGACGTGAATGTGTTAAACATAGTCACAACATGAGACCCGTCTTCAATCCAGCTGCCCCCGCGGCAATCTTCTCCATCTTCCTTGCTAATCTTCATCGGCATAGACAAGCTCTCACCCAAGTATCGAAAGGAAAACCCATATTCTCCTAATCTCAGGCGAACCTCTCATTCATTGAGCGAGAAAGAGAGACTGCGCCGCGATGAGCGGCAAGTCGGTCTCGAACCTACCATGGTGAGCTCAATTTCCGGGAATTTCCCTCTCTATATAAGCATTAATCGATCCTCTAACCTCCTCATCTTCTGATAGCGATGAACCTCAATGCTTCTGCCATTTCCGCTCCCCTAAGCCCTTTCCCAAGATCGAAGCAGTCCTGACAGGCTCTGAACCCGGCCAAGTCCGCGAATTGCATCAACCAAACGCGCAGCTCGACATAGCATTCGACGTGGTAGGCTGTGTTATGACACTAAATGAATGCATCCATGATCCTTCACGACCAAAGATCGGCTACTCAGTCAGTCTAATGATCAAAGCGGCAAACACCCACTTTGTGAACCTAGAAGGCCTTGAAGATCATTCCCTCCTTCTAACCATCCGAATCCGTCATTCAGCATGTGCTGTGAGAGGCAACAAGATGATTTTGAGAGAAAAGTTCAACGGATACTTCCCTGACCCTCCGTATAGTCGACTATACAATGATCTTTTCGAGTGCCGTTGGCCTGAAAAGACACTCCAGATTCGTCTGCCCGAGGAGAGATGTCGACGCTGGAAGACTGTCGCTCTGATACTGCGAACTTTCGGGCAGATCAATGGAGATAGCTATTGTCATATGGCTAACATGGTGTTTACTCCCCGTGTGGGTGGGCTCAATGTGCGTCAGATTAAGAAGGACATCAAGATTGAGCTGGCGAAGCATGATCATAAGCGGAGGAAGAATCCTGTGTCCCCTGAGTACATTGTGACGGTTAACGATACCGAGAAGATTGATATACTCAATCATGCTTATGAGGTTCATCTTCTTGCGTTCATTCACAGTTCGTCTCGATTTCTTCGGCCACAGTACCTGTAAGCAGTCTACAGGGCACGCGGAGCTTGTGCAGAGTGTTTCTGTATGGCAAAATGCGGTTCTGTTTCTCATAACATCGGGTGAAGTTCGTTGATGGATTTCAGGGTACATAGTTCAGGCGTACGGCGTACAGAGTTATTTTTTCCTAAGGACAAAATGGTTAGAGATCTGCAGGGATTGTAATGTGTCAATTATTCTTCTTTCTACACGAAGTACGATGTCATGAGAAAGGAAGCTATGTTGCTTTATGTTGCTTTAGGTTGGATGATGTTAATTCCAGAATACTCCGAAGTTCCGTGAATTGGAAGTGAGATTTTCTTTAAACCATGTGGTAGGGTAGATTAAGACATAGAAGGTTGCCTCAACCTGGAGACTATTGCCTACCTCACCACCTAACAACCTCCTCAGTAACCCCCCACGAACTAGGCTACCAAGTCTTCGAAATAGCAGACCATCTCCATGTAACACATCGGGTGGTTTACTACACGCTGCAAGCAGGGCAATTGACGCCCAAAATGCCCCGCGGGAGACCACTCAAAATCAAAGGGCTTGAGGCACAACAGATCCTGACCTGGATCTATAGTTCAGAGCGGAATGGCCGGTTACCTTATCATGAAATTATCCATGAGCTTGTGGTTGCACTCCGCGAGCTCTGGGCCGCGCGCTGCGCCAGATTGGGTATAACCGCGATATAGCACTGTGAGAGTCTCCATTTAGCGAGGATTAGAGGGACTAGTGGTTATGGTTGGTGAAGGATTGGGTTTGGAGAGTATTGTGTGTTGCTGTGCTGATAGAGGGTGAGGGTAGTGAGTTTTGGGGGTTTGGGGGTTTGGGGGTTGTGGATACGAGAGGTATGATGTAATTGGGATATTTACTCCGTATGTGGGATTAAGTTCTATTAATAGGCCCGAGAGGTATGGTCAAGATGGAGAAGCTGGAGGTCTATAGTGGCTTTACGATAGAAGCATATGCTTCCTACAGATGTTTTTGAATGTGTTCATGGTGATGGATTAAGAGTGGAGATTAGTGGGTTTCCACCTCTAGATATCGACAAAAGAGTATTCCATCAGATTTATCTGTCGCCACGGTCCCTTGTCACCGGGAACGGCGTGGCTGACCTATGACCTCGCTGGCCAAAGGTGCGGACAGATAGTGTGCCCTTCCATATACAGGCTGAATTATTTGGTGGAAACCATGCAGCAAATACTAATACAATCGAATTTTCAGAAAAGACAAATGCCACTTAGTTCCGAATCATCGTAGTGTTCGAGACCGTGTATATTCGGGTGCTGAGTGCAATGAGATGCTCATGCATTTGGGCACCCTGGCTTTACACCAGGGCGATCATAGAGTTGCAAATGCGAAATGCGTTTACCTCCGGTTGTTGTTGCGCATGCCCAGGATCTGGACCATACGGACGAAGATGTTGATGAAGTCCAACTCAAGGCTGATACTCTCGTTGACGACATCCTTGCGGACCAGGCCTCTCTGAGCCATGCGGGCGTGGTGGAGAATCTTCTGGACGTCATAGAGGGTGAAACCACCGAAGACAGCGAGACCACCGTACAGCCAGATCTTCTCAGACCACAGCAGAGCGCGGGTGGCAGTAGCGGGGAGGACGAGAGGAGCGAAACCGGAGAGAGCGACAATGGTCACACCAGCGAGCAGAGGAGCACCCAGGTACATGTACTTCTCCTGCTTAGCAGTGGCACCGACGAAAGCGATCGCACCCATCATTCCAGCGGTGTAAAGACCAGCACGAGCAAGGATAGCCGGGTGCATGAACATCAGGGGAGACAGGAGCGCGGCCTGGGTGACGTTGAAAGCTGCCCAGAGACCATACTTCATGACGTAGCTAATGACTTGTCAGAAAACTGTCGCATAGGAAAAAAAACCTGCGCTGGGAAAGTACTTACTTGTCAGGGTTGGTGTACAGAGTACCATACATGGTTCCGACGCTGGCAACCAGACCAAGACCGATGACAGCCCAGGGGCTGGCAGCCATCAAACGGTAAGACCATCCGTTGGTGTGCAGAGCGCGAGCAGCAATACCAATGATACCAATACCAAGTCCAGTGTGCATAAACGTCTCGTTCAGGTAGCTGCGCTCAAACGGAGGCATGCCACCATCCTCTCTGGTTTCGCGGTTGAAGATGAAGTTCGTTGCCAGGATAGTACCACCGATGATAGTGGCACCGTAGATCAGCTTCTGGGTGATGTTGCCACCCTGAACATTGTAGGAGGGCTGCATGTAGGTGCGACGGAAAGCATTTTGGAAGGTCTGACGGGACTTTGCGAAGATGGAGATGGGACCGGTAGGCTTGGACTGGGGCTTGAAGGGCGTATTGTGGATGAAACGAGCGCTATTCGCAGGTTTGGAGATTTGCCGAAGCGCCGTAGGGACGGCGAACGGGCGTCGCAAGAAGAACGCCATGATTGTGACGATGATGTCGAGGTTGATGGAGATGAGGAGAAGCGATGGAGAGCGGCGGATGGCCGGCTATAAGAATGATATCAGTCAGCCGTCGGCCAGCTGCTACGGTCGCCCGAACGTTCGAGAAGTGAAGTCACGTGTGAGATGAGCCGCCCGTGAGTCAGCATCACGGCCTCGGTGATAAGTTGGCGGGGGAGGGGAATTATCAGGATTTAGGACTTAACGGACTTGCACGGCCACACTGCTATTGTCATCATCTCGGTCCGGACTTCTACGAACGCGTACCTTCTTCGACCCTCTTCTCGATAATTCCCTTTCTGGACTTCACCTCTGCGTCACTATCCCCATCATGCCTGCGCCATTACTAGAAACCATACACCTGTCGCATCTGCCTCCGTCGATGCCCGTGCATGTCGCTCTATATCGGGATGTGCAGAATGCTCCGTATCTTCGCCAGCAGCTCATGTCCGCCAATGCGGAATTCGAATATGCTTTCATTGATGCAAGCACGGTACGGTGTCAGTATGTCTCTCGGCGGAGCAACTGCTAAACAATGCTGCAGGTCCTCTCAAGAACACACCTTCTCTCCGCAGTTTTCCGAGCAGCCAATGATTATATGAACGGCCGCCTCAAATCCCGGAATGTGCACTCTGAGATGGTCTTTTCGCTAAGCCCTGCGACAAATGTATGTTTACGATCAGCTACCAACCGACTTCATGAGCAATGCTGACCACGTCTAGATTGCTGAATCTTTCCGCAAGTTCGGCATTACTGATTCCACGAAAGACTTGCTAGTAGTCAAGCTTTCCGTGAACCCGGAGATCACCCACGACTCGGTAGCAGCCCATCTCGAACAAAATGTTGAGGGAACGCCTGTGCCATTCGATGACGAAACTTTGTCGAAGATCTCCGACGTTGCAAAGATCAAGAAGGCTTACAAGCTGGGAGCGTTGAACACTGCGCCGCCGAACCAAGCAAACGGAACGCATGATAACGGATTGCGACGGCTCGAACTGTCGGTCTTGGGAGCGATTGCGCTGCGGGGAGCGACTTGAACATGACGTTGAATATAGGAAGTCTTCTCTATTACCCCGATCTCGCTCGTTTGGGAACTCAGGGCCCTGTAAAGCGGGCGCGCCACATGCAGAATGTCTGCGTTACCCGACAGTCGATACCCTAGGCCTGATGCCGGGTCGAAGCTTTTGCATGTAAAGAGCTACTTCGGCAGATAGATGTCTGCTAGAAGTAGCTATGCAGGACACGTCTACTATTAGAAATCATGATCTGATGTACATAGAATTCAGGGCCGCCGATAGCGTCGGTGCAGAGCACCGATTACGGCTTTGTCCAGCCAAAAATAAGACTCTAGAAGATAATATATGGCCTCCAATCTATTGCATATACAAATCTAGTAAGATATAAACTGAATAGAATGATGAGTAAAGAACATACCTCGGTTGCCCTGCCCACCGCATCGCCCAACCCGAAGCGGCAATCCTGCAACTTTGCCAAGCCCGGCAACTCTCTCCGCATCATCACGACTGAATTGATCTAGACACACCACCGTCCGGGGCTCAAGCATCTAGCATAACACCATGGCTCACTAGCGCAGGGGGGAGCATATTTAGCGCACCACACTCACCAACCCGAACGCGCACTAATGCCGACCAAGCGCTCGTCCTGATATTTGTTGCGACTCGCCACCATGTCCGCCACCGCGGAGGTCCTGGTGATTTCCTCCTCGCCGGAGCGCAACCCAGTTCACACGCCAGCGCCGCCTGCGTATGATCCCGGAAAACTCTTTGGATTGTCCCCAGTAGACGTTGAAACGACTCCGCTGCCGTCTCCGTCGGACTTGTTTTGTCCTCCAACGCATTCTAGGTTTTTCGAGGTTGGGAACCAGGTCGACGAATTGCGCCGGACTGAAACCCGCAAGAAGTCTAGTACCTTGACGAATGATGATTCCGCTGTTACAACGCTAGAGGGAGAACCGGCGACAGATAAACCGAAGCGAAGGGGAAGGCCAAAGAAGGAGCAGAAAAGAGCTACGGAGGAGTCGGGGCTCTCTGTTACGGGCAACGAGAAGACTACTACGAAAAAGACTATCACAGGCGCTAGTAAGAAACGCGCTGAACCTACGACAAAGCGCTCGAAACCGGAGAATAAGACTATTTCTGGGAGGGTTGCGAAGGCGGGCACTTCGCAAGTCAAGGAGGTTGGCGAGAAGGCTATTTGTCCATCGACACCACCGACTGCTTTGCCCCAGAAGGCTACGAATGATGTGCTGGAATGGGAAAGGGATGGTTTACAGCTTGAGCAAGCGATGACGCGGAGATTGGACTGGACACCTACAGTCAATAAGGTTAGGGAAGTCGTTGAGTTGGAAGGGAAGTCAGGGTCAGATGATAATACAAGGGGCTTTGGTAACCTGCTGTCGGAGTATGGGTTTAATGGAGCTGCTGCTCCTGTAAACGACTTTATGGCCTCTGTCGAAGGTGGACCGACGAAGCGAAGGCGGATAGAGCTGGTTGATCCCGGAGTATATCCTGCTCCCAGACAAAGTGTCGCCGACGATAGTGAGAAGGATAACACACAGGGAACCCGCAAATCAACACCAACTGCGCGAAAGAAGCCGACGAAGCGTGTCAACAAATTTACCACTCTGACTGCCCGCGTGACAGCGAAGTATATCAACGAGTCTACGGAGGGTTCAGATGTCGTGGACGAAGAGACACCGAAAGCGAAGCCTAGAGCTTCAAGATCCAAGAAAAAGGGCCAGGCAAGCAAGTCTTACGAACCCGAGTTCGTGGTGCTTTCTCCCGAAGAAGCTGCTAAGTCCCTCGATGATCAAGAGCTGGTATTTGGCACATGCAGCCAGCTGGAGCGGGAAGACTCACCCACTACTATAAGAGAGCTGCAGGCAGCTATTAGCGAGTCGGAACGAAGCATGGCGTTGGAAGCCAGCGGTCGTCCGCATCGAACGCAAAGCAAGGGCTCATCTTCTACAGTCTCACGCTTCAATGGCTCAGGAAACTTGTGGTCGGTCGCATCTCGGGATGTTGACGGTTCACTAATGCAGGTAGAAGTGGTGGATCTGGTGAATTCGCCTGATAGATCTGGAACTATCACTCTGGATGAGCGACTTAGCAACGCCAAGGGAGTAGCTGAAGCCGAATGCAATACCAGCGACATCAACCCTACCCAGAAAGGTAGCGACCAGGCAAAAGCTGCTTCGACAAGCGAAACACAGCCTGTTGTACCTTCAACCACTCAGTCAAAGAACAAAAAGGCCGAGAATACCACATCCATTGCCCGCAAGCCCGACCCTAAGATGCCGCAATACGACAACTTCACAGATGCCCAGCTATCGAAACAAGCCGCCTCATTCGGCTTCAAACCGCTCAAAAACCGGAAGAAGATGATCGAGCTGCTTGAAAAGTGCTGGAAAGCAAAGAACAGCATATCATCAGAGGCAAACAACAAGAATACAGATCAGGAAACGCCTGCTGAACCCGAATCAGCACCTGAGCCTAGTAATAAGCCAAAGGGGAAAGGAACAACACGGAAAACCACCACGAAGGCGAAAGCCAAAACTCAACCTAGTACATCATCAAAGTCAACAACCGAAGCCATCTCAACAACAAAATCTCCAAGCAATCCCAACTCTAACACCACAACCTCAACCTCAACCCCAATCCCCAAACCTACCCCCTCCTACGCCAACGTCGAGGAAATCGAAGACTCCGAAGAAGACTCCGACCCCATCCTCATCTCCTTCCCCTCTCCCAGCCGCCTCCTACCCCAAACTCCCCAAACAAAGCACAAACACGCCCACACCCTCCCTACATCCAACATACCATCAAGTCCTAATCGAACCACATCCACATCCATTCCCAAAGAACCAGAACCCCCCGCCATACTTCTTCCCCTAACTGAGCAGATCACTAAAGCCGTGCGTGCCCAATCCGCAGCCCGGCCTGCATCATCCAACACCAATAAGACTCACACAAGGAAGCAAACATGGCACGAGAAGATTCTCATGTACGACCCTATCCCTTTGGAGGAGTTCACCACTTGGTTAAACACAGAGGGACTGGGTCTCGTGAATGAGGATCGGGAGGTCGGGGCGGGGTTCGTGAGGAGGTGGTGTGAGAGTAAGGGGGTGGTTTGTTGTTATAGGCCGAGGAAGAAGGAGTGATGTGTTCTCAGTTGAATATAGATTATTTGGATTTGGAGTGGGTATTGGGGCTGAGTACTTTTTGGGAGGTTACATTATTTTATTACTGTATTGATTTTTGGGAAGGGGTTGGTTCATAAGTTTGAGGTGGTTATTGGAGTCATGGATGCATGTATAGTTAGTAGGAGCCTTGGATTTTAGGTTAGGGTTTGGGTTGATTTGGCTTGGTGTGGTTGGTTTGATTGGTTCAGAGGATGGGAATACTATACCCCTTTGCTTGATCGTTGACGACGACAACGACTACTACTACTACTACTACTACTACTACTACTAGAAGAATATTTTCAGGTTTTATAGAGTAATCAAAATACTGCAAAGAAAATAAAATGGTACAGGCATGAAGATGTGCATGCTTGGCTCATAAACAATAGAGAAAATAATATTAACAAAACATTAAGTCATAACAACTAACAAATTAAACAATATCCGCTCCCCAATCTTCGTAATCACTTATTCATCGTATTTTTCTAAATAATTAAACATCATTTCATCGTATATAAGCCGCCCCCCCAAAAAAGGCATAAGAGGAAGAGTCCTCCCTTCTACTACTGTGCCACACGTCCCACTTAAGCAAGAGGGGAGAGCCTAAAGAGGAGAGTCGATCAATAGCAAAGCAAGTAGATAACTATTTGAAGATAGTATGTCCACAAGAAGAACTGAAAACAACTGTCCATCTCCCCAGATACCCCAGACCTGGAATTACTCAAAAGCAAGTCCCAGTACCCAACTTACTGCTGCGACTGCTGCTGCTGCTGCTGCTGCTGCTGCTTCTTCCTTCCACCACCCCTCTTCGCCCTCTTATGAGACGTAGCATCAGAAGCAGTGGCAGTAGTGGCAGTAGTAGTCGCCGCCGAGGTCGGAGGCTGCGAAACACCCGCCGACGAAGAAGGCACAGCAGCCAAGCTCATATCTTCAGGCGGGTAGGCCGAGACTCCGGGTATGCTCGACCATCCTATAGCGGGGTCAGTGCCATAGTAACTATATTCATTTGCAGTGAGAAGCCGTTCGAAATTAGGGTCAGATAGATCGGCATATGCAGCGGCAGCGAGTTGGGCGTCGTCTTGACCTGTATTACCCTGCTCGTAGGGATAATGGGCTGAGTATCCGGGGGTGTTGATTTGGGGAAGGGTTTCGTAGTTGGTGGGCTGCTTGGGAGTGGCGGGGAGGTTGGCGTTGGCCATCTGCTGCTGCTGCTGCTGCTGTTGCTGCTGCTGATATTGGTATCTGGCGAGGTCTTCGAGGGCACTGGAGTGTACCTGTCGGGCAGCATGGGCGAACATGTTGTTATTGCCCTGCATGGAGGAGGTCTCGGATCGGGGCCAACGAGTTGAGATGGAGGATTCGGTCGCAGGTGGTGCTGGAACGGTGGTGGAGGGCTGAGCAGCATGGCGTTGCTGTTTCAGCTGCTGCTGCTGCTGGGGTTGTGGCCGGGGTTGCTGATAACCCGGGGGAAGGGCGAAGAAGGGCTGGTTGGCTAGGTAAGGCGTAGTGGGTGGGAAGTTGGGTGGGAATTGGCCCGACGGCAGCTGATTGAATTGAGCGTTGTAGGTGGGATCTTGTTGCAGGCCAGCCTGCTTCGAAAGCTGGCCCATGTTTACCTGCGCATAACGACACCCAAGAGCTGCAGCAGGGGGAGTTGCGGGATATTGTATAGTCCCCTGCTGCGAAGGACGACGGCCCGTCGGGTGCGCGGGCCTGGTGCCATTATCAACATGGCCGGGCATGGCTCCGTTCTGTTGTGATCCAGCGGGCCCCTGTGCTTGGGCCCTTGAGCCCCTTGCGAGCTTCTGTTCAAACATTTGCCTGATTGTATTCGGCGTCGGGTCACCAAATCCGTCATCGACGTAGTCCTCGAGGTCGGGTTCACCCTGGGTGTTGTATTCAGGATGCCCCTTTGGATGGTTCTCGGGATAGGGTTCCAACGGAGAGCTTATCAAGTCTTCCAAATCGCCAGGCCCCTGGGTATTGAATTCAGCAGGGTATTCATCAAGAGTGTTTGCGCCCCTTCGGCTCTGCTTTAGATAACGTATAGTTTGTTGCATAAGGGGCTTAGTGATGTCGATGCCTATAGGCTTCTCGGGAACTGGAGTTATATTCTGGATAGAGTAACGGTGAGGTCAGTGAGTGATTGATCGAGATGTCTGGTATGAATAATGCTTACCGCATTTCGAAGCTGTTCTAGGAGGTCTTGCACTCTGATGCTGAGTGCTCGTGCTGCCTGATCAAGACAGTTGTTCCACCACTCCAGATGCGTGATCTTCCGACGCATCAATATGATGGCTCCGCGACGCTCAGTGCGAAGCCAAATTGGATCAGTAACCCAACAAGTCTTTTTACTTTCCCTGCACTTCCCGCAGCCGAACAACCCCTTGTCGCATTTCGCTTTCCGCATCTAAATGACAAAGAAACGGAGTCAGTCTGGGCAACAAGATCACAAGGAAGGGTATCACATACTTTACAATTGTCACAGGCAAGGGTGGTCCGCGAGGAATCTGTTTCTTTTCTTCGTTACCATAGTCACATTTTCTTGGGTTTCTCTTCTCTTACCTCTTTTTCCCTTCTTACCTCTCTTCCCCTTCTTCCCTTTTCTGCCCTCCACCTCACTTTCTTCGTCATCTTCGCTTAGCTCTGCTTCTGTCTCGTCCTCCTCTTCGCCCGGCCTGAGGGGCCTGGCTGGGATTTTCTTTAGGTAGTTGTCGCGCATTTCCTGTGACGCGTCCCTTCGATCTTCCTTTTCGTCATCTGTCTTTTCTGACGAATCATCTTTGGTCTTTTTCTTCTTAGAGGCACGGGTGGTGGCGTTGCGAGAGCCCGGAGGGCGTCCTTTTCTCTTCTTGGGCGGCGCTGGGGCTTCCTCTTGAGGTATCTGTACGTTGGCAGCCGCCGCTGCAGCAGGATTATCAGTGGGTGCATTGTTGCTTTCAGCAGGACCTCCGTTGTCAAAGGTGACCTGACTGGCGGAGACACCTCCATCCAGAGATGTCTGGTCATCATTGCCCCGGGATGCACCATCGCTCGCGGACGACCGTTCGACAAGGGGGTCAAGACCGTCGTCCACTGTCGATGCAGGTTTGGTCGGGATCATGTGTGCTGTTATACCTTCCAGGGAAACTGGGAGATAAGTAGGGTCCAGGTCTTGTTGTAATTGTGTATCCTCCAATACACGAGCCTGAGCTTGGTTGGAGGATTGCATAGCTTTGAAAAGATATGTCTGATCAGGATGCGGATCTTGAATATCATCAACGTCAACGTCAAGCCCGAGGTCACCAAAAAGGTCATCGGGGCTGAAGGACTGATCCTCGCCCGATTGCCGTTTCACGGCCTGATTCTCTTCGTCCCCAAGTCCAGCTTGGTCGAACGTTCTCTTCGTGGTCATTGTAAGGGATTGACCGGTAAGTTTACTCACGAATGGAAGAGACGTGCAACGTGCAAGCAAAGTATACCTAGTTAAGAGATAGATAGAGGTCTCGTGAGAGGCTGATTATTGGAATAGTGCGTGCCAATAGCCAACAGTATGCTGCTAGGAGAGATTGTATTCCGGCACAATCCAGGATATAGAACTCCCCTATATAACTCAGTTTGGAATGCTGTCAGTCGTTTGGTCCCTGGAGGTCAATGTCATACAATAAGAACAAGGGATTTGTTGAAATAAGTAACAAAGAGAATCTTTGTTTTGTTTCTCAGAGAACAGAGAGAATGGCTGCGTTGGGAATATAACAAAGACCTTTGGATGTGGGTATCATAAAGAAGCCAGAGGTATGAAACTGAATAGACAGGCATATACTGACAATAGAGCACGTCTCGCACTTCTGAATCGAATAATATGTGAACAATGTGATTGCTTCACAAAGCACTTGTTTGTAGTCAGAGTTGTGTATGATAAACACGCCTGCTGTACAATGACTCCTTCGCTTCTTTCCTTGTGTTAGCTGCGTTGGATGAGAGGGGTAACAAGAGCTGTGATATGGGTATGGAACAATGCTGAACAGTAGGCTTTGGATGCTTCTAGCAAGCCTGAACAGGAGCAGCACACTGATGCTGCCCTCTGATTCAGGTAACAAAGGCAAACGAAAGCAGTCTTGGAGGACCCCACCAAAGCAGAAGACAAGGGGAACAATGCGAGAGAGGAGGACTAAATACCCGGAACACAAAGAGGCCAGGCCTTGAGGCCGAAATGGCAGGTTGAAGTTGGATGGATATTTCCTTGAAGTAAACGGGACAAACCGACTCACCAATGCAAAAGGGAAAAGACAAGCGAAGACTGAGACAGAATATGTAAAGTCTATTTGTCCCCATGATAGATCATTTCTGATTTTTCGAGTTACCAGAATATCCTGATTTGGATGTTCTGAGATGGTTTGTAGGTTAGGACAAACGCAGTCCTATTGTCTGCCTACATGCGACCCCAAAGTGGTTTATACAGCTTGCGTGATTCAGAGAGACGAAAGATACTGCAAGCAATAAATCTCGACCATGAGAGATATCAGATTGATTTTACGTACGAGCTTCTATAGTAGTATGTTCAAGAGGACTAAGCTATCTCTAAATCGTCACATAACGCACATATAGTCATAATAGGCATACAAGATCAGAATACAAACACGACATATTAAACATAATGAAGACAACAGAGCTTGTATTTCAAAGCTGTACCACTACACATGCGAACGATGTATGAGATCGAAACTACTCCTACGGATATCTTGGGCACATTATAATAACAACCAAAGTGGAACCCAGACAAATTACAACGTAGTCCACATACAACACTCCCTACAGCAGTGACGCCTATAGCGTGTCCTTTCAATATAGTGAGCATTATGCTTTGAACAAATACCCAGTGTACTGCCATTATACACCACAATATCTCCCTCCATATAGCTATCCCAGATGTAACCGAACCAGAATTAGATGAGTTGGTTGATAATTACCTTGCCCCGGATATGATAGTCTAGATCCCTTTGTAAACTAAGACCTGAATATAGAGCATGTATATTTCTTCATTGACCAAAGAGAAACTTGCAGAAAAGCTTACAGCCCAGTCGTAGATCGTGATATTGACATCCTCCAGGACATCATGTCTGACTAGCCAGTATTCGCTTAACGAGACGAGAAAAGTCCAGAACAAGGCCAAGAATGACTCACATCATACACGTCATATGGCTATTAATATCAACTTCATCAATGGAAATATCCATATTGTATAAGGGAGATCTTGGGAACCTACCGCCGTCACTGATAGTGACATCCCGCATGAGGTCCACTCAGGCACCGGGATTTACCAGATAAAATCTGCCAAGAAAAAGGTGCAGAAACCTTGTGTGCGTCAATATGAACGTTGCAATCATTGGTTGCTATGCAAGTTATATCGCTGATTATGATGCAGTAGATTATTGCGTGTTTTGAAGTGTGTGGTGTCCTGATGTGGATTCGCTTAGCCAGATGGGTGGGATCAGGGGGTTTCGGTTTGATTGTCTTGTTTGTGGAACATGAAGCAGCTTGGATGCCTGGACCTTTTTTTTTTTTTTTTTTTTTTTTTTTTTTTTTTTTTTTTGAATGTCAGACTGGCTTAGTGCGCCTCGCTGGAGAGATATATATATATGTATATTTGAAGAGGCCCCAGTGCAACTTGACTGGATTTTCAAGATGCCTTCGAATTGCGTGATACCTTGTGGAGAATGGACGATTTGATACACAAGGAGATAATAAGAGGTGAATAAATGGATACAGAATTCTACCTACTATGATGTCTCACACTGTATGTCGGATCATCTTTATATTATCCAACTGAGATACTGTTATAGATGCTGTCTACCTAGTCATGATATCACCTATACCGGTAGCGGATGAAGCTGGCAGACGTCCGACCTACTGGCTCTCCAGTCTGATGACCTCTCCCCGGACACTCGAACAGCTATAGGAAGTATCACCGACGTTTAAGCACATCAAACTGCTTCTTAACCGAGACCTTCCGACTGCTCAACCCAACCATAGCCTCAAAGGTACCAGCGGGGATCTCCCACTGTTGCTTCACTACATTCCAAAAGCTCACATCCTTGCGGGTTAGCTCAAATGTCACCGTTCGACTACATCCAGCTTCGAGATATATCTTGTCAAAGCCTCGAAGCACCTTGACCGGGGTTCCAGGAGGAGTCGTGTCTTGCGGGAAGGCAAGATATAGCTGAGGTACCGTTGCTCCCGCCAACGCTCCAGTATTGGTTACATTGGACTCAACGGTGATGAGGATTTCATAGAGGTCTGGGTGTCCGCCAGGCTGTATAGCTCTGCTGTTATCGGGAAGCGAGGCCACATTCCCTTTGTTCGTGGGCTCGAGGGACAGTTCCTGGATGGAGAATGTTGTGTAGGATAGGCCGTACCCGAATTCGTACCTCGGAGTGATTCCTGCCTTGTCGAAATGGCGGTAGTCGATAAATTGCCCTTCTGTGAAATTGATCTGCCGTCCATTTGGATCTGTGATGTTCATGGCTGTGAAGTTCAAGGAAGCTGTGTTGTAATCGCTGGCGTTGTAAGCGACTGTAAATGGCAGTTTGCCGCTGGGGTTGACTTTGCCGGTGATTACGTCTAGAATAGCATTTCCGGATTCTTGACCGGGCATGTAGGCCATCATCTAATTGTAGAAAGGTGCATTGTCAGTAATTGCGCAAGGCCTTCCTCAGAGAATAGAAGGCTTGCTTACGATGGCTGTGACATTAGGATGATCTGCCCAGTCCATCAGGTTCACGTTTCCAGAGTGGGTAACCACGATTGTGTTATTGCAGATAGAGGCCACTGAGTTCACAACTGAACTTCCATTGTTATTTAGATCGAAATCACTGTGATCCGGTCCTTCAGCTACGTAGTATCGAAGGAAGACGAAACATACTTCTGGAATGGGGTAGATGGAGTCGCCAAAGCCCACATTGGTTGGGTGAAGAAGGCCGGGGGTCAACTCATTGTCGGTCAGATACTGGACCAAGGAATCTGATCTCCCTTTGGCCCACGCCTTGATTGCTTCCAAGGGAGACACGATGTAAGTGAGCCGTCCTGAGCCACTTCCACCACCAGTCGCAAACGTGCCGATGGCTTCGGAGTCGGGGCTGGATGCCAGTCCGGCCGACTTTTCAGCTGCATCGTTACCAATGACCCCAATGTAGCGAGGGATTTCTTTAATCGGCAGAGCACTATTTTTATTCTTGAGCAGAGTCAGTGACTCTGCTCCAAGTTTCCGAATGAAAGCTGCATTGTTCCCACGCACGTCCCGATGCGCTTCCCCGCCAACTGGCCAGGAGTAGTTTGCCATGCTGTCAGAGAAATCACCCAGTTCCTGAGAACTTGGATCAATGAGCGGCCAGTGCTTATCATCCTGGTTCAGATAAAAGTAAGGAGTCATTATTCGGAGCACCATGTCGTTAACGCGTGACATGGACAAGGTTCCATTCTCCACCGCTTGAGTGAGGTTGCCGCCAAATAATGAGAAGCCCCAAGTTGTACGGCCAGAGCCCATTAATGCGCCTGGCATGGTCATGTCTAAGCCGCTTTCGATGGCTTGGACGCCCGACATAGTCGCACCCCAATCGCTCATAACATAGCCTGGGAAGCCAAGCTCCTCCTTCAAGATCCCGTCGAGAGTCTTGGGGTTTTCACAGGCGTATGAGCCATTGATTCTTGAATAGGCGCACATAACCGATGATACCCCAGCCCTTACTGCTTTTGCAAAGGGCCACGAGTATAATTCATGCATGGTGCGGTCATCAATATTCGATGAATAACCCTCAATGACTACTCCGTCCGCGTTCGTAGTTGGGTTTTGGCCGGTAGCCTGCTCATAGCCGACATAATGTTTGACGCATGGCTGCATTCCGACTGTTCGAGTCCCAATAATACTTTGATAGCTTAGCTCACCAGTGAGGTATGGGTCAGGCCCAAATCATTCCCAATTTCGACCACCCAGAGGGTTTCTTCCAATGGGTCCAACAACAGGTCTTATTTTCAGACGTCAGTATGTTCCCCCACAGTTAGATAAGAGAACACGTTACCCAAGCATTACATGAGCTCCTTTTGCTTTGAACTCCTCCCCAAGAAGGAAGCCTCTCTCGTAGGCAAGTTGCTTATCCCAACTTGCTCCAACAGAAACGCCGGCTGGATACACGCTGGCAAAGTCCTATCAATGAACCGGTAATGATTAGCTTGTACACAGGTATCATCATGACACAAACCGAGAAGAATTACAGCTGGTCGGATTGCCAAAGGACCATCTGTCTGTCAGTTAGTCAACGACATCACGCTAGTTTGGAGGAAAGCCTGCCTTGAATGCATATGCCGCGAAAGCCCAAGCGCTCAATCGGTGCGATGCTTCCTGTGCATGGTCTGGTACGCGCATTAATAGACTTTCTCGTACCCCAATTGAAGTTAGAAGCAGGCAAGGGGACTATCATACCCTGCAACACCGGTGGCAATGTACGCTTTCTCTTCAAGTGTGAGCTTAGCAAGAAAGTCTTTAGCGTTGGTGACGGCTTTTTTCCACTCCTGAGATGAGGTATAAGCTAGTATTTCAGTCTTCTCGTTAGCATTCGCAAGAGAATTGACTACTCTGTTGAGATCAAAGGCGAAACTGTACCTCCAGAGGTGGACTTGCAATCACTTAGGCAGATCAAGCCGGTGGTCAACAGAAAGAGCTTAGGAAACAACATTTCTGAAATTGACCGTCAACTTAGCTCGATGCACTTTCTGCTGTCGAGCACTTCAAGTAGTAGAAAGCAGCTATCTTGAGAGAGGAAGGATCCGATATTTATGTTGCAGTTCATGGCCAGCAGTGTCCATAACTGAGAGCTGGGTGGGCTGGCTCGTAGTACTAGGTACTAATTTAGCCATCCTCATCGGCTCTAATATAGCCAATAGAGACCTGGAGCATTATGAAGGAGATAATAAGATGATGGAACAATTAACTTGTAGCTTGCAGTATTGATTTGTAGATGGCAGCGATATTGTTCCTGACTTGATGTTATATCAGCCCACAGCAGGACCAGGAAGGCCAAGCAGAAGCTAGTGCTTAAGGGTCTCTCGTATTGCATTTATTTCCTGATTGGGTTAGCATGACATCCCACAAAGTAAGACGTTGTATTTCTTCAGCCTGAATAGGAATAAATACTACTAGAAGAGAAAGATCAGATGACCAACGAGATATATCGATGGTCACAGTGAATCGTAACAATGACTCGTATTCTCCACCCCAGAAAATCCACCTTCTTTTTTTTTTATTTTTTTTTGCCCCTTTTGATACCTGCGAAGAATGACTATCAGTCATAATGCTGCTGTTCTGCTCGCTTTCTCTACTCTGCTTCTCCATAGTCAATAGCACCGAGTCGCCTGCTTCGTCGGTATACTTCTGAGCCATGTCTCCGAGCCATACAATCCGAATATGCGGAGTATGCGGGGTACAGCCAGTTGTTGCACCACTACCATCGACACTAACCAGACTATCTACGATAGCGCACACTAGCACCATGCGGAGACTGGCGGGGGAATCCTCAACCCCGGAATCTCACCCAGCTGATAGCCGAATGGCTACACACTACACATACAGACAAAATCTCCATGTTGCCCAGCAGCAGCAGCAGCAGCAGCAGCACCGATTCCGCCTCAATGGTAAACCAGTCCTATCCCAGCGCGAGAAACTCATCCAAAAGATCGAAGCCGGAGTCCAACGAAAGGCTCACTTCAAATCACGAAACGGATGCGCCGCATGCAAGCAGAAACGAGTCAAATGCGACGAAGTCAAACCAATATGTGGGAAATGCGCCGCAAAGGGGACGACAGCAGCTTGTCTGTACAACAACAATAACAACGACGGTGAACAATCCCAGCAGACATTACCAATATACCAAATCCAACCCAAATCCTTAACCCTAGCTGGCATCAATCAACTCGCCAACACCATCATTCCGGCAGAGCTCCTCCTCCATCATTTCTATACCCACACCAGCCACCGCTTGATGGGCGGGGAAAAGCGACAATCCATATACAGATACCATATGCTTCCGCTGTCGATCTCACAGCATTCGCTGCTTCATGCTATTCTGGCTGTGTCGGCGAGGGATCTGCTCTACCTACATCGCCATCATCAGGACTGCCAGCATGGTTACCAACAAATAAATGAGCAACAGAAACTCGAGCTATCATTCTACCACCACTACCACCGCTTCGCAACCCTCTACAAAGACGACCTCCTCCGCCAACCATCTACCGAAACAGCCAACCTAGCTCACTCGAACGCATTTCTCATGAACGTCCTAGTCGTCGCAGATCCAGCGTGTACCTCCTCCACCTCCACATCAAACTCATGGGTCACAAGAAAAGCCAAAGACAACATCGACGCCGCATTCTCATGGATCAAAGTCCAAGCTATTCATCAGACGATTCTAAAGCCCTATTGGAAATTTGTGCCCAGTACATTTTGGTATTCTGTGTTCGTGGACGATCATCACCAGCAGAAGGACGACCAAGAACAAGAAAGACCCTCCGTAAATACAACTACCGGCATAAGGAATATCATCATCGATCATCTCGCTATTATATGTGCTACTGAAGAAACATCTACTACAACGCCGGAAAGGAACGTCTATCTCTCCGCGTATAAGAATCTATGCTCTATCCTCACTACACCTATCCATCGTACATCTCGAACACCATCTCTCTCAGCTCAAATTTTCGGCACATACATCAAATTCATGATCGAGCTAAATGAATACTTTGTTAATTCACTTCGCTCTAAGGATGAACCTGCGCTGCTAATGTTCAGCATCTGGTTAAATCGTATGAGAAGGTTAGATATATGGTGGATGAACGAGAGGGCGGGGAGTGAATGTGCCGCTATTTGGGAATTTTTGGAGAGCAGTAATAACTTGAGAGTTAGGGAAGTGGTTCGTTTAGTACAATTACTTGATTCGTTAGTATAGTGGGAAACAAGTATGTCGCTTCCCTCAAAGGGGCAATCCCAGCAGCGACCCCAGCAGTTAAATTCAGTTATACACTATATAAAGCTCCAACATGCAAGATGAGTATTATTGAAAATCGAGCCCAGTGCCCTCGTACATCCTATGCTCTGTGAGTGTGTGTGTGTTCAGAGCCCAACTCCTCCCATGCCCGAGTCCGTTATAACCTGGAAAGCATCCATGAACAAAAGAAGAAAAGAAAACCATCCGATCGAGAGGAATAGAAATTAAATCTAAGAAGCCAGCAGCCAGCCTGAGGGGTAAATGCGCTCCAGATATCAGTGCAATGCAGCGAGACCCATGACGATCATCAGTCGTGAGTCCTGGAACGTGGGGAAAACACACAACTCCGGGGGGTGGGGATCCAATACCAGGGCAAGTCTAAACGAAAGTAAGAAGGAGAGAAGGTGGCAGATGGTAAAAAGGGGTAGTATAGGTAAGAGAGAGTGAGCGTGGTAAGGTCAAGATCAAGGGAGAAAGGTTCGGACGGTAGAGTATAGGTGTTTTCAAAGTGAGGTTGGTAGTGGTTGGCGCTGCAGAGCTCGAGCTATCAGCGAAAGACCCTTCCGTTTTGCGCAACGGTCTCAAATGATATCTTCTTCCCGTATTTGCGGGGTCCGTCGCCTTCAATCCATGGGAGGAGGTTCTTGCACTGACTGACATCGAAGGATGTCAGTTGGTTGCAGCCGTCTGCAACCGCCTCAACACCGGCACCGGTTACCCGGACACAGCCCCGGACGGAAAGACGTTTAAGATGTAACAGGTGCAGGCCGATGCAGCGCAGAGATGGGTCTGATATGGCAGAGCCACAGAAAGACATATTGAGGTAGGTCAGTTGCGAACATTGCAGAGCAAGTACTTCTGTAGCCGTGTCGGACAGAGCACAACAGAACGACTGCCAATTGTTAGTCCGTTGTCAATTAGACGTTGTAAATCTAGCTTACCAAGTCTAGCTCCCGCAGCTGCTTTGCTGCATTCGTAAGATGCACGATAGCGTTGTCAGTCAAATACGTGCAGTCCGCCAAGCAGAGTCTGCGGAGATTGGTGAACCGAGCATTACCCCAGAATTGGAAGCCTTGGTCGGTAATGGTAGTGCAACGGGTAAGGTCCATCTGCTCGATCCTGGAAGCAGCGTGCGATGCGATGTGGTGCATCGACCGGTCCGTAACATGCTTGCAATAGGATAAGGTTAATTTCTTGAGTTCGGGGCAGCCGTATACGGTCCCGGCGGCCGTCTGTTTGGTAGGCTTCATAGACGCCTTCCCCGGTTTCGACTCGTCGTGTGGCTTATGCTGACCAGGAGATACCCAGCCTACAATTCGAGCTAGGAGCGTATCCCCAACTTTTCGACAATTGCTCAGATCAACCTCCTGTAGGCTGTTCGCCTTGCTCGCCATGTCAAGAATAGCCGATGCGGTGACATCCCAAACGCTCTTCATTTTCCAGGTGACAACGTTGGATCCGCACGTCGCAACCAACTTGCTGAACCCTTCGTCCGTTATATGGAAGCAATTGCTAATGTCGATATATCGCGGCCGACTACCTACGAATGGGCAAATGATCTTCACCAGTACGTCATCCGTGACGCACCGGTTATAGGTACTCAGGTCCAGGTAATGAAGCAGCTCCGTTGACTTGCTGAGAATCTCTGACCAGTGCATAGAGACCGCCCTGAGGCGAAGTAGATCATGAAGCTCGAGATGCTGAAATATAACCAACAGGACCCGATCGGGAAGATACCCGTGGTTGTCACGACGTGGCTCACGGACCGTCTCTGACGGTGTTGAGAACTCACCGGCCCCGGGAAGCGTGAGAAAGGACGAGCTAGTAGACCTAGGCTCAGATGAGGGCGAAGATCTCTGTTGCTCCCCAGAAACCTCCTCCGGCGTCAATGGCGCCACGGAGCTGCGCCGGCTTCGCAGCCGGACTTTGTCTAGGCCAACACTGAGGAAAGGATCCGGATCGGAAGGCCGCAGCACACTTGGTTCATCTAGACCTTTGGCAGTCGGAGTGCTGTCTAACTCAGTCTCTGTTAAGGTTAGAAGAGGCATGGATTGTCTGCGGCCCGCCCTCATCTTGAAGTTATCATCGACACTCAGCTCGCCAGCAGGTTGCTCGTCGCTTCCCGCTTCTGACATCACAACGTCGCCATCAGACGCTGCTTGAAGCCGCTCCTTGGCGGTCCTTTCCACCTGTTCGCGAACTTTTGGAGGACATCTCTCCCAGATATCTACTAGTACATCACCGCTGATCATCAGACATTCCACCGCACTTATGGATCGCACGGTGGCGGTCCGGCGTGGTGCCAGGGAGAGGCTCACAACTTCACCAAAGTATTGCCCCTGTTTCAGCCGGGCTTTGACTTCGAAACTAGGGTGCTCGATCTTATTTGGCAACGATTGCGCATGATTGTTTGCTGCTCTCTCCGACAGAACCTCGACCTCCCCGCGGACAATGAAATAGATCTCCCGACCCTGGGAGTCCTGCTTGATAATATCGGTGAATGGCGGGTAGGAGCGCGGTTGCGCATTCAGGCCTAGGAAATGGAGGATATCTGGCGGCAAACCGGAGAAGAGGGGCAGCTCCTTGAGAAGTAAACGGACATTTACCAGCCCGTTCGCCAGCGCACTGGAGGATCCATCAGCCAATCCAGGACTCGGGGACTTTCGCTTTTTATTGACGGACTTCAAGCTTCTGCCGTCCTGATCCGTGAGGTTCAGGTCACCGGAGTATGTGTCCCGCAATCTCTTCGAGCCTCTCCTGACCGGACTCACAAAATCAACCGATGGTACAGAGGTCTCCTTCTTCTTCTTCTCCAGGATCATCAGTCTCTCCTGGGCCTCGTCGCGAATTGCCCGTTCCACGTCGGGGAACCGAGGGAGAATTTTCCGGAAATCCTCCTTGGTTAACACGACCAGTAAGCATCGAGTGCGGGCGATGATGGTTGCTGTCCGCGGACGATCCATTAGTACACCGATTTCGCCAAAAAAGGCCCCCGGTTCAAGCTCCGCATATATACTCTCGCCATCGCGCGAGGTCACGGAGACAGCGCCCCGAACCAGCCAGTAGATGGCCTTGGCCTCGTCCCCCTCCGTCAGGATATAGTCGTTGGGCGCATGGAGCTGTGGGCGCAGATGCTGGCCGACATCGACCAGGAAGGATTCGGGCGTGGATTGAAACAAGGGAAAGGAGCGCAATCGATCAACGAGGTCCAACGGGAGAGCTTGAATATTAGAAGAGGTCAAGGGCGAGGGTCGTACGGGACGATTGGGATTGGTGATGGAATCGAACGAATGTAAGAGCGATGCGGTGTCGGAGATGGGGTGAACGGCTTTTGTTGAGCCACCACTAGCTCTGCCATGGCGCCGCATGATGGGCCGGGTGAATGAGGTGTGTCAGGGAGGGCAATCAAGGACAAAACGAAATTGGAAAAGAAATTGGAGAAGACAGCATGTAGTTGTTGGCCGGTATCGAAGCGACCAATGGAGGCGATGACGTCGACGAGAATGAGATCACGGGGGAGAGGAGCTCTTAAAAAGGCATCATGGCTGACGATGGATGGAACGGACAGTGCGGGGGAGGGTAGATGGGCGAGGAGGGAAGGCGGTGGTGGGTATGAAATGGTAGCGGTAGTAGTAGCGGTGGTGGTGGTAGCAGTAGTAGTAGCAGTGGTAGTGGTGATGGAGGTGACGATGATGATGATGATGATGATTGATTAGAAAGCAGCTTGACCAAGAATGAGAGCTGAGCTGAGCTGAGCTGAGCTGGAGAAAGAAGACGAGACAGGATGAGAAGAGAAGAGCAGAGACAGCTCGCTACTAGGTTTCTAGCTGGCTTCTATGCGACAGGCACACAGTGCCAGAGGGACGGGCAAAGAGCGGGAATCCTGCAGAGCAACAACAACAATAAACTGAATAATAATAATAATAATTCTGGAGACGGGCGGGCGAGCATGATGGGGGGGCACTTTTGGGTGAGAAGCTAAGCTAGTAGTAGAGACCAACCACCAACCAACTAATTAATGGTCAACAGTGGTTCAGTCTGGCCGGCGGACCAGAGAAACACAGAAAGAAGGTCTGCTGCTGCAACTCTTTTTCGAAGCGGGGATCACCAAACGTCAAATAACGCGCTTGTTGCTCCACCGCCGGTCCGGAAGCTCCTCTGATTGCCTCCCCAAAGTCAATGACGATTTGATCTCTCGTCAGGAATTGATTCCGATCTTCTGTCCTGTCACTATTTATTATTGTCACTGTTCTTTTAAACTCTAGACTTGCATGAAGTGGTGTCATTTCTCACAGTGATGCCTATCTATCTTTCTTTTTCGCATTGATATTCCAAAGAAAACAAACTGTATGCTCGAGATGTCAAACTGGCGGGAATGTGGTCAATTCTGCTGGGTGGGGAGCATCCTCCGAAACGGAAACACCGGTCTGTAATATTGACCCCGACTGGAAAGAATGGACGGCCAGTGCTTTGCGCTTTTGGCTTTTTCCCTCTGCTGGTCCAATGAATAGTAAGATAGAAGTGATCTAGTAGTAGCTGCTAACATTAAGCAGAGTGGGATATTCTGTCAGGCAGTGAGTGACAGGTATGTACCGAGTACATACGTCCCCAACACTATACTACTCAATACTATCTAAAAATCAGTACTACTTCAAGGGAAGTACCTGTTGTGGGTCCAAGTCAGTAATCTAGTCTAGCGCAGGATTCATTCTCACGAAATGGTGAAATCGTAAAATTACATACGTAGCTCAAGCAAGAATGAAGATCGCTGCCAGACTGATACTATGTAGAAATTCATGGATTGCCCCTGGACAAGGGTCTGAAATACTACACAATAACATAGATACAAGTAGAGTAAGAGACGTAAGAGACAAGTAAGGTTGACACGAGTTACAGCAATCCCGATCATGGATCCGATCGTCTGTCCACCTGCATGGGGGGAACCATGCATCCCAGCTCGAGTTTCTAGACAATTACGGTCCCTATTTTAGCCTTCAAGCCTTCTCGGCACTTGCCAGGCCGCCATGGTTCCCAGGTCTCACGGCCTACCAGAGCCAATGACCACTGGTGGTCAGCTCATTAATGGCCCGTCGGAGTCGAGGATCCGTGCGCGCACGAGATCAGACAAGCAGCCAGTTGAGTTGCAGCTGCACATCATCTTTCTTAATCAACCGAGTTGGTCAGGTGATTGGGACACGCGGAAGAGTACTGCTTTCGGATGGTTTCCAATTATATCGTTCCAGTTCCAAGTAGAGGAACGTGACTTGACTTGTCTGATAATATTCTGGTATCAACACTCCTCAACTCCATTAGAAGAATTTTTTTTTCAACCCCGCGCTTCTTCTTGTCCTTCATATATAAACCCCATATGTGCCCAGGCACCTCCTTGCCTGTAGTTACTTCGCGTGCGGTTGTTTTGTCTACAAACGGCGCATCCTGTGTTTCATGAACAGCCAGGGTAGAGGGATTCCATCGACTGTCTGGTCGGTCGGTTGGTCGGTCCGGCGTATTGCTAGATTCGGACAGCACTGTTCGAGCGCGGGGGTTCAGAAGACCTCTGTTCGTAGAGTGGAGATTTCTAGGGATGGTGAGGCAGGCGTGTGCAATTACTTTTGCAACTACTTTTGCAACACTGGATGTCCGCCATTAGCATATGTCTTGGATCGTCCTGAATTAGATCAGAGACTCACTAATATTGAGCGTCGCAGGGTTTCTTTGTTGCGCCTGCCAGGGAAAGATGACCGGACGTAAAGCCGAGAAGCCAGTAAACATCCAGCAAAGAGTGCCTGTGCAATTATGAGGCTCTCACTCCGTCTTCGAGCGACGACTTCCCAGAACGATATCGATATAAGCAGGACGAGTTCCTTGCCAGGACTCAAGCACGTCTTGCACAATGCCATAAGCCAAGCTCAACTTCAGACCAGTCTTGGCCGAACGAGCAGCCGTGTAGATATCCTGTCGCGCTAGAAACCAACAACAATCGCACAACATTAGCCCAAGCCCGAAGTCAAGAAGCCATCAAGCAGAAGAGTACAACCCACCTAACACACTGTAAATTCCCGACATTGACAATCCCGCCGTAACCGTCGACAGAAAATCTCTCTGATCATGCCGAGCGTAATCCACCACCTCCTCCAACAAGCAGAAACACAAAGCACCAGCACCCAGTCTAAACCCCATCTTCATGCCCTGACTAGATCCCTGCAAGAATGCATGGTAGTTCTTCGACTTGTGATACTGATACCACCCCCGCGCCGCATCGGGAAAGCGATGGGCATTTTCGGCTCGAAACCGGTAGGATGCGGTCTTGCTGCCGTGCATGTATCCGATCATCATACCGGCAGACCAGGCAGATGCGGACATGTATAGAACACGCTTTCTGAGCTTGATTCCGAGTCGGGGCGGCGCGTCTGCTTCGAAGAATCTGTCCCAGTGCCAGATCTTCCATAGGAGGCTGTCATCGTTGGGAGGTCCTGTTAATCTGTCCCAGCCTTTCTCCGCCATGACGAATGACTGCTAGCGATTGTTGTTGATATGAGCGAACCAAAGTCGTTAATGACTTGGGTAATGCGTAGGTGGGCGGAGGAGGTCGGTGGCTGGTTGTGGTGGTGTCAGCTTTCCCCGGGGACATAAAATCACGGGCAGCTGGAAAACGGGAAGCACCTGAGCGCTTGGTTCGCCGACTTCCGTCCGCCGCCTTGTCGAAAAAGCTCCGAGGTCCCGCTGAAGATCAGCTCACTGATTATAACTTCCATACGATATACAGCCTCCATTATGGTAACTACATAGGCTACTTTCTGTATTTGGATATAGGACATATTAGTATGCTAACTATTGTGTACCAACAGTCTCAACCCGACCCTCTGAGCTGGACTCTTCTCTTCAAGAAGCACAAGACCACCGTGCTTCTGATGCTCCCGCCATCGGAGACGATCGCCACTACAAAAGACGCGCTCCTCAAAGCTCTCAAATCCCGCGAGATCCACGAAATCAACGGCGATATAGTTCCAGATGATCCGTCTCATATTGAATTCGGTGTTGCAGTGGATAAGAATGATCTAGAAAAGGGCTGGACAAGACTGGAGGCTGAAGTGCCTGCATTCGACGATGATAACGCTCCTAAACGTGGAGCTGCGAAGAAAGGTGCTGGCGCTCTCACGCTGCAAGCGGCTGAGATTAAGAATGGGCAGCCTATTGCTTTCAGGTTCCGGAAGCCCAGGGAGGGCTCGGAGAAGGGCGAGGATATGATTGACCTGGAGCTGGAGGATCCTGGTTGGGATGTCATTGTCCCGAGCTTTGAGGATGAGGAGGAGGACGTTAATTAAACTCATCCCTGTCGGAACAGCTTCTTGGTGTGGAGTTCTGCAACGCTTTCATGGATTGGCGCATGGTTGATACGGGGCTCATATTGGCGGCGTTTACAATATTCTCAATGACACTCTTTTGGGCAGAATACAATGATGTGGTAGTCGAGATCTTCGTAAAGTAGAATCTATCCCGACTTTGAGCAAACGGCTCCAGTATTACTAGACATAATAAACTCTTCTGCCACGATATTTCATCTGCATGTGAAGTTGTCGTTATTTGAATCCACTGCAATGCATCATCTTCAAATTGGCAGCAATCTAAGAGATGCCCGATGAGCCATAGCTCAATGCAATGGAGGTACAACGGACAGGATGGAAATGCGGGACAAACTACAGCCAATAACGTCCTGTCAAGTCTGTCTTACCGAAGCTCTGCATTGGATACTAGTAAACAGAAAATAGACATGTACCACGGAAAAAGCAACAAATTAGTATTGATCAATGAATCATTCTCAGCCATTTCCATCATTGCAACAAGCAGTGGACCAATCAGGAAACAATTGTGCGTGGTGTTATGAGCCATACGTCGTGTATAATAAACCAAGAGTCAAAGTACTAAGCAGAGTTGTGAGCGATAACGTTGCAGCCACAGAGAATCTGGGCTATCAACACGGCGGGTGGTTGCTCGGAGCAACAAGGCGGTGGAAAACAAGCGGGTGTCAACAGTCAGGCCGAAGCTGGAACTAGTGTTCAGCGTTGCTCAACAGGGGAATCTCTGGGGCCGACGGAAAAACCAGGTCCACAGTCAACATTCTTCACGGTTGACTCCTCAATTCTTATCTTCTACAGCTCGTTGTTCCTCTTCAATTCGCCTTGCCGACGATACAGGGCGTCGCAACGTCCCTGGATAGCCGCCCGCCGCGTTGAATCCTCTTCCGCGATAGCTCTCCTCTAGAGGGACGTGGCGCCTCTGCTGTCACCCACGAAACACCATGGCCGACGCTTCATCTATCACCGTTGCGGTCCGAGTTCGACCGTTTACCATCCGGGAGGCAGCACAGCTCTCCAAATGCGAAGATGGTCCGCTCTTCCTTGGTGACGGCTCTTTAGCTGGAGCACCGACACCAAAGCTCAATCAAAAGGGCCTTCGCTCTATCATCAAGGTCATTGATGACCGGTGCCTGTGAGTTTACCAATAACCATGCTGTCTTCTTCGAATAATCTAATTGGGTATTCGATAGTGTGTTCGACCCTCCGGAGGACAATCCTGTACAGAAGTTCTCCAAGAGTGTTGTCCCCAACGGAAAACGTGTCAAAGATCAGACCTTCGCCTTCGACCGGATTTTCGACCAGAATGCCTCTCAAGGAGAGGTATACGAATCGACAACCCGAAACCTCCTCGACAGCGTTCTCGATGGCTACAACGCGACGGTGTTTGCATACGGTGCCACAGGTTGTGGAAAGACTCACACCATAACAGGCACAGCTCAGCAGCCCGGTATTATCTTCCTCACAATGCAGGAACTGTTCGAACGCATCGATGAACGATCCGGAGAGAAGGCGACCGAGGTTTCGCTTTCCTACCTCGAGATTTATAACGAGACTATCCGTGATCTTCTTGTGCCCGGAGGTAGCAAAGGGGGGCTGATGCTCCGTGAGGATTCAAACAAGTCGGTATCGGTGTCGGGATTGTCAAGCCATCACCCGCAGAATGTACAGCAGGTTATGGACATGATCATGAGGGGTAACGAATGCCGTACAATGTCCCCGACCGAGGCAAACGCTACCTCCTCGCGGTCGCACGCAGTCCTTCAGATCAACATTGCACAGAAAGACCGAAACGCCGACGTGAACGAGCCCCATACCATGGCGACCTTGAGCATTATCGACCTCGCGGGCAGTGAACGTGCCAGCGCAACCAAGAACAGGGGAGAGAGACTGTTTGAAGGTGCAAACATCAACAAGTCCCTTCTTGCCCTCGGAAGCTGCATCAATGCCCTCTGCGACCCTCGGAAACGGAACCATGTCCCCTACCGAAACTCCAAATTGACCCGTCTCCTGAAGTTCGCGCTCGGTGGTAACTGCAAGACTGTGATGATTGTCTGTGTCAGCCCATCGAGTCAGCACTTCGATGAGACACAGAACACCCTACGCTATGCCAACAGGGCAAAGAACATTCAGACGAAAGTCACGCGCAACGTATTCAATGTCAACCGTCACGTCAAGGACTTCCTGGTGAAGATTGATGAGCAGATGGCCTTGATTAACGAACTTAAAGCACAGCAGAGGGATTCCGAGAAGGTCGCCTTTGCCAAATTCAAGAAGCAAACCGAAAAGAAGGATGCAGTCATTCGTGAAGGACTGTCTCGCATTCGCAATGCGTACGATCATTCGTTGTCGGAGAGACAGGAGAGAACCAACTACATGATCAAGCAGAAGCAGATCAGTCGCCGGATTGGTTTGCTTTCCGCGTGGATCGGCGCTTTCGATCATGTATGCGCCAGTTGTGAAGCTGAGGATGCTCTGTCGAATCTAAGGGCAGTACGGAAGACAGCACAAGGAATCCTTCTCGAACTAGAGAGTAGCAGGCAACATTATCACCAGCGACTGGCCAAGAATGCGTGGGACCGCGGTATGACTTCCGCGGTGGAACACGCCATTCGTCAACTCCAAGACTTTGATATCAGCGACAACAGCGACTTTGTCAATATGACTCGGGAGGCCGAGCTGCTGAGGGCTAACCATGAGCGTGAGGCCCTGGCGGCAGTCGCTGAACAAGACAAGGCGGGCGAAGCAGCCACTGTGCAATTGCTTCTCCAAGCACAGTTCGAGCTGATTACTGAGATTGAAAATCTCATGCAACTCAGTGAGGAAGAAGCCATCGAGCAAGGGCAGAAAATGCTGGCGAAGATGCTCAATTCTTGTTCCACCGCAGTCTCCAACATCGTGAAGCCAGATGGTAGCTTGCCATCCATGCCGCCATTGAGCCCAGTCAAGGCCAGTCCCCTCAAGCAAAAGAAGAGGCTGAGCATCGCGACTACCGTCCCCATGGGCCGACCCTTGGCTGCGCCCGCCTTGACTCCAACAGCAGCGCCGCCTTCGCCGCAGAAGGGATCTCCCCGACGTCGCAAGCTGAACGTCGGCAGAAAGAGCGTTAGCTTTTCACCGAAGAAACCCGCCGCGAAACCGACGAAGAGAAGTGTACGATGGAAGGACGACGAGCACGAGGGCACATTGACCGAATTTCAAAAGACACCACAGAAGACGCAAATTACCACTATACCTGAGAACAGCCCGGAGCCCCAGCTACCCCGGACATCGCCCATTCCTCGCGGAATTCCTGTGCCCACTCGCAACTTCAGCCCTTCTTCAGGCGGGTCACCCCCGGTGTCGGCTGTCCCCGAACCGACGCTGAACGTGCAGAAGAACAACCGATTCAAGGCCGGGTTCTTGACGAAAAAAAACAGCAGCTCCCCAATAGCACCCCCACCCACGACAACGCTGCCCCTGTCCGACAGCGAAAAGTCACCCCTACGCGACATCGAGGGCAGCAGCTTCCTGAACCGGGCGTCCGTCGAGCGCCCATCTAGGATCGCGGTCCGGACATCGAGTGGCAGCTACTCGGGCAGCCCGGCATCCGACAAGAACAGCTGGAAGGCAAGCAAGGATGATGCTATCAAGATTACCTCTGCCATGAGACGGATTTCTGGAGGATCGTTTCAGGTGGGCAGCTCAGCCAATGCCCTGCGCATCCACCGGCGACGAAGCCCGACATCGGCCACTTACGGAAGCTCTCCAACTGAGAACAACACAATGAACACCATGAATACCATGTTCACGGCCTCTCAGGCCCGGCGGATGGGCAAAGGCGAGAAAGAAATTGAAAGCAAGCCCGGGGTGTTGGGACCTCGCACCCTGCCTATCATGAAGAACACGCATCGACGCACTACCTTTGGCGGCGATATCCGGCCCCGGGACATCAGCCTGAGCAGCCGGGATGCTATCCGACTCAGTGCGATGGCAACGCCTAAGTTGGAGAAGCCCCCGGCGAGTTTCTCCAACGGCGGATTCGCCCTGCGGTAACCGATGTTTCCGGTCGTTCCCTTTGTTTTAATTGTTGGGGTCTAGGTAATACGGACGGTGTTCAGGAAAGGATACCACATGCTTTTGATTTCTGGTGAAGCAGACCTCGCGATCTGGGATCAGATCTGCTCATCTGGTGTGTACGGGATTGATGTGCTTGATATGAACTTGGAAAGATTCATAAACTCGTCTACTTTTCTTTTCCTTTTCATGTTGATGGTGATTCTTATTCACAGGCATATATTAGTTTCGGCACTTGTACCATAGCAGGATGAATTTTTTTTCCTCATTTACCAACTACCTCTTCTCGAGTTTACTCCAGAATTGTAAGCATTAAACTAAGCTTCTAGAATGAGTTCTAGAAGCCTTCCTGATGTCATGCGCGGAATGACGCCACCGCCCGCCTGCATGACAAATCCACTTCTTACTCCTCCAGCGAACTACTAGTCACCATACAACTATAATCTCCTAATATCCTCATTGATATCCCTCGTAAAAGTCAACTACATCTATCTCACCAACCCCCATTTCACAAGAATACACATACAACAACAAGCATTGCACAGCCGGAACCTCCCAACCTACCGACCCCCTCATCCACCTCTCCTCCTCCCCCTCCCCGCCTCCCGCGGGACCCAAACCCCCGGTGGAGCTCTCCGAAAAAAAGTCCATGGCCTCAACTTTCACACGCACATTACTCCGACCTTTCATCTCAACCAACTTCGCATCTCTATCCCTAACCGCCACCACCACCACCGCATCAGCAACAGCAACAACAACACGCACCATCATGTCCTCCACCTCCGCATCCACCCCGCAAACCGCCACCGTCGCCGCCGGCTGCTTCTGGGGCGTCGAACACCTCTTCCGCAAACACTTCGGCAACGGCAAGGGCCTCCTCTCGGCCAAAGTGGGTTACTCCGGTGGTCATAGTGCCTCGCCTTCGTACCGGGCTGTTTGTACGGGGGAGACTGGTCGTATGTTCATGTTCCCCTTTCCCTCCCCCATACATATCCTTACCTCTCAACGAGGGACATGCTGATAAGGATACTTACTGATAATGGGGATATGGACAGACGCCGAAGCCCTTCAAATGACCTACGACCCCAGCATCGTGAGCTACCGGTCTCTGCTTGAGTTCTTCTACCGGATGCATGACGCCACGACGCTGAACCGGCAGGGACCGGACGTCGGCACGCAATACCGCAGTGTGATCTTCACGCATGGGGACGAGCAGGAGAAGATCGCCAAGGAGGTTACGGAGAAGGTTGGCAAGGAGTGGTTCAAGCAGCCGGTTTCGACGGTTGTGGTGCCGGCGGGCCAGTGGTGGGATGCTGAGGAATATCATCAGTTGTATTTGAATAAGAATCCCGAGGGGTATGAGTGTCCGGCTCAGTAAGTTTCCCCTTTTTTTGACCTTTCAGGGTGGGTGGGGTTTGCTAATGGGGTGGTTAGCTTTGTGAGGTCGTTTCCTCCGCTTTCGGAGTAGGGTGATGTTATAGTTGTGAGTGGGTGATGGGTGATGGGGTTGGGAGATTGGTGTGGATGTATAGTGTATAGTTGAATAGCATTTTTTTTGTTGCTTGTTTACTTCTATGCTGGTTTTATGGTTTACGACAATTTTCACTCATATCTATTACTTTGGTATGAACATACTCTGTTCATCATTAACATGCTGATTACAGCGCTAATAGTAGTAACCTGTGCAAAAGCAACTCCATCCTAGAATCCGTGACATTTCCATAAATGAACAGAACCCCGTATTCTGGTCCGTGGCCGGCACGGACCGACTCAGGCACACCCTCCCAGTATCTCCAGTGTATGGAGGTGGGGCGGGTTTCTCGCATTTCCAACTTGCAGATGGCCGGCTTCATCTGGACTACATGACACACGGTGCCCGTTTACCTCTTTCATTCCACACTACTAATGATGCAATGGATGTGGTATCCTTTGCTTGGCATGTGCCATCTGCAGGCAAAACGCCTGAGTCAACGCAGGGTCCGTTTGATAAAGTTCCTGGCCATGCCAGGGCGGTTGGTCTCGCGAACCAGCACCAATTCCTTCTCGCAAGGGTCCGAGGAGTAAGTCACCGAAACGCCACTGTAGACGTTTCGGCCATTCTTCCAATCCTCAAAAACTTCGAGCACACGGCGAGCAACGACGGTGCTCGTAAACACAGCAGTCGCTGTAGTCATTAGCATTGCTTAGCTGTTCGTGATTACCGAACGATTAAGTACTTACCGTTACCAGAGTTGAACACCCAGAGGAAATCAATGTTTCCCGGTCCAGCCAGGGCGCGGATGTCCTGCTTCCATTTATCGGGAGACATGCCTTCAGCAAAGAGTCTCTTTCTTGCGAAAGAAAGGCGGCGACGCTCCCGGATGGGTTGGTTCATCCGACGATGGTCCTCATTCCAGTCGATAATTTCCGCCAGCTCAACGCGGTAGCCTTCTCCAAGACGTCCATAGCCCAGCATGCGCTCCATATCCTGATTAGAGGTCAAGAAAGCAAGCGCCTGGGCCGCGTGCTGGAAGGTCACCTTGGTCCTTCCATTAGTCTCCACGCGGATGTCCTGCAAGGGCCCTTCGTGGATGCGGGTAGTGATATACTGGATGAAATCCCGAGTAATCTTCCCATAGACACGAATGACCCCTGCTTTAGCTTCGGGGATGTCGGGAGAGACAGATGCAGGGAGCGTAACTCCGGCATTACCTGGCTCGTGCCCTTCAGTGTCATCGTCACTGCTCTGGCTTGGCTTAGACACGGAACCCAAAGCCAGAGACATAGGTGATATACGCTGCACCTCGTCTGGGGCATGGCTACGACCATTAGAGATCGAGCCCGCGACCTGGGCCCAGCTTCCACTATGCAGATGACGTCCTTCGGGCATCTTTCTGGTCCCATCCACATAGCCATTGTTCTCTTTCTCAGTATCGCACAAGTAACTTGAGCCATTTGGCTTCTGGAAACCGTTGTGAGAGGAGAGCTGGGTGTTAGCAGGTTCCTGAGTGGCAGTGTCCTGCTATGGTTGTTAGTGCTTATTGCATGGATTGTTATTAGATCCGGCTTGTTCATGCTTACCTCGGGCGCCAGAGCATAATCCTCCGGAGAAATATGCTCGACTCCCTCAGAGAACTTGTTCACGATCAGAATGCTGAGCTTTCCGATGTCGTTGGCAATCTGGTGCTGTCCATGCTCACGGAACTACGCGGTTTAGCTCGCTTTGTGGGGGGAAGAGATGATTGCGATGACCTACATGGCAAGAAATAAGGTTAAGGTGGCCGAGGGCCTCTGCCATGGCACCGTCGATAGAATAGGGCCTCATCTTTGGAGATGGGCGAGAGTTAACGTTGACGGTAAGTTCCTGCTTAGTACTCGAGATGATAAGATGCGTAGCCGTGGGGGGGAAGTAAACAAAAGAAAAAAGATGATATGATGAGTCCTGTCGGGGTCCTGACGACTGAGAAGGATAAGATGAAGAGAATGGAAAGAAAGGAGACAGAATAGAAGACAGAAGAGAGGCAAAGGATCCCGCTTCATTCACTCCGAGCTGGTGACGGAGTGAAGGAGGGAGCAAACCAGGCAAATCGTGCTCGGGGTTTGTATGGCAGTTGCGGACTAGCAGTCAGCAACGAGGCTTCCTAGTATATTCAAAGCTATTTAACAATATTCTGAACTGTTTATGCTTTGCACTGGATTGAATTCAGTCTCCCAGATTCCCGGAAACTGCCTTGACGGTACAGTGAGGCTTCAGAAGATGGTATCTGATAATGAAGGTAAAATGAGAGCTGTCTGCCAGTGTAAAAGCAGAGCCTAGAAACCTTATCAGTCTCTCTTCTGGAGAGAAGGACTTCTTTATATTTCAGTTTTCGTCAACGCAGAGCAACTAGTTATTCTGTCGGAACAAGCCAGTCATTCTTCTGATGAAAGATTGACTTTGGCAGCTACAGCTTTCTGAAAAGCTACAATCAAAGAGCTTTATAACTAACATCATACCAGCCAGAGGATATTTCTCTTTTTATTAATACAATTGTCTCTGCCATGTTTCGATTCCATTATGTACTTCAGATCCCAACCCCACAGTAACAAGCGTCACTGTATTGCCCCACTTGAGATGTTACATTCGACAAACATCTTTGTACTGACACTTCTCAAAATTGCATGACATTGTAAACTTTATAGCTATTCAATGATTGGTTACTCTATCTTAATTTAAAGATATACCAAACACTTTCGTCTGCGCACGATTAAGTGCCTGCAGCCATTCACGCAACTCATCATACTACCCGAGCTTGAGGCCTTTATAAAGAGTAGTAGTAGTCGCAGATTGAAAAGACAAGTATTTATATTGTCCAACGACTTCTCTTACTCTCCGGTCCTTATGGCTTCACTCTCCTGCTTTCTCTTCTTAGATCTCTGTGTACTAGAACAGCCATGAAATCAACATCTTTTTTCCTCTTAACTACATCTCATCACATCATTATATGAACCAACGACAGCGCGGCGGACGAACCATGAAATAATTGCACCTCAATTGCTGAATTGACAGCATTCGCCGTGGAAAAATTACACAGTGGCAATATAAACATGGCCATCCTAGCGTAGTGTTGTCATCTCAGAGAGGCAATGCTATGATGCCATCCGTGCGTGATACAGCCGCCGACGGTATACTAGAACTATGTAGCTCGGCGTTAAAGAGAGTTTTGCCATGGAAAAGCGTATATTTGTGAGTGACACATGATGTAATAAGTATCTGTCTCAATACATACTGGAATGCATTGACGCTCATAACACTAACAGTCAGGTTAAGAACCAGAGTCTATTACTGATGAACTGGTGGTTGGCGAAGATTGTAGATAGGCTAAAATTGAAGTGTTACGTCTGAGGGAAGTATATTTGTCTCCATTGAATATAATTGAATCAAGCGTTTTATATCTTCTAGATTGATAGCAAGACTGACCAAAACAAATAGTAGTAGATGGCGCGCTTATATGAAACCCAACATCTGGCATCTACTTAAGCTTGAATTAAGTAAATTTAAAGAGAAAAAGGCACACATCCCCCCGAAACCATACAACTCCCAATTAGGAACAACAAAACAGATCCATCGAACCGGGGTTAAGAACAAACGAAACATCAACTACTCTCGACCGATGATCCTCATGCAGCCAATCGCGCCACATAAGACCCCGACCGGTATTTAGATAGGCGCAATCACAGCCTTCCATCGCTGGATCATATCAAGATTGAGACATGTCATGTCAATTTTCCTGATAATTAGGTTCTTATCTGTATGCTGCTCCATTTATTTCCTCCCCACATTGTCCATTCATGAATGATTGCATTGAGCCACACTCACTCTCCCCTTGCATACTCATCCAATGGGTATTCGCAATGGGTGATGTAAGCTCAGTAGGCATTTAGTGGCAGTAATTAAGTAGAGCAAATGTATACGTCAGATGGGCAAATAATCTGTGGTCTGATCCTTATGTTGTTGCCTTTTTATGTGTCATGTTGTGTTGTGGGTGCTGATCGGGAATACCAAGTAGTAGACCGGGTATGTAACTATGCACTCTGTGCCTGATTGTCAATGTACGCGGGCTTCTAACCATTTTCTATACTTTGTACGGATCCAGAATTGGCAAACTAACTAGCTAGCTAGGAAAGGTAGTACTCAGGAACAGCTGCTGACAACTGCGTGTGCTCCGAGCTTCATCTTCCCTCGTAGATTTGAAATTAGAGCTGGTGCAGCAGCGATTTTAAAGTTCGCTGGGAGAAAACCAAGCAAGTTACCCCTGCATTGGAGGAAGGTGTTCTGCAAATAGGAGAGAGAGATTTCTGGGGAATAAAGTTCAGTAGACGCGGTGTGTGTGATTTGGGTTTCCAATGGGGGGAGAGATGCCAATCCTCCCGCTTCAATTTTAGGACCTAGCACTTGTACTACTAGGTTTGTTCAGGAGGTTGCAGCAGCAGATAAGTGAACGAGATAGTATCTCGAGAATGATAACGATAACTCCCGTAATTATTGGCCTAATAATGGAGTAATTTACGAACTAGTATAATAAATTATCAAATACATCACATGTTTTAAGTAACGAATATTCACGGTTTCAGATGTGTTAGTTGCTTAATGTCCGCAGTCGGGAGTGGTGGATTTGATTAGCTACTCAGGTCTCGGTTTTAGATTGATGACTGACACATATGGTGTCATTGTGGATAAACGGTGTTATGGAGCCACGAACGGGGAGGAGCAGGCATGACATTGTATTCAGAAGTCAGATGGGATTGAAATCATTTTCTGATTTTTCATTGTCATCCGACAACCCGCAACCTATTGTTTGCTTCTACATCCGACAGCTTTCATCATGCAAACATGTTGTCAGAGAAGCCACATTCCATGGCTGTTTTGTGGCAAAGACATCCCCGGCTAAAAATATCCCAAGCTTCCGGGTGCTTTGTTTTTTCTGGTTTTTTTTCTTTGTTATTTTATTTGATTTAAGATTTTTTTTTTTCTTCTTTGTTTACAGTGTATTATTATTCCTTTTCCAGATATCTGCTCGTAACTTCATGCCAATGCTTGGCCCCCTGACAGAGTAGACAATCCACGAGCTACTAGTTACTTAGTGACAAAGTATTTTATCTATGAGCCACGGGAGACTGTCGTGTGCCGCGCGCCAGATTCCTGATCTGTTGAATCTCCCTCCGATTCGGGCAGGTTCATAGAAATCAAGGCGATGAGGTAATCTGGCATGCGCACGCAGCCAACGTGAGGATGCCGCCCTGTTGGTGTAACAACCAAGCCCTGCTTCCAAGGACGATTGCGGTAATTCATTGTCGGTCAAGAGACCTTTCTGCTCTCCCGTATTGGACATACTGTGTAAGTGATGTATGTATATGTACGTGTGTATGATATTTATTATTATCATTAGCTAACTAGGCAGACGCATAAAATTGGCCGTTCGCGACTAGATGATTTTTCATGTCTTGGGTCTTATCTGGTGCGCGGAATGACCGGCTGTCAACTCGAACCAGTTTTTTTTTTTTTTTTCCCTCGAGGACTAACTAGTCCGGTAGTTAGTAGATAGGACTTTTCCGTTTGCTGATTTGATTCCGAGGAACAAGGCCCATTTGGTTTAAGACATTGTGGGTGACCGAGTGAGCACCAACCGGGGTTTATTTGTTGTGGATTTAGTCATAGGGGCGGACCACATGGAGGGGGACACTTGGGTTATGGGCTATGTAGATACCTGCCTAGTAGGCGCTGCGGGATATTTGGTTGCTCATGAAGATTTTAAGCGAGCACGAGATTTAGTAGCACCTTGGGTCTGGGGAAGATTGAAGAAGGGAGAAAAAAGGGGAGAGTTTTCTTAGTTTTATGTGGATGAGCGCACCCTTCTCCATGATCAACCCCAAGGATTTCCCTGTTTTCTTGCAGTGTCAGGGACAGACCGGGCAGCGCTAGACGAGTAACTCACTAAGGACTACTAGTGTCTTGCTCGGGGTGCTTAGTGGCCCAAAGCAGCGCCTGCCGATAAGGAACAGCAAGAAATCAGAAAGCAGAATTCAACGGAGGGAATTAACTTTGGGTGGAGTGGGGCAGGGCCCTGCTTAGAGACTAGCGCACTAGTAGGGGTCCTGGGGCAGATCAGGGATTCGTCCATTGAGAGCTTCCCAATCCAGAAAGAACGACGGATCCTGCATGGAAGTTCTCCCGTACCGTGATGGTAAATACCGCTCTTACTTTACCTTTCGCCATGATCGGTCCGAGGGCTCTTATCAGGGCCAAGGTAAGCTCGGGGGGAGGTGACCTGGGATACCTAACAGATCATCGGGCCAACAACATGCCAGATGTAGTCAGTGGGCATCTTTTCCAGCTGGGTCATCACGAGTTACTCGGATAGCTAATCTAAACAAAGGGGTTAGAAAAACCCCCGGGATGTCTCTCGGTCTGCGTGAGGGGGAGAGGGGAAAAGACAACGTTCTCGAAAGGTTCTCGTGCTGCTCTGCGGTTGCTGGAAACCGAATACGCCGTATGAGGCCGTGCATTACCAGCAAGGTGAAATTACCTGACGGGTGGCTACGAGTCCCACCGGAACCGCATTCGCATTGAACCGTTCCTTTCACAACGAGAGAGCGAGAAAGTGAAGAGCGCCGACTTTCTAGGCAAGTACTAGAGCTATATAGTATATGACTTCTCCTTTTCCTCCTCCCAATTCGGGTGACTTCCTTCCTCATTGTACTCGTGGCACAATCCCGGGCTCGTTCTATCGTTACTTCTGCTCTCTTCCCGGTCGTCTTCGTCTTCTTCTACTTCTACTCTCTTTACTCTTCTCCTGCCCAGTACTCCTCCTCATCCTCATCCTTTTTTCTATCCATCTCTCCCTCGGCGGTGATACGGCGATAAGAATACTACTTCACTTACCTCCCGAACTACCCGCGGTCCCTCATTTATCGGCGCAACTTGTGATTGGATTCCACTTGCATAGCCCTCGGGTTTCCCATTACTTAATTCTCTCGCCGTCTTTATATAGAAACCGGTATCTTTATTCTTCACTACGGTAAAATAAAGGCCAGGACTGAAATTCGGTATGCCCCAACTTTCCTGTGCCACTCAGGCACAGCCAGACATTAGAGCCAGTGAATGTTGCGCCTAAATGTATTAATAAACTAACGGTTTCCCTCTTCAGTGTTGTCTTGCACATCTCCAGACCAATCTCCTAGTGTCTTGTTATACAGACATCTGCTTCCTAATTCCCAGATCTTGCACTGAACCCTGTCCGCCACAATGGTGCGGTACACTTCTTCCATTCTCTTGGCCTCGTTGGCCGCCACTTCCGGCTGGGCTACCTCGTCCCCTCCTTCATGCAGTACCAGCTCTCAGTGTCCCGAAGAGTATCCTTGCTGCTCTCGTGCGTTGGTCCCTTTTCTAATCTAGCCCTATGTGGTATTACCATCATCCGCTAATGCTCGTTTAGAATATGGACAGTGCGGTACTGGTGCTTACTGCTTGGGTGGTTGCGACCCCATCTCGTCATACTCTCTAGACTCTTGCGTTGGTGAGCCCGTGTGTGAGAGCAAGACCTACAAGTGGGACTCTCTCGATAGTGCCGCGCTGAACACCAAATATCTCGGAAATGCGTCCGAATACGACTGGGTCTACAGCGGCTACCCCAAGTTGGACGATGGTAATCTTCTCCTCACGATGCCTAAGAACACCGTCGGTACGCTCTTTGCGAACAACCACTACGTCTGGTACGGCAAGATTTCCGGCAAAGTCAAGAGCAGCCGTGGTGCCGGTGTTGTCACGGCTTTTATCCTGCTTTCGGACGTCAAGGACGAGATCGACTTTGAGTGGATCGGTGCGGATCTGGTCAATGTCCAGACCAACTATTACTGGCAGGGTGTTCTGAACTGTAAGCCTGACATTATCCCGAATGAAATGCCCCAAACCCGCTGCTAACATGCCTTGTGCAGACAACAACGGCGATAAGGATGCAGTCAATGGAAGTGATACATTCGATGATTGGCATGAGTATGAGATCGACTGGAAGGAAGATGCGATTACCTGGTCGGTGGATGGTGAGGTGAAGCGGACTCTCACCAAGGAATCGACCTGGAACGAAACTGCGAAGCGCTACCAATACCCCCAGTCCCCATCCAGAATGCAGCTTTCCCTGTGGCCTGCCGGCCAAGCCAGCAACGCACCAGGAACCATTGAGTGGGCGGGTGGCGAAATCGATTGGGACAGCCAGGACATTAAAGACAAGGGTTACTACTATGCCACGTTTGGCGAGATCACTGTTCAGTGCTACGATGCCCCGAATGGCACTGTTTCGAACGGAAACAAGTCGTACATGTTCACCAACAAGGATGGGCTACAGCAATCGGTTCAGATCACCAACAATGACACCGTTCTTGCATCTTTTGGCGCCACCGGTCTCGACATGGATCTTGGTGCCAGCGACTCCAGCAGCAGTAACGGAACTAACGGCACGGTTCCCGAGAACCAGGGAGGATCAGGAAACGTACCCGGCACCAGCACCTCGAGTGGCAGCTCCAGTACCTCTTCTGGATTCAGCCAGGGCAGCAGCACCGACACGAGTGGTGCTCCCTCCCAGAATGAGCGAGTCATGAGAGGCTCATTCTTTGCTGCCTTGGTCGCAGTTGTCGTTCTGGTCGCTCTCTAAGGAGACTCGACAAGCAATCACCTTCTTCACTTCTTGGATATTCTTATTCACATAGCTCGATTCTCGGTGCATGCCCTTCCTTTACGACTTGTGGTTATCATTCTTAATCTTTTTTTTTACTGTTCTATACCTGGCGCTCCGAACGCCCGTCTTTTCTTTGATCGGATCTTGTACCTTTATGTTTTTGCCCCCATTGGATGTCTTTATGGTTATTATGACTGCGCCTGGGTGGTCGCGTTTTTACTGTCATGGACATGACTTGAATACACATACTAATACCCCTTTTCCGCCGGGTAAACAGGTGCCCGGTAGCTGAATGTGTTTATTTTCTCTTTCACTGGTCTGGTGTTTGCATGGTAGATTATTAAATGCCAATGGTTCCATTTGGTCAGACAGACAAGCGAATACCGAAATAGGATTAATGTACATCACTTCTAGTTCACCGGACGGTACCGAAGAACAAGTTACAACATACAAGTAGCTACATGCGGGACTCTAACTTCCACAAGTTGATACAACTACCTTTTTGCCCTTCACATCAATCAAAAAGACCAGCAAACTACGCTCTCCCCCACCCGCAACTCTAGCCCCTCTCCACTAAACCCTTCCTTATCCTAGGCAACTCATCGCCCACCTACCCAACCAACTAACTAAACGCCAAAACGTACATCTACCCCGGAATGATCCACCCCCGATGCATGCAGATACTACGTCTTCTCGCTGGTATTATTCTACTACGAGAGGCTTACCCAGCTGAATCAGACCAATGCTTCGAGGCGGAGAGAGTGGATATAGATTTCCGTTTCGGGGTGTGCCGGGGAGGTAGGGGGAGGGGTGAGCCTATTGTGGTGGGGATGGGAATGTATGGGGGTGTTTGTGGGTCGTGGTGTTTCAGTAGCTGTGGGGGAAGAATGGGTATGGGGCAGCGGTATTGGTGTTGCAGTGGTAGGGGTAGGTACTTTGATACCTAACTAGGTAGGATGGGATGTAGGATAGTTGGGAAATGGTAAGATAGTAATATATCTAGATACCTAGTGATACGCGTATTATGCATTGTACGAGGTTTTTGCTAATTGTGGGCCGAACTTGGCTATGGTAAAGAGAACAAGGAAAGAAAAGCATTCTGATAACATTTCGTATGAACTGATTGAGTGGTTAAACGCCAGAACACCCACACCAAAGTATTATGCGACATTGGTAATTTAGATCATCGTTTGTCAAGGGTTGTATAGATGGCAGGATGGATAAAATCATAAGGTTTAGACGTGACAGATGTAGGGCGTGACTAAGTGTATTTATTAGCTTCAGTGGCTCTCGCCACAGCTGCAGCCTCGCTCGGAGAGTCCGCGCTTGCGGAACTCGCCGTGGTAGGTGTCTAGGCCTTCGGTTCGGACATCCTCGCCTAGAGGGTCGCCGAGCCAGCCATAGGGGCTATCCTCGGAAGACATGGTCCAGTAGTCCGATGAGAGAAGCTTCTTGGTCGTGCTCTTGAGGTCCAGGTCGAGGAAGTCGGCCAGGAAGGAGCCGACTTCGGTGTTCTCGTGGTTGCCTGCTAGGGGAAACGCGAGTTTCCCGGAGGCGTAGATGTTGACATCGACACCTGGTCTGAGGTTAGTTCATGATCGAAGGGGGTTGATATGGATGGTGGTATCATACCGGAATGTCCGTGGGTTGCCCAACCAATTTGAGCCCTGCGGCTGACAATATCCGCAAAGACGTACTGGGGGTTATATGGGTAATTGGGGTCGAGAACGGCGTTAATCTCCTCGTCCGTGACATCTGTGATGCCAAGATCGTTCTCAATGAGGCTGCGGACGAACTTGTACTGCTTCTTGTCGTCCGTTTCAGTGGCGAGATAGTTCACTAGCTTCTTGTTGACGTACTCCGAAGAGTGACTGGCATTGGCCAGGACACCGGGAAGCCATTTGTAGTCGGGGTATTCAGGCTGTAGCTGACGCGCGATTGACAAGCCTCCAGTCTCATGGTCGGATGTGCTCACGACCACGCCCGGAGTCGAGTCCTGCTCTAGGAACTCCAGCACGGCCGCAAAGGCCTTGTCATATGCCAAGACTTCATTGACCTGTGCAGCCGGGTCGTTTCCATGGCCAGCATGGTCGATGCGCGAACCCTCAATCATGAGGAAGAAACCCTGCTCACTGTCGGCGGTGGCCTGGCTGAGTATCGTCAAGGCGGTACGGGCCATCTCCTCAAGAGAGGGGTACACGTCATTCTGGCTGCGGCGGTCGATCTCGAAGGGAATGTCTTTCTCCGCAAAGAGCCCCAGGAGTGGCAGTTTGCCTTCAGTCCCTCCATTCAGAGAGTCGAACCCGGCTCGATCATCCATGTAATGGTATCCACCCTCCTTCGCCAGCTCGACAAGGTCGCGGTCATCGCCCCGACAGCTTCCGTCAGTCGAGTTGGGCAAGAAGTGACACCGGCCTCCACCCATGATAAGATCCACCACCCGGCCCAGCGGGTGCTCCCCGATTTCCTGTTCCGCAATCCGGTCTTCGTACTGTCGGAGATTCACATGTGAAGCAAAGCAAGCCGGAGTCGCATCGGTGATACGAGTCGTCACTACCAGCCCCGTCTTGTAACCAGCCAAGGAGGCAGCCTCGAGGACGGTGCCACAAGGCGAATGGTCAGGAAGCACGGAGATGGCGCCGTTGTAGCTCTTATGACCACACGAGAATGCCGTCGCACCGGCCGCGGAATCCGTCACAAGGCTGGAGCTCGATCGTGTACGGGAGGTACCGACAAAGTGCTTGTCCAGGATGAGGACTTCGTCAGCGGGAAGCCCTTGTGTGAGTTGTTTGTAGCTCCTGGTCATGGACAGACTAGCGGGGCCCATGCCGTCGGACACCATGAAGATAAGGTTCCGTTTGCCAGTCGGCTTCGTCCAGGGATCTTTCGAGCGATCTGGGCCGCGACTAGATTCATGTTGGTAAACGACGGAGAGAACGATGACAGCTACCGTAGCAATGAGGGCCCAGGTGAAGAGGCCGAGCTCTTTCCAGAAGCTCCATCTGCGGCGTCGGTCACGGTCGGTGCGGATCCCGGTTAGCAGGGCGTCCTCCTCCTCGGCATTCCGAATGGAGGAATGGTCGGACGAGGGTCGTGAGGCCAAGAGAGGCTCTTCACGCGCCATAGTGTTGTGAGAGGCTCTCTTAGAGTAGATAGAGGAGAATTCAGATGAACAGAGAAGAATCGAACATGGGGGGAGGAGAGATGGGAGGTTGGACAGGAGGAGGTGAGCAACAGGCGGGAAGATCGTCCGGGGTTGCACTTGTTGGCCTGAGCTAAACCCCGATTAGTCCAGGCCGCCCTCTTGCTGTTTCGGGTATCGCGCCGCCTGGGGATCGCCGTCGACGTCACATGGAGTCTGCCACTAGTGATGCTGTATAGCACTAGACAAGTCAAAACTAGGCTAATTTCCCAGACATATCATTATCTATTATACATGAATACAAGAGTGGATGGGACATCATAAAGGGACGATGACTCCCTCAGAATACGAACAACAATAACATACACAACGTTAGCCCCCAATATCACAGCGAGCCACCGGGTAGCCCCATAGTATCCAGGGTCCAACGCCCCCTAATATGACTGCTCAGACACCAGCTCAGAAATGCCTCTACCTCCCCTTCCATCCGATTGGGATCATAGCCGCAGCAATCTCCGACACGCCTCTCTCCGTAGCCAACAGATTGAACTGCGCAGCAGCATTCCTCGTGTCCAACACTTCCACCCGAACTCCCAAAGAATTGACATGTCTCTTGGTCTCCGGCGACAGAGGGAACACAGTCTCTCCCATGCCAATAATCAACATATCTAGAAACCATCAAAAGTCACAGGTTAGCCACATATTCCCAAGCATCCTAAGCTATAATACAACCACTCCCGTAGCCAAAAGAAGGAACAAAAGCAATAAACATACCCGGACGAGGCCAAACCAGATCCAAAATTCCCCACGCATGCTCCGGAACCTCAAACTGGCCCTTCTGATTGACCATACTGTTCTTCCCCGCTTCAGCACCTTGCCACGGCCGCCAGACAAAAGCTTCTCCGCCAACAAGGAACACTCCATCCCCACCGGTGATCTTGACGCCATTGTCCAGATGAAATCCCGTATCAAGAGTAGCGTCGATAGCGGTCGTCGGGGCAGGGATGTTTCCCAGCACGTTGAGGGCACTAAAGTCCGTCTGAGTGTCTTCCTTGGACGGCGGGCCGCGGTCTCGGCTGGAGGGCTTTGCGCTGTGAGCGCGAGGGATCATCCGGGTCGGACGGGCATCGTTGCTGTTGTAGCGGTGGAATGTGAGGGGGGAGGAGGTCAGTCGACTGAGAGGGGAGACGGAGCGAGATGCGAGCTGTGTGCAGATTGCGCTGCTGCTGCAGTTGGGGGAGATTGAGGTGCGCAAGGCGCGGAGGAGTTGGGGGGACGGGGGATGCATTGTTGGGAATTTGATGTCGTGTGATACTGCAAAGACGTTTGACCTCCTTAGGAATAGTATGGAGTATCAACAGGATGATAAAGTGTTCCGGCCCTGTGAGGTTTTAGAGGCAAGTTGTAGAAGTTGGCAGTATCCGTTGTCTGAAGGATTGTAAGAGCGGAGCAGCCGAGCTTGAGAAGTCGAGAATCCGGAGGTTTGCTGCCTCAGGCAGCATAACCCAGCTTGACCGCAATTGGCCAATGGAACGCTCGCAAATAGTAACAGCTGTCGCAGCCATGTAAAGGATGAACTCTTCTTTAGTCAAACTACAGCCTTGAAGCAGATACACAAAAGAATCTTATGAAATTAAATACTAGAGGATGCTATCGATCAATATCGTAAATGTCGTATGTCAAATGCAACTGGTCTAATAAATTTTATTCACGGTTCCAACCATTTTGTACGTCCCTTACCGAAACAGAAAAAGGAGGCGAGGTTGATGTTCGATATAGAATGACAACTGAACAATATGTCATGCAGTCGTGAGTTGCTTGGAATGCAATTGCACCTAAGGGAGCAATTCCAGGGAAGCGAGAATCCCGGGTATCCTGTCAAACCCAAAAGAAACAAAAGGTGCTATATCTCCCACCCCGTCATTCACAAGCGTTCAACGCGGGTGCAGAGATGTATCCGTCTGAAGTTGACTGGTTATACCTACTGAGTGCTCACCGAGCTGTCTCCTGTCCTTTGCGGCCATCGTCACCAGGTTTGTTGGCCGGCTTTCGGTCCTCATCGGACTGACTGGAACTGTCATCGGCGGCACCCGATGTGGATGCGCTACGCAAGCGTTGAGCACGATCTTGAAGCACTTGGGCTTCCGCGGCAGCCCTCTGGGCACGAATCTGTTTACGCCACATGCTGGCATATCGACCTTTCATTGCCAGCAATTGATCGTGAGTGCCACTTTCGGCCACTCGGCCTTCATGCAAGACTACTATCCTGTCTGCCGTCGTGATGGTACTCAGTCGATGAGCAATAACAAGCATCGTCCGCCCACGGGAAAGGCTGGACAGCGCGCCCTGGATGTGCTCCTCTGTTTCTGTGTCCAGCGCAGCAGTCGCTTCATCCAGAAGAATTATTCGCGGGTTCTTGAGAATGGTCCGAGCAATGGCAACCCGCTGTTTCTCTCCGCCGCTGAGCCGGAGACCGCGCTCACCGACCTTAGTGCTATATCCATCGGGAAAGGACATGATCTTGTCGTGGATGCTGGCAGCACGGCAAGCTTCATAGACCTCCTCATCCGTCGCGTCCTGATTGGCGTACTTCAAATTGTACATCAATGTCTCGTTGAAGAGCACCGTGTCCTGTGGCACAACACCGATGTGCTTTCGGAGCGAATCGATTGTGATACTTTCCACATCGTGCCCATCTACACGAATGCGGCCCCTCGTCGCGTTATAAAACCGGAAGAGTAGACGGAAAACAGTGGACTTTCCTCCGCCTGACTCACCCACCAGAGCTGTGGTTGTCCCGGGCTCGCAGCGGAATGTCAGCCCATTCAAGGCTGGTTTCCGGGTGTCATATGAGAACTCGACATTTTCAAACATGATATCACCCTTGCAGAGTGGCAGGGGCCTGGCGCTGGGTCGATCGACCACGGTGGGCTGCTCCCTGAACAGTTCCAACAACCGCTCTGAGTTTATCATGGCTGACTGGATGGAACGGTAGAAGGTGCCGAAGAAGTTCAAGGGCCCTTGCAATTGGGCCATGTATGTGAGGAGTGAAACAAACTGACCAACATCCCGCTGTCCTAACGATACCTGATAAGCCGCGATAAAGCATGCAATCAGCAAACCTAGCATGAAAACAGTGTTCTGCGATGTATTCAGCAGATTGAGGGAGAAGAGAACGTGATATTCGGCCTTCTGGAAGTCAGACACGGCATTTCTGTATCTGCCAAATTCGTATTCTTCGGCATTGAAGTATTTCACGGTTTCATAAGAGACCATAGAATCGTTCCTAGCCATACTGTAAGCCTTGCAAAAAGAAGGAGTAACTGGTAATATCGAGTACTTACTTAACAGCGTCTTCTTGTCTGGACTTGTTGACCATCTCTCTGCGGATTTCCGCTCGCCATTGCGCCATCCGCACGGTGACGTAGAGATAGCAGAAAGTGACGATAGTCACCACGAGCGCATAATAAGCGTCTAGGAAGACAAGGAAGAAGACAATCGCAACACAGAGGTCAACCAACATAGGGACGACCTGAAAGGTTACTTGTTCGAGGAATGTGTTGATCGAACTGCCCTTGCTCAGGGCAGATAGCACTTCACCCGTCTTTTTCCCTAGGTGGAAATCGAGACTCAGACCGTGCACGTGCTCGAAAGCCGCTGTCGAAAGCTCCATGTAGGAGTACTGGCTCACAGGAATCCATAGATTAGACCGCAAAGAGCCGATAAGACCCTGGTTGCCCTGCAACCACCGGTAGAGAATGTAGAGACAGATGTTGAACCACGGGACTCGAAACTCGCCGTCTTGTTTGGAGAGCATGTTGGTAATGACACCTGCCTGGTAAGGAACCAGCACATTCACGATCCGTTGCAATACAATTAGCAGAAAGCAGATGACCACTACTATTTGCAAGCGACGGGATTTCGATGGCCACAGGTATGGGAAGAATAGTGAATAACCGCTGAGATACTCCCACCAACTAGTTGACGGAACTGTAGTCGGGCGAACCCACGGGTCGGTGGGCTTGGAAGCCTGCGCGTGACCATTCGTTGAGCCATAAGCATTCCCGTTTTCTGCGTGGTGGCCGTTGAGTAATCCCGTGGTCTCATTGACCCCATTGGCGTGACCATGAGCTCTTTTGGAGTTGAAGTTGATCGTATGAAACATGTACGACATGACCATAGCCATGAGGAACAGTACCCTGATACAGTTCAGGACCACCTCCGCCAACTCCCACGGCGTTATACCTTGTCTCAGGCGACCACCAACAGGATTCCCAACCACAGGTTCGCGGTGTACGTCGGAATAGATGGAGAGAGAGGTTCCTAGGATACCCAGCTCAATCGGAATCGCCACTAGCCATGGAATGAATTGGGCGAAGGTTGGAGAGGGGTTTGTATCCAACAGGGAGACAAGTATGATCGCGTAGTCGAAGAATGAGCCCACGACATAGATCTAGTGTCATTAGCGACGATGCCCCTCCCGTTTCTTGAGGTTCCAACCCAGGCTTGGGTCAGAACTAAAAACTGAGGCAAGGCAGAGGACTTACCACCACTGATTGGCCACACCACCAGTGTTCCGATCTTGCAATCATGACATGGGCCACATTAAGGGCACCATCTGCGGCAATTGTTAAAAGTACCCCGACAGACAGCCACTTGAACAACAATTTTGTGCGTTCCGAGAACCTTTGCGGTGCCTTGATCACGGTCATTGTACTCCGGGACCGTTTGGGGAGTGGTCGCCCACCGGGACCTGTGTGAACGGCATTGGCGTTCTTGTTCGCATTTCTAGCCGTAACAATGGAGCTGGCAATGAAGGAGGCGACAAATATGAGGAGCAGGATAATGGGCGACGCAATGCGCAAGTACGCCACCATATCGCGAGTTGCGTGTTGGTAACCCATGATGTGCAGTCCTCCCAATTGGCCGATATAGTATCAGTAGACCATTTAAGGTATTTCCATGACCCAGCGACCACCTTCTTCTTCTATATTGACACCGAAGACCGCAAGATGTGAAAGATCCGCAATCGGTAAGATGACGGGGGATAACTTGTTATAAAATGGGTAGGAGGCGAAAGCTGCTCTGAAGTTTGGCGATCGAAAGAGCCAAAAGTTGTAATGGACTGGGGGTGGATCGACAAACACGTGGGAAGAGTAGCCTCTTTTTCGATCTTCTATTAAGCTTAGGAATGGAGGAGAAATGTCTCTCCCTTAACCAAAAACGACAGACAGAATAAGAAAAGAAGAAAAAGAAAATGTCTCGTAAAGAAAAGAAAAGGGCAATGGAAGAGTCGGGGGTAAGAGGAAAAAAAAAAAAAAAGTTTTTGTTCAATAAGTACAGGAGAAGAATACAGATAGGCTAATCCCGAAACTATAAGAGGAGAGGAAAAGAACAAGATCCGGGAAAGACTTGCTTGCACCAGGGCAGATGGTATCAAGCAGGGAAAACAAAGAAGCCCCAGTAGGGAGGGGAGGCCAGCGGAAGAGAGGGAAGGAGAGGGAAAGACGGAAGAAAGAAAAGAGCAGGTAGGGAAAGACAGGACGAGAAGATAGCAAGAGGCAACACGCGAGAGGAAAGGATCGTTGGAGGATACAAATAGTAACTGGACGGTCGAGGAAGAATGACGGTGTGGATGCGAAAGCAGCAGTCGAGAACCCAGACTAGCCGGACCCAAAGCTACTCCAAGCTTGGTTGGCTTCGGAAGGCGAAAAATAGGAATCGGATCCAGCTGAACCAGAAGAAGGGGGATGGGATAAAATAAATTGAATTTATTTATTAGTTATTCTATATGAGCAAGAAGAAGGATAATTAAAATTAAATCAAATGATTTAAATCATAGGAACAGTCGCTCTTCATTTTTCCTCTTTTCTTCCAACGGTCGGTTTACTTTGCTTCTTTTTTATTCCAGTTCATTTCAATTTTTCTCTATTTTATTTTCTGAAATTCTTCGAGGATGATCAGATGCAAAATCGGAGGTTTTTATTTTATGCCTCTTGCTTTTTCTTTTTCGTTTTTTTCGTCTTTTTCGTCCTTTTTATTATTTTTTTTAATTAATTTCTCTTTCCCCCCATATTCCTTTGCATGCTGTTCCTCCCCACCATTGCTTAAATGTTACGTGTCGAGGAGCAAGGTGTGGCTAAAACAACCCAAAGTAGATAAATTAGAATTCATGGGGTGTTTTCTTGTCTTTCTTTTTCAAAAGGCGGAGAAAAGGACGGTGTGCTGAAATGTATGATCAAACTACAGTGTTGTTGTTGTTGTTGTTGTTGTTTGTACGTAGCTGTTTGTTAGTCCCATGAAGTAAGTACCTGCTGAGGCCTGTTCATGGCCGCTTCCTCGGGTCTGGGTGGATTTGACCAAATGATTCGTGCCCAATGGGAACAGGGGTTGGAATGAAGGTTCGAGTCTTGGGGTAAAGGAGGACAATTCGCCCGACGACGGTCACGAACCCTCAGAAAGCATTCAGGAAAGCATGGAAGCCTGTAATAAATGAATGACTACTAGATACTGCATAGAGTAGTTAGCTATACTAACTGTGGGGTACAAGAAAACAACTCTTGAGGCTTGATTGCTACATGATTCGAGCGAGACATACTTGTTGCATACATACATGATACCACACACACACACAGCTGCTACTACCACTGCGTACTGCGATAAAGTTATTATCCTATACTACCACCAGCTGCTAGATACTCCGTGCAGTAGCTACTAGCCAACCTGTGGGTGGAAGGGTTGAGATCGTTTGTGTAACCCTCGATAGAAGTGAAAGAAGAAACAGAAATCGACGATCTTTTCGGGACTCAGATGCAAACACCCACTGTAAAAAAGACGAAAAGAAAAGAAAAATAAGGGAAAGGCCAACAGGAGGGGGGTGGAAAAACTCAGGGCGTAAGGATAGTGGTGTGGTCGTGACAGATCTCGATGGAGGAGGGCGAGGCGCAGATCGATGCGAGAGGTAACCCGCAGCGGACGAATGATGAAGGGCCTGGCCTGCAACAGCAAATAGCCGTCCGGGGATTCCCTGGAAAGCTGTTTGCTGGGATGCCTGAGCAGCTCCTTGAATGGCTGCTGGCCTGCTGAGAGACAGAAGGACACATCACTCCTGCTGGCCCCCTTCCCACGATCTTACCGGTCCCCTTGGTTAGTATATATGAATATGGATCATTTTTGATTGATCGAGTCCTCATTCATAACCATGATGCAGGAGGGACGATCGTTTGGTGCGTAGGTGGCTGACAGCTTCAGGGACGGTTTCCAAAAGGAAATGTGGTCCGGTCGCTTTCTCCATGGTGAGCGCGAATTCCAATCCAATTTCCTCCCGCAAGGTAAAAGTAGACAGCAGCAAAGACCGATCAGGTTAATTGGGAGAATAGGGCGGAGAATTTCTTGCTTCAAGGGCAACGCAACACCATGATCATGGTGTCCGTTATTATCACCCGACCAAAAAGTCCCCTCCTCCGCTGTATGACCCAGCAGTCGGTCGCAACAATGCGGGGAGGGCTGGAACCGATCATGTTCTTCAAGTTGAGGATGCATCGCCATTGCCATTTCGACGAGTCATTCCTGGTACTAGTCTTTTAGCTTGTCCCACCCAGAAGTCCCGAGTGTCCGGATGATCTAAAACCGCGCCTGGAACGTACGGCCCTGGATGCGCCTCTTCCCCTCCACCCTCCTTAAAGTAAGACATGACATGACTACCACTGCCTATCGGTTTCATGGGGCTTGAGTAACTTATTTCTGGTGTTGCATGGTAGAGCATCCGATAGGTGGATACTGACTAAAATAAGCACGTTGCTGGGGGATGGTCAAACAACCCTCGACAGCTCCAGCTGTAGCCTCCCAGCTGCACTGTTTATCCTCTGACGTATTTCTTGACAGTCAAGTTCTGTTGACTAACTAACTAAAGTGCCAGAAGCTAACTACTTTGTCAGTAGTCGTCATGGAGCCGATCGAACCCATCCACCGTTGAATCCACACCGCCTTAACACTACCTGCATGCAGGTTGGATTTCCTCCAGCCTTTCCCAGTCTGCACCCGTCCATCCTTCCGTCCATCCAGAACGGTTATCCGAAACCAACCATTCGATGGCTTTTTAACCAACCCATGGTAACCCTCGAGAGTAGCGTCAATCTGGCGATAGATACATGCTGAATGTTTGTCTGGACGGGCCTAATGCTGTAGTACTTTTGACAATCCCCCTACTAGGAGGGAGGGGGAAAAGGGAGAAGGAAGGCGCTGGACAAGTCTACTTTTGACTTTTGTGAGTTATCAGCTGAACAAATCGAATTTGTAGAATTGCTTTTGTCTTGCTTCGTCCATTCCCTTCTTTCCTGGAAACCGCTGCTTGTGGATGTCTCTGGTCATGGATCTCGCATCTCACTTTCTGATTCTGGGGGAGGACGGACGAAATAAGGAACCAAGATGGAGAGGGATATGGCACGCTAAACCCACTGAGGAGCTGCACATCACGGGGTGTTGCCACGCTGGAGTGGGTTACCTAATAATACACTAATACACTAATTAGTACACTAGTACCCAGTACCCAGTACACCAGCTCCGAAACCGGACTAGACTCCATCGGGAGGGAAAGGCCCGGATGGGAAATTGAGGTTCAGATTATGGATCGGGTGTCAAAAGCAAAGGGTGGGAATGGACTACTGTCACGTCTTGATTACGGCTATACAACTCATGATTATCGTTCTGTAGAGGTTATAGTACAATGGAAGAAAGCTTAGCAGCAGAAGAGCTGTGTTTTTTGATAACTACCAGTAGACCTCTGAATCGTGAGAGCTTTGATCAACTGAAGTATAGGTTTAACAGTAACAACCGACCAAAGGTAGTAGTCAACTATGATGGTTCTCACCCAATATATATTTCAACATATTGTTACTACCCATAGTACTGTAGTAGTGGTAGAGATTTCAAGTCTACTAAGTAGCAGTACTAGTTAGTAGTATAATCTCCACTGCATAGTTTACTTGCATGGTGCAGGCTGCCTGAAATTATCTCCACTCAATTCATCTTTTTCCGTGAGGGAAGTGAGCTGGAAAGTCACCAGTTCAACCTCATCACAACACAAACTACCGAACTTCAGCCCATCCACATCCTCACCTCACCCAAACTCCGCCTCCCCCTTTCCTTTTTTTCTCTTTTCCCTTTCCCCACCACCACCACCTTCTTCTCTTTTCAGCAACAAGTTTTGTACTTGTCATCGGAAACCCATTCGTTCACCAGGATGGAGCCCCGATCGCTGTCGGGTTAAAGTGTTCTGTGGCTGAGTGTGATCTCTTGACACCTCCAAGCTGGCAATGATGTCCGACTTCTCTCGATTGCCCGCCCGAGGCAGCTCCTCGCCAGCACCGCCGCCTCCCCCACCACCAGCTCCCGTGCAACAGAGTCACAAATATTCCAACCGCGCGGCCAGTGCTCTGGCAAGATTCGCCCAGCCCTTCTTCTCAGGGTCTCGACCTCCTAGTCCGCACACGGCGGGAAGTCGTGCAGATTTGTCTGCTGGTCCCCGTTCAACAAGGTCCAAGTCATTGTATAGCTCGCCTTTCCCTTCCCCCCCCTCTCCCTCCCTTAGCACACCTACATAAATCACTCTTTATTAGCTACCCACTTTGTTTTACTTACTACTAGCTGACCCCATCCCCCCTACCCGCTTTGTCCCTTGCTTCTTTATTTGGATCCCCTCCAGTTTCACCCGATTCGCCGCCTTTCACACGCTTTCCATGCTAGATCATGCCCCATCTTCTTCTTGCGAGAATCTTTACAGACCCTCATACTGGGAGGAGGAAAAAGTAAAAAAAGAAAGAAATTGATCTCTAACATCTTCCCTAGACCTGGAGCATCCCAGACTGTTACGCATAAGACTGGTATTCCTATTGCCGCTCTAGATATCTCCCCGCAGCGGACACATGCAGTCATTGGCGGAAAGGAGATTTTGAAGACCATCCGCGTCTCGCCTGATCATTCATCCGAGGAATTCAATCTCCGCAATGCTATCATCAGTTATTCATCCACTCATCATGGTGGAAGCGGACTCTCCGCCCGGCATAAAGACCAGCTGACTGTGAGAGATGTCAAGTGGTCACATGGTGAGTATGACCAGATTATTGCCACGGCGGTGGCCAATGGCCGCATCGTGGTGTATGATCTGCGCCGAACTGGCTTGGAATGTTGCCGATTCCAGGGCCACAGCCGCCAGGTCCATCGGTTAGCCTTCAACCCGCACCATGCGTCATGGCTTCTGTCGGGGAGTCAGGATTCTTCCATTCGAATGTGGGACTTGCGGACAGCTTCTGCGGAACGTGGCGTCTTGGTGTGTGGGAGTCTGGATCTGTTCCACGGTAACAGTGATGCCGTCCGGGATATCAGGTGGTCGCCAACCGACGGGGTCATGTTTGCGACTGCAACAGACAGCGGAGCGATACAACTGTGGGACTGCCGCAAGTCAAGCGCTCCGTTAATGCGGATTACTGCCCATGACCGCCCGTGCTTCTCGGTAGATTGGCATCCTGATGGGAGGCACATCGTCAGCGGTGGTACGGATAGACAAGTGAAAGTCTGGGATTTCTCTTCTTCTGCCGAACGCCGACAGAAGCCGACTTTCCAGTTTCGGACCCCTCAGGCAGTCCTCAACGTCCGATGGCGTCCACCTTCGTGGGCTAGGGAGCCGGAGGGCTCTGGTGATTGGCAGTCATCTCAGGTAGTGACATCTTACGACAAGGAGGACCCGCGAGTTCATCTCTGGGATCTCCGCAGGCCACACATACCGTTCCGCGAATTCGATCGGTATGATGCTCACGCGACCGACTTGCTCTGGCATTCCAAGGACCTGTTATGGACAGTAGGTGAAGCTGGCGCTTTCACTCAAACTGATATTCGATACGCTCCCCAGATTATCAATCAACGCCCGACATGCTCGGTGGCTTGGAGTCCGAGCGGCGAAGTCCTAGCCTTCGCCCAGAAACGTCCCCAGCGTAGTACTCTAGGCCTCAGCACTAATGAGTTCGTGGGCCCTCAACACGAAGAGCACAATAGTGGTGAGGTTTTGAGTCAAAGCCCTGCAGAAGATGTTCTCGATGAGCCTTCGTTCGCTTCTATCCGCCATCGGCATAGCAAGTCGAGTAGTGTTCGGCCGTCTAAATCCTTAGGCAGTACTCCGCCTGGTGTGGGAGATCTCATTCCTATCCTCCCACTAGAAAAGGTCCTTTCAAAGATTAAAACCCCCGAGGCACGTCAGATCGGAGCAGTTGGATGTATTCCGGGAGCTACACTGGATCGAGATACCTTTCAATACTTGGCGTCCAATTACTCTTCTTTGCTCGATGGTGCTGATGCAGTCCGCATGGACAAGCTATCGTCCATGCTCGAATCACTCAACCACAATGCACAGTGCTCGGAGGACGCTTCTTTGCTCAAGCTAGCACAGACTTGGCGCATTATCAAATTTGCTGTCGTCCAAGAGCTCGAGACCAGAGCCAGAGAGCAACGTCGCAACTTAGACAAGGGGCCTCGCACCATGAAGAAAAAATCATCCAAGGAGGGTCCTGTTTCAGAGAAACCACGGGTGATTGAAGATGGGAGACAGGACAAATTGAAAACCCGAATGTTCAAGGGTGTGGTGGAGAACGAAGCATTGAAGATCCCGCTGACAGACTCTGAAAGCGCGTCAAATATGACGACGCCTCTCGCGCAGCCATTGCCTGACTCCCCTCTTGGGTCTTTGGACAGCACGACTTCGCATATGACGTCTTTGAATGACAATACGGAAATGAAGCCTCTTCCACCGTCGGTTCTTAGCTCTAATCAGGGCACCATGACTTCAAATGATTGGTCATCGATGTCAGATGTCGATCCACAACCAGTCCATCAATTACAACACCGTCAATCTGATGCTAGTGAAGATGTCTCTATCCCACCTGACAGTTTGCCTTCCGAGCGGGGACGTGCCCCGGTGCTTCAAGATACTGCGGATGACCAAAGATCTGCACCTCGAGCCATCTCTGGCAGAGCAGATTGGCATTTGAAAACGCTTGGGAGCGCTTCAAAGGGGACTTCTGAAGTAGATGAATACGATCAGAAAATGGAGGACAAAAAAGCAGCTATTCGCGACTATAGGATCTTTCCCAAGAAGGTTCTCTCACTAGAATCTCCTATGGTGCCTATTAAACCGCCTGGCTTCCACCGGCATGAATCATCGGAGAGCTTCCCTATGTTCTCAGCCTCCACAGAGAGCTCCCATCCGTCCAAATCAATGGCCACCTCCTTATCTTCGGCAGCGAGACTGTATGAGGCTCGCGAGGATGGAGATGTTGGCCAGGAAGCGGCTACTGCAGAGCCTAGTAACAGCTATGTTGAAGTCAAGGAGTCAGTCCCAAAGGCTACTTCTGTAAACGAAAAAGAAACCCAGGGCTGTGAAACACTGGAAGGTATCCCTGATTCAGAGAATACACACCTCGAGCGACCGTCTAGCCCCCCACCTCTATTGAAAGAGAGTCGGCCCTTGAATGTTCCTAGTCAAGAAGATGAAGATTCAGTGCACACCAACCCGACAGCCACTGGAGGAACTAGTGAGTTGTTTGGCGTGACTATTCCTGTCAGTCCTGACGTGACAACGAACAAACCCTGGAGCGTCGAGATGCTTTTCAAAGAGGCAATTCGACACTACCATAGTGGGAACCATGTGGACATTCAGTCTGCTGCACACTTACTGCAGAAGCTACGAATCCTTTTTAAAGATTGCGAAAAGATTCTTCCCGATGAGGAGGCAGAATACATATTCAGAGCTTACAACGAACAGTTGGTGCGCCAATCAATGTACATTGAAGCTGCTGAGCTTCGGCTTTTATGTGTCCCATCTTACCCAGCAGTCTATGAGTACGCCCAGGGGGACACTTTCATGAACGTGTTCTGTTTCACATGCAAACGTCCTTATGAAAACCCAAAGAGCGATAATACGCGCTGTCATCGTTGTAACACTCCTCAGGAGCCATGCGCTATCTGCATGAGCCTTGATCCGCCACCTGAGTGGGTTGCAGAGCTCTCGAATGCATCCGCTTATTCAACTCCAGAGCTGACTTCTGAGGCTACATCACACGCACTTTCATCATCACATTCTTCATTGAAAACCGAACCCATTCCCCAGAGTGAATTGCAGCATCTGGATAATCTTCTCTCTGATCCATCACAGCGCCCTCGACCAAAAGGATCCACACTCTGGACCTGGTGCCAGGGCTGCGGCCACGGGGGCCACTTGGCTTGCATAAGCACATGGTTAAATGATGTCTCCATCAGTGAAGGAGGTTGCGCTACTCCGGGATGCATGCATGATTGCGGTCCTGGCCCGCGTCGCGAACATAACCGCTCCGTCCTCCTAGAGGAATCAAAGAGACGTGACACTGCCGGCCGAAAAGCCGGTGTAGGCTTAATCAAACGAGATACGTGGACTAAAGGAGAAAGCAGGGCCGTCGAGAAAGTTCGCGGCATGCTAGGCGTTGGTGCATCAGCTGGGAGCGCTTCCACAACAGCTACCACTGCAACAAGTGGTGGGCCTAGCGGGGCTTCCACTAGCACTATGTCGCCCAAGAAGGTGCGTTTGATAACGCCCAGTGAGCAGGGTCAACCGCGTCGAAGTGGTCCGCGAACTAGTCTTGGAGGCATGAGTGGGCTCAGCGGTTAAGGTAAGGCGCTTTTTGTTCGCTCCCTAGATGTATTGTAGGGGGTCCGAACTATGTTATTTCTTCTCTTTTTCTCGAATTTGTTTGTTGAGCCTGCTATTTTGCGCTTTTGCAGATACCCGATTGTTGTCGGTTCTGGCGTCTTGGGGGGTGAAGTCTAGATTGCGGTGGCCTGATATGTCTGATAGCGCGTGGTTGATGAGCAGGTATTTTATAAGTGTGTGTGTGTGTGTGCGCTACATAGAATCGATTTCACATACTGGATGCTGTTTCAATACGAAGAAATGAAATTTCCACCACCTTTTCGTCCATCGTAAATACTCAAAATCATCAGGACAAAACCTACATACAGCGCTTCTTTGTTCCTCACAACAACATATACAGCAAGCAAGGAAATATGTCCAGAGATCATCCCCAATCTCCATCCCGGTCATAATATGTAATCTTGACCAAAATCCCCCTCTTTTTTCCAAGATCGACTTGGTATGTACAGTCATCACCCCTGATGATTATTCCACCCCCTTCCCCTCCCCCTTCCTGAAACTGCTGTGGTAAATCCCCCCGAGCAGACAACCACGTGCCTATCCGCCCTCAGGTAGGATATAAACAGATAGCTCCAGCAGAAAAGTAGCTTAAAACTTCCGCTTCTTCTTAGCAGGCGCCTTGCTCTTAGCTTCAAGCTGTCTCTTCAGCTCTTCCCGCTTCCTGTCCGCTTTTTCTTCCTCTGTTTCTTCCTTCTCCGGCTCTGCGGGTTGTTCGTCCAGAGCTGGTGCAGGGGATGGTGGCCCTGAGGACTGCGTTGCTGTAGCTGCTGGCGACGACGTGGCTTGCTTTTCTCCCTTTCGGCCGCCTATCACTCCTAGACTGTGGGACTTCGTCTGGGCTTTGGTCGATGATTCGGCTTCTGGTGGCGGCGATGATGGTGGGGAGGCTTGCCTTGCTTTGCCCTTACCACCTATGACGCCGATCCCCCGGGGTTTTGACTGGAGTTTACTGGATGATTCGGGATTTGGTGATGCTGGTGGGGAGGCTTGTTTTTCGGCTTTCTTGCCACCTATCATACCTATTTTGCGGGGCTTTGTTTGACGGTTTGAGGGCGGCGGTGAGGGTGATGGAGAGGGATGATTGTCGTCGTGGTCGTCGTCTGTCTCGTCGGCTGTTTGGTCGCTGTCTGCTTGGGTTGCGGGGGCCTTGCGTCTTGGTATCGCTGCGTCGACATCTGCTAATGCTGGTGATGTTTGAGGCGATTCTGGTTGTGGGGGCTGTTTTCTGATGCCTCCGATCGTTCCAAGGCCCCTGGAATTGTTTCGTGATGCCGGAGACTTCGCTGTACTTGGTCCCCCATTTCGATCTTCAAGGTCATCTTCACTTTCTGTTGCTGTGTCCTCGCCTAGCCCTGAAGGGGGAGTTTGGTGGTTCGGCTGAGGTCTGAGTCTCGGAGGGGTCTCTTGTCGCTGAAATGCGAATTATGAATACAAGGCACTGCATTGTGTGGGAAAGGTACGTACCTCAAAATCATCGTCATCGTTATCGTCAAAGTCATCCTCAGTCTCCAAACCACCGTCCGTAGTGTCCATGTTCGTCGAGTCCTCCGGGGTCCTGGCATCTACGGCTTCGGTGTTATTGTTAACGGTGGACATCTTCCTCCACCATCCTTCTGATGGCGCGCTGAGATCTTCGAGTAGCAGAAGATTATCATCAAGGGTAGAATCTTCTGTTTCTTCCAAAATGGTGGATGCGAATCCGGTCTCAGATGTTATCGCGTTGTTCTCCTCAAGCCAAGCATCCTCATCGAAAGGTCTCGCTCCACTAATATACTTGGCGGCCTGTGACTGCGTTGAGCCCTTGTGGTTGGCCCTGAGTCCGGGGATACTAGGGAAGATAGTGCTGAGATCAAGCCCGACGGCTTCAAGCTTATCGAGTAGCTTTGACAGCAGCCAATCCTTCCGTTTAACAACTTCGATTAGTTCCCGCTGGCGCAACTCCCAGGCAGCCTCAGACTTTATATGCGGGATAAGCAGTTGAGTAGTCGAAAAGCGCTGTTTCTCTCTAGCCATGTAGAAATTCCACTTCAGAGGCTCAAGTGGGGCCGGTAGGCTTGTTGTAGTGGTCAGGTGTAGGGTATCATTCTCCCGTCCACGCCTTAGTACAGTGCTGGTACCCGGGTCATTGCGCAAGGCCTCCCCTAATTTCTCCAGAAGTATATTGAACTGATCTATGTCTTGGCTGGGGTCAATTGTCGCATCCTCTTCAACGGCTCTTCCCAGAATATGCTGGCGGTTGGGACGCTCGGACCAAATATACGTGAGATCGGTTAGGTACAACTCATATCCATCTCTGAAAAGGGTGTATCTATAAAATAGAGGTGGCACAGGCGCACGATTTGATATGTGCAGTTTCTGCCACCGCGCAGACATCTCTCGAGTGTCGCTTGCGGGTGTTTTGATGGGTGGTTCCAGAGTAAATAGATGGAAAGGTGTGGGAAGCTCCTCCAGGCTTCCCTCCCGCGGTGGATCACATGGAGCCGCTCGGGGCACGTGGCCATTAGGGAAACTTTGCCGGTCGCTATACCTCCCATCCTTGGCGCGCGACCACCCGTTTCTCCAGAAAGCTTGGAAGAAACTATGTCAGACCTCGCGGTTCTGGGCCTCTTCGCATCCATCTTTGAGATAGTTAACAACTGATCTTTCGTTACTCACCGATACACTTGGTTTCTTCGGAAACCACGTTGAAAAAGCGCCATAATGGCATATCGAATGCCCGATCGCACGGGTTCGAAGCGAAGTCGGTCTCGATCGCCCTCCTCGCGCCATTCCCAAAAAGCCCCGCGCAGATATGACGAAACGGATCGGTATCGCGATAGAAGAGATGGAGATGAGCGGTCATCGCAGAACCGGCCTCGGAACATGAGGGATCAGGTCCGACTCAATCAGCTTCAGGAAGACGAGCAAGTGCGGGAATGGGTGGCGCAAGAGGACATTTTCGTTCTCAAGCAGGCGAAAAAGAAGGCAGAGATCAGAGTGAAAGAGGGACGGGCAAAGCCGATTGACTGGCTCACTGTCACATTACGGGTGATTGACCCAACAAGGAATCCTCTTGACGATGAGATTGCGGACTCGGAGCTCGATGTAGTAGATCCGGATGGTGTATTCGAGGGACTATCCCAGGACCAGCTACTCGACTTGGAAAAGGATATCGACACATTCTTGAGTCTTGAGAAGAACTCGCAAAATAGGGATTTCTGGAAGGTATGGTTCTTGCACTATGGCATGCTATTTGGACTACGGGCTAACTTACTGTCCTTATTGCAGACCATGAAAGTGATTTGTCGAGACCGTCAGAAGACCACCGCTCCCGAAGGTCGTGCGCTTAGCTCCGTGGCCGCAGATATAAACAGGTTATTGAGTCCTAAGTCTTACGAACAGCTACAAACACTTGAGATACAGGTCAGGAAAAAGCTGGACTCCAACGAGCCTATCGATACCGACTACTGGGAGGAGCTTCTGCGCAGCCTTACTGTATGGAAGGCTCGGGCGAAGCTGAAGAAGGTCTACCAAGCCGTCATAGACGAGAGGGTTCGTGGGTTGCGTAAACAGCAGTCTGAAGAAGCTGCGTCTGTGCGGGCCAAGCTGGCCCCTCTGGCGCCAATTATCCAAGCAGCCCCAGATGCGGTTGATAGCGGGGAATATCGTGAACTCGACCCTGACCCATTGCTTCAAATCCGACCGGAAGATAAAGTCTTGGAGATAGTGGACGAAGATGCATTCCTTAACCAAGTGGTAGGCTACACTTCCTACTGCACAATGTTGCCGATACTGACCTCTTCGTAGGCTCGCGAGCGACAGAAGATTTTGAAGATGGGCTATGTCCCTCTCCGTCAACGGCAGGCAGAAAAGCCATCGGCGCTTCCCATCAACCAAGCAACGACCGCCCCAATTGCCACAGCCTCGACTCGATTCTCCTCGATTCCTAATGAAGACTTCTCACAGGCAACCAAGGCGCTCTATGAGCGAGAGTTGGCCAAGGGAGTCAGTGAAAACGAGGAGATTTTTACCGGTGAGGAAGCTGTGAGCACAACTTCCCAGCCACAATGGGCGAGCAAACACCGGCCCCGCAAACCACGGTACTTTAACCGTGTTCAAATGGGTTATGAGTGGAACAAGTACAATCAGACTCATTATGACCATGATAACCCGCCCCCCAAAGTCGTGCAGGGGTACAAGTTCAATATTTTCTACCCTGATTTGATCGACAAGACAAAAGCACCGACCTACCGCATTGAACGAGAGCATGGACGAAAGCGGGGACAATCCTTTGCAGCGGCTGGAGAGGAGGATACTTGTTTGATTCGTTTTATGGCCGGTCCGCCGTATGAGGATATTGCCTTTCGGATCGTTGACAAGGAATGGGATTACAGCGCGAAGAGGGAAAGAGGTTTCAAAAGCACATTTGATAAGGTATGTCCTGGACACGAGGAAATTAGACAGGAAGAGTCTTACAGGAGATCTAGGGAATTTTGCAACTGCACTTCCAATTCAAGCGAGTGAGTTATTTCGTGTCGCTCAGGCCCTAGCATCTGGCATATACTGACAATGTTTCCCAGATATACTACCGGAAGTAATTTGTTGTCGCTCGAAGGATTTGTACTGGACTACTGTGATGTACAGTGTTGGTTGGGATGGGACTGACGATCTTGGTTCCACCACGCTCGGGGTCCGTTGTCCGTCACCGGCCCGCCTACCGCAGAGGTCAACCTTATTGGGCTGGAAACTTTAACTCCCTCCTACGGCATTGGATCCCATCTCGGCCAAGCTAGGATATATCATATTGATATGAAACTACATTATCGGATGTCGCAGATCAAAGTTTCCACATGCGCGTAGCGGGCCATGCTTAAATGAACCGCATTCCTTCATCTCTTCCCCATTGTGCCTTGCGATCTCTATCCCACTCCGTGGAACCCGCCACTGGTTCCCAACTTGTCAAATGAGTAGTCTCGCCATCTGGGGACTGTCGGTCTGCCTATTAAATGGGACTTAATGCTACATATTTCTAATCTTATTTCTAAATAGCCTGGTCTGGCTTGATTCGTATCGCCTCCGCGGACGAAGGAAAGGCCGCAACTGTGGTGCGGGTTTTCCAAGATGTCAAACCATGCCACCCTGCTGCATGTTCCTCTCATGGTTTCGGCTGGTCGGGGAATCGGGAATAGGTTGGAATATCTGGGAAAATTTGCTCTTTGGTCTTCTATTTTTCCCAAGTGCTGATGGCTCTTGCTAGGAAAATGGCCCAATAGCAAGTCCTCAGGAGTTCGTTCTGCACCCGACCTTTGTTCAGTCGGTCGTGGTTAGCGCAATTATCGCAGGCCTCCTGCAGGTGGCCGCCATTCCCAAAGCTACCCACTCCAACCCCCGTCGGTCCAGTGTTATAGTAGCCCACCAAAGTACGGCCATGACAGGCCCCCCTGTAAGCACCAGGTTCATTCTCTTTTTCGGCCCACTGAAGTTCATTGGCCACAGCTGCACCGCTAGATCGCTGTTCCACAACCTGATGGCGATTCCCGCGGTAGAAACGAAGCTACTCCGGCCAGAACCTCCCCTAGAGCACATGCTGGAAACACACACAGAGAGAGAGAGAGAGAGAGAGAGAGAGAGAGTGTGTGTGTGTATGAGAGAGTGAGTGAGTGAGAGGCTTTTCTTTTTATTTTCCTGTTTGATTTTGTCGGGTTACTTTCTAATCTTTTCGTTTTTATTTTATTCTATCTCAAGTTATTTTATTCTTGTCCTTATTTCTATTTTTATTTTTTTTATTTTTCCATTTTATCTTATTCGTTTTTTTATTTTCCCTTCTTTTAATTTCGCGTTCAAGTTCTATTCAAGTCATTTTCGTTCGCGGGTCATATTTTACCATTTTACCCCAATTATCGTTTCTTTTGCTGCTTCTGGGGTTCGTCGGGCAAATCTGCCACCATCTTATACATAGAGCCACGGTTGTTTGTCAGGAAAATGCATCGCGCTGGCTGGCTTCGTGCAGCAAGGAAGAAGGAGGGAGAAACAAAAGTAAAAAAAGAAAGAAAAAGAAAAAAACAGAGAAGAATATCTTATGAGCTGGTATTTCTTTCGCCTCACAGCTCCAAGTGAACTATAGAGTCTCCTCGTCCTGAGTGGTCACACGTCTTATATATTTATTTTCTAGCCAACCCCTCTTGCTTGACCTCCCCATCTCACAGGGCTTTCTTCATCTACCTGGCACGTTTTGTGTACCCTCGCTTCCCCATCTCACTCTTATTCTCCTTGTATTGATCTCTAGGCATTACCTTGTCAGGCCAGAGCTTCTGAAACGGTTTGTGAGAATTTTGATTCTTTGTGAGGACGACATGGATCGTTTCTACCCCCCTCATGGCTTACCCTCGGATTCACATCCATTTGGCCGTGGGCTTGGTGATTTCACCAGACAAACAGAGACCGCTTCCACTTCCGTCTCGGATGGCGTTCGTTTGGACCCTTCTCACCATCGTGATCCCTGCTCGATAATCGGGAACTGGACGTGTTCCAGCTCTGCAACTAGCCCTGGAGAGCCGACGTTACTGTCTCCTCAGCACCAATATCCATGGAAGATGACACTGCCCCCATCACTACCAGCTCCGAATTCTCTACCGGAACGAGGGTTGCCTCGCTTACTTCCATCTCATCGCCTTGAGACACCTGCCACACCGTCCTCGTTGGCGGCAGCTGGTGGCCCCAGGATGAGGCAACTTAAGCCCGAACTACGGCGCCTTGAGGACAGAAGAGCACCATCAGACTGGCTACGTGAGCCAGGATCCATCTCATCATGCTCGCATGAGTCTACTTCTTATCGCACACCGTCGGGGATGTCACGGTCAGATGCTTGTGAAACGGCTTGTCCTACAGCGAGCTTGCCACCACCGTCACCAGCAATCTCGGCGCTAACCTACTCTTCGCTGAAGCTGGAAACGCCGGACTCTCCCGACAGTATTGATGATAAACCGTATTCTAAGCTTATCGAAATGGCCCTCAAGACCAATCCGGAAATGAAGCTGTCCCTTCAAGGGATTTACAACTGGTTTGAACAAAACACAGCAAAGGGGAGAGATCTCAGCTCGAAAGGCTGGCAAAACAGTGTACGGCACAACTTGTCTATGAACGCAGTGAGTCCGCCTGATCTTCCTACTTTCCTTGCTTCATTATTGATCACTGGATACTAAGAAGACATTACTATACTATAGGGCTTTGAGGCAGTCCGGGAAGAACCGATACCCGGAAAGAAGGCTGTGAATTACTGGCGCTTAACGACTGAAGCCATCAAGAATGGCGTCCAATCCACCACCCGGTACAGGAAGCAGGCGAGTTACAGAAAGGCCTCGAGCTCGGATCCACCGGCGCCTCAACGCCAGCGATCCGGGGCCAAGGGAGGGAAAGCTACTAAAATCAAGTCAAAAGTTCGTGGGCGGATGAGCGAGGACGAGTTGCCCAAAGGCAGGTACCACCCACGAGTGACATCACGACCGCGACCGACGAAGAATGTGTTCACTCATTACAATACGACAGCGGTAACGTTGACGGGGATTACAGTCATGTCACCTTTCCATGTCTCCGGACTGACCACGTCGGGGACTCGCTTATCCAACGAGCCATTCGATTTGGGGAGCGTTGTTGGCTGCGCAGATCCCGCTCCATGTCCTCCCCTTTTTTGCGACATGGCGGGACCAGGGCCCGACTGTGTTGCGTTGGACTCAGGCTTTCTCGGCTGGGGAGCAGCCGTCCACTCGTTTCCTACTGGCTTGCTGGCTGGCCCCGGAATCTCCACGGATCTCCAGATGGGAGTATAGCAGAAGCTCGGTGCAACAACACTAGATCGATAGAAAGACTTTTGGCTGACTTGCATAGTTGGGTGTCTTGTACTTGATTGATAGCCTGCCTGGCTTGGGGTCTTAGGGCGATGCATTGTCCCGTATCAAAGTTTCGAATTTTCTCTCCTTTATTAATATTTCCTTCTTCTGATTATCATCACTACCCTATCACGATCCAGTTATCATTTCTTATTCATCTGACATTCGATCTTTAAGTCATATGTAAACTTGTCACTGTCTTCCTCTTATTTATCCTGAGGCCAAGTAATAAGGTGCCACCCTTCATTGATCTTGAACAGGGACTCATCAAGAGTGCGAAATGCGAAGAGCTGTAGCGCTTCAAGTTCACAACCATTTTCTTTTCTTTTCTTTTTCTTGTATTAATCTTATTTTATTGTCTTATATTTCATATTTATTATTTATTGTTCGATTTTCTATGTCTTATTTTTCTTTAATTTATTTAGCTAATTATTTATTTATCCTACTTCAATTTTCCTCTTTTTGTTTCCCGCTAAGACATTCCGGGCGGGTTACCAAACGGAACGGGTGTAAGGAAATGGTGGGAATATGCAGGCCATGATGCTAACGCCAACCGTGATAAATACATGATCGCCTATAAGGCAAAATGCACGCATAGAGAAAAATTGGTTGAGAAGCATGAGACACGAACGACTTGGCTCAACCGGACCCCGGCAAGAATGCCGCTATATCTGATTTCATGTCAACGTCGGAGCAGCACAAATCACGAGCTGTTGGGCTTCAGGGCGAAGCTGGGCTCGTCCGTTTCCCCCTCAGGCTGTCAGAAAGACAGAAAATCACGAAAGTCTGGTAGCTCACCTGCATGCAGGGCATGCAGGCAGCATATCCGGCGTATCTTCGTTCTTCCACCCTTCCATCCGCCTTTCTTTCGGCCCCAGTGCCTTTTTTTTTTTTTTTTTTTTTTTTTTTTTTTTTTTTTTTTTTTTTTTTTTTTTTTTTTTTTTTTTTTTTTTTTTTTTCTTTTTTTTTTTTTTTTTTTTTTTTTTTTTTTTTTTTTTTTTTTTTTTTCGCGCCAAAATTTCGTTTCTTTTTAGTCCATCGATTTGCCCGTTATCCTTCCTTCAATCGGAATGGGTGCCCAAGGGATCTACTGATTTCCAAGCCCATCGCTCTTCCAAATCTCCTGCTGCCCCTCCTTCGTCTTCCCCTCCCCACGGACTAGACGCGACTAAGTCTTTCGTCCCTTGTCACTTGCTTAGCGACCACTACCATCGTCTCCTCTTCCTCCTCTCGCTACCGACGACTCATAATTGCGTACAGCACTACTTATCATCCGAAGGACTTGTCGGATCTAGACACTCTTATTCGATGGAAGAAAGAGCCGCCCTCCTCTGCTTCCAATCAGGAACCTTGACGCGGCAGGTCTGCAATGGTCTTGTCCTTCAATCTCTCGTGATTGATCTTCATACTTACCCACGCGGTCAATTTCCGTTTTAATTGGACAGTAGTAGGATATCAGCATTGCTTCTTGCCAGTGGCATGATACAAACCTAATTAGTACCTGACAGGCAGCACCCTAGCTTCGGTTGCTGCACTTTTTTCTTTCTATCTCGAACCGCTTATGCTCCCCAGCTGTCTACTGTCCTCACCAACAGTAAAGGTCCAGAGTATCGATTTTAAAGCCAGCAAAGTCTACGCATTGCAAGCACTCTAGTAGCAATAGCTACTGACTTAGCTTCCTGTCTAGTGCGCGACTTTCTCATACACCCCCGCCTTCGGTCTCCATATTTCGGAACGGGTAGCCAACGAGCAGGATGGGAATGGTTTGAAACAATAAGCAAGACCAAGGATTCGGACCACCGAGTGCCCGCTCATGAGACACGGCTGTCCCCCAAAGAACCCATGTTGCCAAGCATACTGGCTTGTAATGGTCGTCTGCAGGATGAAAAAGACGGGGCCTACGAGGTTATGAAGGGCACTAGAGTAGCATGCTTGCTTAGCTACTACTAATCGCTGCATGACAGTCGCAGACGTGTGGAGTTGTTGCGAGAATATTGATTAGGGTGAAAACTCGTTCTACGCCTTAGTAAGAAGGTACCTAGCATGACAACGCCCGCCAGACTTGGTGTCATGTTCACTCTAGCAGATGCATGAGCTTCTTCCTGCAGACGGTGGAAATCTCGATCCCAGTGGTGGGACTCTTCTGAGGGTCAAATCAACGCAACTGAGAATGATCTGGCGTGACCGGGCTATCTTGCCGGTTGTCGCTCTCTAAGTGTGCGGAACGCTCAGCTCTCAGCTCAGGAGCCAAAAGCTACCTAGCTAATCAGGAGAGGCATTGTCTTCCTCCCCATTCCGCATATATCGGGCTGCTTTACCTTTTACTCGCTTGGGAGTAGCGCCCCTCTGCGATTACACCCCGAGAAACGCCGGGACTAGATCGTTGCGGTCCTCTGCCTTGCAAGGTTTCCCTGGTCGTGCATTCCTTTTTCGGCCTCTTGTCTTGGTTTTGCTTTTTCGCTTCTTCTCCGTTGTCTTGGTTTCTTGTCTTTCTCCTCATTTCCTGGGTGGTGCTCCTTCCCTTTCTGCCGTCCTTCACATCAGTGGATATCCTAGGCGGCTATTAAACTTTGAATTTGCGCGCCCGTCTTCTGTAACTTGGTGTGACAGCGCGCAAAAAGTACCTTACTGGCCCCATAGTCATTACGTTAATGTGACTTTTTGACTTTCGAAAACGGGCCGCGCCGAATGTTTAAGGCTAATCGGCAACAGTTCGGTGCCCACCAGCATGGACGGTCGGATGGGATGCATCCGCAAGTGAGCACTATGCTTAAGCACGCTTGGGCCATATAAGGGAAATTTCATGTGGCACCTTGACAAGTAGATTAACCAAGACGCTGGGTTGAAGTCTAGAACTGCGTCAGACGGGGGGGTCCGATATACTATCACCATGGCTTGACTGCCTCTGCATTTTTGCTCTCACATGTCCTTCTCATCACCAACATGGCTGCCGAGATGCGAGAAACATATTTACTACGAGGCGGCTAGCGAGTCATCGGCCAAAGGATCAATGAGATTGTCCCCATCGGTGGGAAGAACTAGTGCCAGTTGTGTCTCCCAAAAAAGCCACGAATACCCCCAATCCCTGATGACATCCGCAAGTTGAATCAGCAGTTGGACGCCACAGAAGAAACCTCCTCTCCCAAAAACCCACTCACCATTCCCAGTGTTCGCGATTCCTTGCCGCCCTCTTCACCAATCGGCCTTTTGGCCAATAGCAGCAATCGTGGCCATTTGAGGACCACAATGCGATTGAAATACTTGATAGTTCTATACTCATTCACTTGTGATAAACTGAGGATCTGACACCGCATGATCCAATCATCAAGACGATCCAAGATACAGGATGACAATGAAATCCGATCGAGTCAGATGTAAGTAGTTGCCTTCTTTGCCTTCTTGGTTCGACATCAGGCATTGCCAGGATGTATCCTGCATCTTGCATGAAGCGTGGCTCATCCCATCCCCGTGCCTTTTATTTGACCCGGCCATAACGGTGTGATACTTGCCAATCTCTCCCCACCCGATTAATCTACGCCATGCTCCTTGATACTTTAGCGTCGTGATAGACAACGATAGCATCCCTTCAAATTTTAGGGTTACTTGACCACGAGATTATATCTGATTTAAGACCGTCACAGCAGCGGCTAAGGCTGGTGTCACCCTCAGCACATGCCAGATGAGCCAAGCGACTGGGCCAAAGAAGCTTGCTGAGCGTGTCGCTGTATGTATCTGTCGGGCCAGGCTGGGTTGGGTAGAATTCTAATACACAAATCATTCGCATTCAAATCAATATTATCATCTCACTGTTATGGGGGATGGATTGCAATTCGGACTTTCCGCGGATCTGGTCCTCTCACCAATACATTCTAGTTCTTTCTTGGGTTATTTCCCTCCCACCCCGCTTCCAGCAAAGGGTAGGTGCATCATCCTCCATTACACACATTAACAGTGCGCCCAGTGATACTCTATTGGAAGCAGAGAGGAGTTATTCAAGCCACTCCCTTCCCCCACCTTACATCCCTCTCTTACCGCTTGAGAATATGGGACAGGACACGGAATGGTACATGGGATTACATGGATGAGGCAGAGAGAAAAAGAGGCAATCGAGCCATCCTCAGCATCATATGTAACATTTTCCCTCATGTATCCTTCGAATAGTTCGAACTTTCAAGATGCAATGAATGAGCACCAACGCAGGGTGAGAGCAGTCAGTTGAAGTTGGTCTGACTGTTGCGTTGTTGTTGCTGCTGCTGCTGCTACCACTCGATTGGAGCTCAACAATCCCAAATTCAACCCAGCTAGTTGGTCGATCTCCCTGTCAAACAACTTTATCATCAAACAGCCCTTACTAAATATACTACCTGCCAGTCTACTCTGCCACGAATCCAGCGCCAAGTTAATGTCTATCTACCTACCGCATCTCGTTTCGCTGACAGATGGGCTCAAATAGCACCACCGCAGCAGAAAAACAGCAACAGCAGCAGTAGCCGCAGGGTGGGTTCCTTTCATGTCGGATGATCAACCGACCCCCGAACGACCGATGGCTAACGCGCCTGTCAGACTGTCATTCATGTCAGTCAGCTGCATGCCATCTGCAGGCGAACAGGGGTCCAGGATTATTTCAATAGTGGCCAGACTACTTTGCAGATGTGTGTGAATCTGTCATCATGATGTATGATCCGTGGATTTAGGTTCTTTTGCCGCCAGAATATCTTTGGGGGGGGAAGAGGAGGAGGGTAAAACAATAATCCATTGATCGATTCTATACTATAATGAATGCTAATTAAGTGCTTACGGGGTCACTCAATATCTTTCACTCACACACACACACACACACACACACACAATAAATATGAAGATAAAGACAACTCGAATATTCCGAAAGCTATAGAGACAATAGGTACTAATAATAGTGATGGATACGAGGGGATTGGGTCTACTAGGGTGGTGGTAAAACTCTTTCACGATAATCAGACTTAAATATATATATATTTCCTTTCTCCGATGAATCCCTATCCTTTCGGTCCGAGTTACTCACCTTGTCTTAGGGATGTCCTACCTACCTACCCACTTAGTACCAAATGACTTACTTCGTGTATGTAATAAGTAGCATGATGTGCTGTGCTGGATAAGTAATGCCCAGACATGACAATGCAGCAGCAGTCAAACCACTCCGCGCTAAAAGAACTTACCGCCAGCATATCAATTAAGCCAAACTGCCACCAAACAAACCGAACTTGCTGTGTCAAATCCAAGGAAAAATACTCAGGTATCACAAACATCAAGTCATTCGGCCATGTTTACTACTGATTGCTTTTTTTTTTTTTTTTTTTTTTTTTGGCACTTCTCTCTTTCTGAACCAGGTGTCCGGAATCATGACATCCCCGGGTAGTGGTACTTAGTAGCATTGAGGCTTTTTTCCCTTTCTTTCTTTTCTTAGTGTTTGCTTTTCTCCTTCCGCCCTCTCAAGCCATTTACCTCTATCCTTCCCCTTAAGGGTATGGTAACCGAAGTCGGACGCGTGATGTACGTGCTCCGAGAAGCACGATAACTATGCAATATGCAGATAGGTACTTATGTCTCATGGTACGCTAGTTCAGGATACCAAGTTTAGTAGCTTGACTACAAACTCAAACAGTGATTATAATTATATCAACCTTCAACTAGACTCTAGACTCCCGTTGATTCAACTTGATCTTGATATCTCGTACTTTTGATCCACACGTGCCAAGTGGTTTCACGGCAAGCCATCGGTTCCGCTTTCGGTTGGTTGTGCAGAGAATGAAATGAACTACGTACCTACACACCCTATACACACTTCTGTAACTAGCCTCTTCGTTCGATCGTTCGATCTAGCCATCCATCATCTACAGTAAGTATTTTGTTTGGAGAATCGGTTTACTGATTGGTTGATGGATATTGTATGTTGCCTGCTTGGATTGGAAAGACTACTACTACTTCTGGGTCGCTATAGATAGTAGTATGTCTGGTAGGTGTCTTGGGAAGGATTCCGTTTGGATTGTAGTATCTGGTTCATTTTGGTAGGGAATCTGGGGAGAGGTGTAAAGACAATTGTTGAACTGGGGTATTCGCTCTTGGCAAATTGGGCGGTGTATGCACCAGAGCAGACTAGATCAGATATACGGCCTAGGATAATTGGGACTTGACATGAGTCTACGGTGTGGTGCAATGCGACGGACACATGATTCACAACATCGGATCCCAGTATGAAGAACCGGCGAACGCGAAAAGAAAGAAGATGAAGGGAGAGGGCAAGGACCGCAGCGAGGAGTGAAAAAAATGGAAATCTCATTTCATGAATAGAAAATTCATTCATTGGGATCACGACCCGTACATATTACCCCGTCGTGTCATTTTTTAGCCGCCGTTCTGTTCATTGAAGAAAAGAACCATAGACCGAGCCAAATTTTTAAAAAATTTTCCATATTCGCTCCTCTAATCACAAAAAACACCATTTATTTGATATGATGATGCATTTAGCGCTTGCCGGCAGCCTTCTCCTGAGACTCCTTGAGGACCTTCTTGACGATCTTCTGCTCCTCAATCAGGAAAGCACGGACGATGCGGTCCTTGACGCAACCAGCGCAGCGGGAACCACCGTAGGCGCGGCTGACGTTCTTCTTGGGGCGGGAGATCTGAGCGTACTCGCGGGGGCGGAGGGCGGGGACCTATATCGGTGGAAAGATGACCATCAGCCATTTTTTGCTCTTCCTTCCTATCCTTTGTATCGCGAATGGTGGTGGTGGTGGTGGTGGTGGTGTTGAATATTGTCGTTTCCTTGGTGCGTTGGTCGAAGCGATCGCCCACGCACACACACACACTCCACCCATCATCCATCCTGCAGCCCGTTCACACACCACCACCATTCAACATAAATCATTCGGGAGCACTCACACCAGGGAGCTTGATGCCACAGTCACCGCACTTGGGAGCAGTGCCCTTCTTCTTGATGTGAAGGTAACGGAGCTCACCGCCGGGGGTCTTGATGATGCGGACCTGGTTGGACCGCGTGTTGTACCTGAAGAACAAAAATCCATCAATACCCTATTCATAGATATCTCGGCGTATATAAAATTTCAAGAGCAAAGCAGCGGTTCATCGCGTCGAAATCGGACAAATCGTTATTGCACCGTAGCGACCGATAACAAAATTTTTGGTGGGAGTGACAAAGGCACGATGGGGGTAGAAACAGAGGGAAAATTCAAACGTACGGGTTCCGGCGGCGCTGCAGAGAAAAAGAACAATAGATCAGTATTCCATTTCATATAATATTCAGATATTCAATTATACTCACGTATTGGAGTCTGTTGTTCGCCATTTTGTCTGTCCTTGAACCTCTAGGTCGGTGGTCTCAAGAGATTGGCGGCGGCGTCGTCGGTTGTCGTCGTTGACCTCGTAGAATTCTCGCGGTAATCTGGATTTGTGTGGGTTTCGCTCGGAGCCCTGGGCGGCCGCGCTAGCGCTAATTTGGCGAGAACGCGCTATCCCCAATGCGGACTAGTACCGGCCCGAGCAGAGCCGCCACCTCTTTTCAGACTTGCTTCATCAAACAAGGCAGGAGAAGCAAGAAGAGACTGGAGCAAGCTGTCTTATCACCTTCCCGTCGTGAGAAGGGGATCGTCCAGGAGTGGTTTATCTTCTTCGGGGCAAAGCTTCATTTCTCCGACGCGATTTCTTTTTATCCACGTGTTTTAATTCCCCCCTCCTCCATTCCGTTTTTCGCGTCGCTGAGCTGCAGTCGATGAGCTCGCGATAAGTCACGACCCGTGCATCTTTTGACGCGACTTAGTCACGAAACTTCCAGCCCGTCTATCAGAGCAGAGAGCGTCCTTCATATATACAACCCATTACCATGGCATCATTGCCTCCCCCTCCGCCTCCGGGCTGGGGTGCGTCGGCGCCGCCTTCGATGCCGTTGGCTCCTCCGCCACCGGGATATCAACCGCCTGCGGATCCGACTGTCGCAAAGTTTGCCCAGAAGAAGAATGAATGGCTGCGGACGCAACGGAACCGGTTCGGCGAGAAGAGAAAGGGTGGATTTGTTGAAACACAAAAGGCTGATATGCCCCCGGAGCATCTGCGAAAGATTGTTAGGGACATTGGCGATGTGTCGCAAAAGAAGTTCAGCAACGAGAAGCGTAGCTACCTCGGCGCGCTGAAGTTCATGCCCCATGCTGTGTTGAAGTTGCTGGAGAACATGCCCATGCCTTGGGAATCGGCTAGGGAAGTTAAGGTATTGTATCATGTTAATGGTTGCCTTACCTTGGTCAATGAGACTCCCCGTGTTATTGAGCCCGTGTTCCACGCCCAATGGGCTACCATGTGGGTGTGCATGCGGCGAGAGAAGAGTGATCGCAGACACTTTAAGAGAATGCGCTTCCCTCCTTTCGATGACGAAGAACCTCCGCTATCGTGGTCGGAAAACATTGAAGATGTGGAGCCGTTGGAACCTATCCAGATGGAGCTTGATGAGTCGGAGGATGCTCCTGTCTATGAGTGGTTCTATGATCACCGGCCTCTGCTGGATACACCCCATGTTAATGGACCGAGTTACAAGAGCTGGAACTTGACCCTTCCGCAGATGGCTACCCTGTATCGACTAAGTCATCAGCTCTTGAGTGACGTTGTCGATCAAAACTACTTCCATATGTTTGACTTGAACAGTTTCTTTACCGCCAAGGCACTGAATGTCGCTATCCCCGGTGGTCCTCGCTTTGAGCCTCTGTACAAGGATATCGACCCCAATGACGAGGACTTCAGCGAATTCAACGCCATCGACCGTATCATCTTCCGCGCTCCTATCCGCACGGAATACCGCGTTGCTTACCCCTTCCTGTACAATACCCTCCCGAGAAGCGTAAAGGTTTCTTGGTACTCTCACCCTCAAGTTGTATATGTCCGCACCGAAGACCCTAATCTCCCCGCCTTCTACTTCGACCCCGTCATCAACCCTATCTCCTCCCGGTCCGTCGCGCCGAAGAATATCACTGTCAGCCATGAAGATGAGATTTTTGGTGAAGGAAACAACGAGGACGATTTCGAGCTCCCCGGCGACTTCGAGCCGTTCTTCGCCGAGGAGGAACTGTATACACCCGATACCGCGTCCGCCATTGCCCTCTGGTGGGCTCCTCATCCCTTCAACAAGCGCTCCGGCAAGATGGTGCGCGCCCAGGATGTGCCTCTCGTGAAGCAGTGGTATCTGGAGCACTGTCCGCTGGGCCAGCCTGTCAAGGTCCGCGTCTCATACCAGAAGCTGCTCAAGACGTTCGTCCTCAATGAGCTCCACAAGAAGAAGCCGAAGGCTCAGAACAAGCAGAATCTGTTGAAGACTTTGAAGTCGACCAAGTTCTTCCAGCAGACGACAATCGATTGGGTTGAAGCTGGTTTGCAAGTTTGCCGCCAGGGTTTCAACATGCTCAACTTGTTGATCCACCGCAAGAACTTGACCTACCTCCATCTTGATTACAACTTCAACTTGAAGCCCGTCAAGACTTTGACCACTAAGGAGCGAAAGAAGTCTCGTTTCGGAAATGCTTTCCACTTGATGAGAGAAATCCTTCGTCTTACCAAGCTGATTGTCGACGCTCAGGTGCAATATCGGTTGGGTAACATCGATGCCTTCCAGCTGGCTGACGGCATCCTGTATGCTTTCAACCACGTCGGACAGCTCACTGGTATGTACCGTTACAAGTACAAGTTGATGCACCAGATTCGTTCTTGCAAGGATCTCAAGCATTTGATCTACTACCGCTTCAACTCCGGACCTGTGGGTAAGGGTCCTGGATGCGGTTTCTGGGCCCCGGCCTGGCGTGTCTGGCTCTTTTTCATGCGTGGTATCATCCCTCTGCTTGAGAGATGGCTCGGGAACTTGCTGTCCCGTCAGTTCGAGGGTCGCCACAGCAAGGGTGTTGCCAAGACTGTTACCAAGCAGCGTGTAGAGTCTCACTTTGATCTTGAACTCCGTGCGTCTGTCATGGCGGATCTCATGGACATGATGCCCGAGGGTATCAAGCAGAACAAGGTCAACACTGTTCTCCAACACCTTTCGGAGGCATGGAGATGCTGGAAGAGTAATATCCCTTGGAAGGTTCCTGGCCTTCCAGCGCCCATTGAGAACATCATTCTCCGTTACGTCAAGAGCAAGGCCGACTGGTGGATTTCCGTCGCTCACTACAACCGTGAACGTATTCGTCGTGGTGCCACCGTTGACAAGACAGTTGCGAAGAAGAACCTTGGTCGACTCACCCGGTTGTGGCTCAAGGCTGAGCAAGAGCGCCAGCACAACTACCTCAAGGATGGTCCCTACGTGTCGTCCGAGGAAGCTGTGGCTATCTACACAACCATGGTCCACTGGCTCGAATCTCGCAAGTTCTCTCCGATTCCCTTCCCTAGTGTTTCTTACAAGCACGACACCAAGATCCTGATTCTTGCTTTGGAACGCCTGCGCGAATCCTACTCCGTCAAGGGCAGACTCAACCAGAGCCAGCGTGAGGAGCTCGCTCTCATCGAGCAGGCGTACGATTCTCCTGGAACGACCCTAGCCAGAATCAAGCGTTTCCTCTTGACTCAGCGAGCTTTCAAGGAGGTCGGTATCGATATGAACGACAACTACAGCCACATCAACCCAGTGTACGACGTGGAGCCCATCGAAAAGATCACCGACGCCTACCTTGATCAGTACCTGTGGTACCAGGCAGAGCAGCGCCACTTGTTCCCCGCCTGGATCAAGCCCTCGGATTCCGAGGTGCCACCCCTGTTGACATACAAGTGGGCTCAGGGTATCAACAACTTGGACAATGTCTGGGAGACTGCTGATGGCGAGACGAACGTTATGATCGAGACCGAGCTGTCGAAGGTTTATGAGAAGATGGATCTTACTCTGTTGAACCGCATGCTTCGTCTTATCATGGACCACAACTTGGCTGATTACATCACTTCCAAGAACAACGTGCAGCTCAGCTACAAGGACATGAACCATACCAACAGCTACGGTTTGATTCGTGGTCTGCAATTCTCTGGCTTCGTTTTCCAGTACTATGGCCTGATGATCGATTTGCTGCTCCTCGGCCTGCAGAGAGCTAGTGAAATGGCTGGACCCCCTGCGAGCCCCAACTATTTCTTGCAGTTCAGAGACCGTGCTACAGAGACAAAGCATCCTATCCGTCTGTACACGCGTTACGTCGACAAGATCTGGGTCTTCCTTCGTTTCTCTGCCGACGAGTCTCGAGACTTGATCCAGCGCTTTTTGACTGAGAATCCGGATCCCAACTTCGAAAACGTCATTGGATACAAGAATAAGAAGTGTTGGCCTCGTGACTGTCGCATGCGTTTGATGCGTCATGATGTCAACTTGGGCCGTGCTGTATTCTGGGATTTGAAGAACCGCCTGCCGAGGTCAATCACTACCATCGAATGGGACGACACTTTCGCCAGCGTCTACAGCAAGGATAACCCGAACCTTCTGTTCTCTATGTCCGGGTTTGAAGTCCGCATTCTTCCCAAGTGCCGCAACCAGAATGAGGAGTTCTCGGTGAAGGACAGCGTTTGGTCTCTTGTCGATAACTCGACTAAGGAGCGCACAGCTCATGCTTTCCTCCAGGTCACGGAGGAGGATATTCAGAAGTTCAACAACCGGATTCGTCAGATTCTCATGTCGTCCGGTTCTACGACTTTTACTAAGATCGCAAACAAGTGGAACACGGCTTTGATCGCACTCTTCACCTACTACCGTGAAGCTGCTGTATCAACCGTCAACCTTCTGGATACGATCGTCAAGTGCGAAACCAAGATCCAGACCCGTGTCAAGATTGGTTTGAACTCTAAGATGCCTTCGCGTTTCCCTCCCGCTGTCTTCTACACCCCCAAGGAACTGGGAGGTCTAGGTATGATTTCTGGATCCCACATCCTTATTCCGGCTAGCGACAAGCGGTGGTCCAAGCAAACGGATACGGGTATCACCCACTTCCGTGCGGGTATGTCACATGACGAAGAGACCCTGATCCCGAACATCTTCCGTTACATCATCCCCTGGGAAGCCGAATTCATTGATTCTCAGAGAGTGTGGATGGAGTATTCGCAGAAGCGGCAGGAGGCTCAGCAGCAAAACCGCCGTTTGACGTTGGAGGATTTGGAGGACAGCTGGGACCGTGGTCTTCCCCGTATCAACACCCTGTTCCAGAAGGATCGCAGTACGCTCAGCTTCGACAAGGGTTTCCGTCTTCGCGCTGAATTCAAGCAATACCAGCTGATGAAGAGTAACCCGTTCTGGTGGACTAGTCAGAGACATGACGGAAAGCTGTGGAACTTGAACGCTTACCGTACCGACGTCATCCAGGCCCTTGGTGGTGTCGAAACCATCCTTGAGCACACCTTGTTTAAGGCGACTGCATTCCCATCATGGGAGGGTCTCTTCTGGGAACGTGCCTCAGGCTTCGAGGAATCGATGAAGTTTAAGAAGCTTACGAACGCTCAAAGATCAGGTTTGAACCAGATTCCTAACCGTCGGTTCACTCTGTGGTGGTCTCCCACCATTAACCGTGCCAATGTGTACGTTGGTTTCCAGGTCCAGCTGGATCTTACGGGTATCTTCTTGCACGGTAAAATTCCGACCCTGAAAATCTCGTTGATTCAGATCTTCCGTGCCCATTTGTGGCAGAAGATTCACGAGTCCGTCGTTATGGATTTATGCCAGGTCTTCGATCAGGAGCTTCAGCAGCTGGGTATCGAGACAGTTCAGAAGGAGACGATCCACCCTCGTAAGTCTTACAAGATGAACAGCTCTTGCGCCGACATTCTGCTTTTCGCAACGAACAAGTGGAACGTCACTCGTCCCTCCTTGCTGTTCGATACCAAGGACGTGTACGAGCCAACCACGACAAACAAGTTCTGGCTTGACGTGCAGTTGAGATATGGTGACTACGACTCCCACGACATTGAGAGATATGTTCGTGCCAAGTATCTCGACTACACTACCGACAGCATGAGTATCTATCCTTCTGCTACCGGTTTGATGATTGGTATTGATCTCGCGTACAACCTGTACTCGGCATATGGACAGTACTTCCCTGGATTGAAGACTCTGATCCAGCAGGCTATGGCCAAGATCATGAAGGCGAACCCCGCCTTGTATGTCCTGAGGGAACGTATCAGGAAGGGTTTGCAGCTCTATGCCTCGGAAAGTAACCAGGAGTTCCTGAACTCCCAGAACTACTCGGAATTGTTCAGTCCTCAGATTCAGCTGTTCATTGACGATACCAACGTCTACCGTGTCACCATCCACAAGACCTTCGAAGGTAACCTTACGACCAAGCCCATCAACGGTGCTATCTTCATCTTCAACCCCAGAACCGGACAATTGTTCTTGAAGATCATTCACACCAGTGTCTGGGCTGGACAGAAGCGTTTGGGCCAGTTGGCCAAGTGGAAGACAGCAGAAGAAGTTGCGGCCCTCATCCGATCCTTACCTGTTGAGGAGCAACCGAAGCAGCTGATTGTTACCCGTAAGGGTCTGTTGGATCCCCTTGAAGTCCACTTACTTGACTTCCCTAACATTTCCATCCGAGCTTCCGAGCTTCAGCTGCCTTTCCAGGCCGCGATGAAGGTCGAGAAGCTTGCGGATATGATTCTCCGGGCAACCGAGCCTCAGATGGTTCTGTTCAACCTGTACGATGAGTGGCTGAAGTCAATCTCACCTTACATTGCCTTCTCTCGTTTGATTCTCATTCTGAGAGCCCTCCACGTCAACATTGATAAGGCGAAGATTATCCTCAGACCTGACAAGAGTGTCATCACCCAAGAGCATCATATCTGGCCTTCGTTGTCGGATGAGGATTGGATGAAGGTTGAAGTGCAATTGCGTGATTTGATTCTCAACGACTACGGCAAGAAGAACAATGTCAACGTTCAGAGTCTTACCAGTAGTGAAGTTCGGGATATCATCCTCGGTATGGAGATCAGTGCTCCTTCACTTCAACGACAGCAGGCTGCGGAGATTGAAAAGCAGCAGGAAGAGCAGAAGCAACTCACGGCTGTCACGACGAAGACACAGAACGTCCGTGGTGAGGATATCATCGTCACCACCACGTCTCAGTACGAGCAGCAATCGTTTGCCTCCAAGACTGAGTGGCGCACACGAGCAATCGCCACGTCCAACCTTCGCACGAGGTCCAACAACATCTACATTTCGTCGGATGACATCCGGGACGAGGGATATACCTACATCATGCCAAAGAACGTCCTCAAGCGATTCATCACGATTGCGGATCTGCGTGTGCAAGTTGCTGGCTACCTGTACGGTACCTCCCCTCCTGATAACGATCAGGTGAAGGAAATCCGCACCATTGTCATGATCCCCCAGGTGGGCAACACGCGTGAGGTGCAGTTGCCGCAGCAGCTACCCCAGCACGATTATCTCAACAACCTCGAGCCTCTGGGTGTTATCCACACCATCTCTGGAAACGAGCCCCCTTACATGACGGCCATGGATGTTACACAGCATGCTCGTTTGATGAACGCCCACTCATCCTGGGACAAGAAGACGGTTACCATGACAGTATCTTTCACCCCTGGATCTGTGTCACTCGCGGCTTGGGGCCTCACGCCCCAGGGCTACAAGTGGGGAGCAGAAAATCGTGATACCACATCTGATCAACCGCAAGGATTCTCGACCAGCATGGGAGAGAAGTGCCAGCTGTTGCTCAGTGACAAGATCCGTGGATACTTCCTGGTGCCGGAAGACAACGTCTGGAACTACAGCTTCATGGGCAGCTCCTTCGGCGGAGTGGAGAAGCGGCCGGTGTACGTGAAGATCGACACCCCCCTGAGATTCTACGATGATCAACATCGTCCATTGCACTTCCAGAACTTTGCGGAACTGGAAGATATCTGGGTTGACCGTTCTGATAACTTTGCGTGAGCGATGTGTGGATGGCGTTGGCATGATATTGTTTTTTACCTTTTTATACGGATGATTACGTTGTTTCGAGACTCTTTCCTCTTTTTCTCCAAGCCTTTATTCTTGTTTTCCCCTTTGAAATCCTCTTTTTCTTATAATGTTCGCAGTATACAAAATCCTCTCATGTGTCTTACTATGGTTACATTTCTTTGATATTGATGCTTGGCAGCAAGTGAGGGATGAGAAGCCCAACGGACGGAAGTGGAGATCCGGTGGCGGGGAAACGGGCGGAAAATAGCTGCGCTATGTACAGTAGAGATGTAGGTAGCGATGTATGTTTAAGAAGTTAATTACCTAAAATGGTCATTGGTCAGTCGATATTATCATGTATCTATACTCAGATACTGTAGGCAGAGTGGACGAATTGATATGGAGTCGCAACAGGCAGTCAAAACACAAATCCGGGCTTAGGAGTTTAGGGGATCGACCATGTGGGTGGGCAGCAGAGCTAACTAAGAGGGCCGGAGGAGACTGTCAATCAATATGGACCATGTGTGAGTCCACTTTGGGCCGGGTAGGTTAATCGTTATTAACCGTCTAGCAATAATAATAATAATAATGATAAATATAATCTAAACCCAGAATATGCTTAATAACGGCAGTCTAATAGTCTAGTAGTCTAGTTTGATGAGGGGGTTGGTTGACGTGTGTATTTTTTATTTTTATTTATTTTTATTTATTTTGTAAGTTGTATTTTTATTTTTTGAATTGAAGCCGGGGTGGGAAGATCGGTGTTTGTCTGATGGAACTTGACCGAGAGAAAGACGGGGCAGATGAAGGAGGGGGGGGGCTCCTGACTCTTGTCTCTCACTCCCTCACACTCCCTCACTCTCACTCACTCTCACCTACTCTCTCCCTGTCCCTCACTCTCACTCTCTCTCTCTCTCTCTCCTGTTCGCCCGTCCGAACCCACCCACCCTACTGAACACTATTTCCCTCTCACATCATTCTCTTTTTTTTCCCTCCCTCTTGTGTGCCGTGCACGGCTGCTACTAAAAACGCCTTTCAACCCACCCCCTGCTTCACTTTTCCTCCTCCACACCATCCCTTCCGGCTGGATCCGATGTACATTTCCAACGTTCTGGCCCAAGCACTCGCTCAGTCAGCTGGTCGGGGCGTCTAAGACATTCATGTCGGGCTCATTTAATTTCTGTGGTTTGATGCAAATGTGATCAACTCGACTGTTTCACCAGTGCCTCATGGCCTGAAATCTCGGGACGAAAGTCAAATTGCAGAGACCCATCGAAAGAACTCGCCCTGCAACTGCAAGATACGATGGATGGGCTTACGGGGATCCACCTCGACGCCAATCCTATCCGGAGTACGGAGTACACGCCTACTTGAGACTACTACCCCTACAGGTTAAGGCTACAATCCTGTCTGAGAGGGGTCTTACGTATTGTGTACAAAGTATAAGCTCCCCAAACCCGTTTTCTTTTTTAATTTGTTGGTTTTTTATTTTATTTTCTAAATTCCCTTTATTGTCTTCCTGCATGTGTCCTTGATCTATGATCTGTGATGCTCATTGATCGAGCAGGACAATAATTAGGAAATCAGCCGGATGCTTAAATCGTAACTCACTCTCTGGAGTAGCTTTCTCTCCATCTCAACCGCCATGACACGGTGGTGGCTCTTGGGGCCTCTCTCTCTCTCTCTCTCTCTCTCTCTCTCACACACCATAACAACAAACAGCTCGAGCTACTGCTACTACTCTCACCCGCTCACGGCCTATCATATCATTAAAAAAGGAAATAAGGAAAATAAAAAGGAACTAAAAGATTAGACACTTTCATGACAACCCACCTCTCACATATTTTACCCACGCGCTAAGCTCCCGGCCTCCGACCGTTCTCGGGGGCTTGTGTCCACGAGGATGACCTAGAATCGAGAGCAAATAAGGTTGACAGGAAGGCTCTTGCTCTCATCAGAAGGGTCAAACTTGCTCCCCTTTGACAAGGTAATGGCTTCCCTGTCTAGCTTCGTCTGGCCTCACGACCCAAGGGGGCCGGAGACCCAAAAAGAACAAAAAAGAAAATAAAATAAAATTAAGAACAAGAAAAAAAAGTGAGGCCAGAAGAAAAGAAAAAAGGGGAAACTAGACGTGGGTACGGTTTAGGCTCGAGCCTGACCCGCGATCTTTTTTTTTCTCTCTTCTGCGCGATAGAGTCGTATTCTTAGTCGATGGGGAGGAACCACTACCGCACATCGTTCATGTGTGATTGAGGAGTCGTGATGTGCGCGCGCGCTCTCCCTTTTTGACTTCTCTCACTGGTGTTGTGTTGGTTTAGCTTCCCGCGTCCGTTCCAGGCTACGGGATTTTTATATACACTATCCAGACCAGGGTCGTTGCTCCATTTCCCCCTCGAGAAACAAAGGCTCGGCCGGAACTCCCTGCTTAGCATGATGGCCCACCTCCGAGCAAGCTAGCACCCTCCCGCTAGTCATTCCAATCACCTTTCCCAGGTGGATGTCTCGCCGACGACCGTTCTCTACCCGCCATTGGCGTATTCGCTGAGTGGAGTTGCTGCGTCGACGTACGACGGTCCTTGTTCTGACAGGGGGCGAATTCCTGAGCGAGTTAGGAGCAGACCAGCACAACAGGTTTGACTCCCTTGACCCGAGTCCACCGACTCGCTCGTCTCATCCACGTTCGTATCCAATAAGTTAACTTCAGATTATGTCTGGCCTACGTATGTATGGGTTTGGGCTTGGGCTTGGATCTTTCCCCCCGCTTCTGCGTTTGCTCGGGGCTGGAGACGGTAGAGCCCCGAGGGAAGGGAGGGGGGGGAGAGAGAGGAGAAAGTGATGGATTGATTGATGAATGGTGGGAGGGCGACTCTTTGTCTACCTGAGCTTTGGCTGGTTCGCCGTGTTTCAAACTTGTACACAGTATCTCCCGACAATTGCCCTAAATTCCTCCTCTACGGCAGTCATTGCCATGCCTTGGCAATCACCAGACGGGCCGGCGGAAGGCAAATGGTAGCCTCATCCTTCGTCCTGCTGGCATCCATGACCGTTGTCCCCTCTGGGTCCCTCTGCAAGCTAAGCTTGACTGGAACGCAGATCCGTCAAATGGGCGATTTCTTCTGCCAGCCCACCTGCACCTTTCTGATTTGGGTCATATGGAGTGTCTCCGTGTCTCGTCAATTTTACCCCATGGATTCTGACAGCTTATTTATTATGATTTGCCATTTCCAGAACCTTTCCTCGGCCGTCTACGCTGCCGTATATATCCTCTAACACTTACCCTATCACTGCTCTGCACGGGACTTTTACATGCAGCTGGAAGCAGCATCCCGGCATCAACCTCCACTTGTTCTTCCCCGTTAGATCCTGCATCTCAAACGACGGAGGAATACGGGCTGCAAGCCTATCTGCGGAGTCTCTGGCATGAGAATCAGACCTCCGACCTCGTCAGTACTCAGTAGATTTGGTCGGGCCGGGCCTCTCGTCGGTGCGTCTGGACTCTGGTGAAGATTACCGGTCTTTTTCGGGACTTCCCAGCTGGCGCGCTCATCACTGACCCGGTGAGTAGTACTAGTAACCCATCTATCCATCCCTTTCGCCCAGTGACTTTCCCTTTCTCATGGTGGCTAGACCGTGTGTCGCCTCTAGCTTCCTCTTCTTGTTCTCCCTTCCTCGTCTGTTTCTCCTCTCCATCTCTTGGCTGTTTTCTTTCAAATGTGTTCGATGTTCTGCGACCTGACCTCGCTACTCTCTTCCTTCCTGTTCCTTGGGATGAGCTATCACCGTGTCTTGACGTTGCTGTCGAATCATTCGATTCATGACCTGTAATTCTGACGACCACATAGTATCGCGCCTCACGCTCTGGAGTCATCCGGCGATATCCAAATTCTCCAAGCTTCAGAATATCGGTCTGTACATGGCCAAAGCTTTGACCCTTGCTTCCAACCCAGAGGATTTCACGATCTGTCACCCTTCGCTTCGTCGGACGAACTCCGACAGTCAGCCAACCTATCTCTTGACGGCCCTTTTTCGTCGAGATAGCACCCTCGACCTCCTTCCTTTCTCTCCCTTTCCTTTTTCTAGAGCCGGTCAGTAGCCTGCCAGGGCTGTTAGGCTCTAGCGGCGCAGATGTATGTCCGCGACGCTGGCGGATCCGTATCGAGAGTATGCTATTGATTATTCTCAACATGCTACCTGCAAACCTGAGGAACACGCAGGCACGCTTGTTTACCACGCACAGCAGCCGCATCTCCAGCACCATAAGCAGCCCGAGCCTCCATTCTCTCAGGGAGCCTCTCATAGCACGACGGCATTTGAGCAACATCATGCGAACGCGACCGTGTTATCAGCAGCCACTCAGCAACCGTCAGTTCATGATATGTCGCAGAGCGTTGTCCTCGGCCCGCCCCAGATGCTCCCACGACACCTTCCAGTGCAGTATCCACCTGCCAGCTTCGAAATCCCGCCTATCCAGCGCGAGAAAAAACGCCATCACTCGGAGACCGAAGAGGATGGGAACCCCGACCATGGCCTGCGGCCGCAGCTATCAGTCCTCTCAGCTGACGCCCCTCACGAACCCTCGCACTCTCCCGAAATGCTCTTCGGTGTCCATGGCGCATCATCTCAGCAGCATCCCATGTCAAACCATGGCTTTGGGCCCACGGACTCTGTGGCCCTGCCGCAACATCACCATCACCATCGACTCCCGCCCCATGCAGCGCTGCGCGCCCCAGGGCGTCATGGAGTGAATGTGGAATCTCCTCCTTTGCCCTCGGGCCCGCCGAGTGTGGTGGGCCAGCCTGGAATGCCCGATCCAGCCCCCAGGCCTCGAGGACCAAAACTGAAGTTTACTCCCGAAGAGGACGCTCTACTGGTGGAGCTGAAGGAAAACAAGAACTTGACGTGGAAGCAAATTGCAGACTTCTTCCCGGGCCGAACAAGCGGCACCTTGCAAGTCCGATACTGCACCAAGCTGAAGGCTAAGGATGTAGCTTGGAGTGACGAAATGGTTCGATTTTCTCCTGATGTATTTCTACGGCTGTCTCACACATGCTAATGAAGGGAATAGGTACAAAGGCTGCAGCGGGCAATGCACGAGTACGAGAACGATCGGTGGCGCATCATTGCAGGGAAGGTTGGAAATGGCTTCACCCCAGCTGCTTGCCGCGAGAAAGCCATGCAGCTCCATGAGTAAAAGCGTTGGGGAATTCTCATATTTATATCTACTGTCGCCAGATTCGGCCCTGCTTGGACCCTCTGATCTCCTTACTCTCCATATTGGTTCAAATGTCGGGTCTCCGATAGGGCTGGTGGTGCAGGCTTGTTGTAGGCACGGGAGGATGATCAGCATAACTCTGATTCACTATAGGAACGGGTTGATGTAAGGTATTAAGTGATGTATGATAATTCATTTTAGCCCGGGGGAACATATGGCGCCGGCATTTGTTCGTTCGCAATGAACCGACACTAGCGTCCGCTCTCGCAGTTTAGCACCGGCTGATCCCGGGCTGAACGCGGCCATTGCTCGGCCGGGGCATGTGTTCCTTATCTACGGCAGACCGCAGAAGACCACTAGCGCAGATTGTAGACCCTAAGCCCTAAGCCGGACACCCAATCGAGTAGGTCTGCGGACCAGGTCACTGCGGGCAGCCGGAGAAGCTCCGCAACCAATCAATCCCCGGCGCTGACTAAGGGCAGGCGACCACGGGCCGAAGCGGCTTCAAACTCACCTCAACCTCCAAACTCCCTCATCTCCAAACGTCCTTGCCTTGTCTGCCGTCATTGCAACCCACCCACCAGGACAATGTTCCTCCAACGCACAGCCTTCGCCCTCGCCAGGCGCACCCCTACCCGGGCTCTCGCTGCCCGTCCCTTTTCTTCCTCCGTCACCCGCTGTACGTGACCCTCATCGTCAGATCAAAAGACCGCCTCTTCTGCACCCCAGCAGTGGCAGCCGTCCCTTCTCTACCGCGCTGCCATGGCCTCTATATGTGCCAATTGCACGGGAATGTGGACGTCTGATCTGGATATACGAGCTAACATGCCATTGCTGCTCCTATAGTCAACAGCAAGAAGTATGAGGTGAAGCAGGAGGGCAAGATCCTTTCTTTCGATGGTGAGTGGCCTCACACCCACTCCTACATGAAGCGTCAATTATCCCTACGGATACACGTGCAAGATAGCAATTGCGACTCGTACGGCGAGTGAACATTGCAATTGGGCATCTTATGCGGGGTTTCGGGCGCTGGGGACATTTGATAGCCGGCTACTGGCATCCTCTCGATGCCTTGATATATGGTTGACATCATACTGATTGTGCGCTTTTTTCCTGAACAGAGATCAAGACCGAGGAAGACCTCATCCCCCCGGGTGCTAAGTCCGGTACCGTTCCCGCCGATATCGAGCACGCCACTGGTCTCGAGCGTCTCGAACTCGTCGGAAAGATGCAGGGCATTGATATCTTCGACATGCGTCCCCTCGATGCCTCCCGCAAGGGTATGTCATACGCTATTCCGCTCTGTGCGGTATCTACTGGAGCCTTGGATAGGTGACTCGCGAGGGTGGGAACTGATATAATGTTTTATAGGAACCCTCGAGAACCCCATCATCGTCAACGGTGCTGGTGACGAGCAGTACGCTGGTTGCACCGGTTTCCCCGCCGACTCTCACCAGGTCAACTGGCTGACTGTAAGCCGAATTCTTCCGTGCTGATTACCTCCTGTGATAGCATGATCCCTAATCAAGCCACAATACAGGTCTCCCGTGACCGCCCCATCGAGCGCTGCGGCGAGTGCGGTAACGTTGTCAAGCTGAACTACGTCGGCCCCTTGGAGGACCCCCACGCTCGTAAGTAACTTCCCTTTCTATTCAGCCCCAGTTGATGGCTATCATTCGGTGTGCGGTGTACTAATTGCTCTCTGTCCAGACGACCACGACCACGGTCACGGCCACCCTCCCCATGAGGAGCCCAAGACCTTCGCCGACTTCGTCAAGCCTGAGTACTGGTACCGGTAAATACAATGTACTACTACAATGAATGGAGCGATTGTCCTTTTTCTTTTTTTTCCCACTTCCCTACTTAGGTGCTACTTCTTCGATTCGGAGCAAAGAGAAACAATTGGAGTGAAGCGAGATACCAAAAGGAAAAGACAATCCGACATATAATCTGTATTGTGTACATGCGTGAGGCAGGGTGTGTTCTGGCAAGACAGTCACAAAAGAGTGAGAGAGATAGAGATAGGGTGTCAGGTTCTGTACAAGATTTCATCGGGATGAACTATTAGTTGTGTTGTGTGTGTGTGTATCGTTTGAAACCAATACCGTTGTATACTTTCGCCAATTCCTTATTTCTTTCTTTTTAGTGTTCTTCTTTTGTGTTACTGTAGATCTATCAACGAGACTTATATCACCTCAAACCCGGATGATATGACATGGTCGTCGCAAGTATATGATATATCCTATCATGAAGTACTACTCTTACTACACAACACTGAACTAAACTATCCTACCTACTACAAGTACTGCTACTACTAGGTAGTCTCATAAGACAGACCGACAAATCTAGTACTAAGTACATACTAGTAATCGTGGCTTGAAAGAAAAACATACCTAGATTATGGTACGGTGAAGTGAGCTGATCAAGCGACTGATAGTCTACTAGTCTGTCTACTAACTGTGCGAATTGGGTAGGTTGGGTGGCATGATGTCCGGAATAGCGGAAACTAACGGAAGGAAGGAAGGAAATATTAGCCGTATCACGTGGTATATAGAAACTAACGTACGTATTAGGCTAGCTAGTAGTAGCCCTGCCCAGGAATCCTTTACTTGCCTATATAAGTAGGTTGATGAGAAGGTAGGCGGTGTTAGGGGGACTACTACTCATTGGTTCATTCTTGGGATTTAGTAAATGAGGTGAAGGTATTGGTTAGTAGTCGGTGTGAGAGTGTTCCTTGGAGATTAGTATGGTGATGATGGTGATGAATGATTGGTTACTTCTATGTTTATTAGAGGACAGTGATAATAGAATAGATTTTTCGAGGTACTTGTTCAATTTGATGTACAGTTCTGTTTTATTGAGAGACAAGGATGTCTATTGATCAACATAGTAGTACGATCGTATAGTACATGACCAGTCTGAATATACTCTACAAGGCCAATGACTCATATATAGAGCAGTTTGCAATGTTGAATTGAATAGTAGTGCTCTGTTAGGCCCAATGGCATTGCCGCCACCTCACCGTCCGAAGTAGCGGAGTTCGACATATCGGAGAGGCGGATAGACCACACATGTCCATGAAAAAGCAACGTAGGTACCCATCTACATATGTTTAGTTAGTATGTGAAGCAATCAGATCTTTGTTTGTCATGTCATCGGGTCTGCTTACATCGGCGCCATATTCACCCACCAATCGTGCCAAAGGCCCGATATACCACACCTGCGCCATACATAGGATCGCGCCTGCCCAACCGATCAAGAAGGCAATCAAAGCGGAAATGCCCAAGGGCAGCTTGGACGGGTCGTTCCAGGAATGCCAGTTGTATCCGCTGCGGGCGCGGAAGATAAAGCGGTCTTCTAGGATAATGGCTATCCAGATGGCGACCCAGTAGCCCATGAGCGCGAGGAAGTTGGTGAAGATGTCGGAAAGATTGCTTCGGCCCGCTAGGGCGCACACAGTGTAGATGATCACTCCGATGGCGTTCCAAATGGCTCTGGGCACCTTTTCGGCGTATCTTCCGAGGATCTGGAAATCTACGCCAGCTGAGTACGTGGGTGGGATGGTGTTGGCGATGAGACCGAGTGCAACGACTACGGCGCAAAACTTGCCAAATCCATTAAGGGGGCTGAACCCTTCGACGATAAGTGCTCCGGCACCGTCGGCGTATGCTTTGCTGTACGCTGGGTCCGAGGTGATACCCGATGCGAGACCGATGCCGACGAGGAATGCCATGGTGAAAGAGGTCATTAGGCCACCCAAGGACAGGAAAAAGAGAGATGTCCTCGAGGTATTCTGAGGATAATAGACGAAGAAGTCTGCCGCAAGAGGTGCATATGTAATTGCGGCACTGAGACAAAGCGAGAAGAAGGACAGACTGCGAGTGGATGACATGTGAGTATGAGTTTATTCAATGACCTGAAGTGGACTTACCGGTTTCCGGCTACTGTGCGAGCGTCGCCAGTGGATGGTGTGGACAAGTCATATTTCGTCCCCGACATACCGAACAGTATGCAAACAACGATAAGCTGGGGGAGAAAGGCAAATCTGGTACCGTCAGTAGCAAATTTTATAAACCTTGGTCAGTCACACATACCGCTCGTAGTAATGGAAGATTTGAATGCCGAAAGTGGCTATGACCCAACTGATGATGGCGATGATCACGATGCCTTCTCTTCATCAATAACCGTACAATACCAGCTCGAAACACTACCAACTTACCCACAGCAACCGTCATGTGTCCATGTGGTGAAACGGCGGACAAGATCTGCCCGCCAACCACGCAGTCGATCAAGCCATATCCCAGCATTTGGATCAGGTTCAAGATGACGATGAGTTTGCTGGGCCACCATCCCATTGAATAGCGTCCGAATGCCTGAGAATATTAGTACTCAGCCAGCTTTTTCTAAAGGAAGTGTGATAGCATACCATAGTCCGAATACCGGATATAGGGCCCCATGTGGCCATCCACGAAGAAACTATGGCACCGACTAGAGCACCGAATACTCCGCATAGAGCCGAGTCAAGGAAGCTCAGTCCGTATGTAGCAGGTCCCAGCATACCCAGTGTGATGTTGTTGGCCGCCAAATTGATCGAGACCCAAAGCAAGAAAGCCTGCATGTAAGAAACCCAAGTCAACTTGGACATCCGTTCATGCTCTTGCACCCGCTCTATGCCACGGGCTTCCAGATTATATTCGACGAGCTGCTGTTCGAATCGTCTAAGATATGCAGCCATTCTCGAAGAGGCAAACGGCCCACCGGGCTGCCTCTGGGCTCTTTTCTCGGCATTTTCGGTGGGAGGAGAAGTATCTTCTGTCGAACGGATCCTTGAGATTTCCTTCTCATAGGGAGACCCTAGGGTGGGGACAGTTTGCGGCGAAGACATCCTGATGCACAATGTCAGTTATATGACCGGGGAAGAGGTGGGGTATGAAGAAAAGAAAAGCGCGCATGAGTCCTTTCGCTGGAATTATCCAGATCAAGTTCAACCGTATGATCTCAGAACAACAAACGGGAGTCATCACAGTATCCGGTGAGTTTAAGCATCTCTCCACATGATGAATGAGGGTGATATTAGTCCGGATAGTGTGTGTGACATCCAGTTGTTGAACACCGGTCTTCATGCAGGCACGCTACCTAGATACCTTGATCGACAGACAAAACCACGCTACTCGTCTTCATGATAGCCGTCCCTTGCATAAGGTTTCTGTAGGAAGGCGGGAGAGCTGTACTTGTTGCGAAGGCACTGGATTCGTCGTGGCGATTACACCTGGTGGAACACATACGCCAATCGCACGTCAGTCAAAATTCCTCTCTAACAGTTTTGAGAGATCGTAATGAGTCTCATTTATATTTCTTTTCTCGAAAGGAAATACCGGTTTTTGATCAATGCTATGCAGATATCCCACGCCAATTGCAGTCGTGCAGAATGCTAGCCAGTAATCTGACAGGGAGATGGAACGATTGTAGTTCCGGCGAGTGTAAGTGGAGCGGGTAGAAGATTCCACTCTTGAGGCGATAAAATCGTAATCTGCCGCGGGGAGTTTCGGTTTTTAGGCGGGCGGATCCCCTCCGCTTCTCATCTTCCCCGACTTCGGATATAGTACTGCTATCTATCCCACGACTACTCCTACTCCCCACTCCCACTCGCCCTACTCGGCTTGTGTCGGCTAAATGTTAAGCAACTAGCAGCTAGTAGCATAAAATGCTTACTACCTCGGCCACCTACGGAAATATAAGTACAACATCAGCAACAGCTCATCATAGTGGTGACCACTCAGTGCCGGACACCGAGAGTAAGCTTCTACTAGATTCCTTTCTATAGAAAAAATTGAAAACCTTACAGCAAGCTTCAACGTGTTGTTGGGTGCGCGACAGAATTTCTGTCCAGGGTACGCTGTCCCTTCCGCGGCGAAAAGCTGCTGCAAAGACCCGTCAAGGAGTTACGCGAAACGAACAGTGGTATTCACCCAGGATATGAGGGGACGAGGAACAAGACGAAGTAACCAGGAAAGGCGCTTGTAAAAAGAAGAGGTGGGAAATAGTCGACCAAACGGGACCAGCAGAAAGTAAAATGAAAGACGCAAGCCAACTCCGATAACCCTTCGCCCGATACTTTGCAAATTGTGGCTAACATCGAACACTGCCTTGAAATCTTCAGCCTAAAGCAATGTGAATCCAAAACTCATGCCCATCGTCGATTCGTTAAATGTGCGGAAGACGATGCATTGGTCATCACGTCGTCAATAGTTCGTAAGAAATCTAAAGATCCTTGAAATGTTCTTTTGCATACTGTTCGCACGCCTGATTCACTCATGTCAACAACTCAGCAAGGCATCTACAGGGCCCGGAGATGTTACCTTGGCTGGCTTTCCAACTTTCAGTCCAATCGCCTTCCATTTATTCGCATCGTATTCCCTAATCGCTTCTCGGAGTGCTACGGACTGTCCTTCCTTTTAGCATCGCTTGACAAAAAAGAGGTCGTATGCCAAGGGTCGTTACCTCATCTTCAGCAAATTCGGCATAGTGCATGTCCTATCGTGGCTTAAGTATCTTCTCCTGTCTTCGGACAAAGAGCGACTAGGATCTGCTTACCTTGTACCAATGCTTCTTGACGCTGCCTTCGGTCCGCGTAGGGAATGTCTGTAGCACCCGGGAATTTCAGGTCAGCATGCGTGACGTAGTGGAGGGTATTGAAGCAGGGGCGCTTTATGGACCTTGGCAATCTCGCTCCAGGTGCGACCCGCATCGCGCATAGTCTTCAGCCTCTGCTCTTCCTCAGCAGTCCAAGGAGTGTTGGTCCTCCCCTTCTTCTTGGGGGCAGGCTCTGATCCCCCAGGCCCTTGCTCGTGCGCGGTTTCTCCAGTTGCCGGAGCCGCGCCTGGCGCCGCCATGGTAGCCGCAGAGCTTGACTGGGGGGATGCACGGCGTTTGCGCGGATTTTGGGGAGGAATCTGAGTTTGGGGCATAGGAATGCCCTCAAAAGAAGGCACTCTTGAAAAGGGATTGACTTGCTGTTGAGCTATCAGGTGTGATGGCGCGTTGGCAGAGATGGAAGTCTTGATTCGCTTAGATGTTGGAGGGGACCTGTTGTAGAGGGACAAGTCAAAGGCGCCAGTGTCAGAGATGAGCCCACGACACGAGAAAAATAATGGAAAAAAAAAAAAAAAAAAAAAAAAAAGAAAAAAAAAAAAAAAAAAAAAAAAAGGAAGGGGGAGATAAAGTAGAAGTGAATGCAAGGCCAGAGCGATAATGTCAATAATAATAGAACGAGCCAGTCACTTTGTCAATCGCAAGTGGAGGGAACGGACAGGACTGTAAGATAGCCGAAAGAGGGAACGGATACAAAGGCATAGTAAGTAAATTACAAGAGAAACACTCCAAGTCAAGCACATGACCTGAGGGGGGTGGGCGCGAGGTATCTCAAGACCAAGTATATATGGAAGGACAGCTGCCGCCGACGCTGCGCAGTCCCAGAGGCCAGCTTCACCTTCGGGCTGGGGAGGACGAGGGGGGACTTACGACATGGCTGATGATACGCAGTTATCCCAATCACGTTCCGTCGATTCATCTGTAGATACACATGCTTATGAGATTAGCAAATCTGCTACTCAAGGAACGCTCCGTGGAGATTGGCCGGTCAGGTTCAGGGAAGCGAGCGCTTGGTTACACCAAAGTGACGATGACACCGGCGCATCATACGGCGTGGCAGTAGCGCCGCAGGGAAATGAGGTAGATGACGGGAAAAGAAGGAAAGAGTCGGAAGGATTGTTACATGCATATATGAAGTCGGAATGGTTGCGAGGAAAGTCAAGGGACAAAGAGAGAGAGACGGAGGGGGAGAGTGAGGTAACTCAGGTGAATGGGCGATGAGGAGGCTGTGAAGGGTGAGGGGAGGGGAAGGGGAGAGGGGGAAGGAGAGGGGAAAAGATAGTAAGTATAAACAGGCTTAGGCACAGTCACAGGAAGACCTTTCTAGCATCTTAGGATACAGAGGCTGGACATAGTACGGAGTACTGGAGATGCGATGATAAGACGTTCTGGTCAGGACAAGTGGAGATGGAGACCGACTGAGAGTGTAAAGAGAGGCTTACTGGTCAAAGTTCATGGTTCGAAGAAGAGTCTCGGGTTTTTTCTGATAGGCAGGATGATCTGGTAGTGGCGGTGGTGGTGGTGGTAGTAGTAGTAGTAGTAGTAGCGAAGTAGTGGTGGTCGTAGTAAATGGGAGGGAGTAGATCAGATCAGGATCGAATTGGCAGGTCAAAGTCAGTAAGGGTCAGTTCAGAGGATCAGTTCAGTCTGTCCGCCAGTGAGGCAATAGTAGTAGTGGTAGTAGTAGTGATAGCCAAGTAGTAAGGAAGTAGACTGAATTGGATTGTCCGATAAGAAAAAGTAGTCAGTCGGTGCAGTGGTCGTAGTAAGAGCAACAACCACTCGGTCAGTCAGTCAGTAGTAGTAGGTAAGGTCTCCAAGTAGGGCAGAAAATCCACCGTAGGTAATACTTTGGGTTCTGATTTACAGTTTACCAGTTTCCGTAAATAAGAACAAATGGAAATGGATAATATAATGATAGTACAAGACTAAGGGAACCTCCGGAGTGGCAAGAGGGAAAGGATCCGGGAAAGAGGACAAGAGGGAAAAGGAAGAGAGAGAAGCGGATGGGAAAACCGACAGACTCTCGCAAAAGCCTCTTCCTTACTCAATCCTCTGACTAGTACTGCGGAGGGGAGGGGGAACAGACAGACAATTCGATTCGAATCCACCCCAAGGCTAAACGGAGTGCAGCGTCTCGCCAATCCCGCGTCCTCCGAGGCCTGCTTGCTTTTTCCTCCTCAGCAGCGACGAGGCATCAGATTCATTCCTGCCACCTCCTCTGGCTTCCTACTCGTCCTGCCCACCGGAACTACTGGAGACGGTCGACTCTCGTACATGGACCACTTCTGCACACCATCCACGATAGGCCCGTTCTTTTCCTAAAAAAGAAATTTGCCTGGATGGAAGGATGACCCGGTGGTTTCGTTTCTTCTACTTCTTCGCCTTTGCGTAGGCCGAGGACATCCACCGATTATCTAGATTATCTTCCCCTCATCCCCTCCTGGGTCAATGCGATACATACACTTGACACTTTGGATCAATCACCATCACCGCCACCATCACACCCATGTTCCGACGACGCCAGCCAGATGAGACATCTCCCCCCCCCCTCCCCCCCCCCCCCCCCCCCCCCCCCCCCCCCCCCCAGCGTCCTTCTACCGATACCCTATCCTTGTATTCACACCTACGATGAGCTTTCCCGTCTCCCCATTTTCTTCCGACCGGTGACTCAAGGTTGATTTTTCATAGTCATATTAGACCTCCATCTCTAGAAGCCAGCTTCAACACTTGGTCAGCCACGGATCCAGGCAAGAATGCCCGTTCCGTGAACAAAACGAACAGCGATGATGGTGGTGGCGGCAATCTGACCATAGAACCCACCGTCTTTGGACAGCTTGACCAAGTCAACCTGGTGATGCTGCAGTGTTTAGTAGAACCAAGCAGGTTGGCAAGGCCAATGAGGGGGTCCAGACATCCCGATGACCGCGAGGCAGCTTACAACATGAAACGGGCGCCGCCAGCTGCAAATCTCGGGCCTTGGCAGTCCAGAGATGAAGTAAAAAGCAAACCTCGAGGGACCATGGATCCTGATCTTTGCTGTTTACGTGGGTGCCAGGTTCACTTTTCCTCCCAATGAAATGGCCTGATGGGAGACAATGAGAGCGGGGTAAAGGACCGCTACCTCCTCCTTTCCCCATCGACCGTTGCTTTTAGTCTAGTCCACCCTTCCCGCTTCATATGATGAGTGCAGGGCTTTGCGGGACCCATGATGCAAGATCGGTTTCTCTTCAAATTCAAATCGATCCAGGTAACTTGTCAGGTAGGCTGCTTGCCCCCCTAGAAACAGCTTCTCTCGTTCATTCTACACGCGCTCCCAAGCACCTTATCTGTACCCTCCTAGGCTGGTTTGAAAGGTTCTAGATAGGCCCGTGAACCGTTTTATGGAACTCTGAGAGTCCGTTCCGAGCACGGTCCCCCCGGTGCGCCTATCGTTCCGATGACAGGGCTTACTGTCCTGTCCGCTATTCCCGCTATCCTTTACCTTGCAGGCTGAATGTCGATGGTCTTCCTCTTTGGGCAAGTACTGTATCCAGCGATCGCTTTAGTACCAGTTGAAGCTCCATGTACAACAGACTGCTAAAGAAGTGGCGTATGCAATTGAAGGGAGGGAATCATAACCGACATTCGGTTTGCAGTCGAACAATGCAACTACTTACCAGGCTGGAATAGCTTGTCTCAGTGGTTCTAACATATAATACGCAATAACTAGGCTGTGGGACTGAATTGGCTGATGGCGATGGCGTACACGTGGTGGATCACAGCATCAGAGTATGTCATTGTGCAGGTATGTACAAAGTGGTCATTGTTCGAGTGTGGGCAGCTCTTAGAATACTATTAATCTCGCCTTAATTTTTTGAGCTACTCACTTGGAACGAATCCTGTAGTGGGATTTCCAGGTTTAAGCACGTTACTGAGATCTCGAGATGGAGAAACCTTTTCGATGACCCTATCTTGGTCGGCGAAAGAGCCTATTTAGGGTAGAGTACCCTTAATGCATTTAGCGCTCGCAAGGAGAACTTTTCTAGAAGAGGATTACCCTTTAACTAGGCAGAAAAAGAAGTGGGTCACGAATCAAGGCAATGTGGCACATGCTCAACTTTATATTCTTAGGTTTCAGTTACCTCCATCTTGCGAACAGAGCTTTGTTTAAACTTAGGTGATTTATTAGCCGAAGGTTCGTTTCAGAGTCAATACACTAGAGTCATGTTACGATACATTATATGCAAGCTTCTTGCCTGAAATGGTCTAATGGGGTGCCTACGCTCGAAGTAACGATGTTGCGTATCCTCTATTGCAAGGAAATCGGTACTAGCTTTTGCTTCGAAGGTCACTTGGGACAGGCATTCTTTCGACGACAGGGAAAATATGACCTGCCTGCATTCAAGTAGGCTTATAAGCTTGAGTACATGGCATTGAGCTAATACTGTTACTGTTCGTTCTTGTTATATACTACATCCCGAAGTTCGGAAACTTTTGATGCTCAAACGCCCACGTAAGGTACCATACTATACGTCCCGAAGTAACTTCCACTGAGATGATTGACTAAACCGGGAGCTACCTACAAGTGCTGCGAAGGGGGCCAGCATCTACCTGAGAGGCCACTTGGTGGATGTGAACTGATATCTGACACCCCTCTCCTCTTCATTTCTACCATATATCTCCACCTAGTCAAGCAACCAACTAATGATATTATCTCCCTCTTTCCATTAAACCATAATGATATTCATTAAGCCCTTTACTGGCACAATCTCCCTATCTTTAGCGGCTATAGCAGCAGGGGTATTGGACTTGCGATGCGTTCCTCTCATAGAATATTCTCAGTGAGTCAGGGGACCATAGTTCTAGTATTCAACAAGATCACGATTTTAGCTGGGTGTCCTTGAAAAGCATGATGTTACTAGGCCTTTTTCAGAAGATGTGAGTTCAAAGGTTCAGCTCGCAGACCCATACAAGGCCGATATTTGGCGGCAGAATTGCTGCTCATAACTAACTTCGACCATTACTATACACGATCAACAATCTTGATTCAGCTATCTCAACATTCTGCCATATTCCTTCTTAAAATCTTCATTTGTCTCTCCTAGAAGCATGGATGAGACAAGCAAGGTGTCCTGACGCACAAGCTAGAATCAAGGAATCATCTACAGCCAGCATGGGTCAAACCACTCCGAAGCTTAGGAGCACAAACTGGTGCGTAATCTACTATGTCCATTACTAGGTGTGCCTTTCACTGGATCTGAAAAACCCACAAGAGCGAGTACTGAGATGCTCTAGCGAATAGCCAGCCATTCCTCTGAATTGCATGTGAGCTGAAAATGGAGTTAGACGACAAAGCAAAGAAGGGACAAAACCAGCGTTCGATTACACCACTCGGGGATTACTAGCTGTTGTATCCGAGTCAAGAGTGCGATATAATATGGTGCTCTCTAAAGAGAGAACCTTCGACAATATACCCGTCGACACGATCTTCCCTTTTTTTGCTTGCCCCAATTCTCTCATCCTCTTCACGCACTTGGTGCTCTGTTTTGCGAGTTTAGCGCCATCGAACTGTATAGCAAGCACAAGCCCCTACCATCAATGATTCTATGGGCTCCGAAGTTTCCGAGATGGCAATCGCAGCGTTCTACTCCAGACGCGGTGGCACCTTTACCCCACTCTTGTTTCCCATGCATACGCAGCGCGCGAATGGAGTAGCCTCGAGCTACTACTGCTGCGTTAGCAACTAATCTACAAGTCTTGGTCTACTAGCTACTTGGGATGAGGCGGCAACTGAATTTGTAGGGGTGCAGCAATATCTACACATCGGTGTCGAATTTGGTGCGATCATGTTGGCGCAACGGTCTGTCGAGACCATCTACCACCGAGCTAGTACCATGCGCTTAAACCCACTTTTAGTTTTGATGGCACTTATACTCGGCGGCTGTGGGCTTTAGAGAGCATGACGAAAAGAGAATAAAAAGTTTTTACTAACCAACCCACAGCGTCCATGGCAAGCATTCAAATTGGATTACACAGTTGATGGCACATTCAACGTCAGGAAGGGGTCTGTAGTAGCCTGAAGTTAATCAGAAAGATCTAGTTTGTATTCTCTACCTGTTCTCTGCCAATAGTTGTTTACAGGAGACTGCTATGGTAGAGGCAGGGTTAACTCTTGACAGCTGTGAGGCTTCCCGGCGCTGCTCGATACCACTTTATAGGTGGTTCGCTGATGATCGATAAAATTTTTGAAAAGCTCTTGAGTACTAGGGCATAGCACGGTATGCCTTTTCAAACCAGAAAACATCTTCTACCATTGCCCTATTGAAAGAAGACCGGAGATAGAAGGTGGACAGGGCGTCCTGACGTCACCAAGGAGAGATACTGTGACACGCCGATGGTCACGTGAGGGACACGCGGCACGGGGCCCCCAGGTGCAGGTGGATCCCGTCGGTGACGGTGAGCTCCCTTGGTTGAGACCAGATAAGGCGGAAGCTCACAGGTCGACGCGGCCGGTGCAGGTCCATGACAATTAGACCGCTCATCACTGCTACATCAGCTCTTGTCGTGGCATCTTCAGCCTCTTTAAGACCAGTGTGCTTGGTCTTACACTTTCCATAATCTCTCGCATTGACCGCATTGTCATACAGTGGCCGACAACCTACGTTACCCGACCGGGTCTCTGGGTTGATTAACTGAGCACGGTCCACACGAGGACCATTGAGGACCATCTCTCGCGAACTTACTGGGCTATCTTGATGGTACTCTAGAAGTGGGTTGCAGGACGATTCCACAGTGAAAGCTGCGTGTCAAGCTTTCTATATATACACTATTGACCATGCTGAACCTCAATATCTTCCGGCTACTGGCCGATCTCTCCCATATCTCCTCCAAATGTGTCTTGATATGGGCTATCCATCGCAATAAGAGCGCAGAAGGTCCGTATAATAACTTGCATTTTTGCAGTGTGCTGCGAGCTAAGCATTGTTTCAAATAATAGGAGTCTCCCTTCTGACGCAGATGCTCTATGCTTTGGTGTTCGTGACTCGTTATCTCGACCTTTTCTCGAAGGCAGGATGGAAGCACTTCTACCTCGTATTCTTCAAGCTATTTTATATCATCTCCTCCTTCTACGTTTTATACCTGATGATGAGAGTATTTCCCCGGACACGGGAAAGGGAGCGAGCCTGGAAGATGGCTATAATATCGGTCGCTCTATCTCTGGTTCTGGCTCCTATATCTATTGTCATCTTCTATCGTGGTTATCCCGATAGATGGTTCACGGAGGTAAGTGGGATGGCTCGCATTGGCCTGTAGACGTCGCTAACCGAACCGTGATGATATGCAGACTTGCTGGACTTTCTCGATTATATTAGAGTCCGTCTGTGTTCTCCCTCAATTGTTGCTCTTGCGCCAAACGACCGTTCCGACAGTCATCGATTCATACTACCTGCTTATGCTGGGATCCTACCGTGCCTTCTATATTCTCAATTGGCTTGTGCGGGGACTGGGCTCTGAGGGTCATTGGGACGTAATTGCAGACCTCTACGGTGTCATCCAGACGGCATTCTACGTCGATTTCGCCTGGGTTTACTACTCCCGCCAACGCGTGAAGCTCCGAAACGGCGGTGTCGTTGACTCGGAAGATTTCCGCCATAGCTGGCTAGTGAGCAAGATACTGAATTTCCGGCAGCGAAGGAGTGCAGATGAGGAGCAGAATTTGAACGAGGAGGACGTGGAGGATGAGGAAGTTGCTGGTGGCGGTAGACCCAGGAACAACCGCTGGGGAGCAAGGGGGATCTCCGTCTCGGCCGACGATACGCTAGGAAACCATCGTGGGACAAGCCAAGACGAGAGTCTGGAAGGGTTCTTAGAAGATGAAGAAGACGACGAGGACAATAACGGGTACCCTGTGAACGGGGGCGTTCGTCCGAAGCAGTCAACCGGGGTAACGGGCAGTCACGAATGAACTATCTGCCCTTAAACCCCATATATAGAAACCCTGCTGCAGATCAGCCGGTTTTGGTTACACGATTCAACTGCCCTCGGGGCATTATATACATCCCTAGGGCTCGTTCTCCCCCTTTCACTTCCTTCATGGTCTGTTTCTTTATTGCTCGGGTCTTTGTTTGCATGGAATTTCTCTCACGTCATCAAGTTTTCACAATCTCAAATTATATCTTTTTTGGAAATGTAGTAATGCAGAATGGGTCCAAACCAGGTTGAGACACGGACATTTTGAATGCCAATTCAACCATTGCTGACGGTTAGATCATCCATGATTCAGTGGCAGGGTTGATTACTAGATGAGATCATCCCCCAGCATACGAGGGGCTATAGGTGAAACACAGGTGAAAACGACCCCATCGTTTCAGGACTGCAACCAGCCATTGCTGCGCCTACCCATAGCCACATCTCCTCGTGTGGGCATTGGACCATCGAAGAGGAACCCAGGTAAAGGGGGAAAGACGAGAGGGAGGAACGAAGGGGCCATTTTGAGGGCCGAAAACGCCTAGGCGACAACCTTGCCCTCATTCGGTAAATCCGGCATTGACCGACATCCTCCTGCTCTTGATCAGATCCGCGCCCGGTCCAAAATAGATCATTACTAGTGTTAGCGCGTGAGCCTGAGGACGGGCCTGTTTTGTCCTCGTCTTCGTTCATGAAGGGGAAAAACTATGATTGATGACAAGGTGTCATCCACTAACCCTGAGGGGAAATTGAGAGACCAAGTGACATCACGTGGATACGCCCCGGGGGCCCCGATCGTTCGACTCGCTGAAAGAATGAAGATCATCCACATGGCGGTGATGTGCGCAAACCGACAGTAGGAGGGGCCTCGATGACACGCCGGTCAGAAGGCCGTTCCATAGGGCCAAATCCCTCGCGGACGCCGAAAGGAAGTCCAGTATGAAAATCTGGCGCGAAAGGCACTAACCGAATTCCAGAACAAGACGGCCTCCCCGAGCAAACCGGCGATTCCTTAGGCGCCAGTGCCATGGCGGGAATCTCCGGTCTGGAATAATGGTTGGAGATGGACGTCCATTGAAGCAACTCGCAGGTCTTGGAGAGGACTACCCCATCCATCCTCATCTCGTCTGGCGCGTAACTCACCTTTCCTTTCGGGGACACGTGGCTTTGGTTGAACGCAGGTAGCCGGCAGGATGAGCACCGGACCGATCATATCAGAACCTGCTGGATCCAGGGGACAGCCTTCCCGGCACCCGCGCATGAGTGGACTGAATGGGGAGAAACCATACATCATGGACGTTCATTACGGGCCTGACGGGCATACTTGGTGGTCAGCTCGACTCCGTAGGGCGATTACACTAGTCCGATCGCAAAACCACAACAAGCATGTCTCCCCATGTCTGTCAGACAAGCCCGCCAGCCTAGCCTAGTCCAGTCCGTTCTGATCCACCGGGATTTGCAGCCGCAGCGACGGAGAAGCGCTTAATGGCCTATCTTTCCGTACTACCCCTGCTCATAGAGCTTCCTTGATGGCTCTCCGCCGGTTTTGCTGGTGACCGTGTTTCCTCCACAGCTTTCCGAACAGGATTTAGTTGCGTCCGGCTAACAAAGCACCAGAATCCTGGCTTATTACCTACCGTTGTTGGGGCTGCGTCTAGTAGCTTGTCAATTCGTCTTCTCTTGGCCGCTCTCACCCTCCATCTCCACCTCCCGTAGCGGCTAGGAACTGGCGATGCGTTCATCTGCCGTTCGGAGACTTTCTGGTGTATTTTTCACGCTTTTTTGACGGATTTGTAGTCATTTAATTATTGTTATTATACTTTTTCAAGTTTTTCCCTATCCTTTACCCGGAACTTCCTTATCCGCTAGGCTTTCTCCGTTGAACTTGACCATTAGCAAATACTGTCATCTCCAGCGCTAACCCACTGAGTGCCATTTGATATGGACCTTGGGCGGTTCGCTAAAGTATCGGTTTTTGTCACTCTTCCATGGCATTACCCATTCGACAGTGCCCACTTCAGGGATCCAGTACATCGGAACTAAGATCGCAGCAGGTACTGCCTTGCTCTTGAGTAACGTGGGTGGGCCTGGGAATGCAAAGTCTGAGCCCCGGGGGGTTTTGGGGGCTGGATTGTCTCCCTTCTCATGTCATGTCAAGAGATGAGAAATTATTTCTCTCTCCTCCCCTGCCCCTCTAGAAAATGGAGCCATCCGCCTGGAATCAGCGGGCGCTTAAATGCAGGCGTCTGGTCATACCTACACCTCTGATTGCGATTCAAATTTTGCGGCACAGTGAAAGTGGGCGGTACCTACCATGTTCACTAGAGCTCTCTAAGCCCGATCACCAAAGGCTTCACACTTCTGGCCTGCCTTGCGAGGCATTTTGTCTTTTGTTGATATCTCCTACTCGAGTATATGAACCCACACGCACGTCCATCAAACTTTTTCCTCTCCATCCTTCCACATTTCATTTCAAAAGCAATCTTTGCCCTTCGCCTGACGATTACGACTTGTGAAGAACTATAATTCTTTTCTATCTGACTCATTCCGAAGAAGCCTTCTTAATCACTCTACTCGTTCATTCGCCCAGTTTGATCATCTATTATATTAGTCTCCTTGTCACTGCTGGCAGTTTGCCCTCTTGCGTGTTTCATCCACGTTACATTCATTCCACAATAACAGCCCCTGCATCCTTTGCAACCGAGAAAGCGCACGTTGGCCTTCCCAATGTATCCTCAGACACCCATTGGATACTCGGCGCCAATGGTGTTCAGCCATGGTGGCTCCAATCCTGGAGATGGACTTGACGAGTACTATGCCAGTATGCAGCCTCAGTGGACCGCACTCGATACTGTACGTTGTATTCAGATGTTATTGGATCGCCGATTGCTAACCAGTCCGGCATATAGTCACCTTATACAGGTGTCAGCCATCCTTATACCACCGCAGCCGCTTTCCCGACTGGTGCCATCTTGACTCCGATCAGCCTTCCGGATAGCTCCTTCAGACCAAGCCCGGTGCTCAGTCATCATTCACAAGAATTCCACTACAACGTTCCCGAGTCTGTCCCACCACAAGGCCTGGGCATCACCGCACCCTTTCCCAGCAGTTTCCCTCGTACAGTCACCGCAGGTTTGGGACATACCTCAGAGGAACCCGACTTTGGCTTCAGCGAAGCCATCCTATCACCTCAACCGCCACCCGCAAAAAGGGCCCGACGTGGACCCAAGCAGGCAGTCACACCCCGGGAAGCACCGGTTACAATACTACCTAATCCTGAAGGGCTCCAGCGCATGGAGCAAGAGCGACGACAAGGGGCAACCGACGCTCAAAACAGCCAAAGGCCCCGGGCTCCGGGTCGGGGGAGGAGAGACCCGCAAGCTGAGGAAGAAGACGCATTTGTGGAGCGGCTTCGGGAGCAGAATCTAGCCTGGAAAGTAATCCGGGAGATGTTCCGGAACAAGTTCCACAAAGATGCCTCGGAGGCACGTCTGCAAATGCGCATGTTGCGGCGACGGAAGGAGCGGTTGGCACGGTGGGATGAGAATGATGTGAGTACGTGCGCCCGAGCTGTCGCAAATTGTCAACTAATTAACGATCAAGTCATCCAGATCCGACTGCTCATAAGAGCGCGGGAGTACTGGGAGCATGAGAAATACAACGTAATTGCACAAAAGGTGAGTCCCTAGGACCACTTTGACCCAATGGACCTTGCTAATTAGTTTACGAATTAGATGAAGGAGTTCGGAGCGGGACCGTACACTCCAGAGCAATGTGAAGCCCAACTGCGATACCTCGATGCACAAAACCGGGAGCGTAGCACTGGTCCGCGGACACGAATACCTGATCCTCAACAATCGCGAAAGCGATCATGGTCAAAACTGGCCTCCAGTGTGGCCAGTGGTAGTACGAAGTAGCATTTGTGGTTGTTTTGGGAATGTACTTTTTTGACTTTTTTTGGGAGGGATGATGAAGCGCATTATTGATTTCTTTGGGGCTTTCTTTTTTGTTGGGGGGAAATTACACGCAAGGATGATTGTTTACGTCTGGATGAGTTTCTTTTTTTACTTGGATATACCCTGTGACCGATTGCATGCGAATGACATATTGCTGGACGTTTTTGAGCAACGTGAATCTCAAATCATGGAAGCCGAGGAAGCGTCTCCCGACATCGAGAGAGTGAACGAGAATGCCAATCAAGGACGGGCCTTCTCTGGACGCTAATGCGACGGACAAAGAGACGAAGCCAGCGTCGTACAGCCCCTAGAGAGTTTCCCAGCTGCTAAGCGATCACAATTAAACTTTCTGGTCATCTAACGGCTGAAGATCAGCTCGACTAGAGAACCAGCTAGCCTCTTTGGGTGGGAGATAGGCTGCATCTGACGAGGTCACTTCTTAGCCGCCAGCAGCCCCAAGCCACACGACAGCTGGAGGACCTCGGTCCCTATGAAAGAGCCGCCGGGCTGATCCTCCACACGCTTACGTACAGATCCATGTTGCCTAGCAGGTTGCCTGACTGGTGGTGTTTTAGGAGGAATGCAGTCAGTGACTCAAGCAGTCTGGACCCGGTAACAAAACTACTACTCGGCTAAGTTTAGCCTGGTGTTACCGGCCAATGCAATGACATGCTCTGCCATGCCATGCACATGTACATGTACATGTACATGCACCTTTCAGCCGCAGCAGCAGGGATTGTCAACTTCTTCCCATGGCGCTGGTTTTACCGCCTGCTTTGGCTCCTCGGGTGTAGGACTAGTGTTCATGGCACAGTTATCTTGCGCACACCGATGACAACATGATCGTCTGCTAGCATCTAATTGTATTGCCTTCCGTCGAATCCTGCCGTCAGTCCTGCGCCAGCAGGCGGAGCACAGGATTTCCAGAAACAAGCGCCAGGAATGGTTACTGCGCTTCTAGCGTCGCTGTCGTCTTCCACCCCCTCCTCGGGGGGCTTGCTGGAAGTTGTACACGTCTTTGCCGTTGCATTCATTCCGTTCGGACCTTCTCCGGGTACTTGAATGATAAGTGTCTTAGACACACTAGCTATGAGGGTCGTGCATTCGTTCAACGTTACGGGGCTAGACACCCAGCATCAGGGTTTACGAGAGGAAGGGAGTAGCAGCAGGTGCCCGGGCTGTGCACACCCAAAACATAGGCTCTAATGCTCGACCTCCCCCTCCCCTTCTATATCCTCATCCAATATAGGAAACGTCAACAGGGCTGCCACCCCTCCTAGCCCATCAAGTCGCCTTCCACTCTCATGGTCGGAGCTGAGCACTCGCACCTCTCCACCCTCGACATCCCGTACCCGATCTACCAGCGATACCCAGCGTTTGCGCTCCGCCACGTCCTGTGACCTGAACAGCCGATTGGAGATGATCAGCACGCCACCACCGCGGCCAACGGCACCCTGGTCGACAGCGAATTCAACCTCGCGCGGACCATACGTCGCTTTGTTGGTTTCTTTGCGGAGCTGGTCGAGGAAGTCGTCCATGAGCTTTGTCTCGCGCGCGTACTTGGTGTCGGCAAGAATGGTTTTCACAGCCGGGGACTGCAGGACTTCCGCTAACGAGTGCAGATAACCGGAAGCAGAGTGTACAACCACAATACTGGGTAGGAGGCGTTTAAGCGCCGGCGTCGAAGTGGATGCCTGCGACTGGATGTACTTTTGGAAGCCGGAGGCCACGAAGCCTGGCGATGCAAGGAGAACCGGCCGAACGGTCTCGCTGCTAGTGAGTGAAGCCGAGCTGGTGTTGAATTCAAGCTGGCGCAGCAGCGTATCGAGTGTAACCTGGAAGAATTTCGACATGCCCTTTTACCACGAAGACCTGTCAGCATACAAGCCACTAACCCCAACACCGGGATGGATTATCAATAATGGTACAACCCACCTTATCATGATCACCCCCACCATGTCGTTTCCTGGGCACCGACATCTCAATCTTCTGCTTTAGGATAGTCTGAAACTGTCCGATAAAGCAAATATGCGCCAACCCTTCCTGCATCACCACGGCCACCGCCTCCGCCCTCCGTTGTCCCCCTTCATCCACCGCATCCTTCAACATCTGCACCGCGATACTGTCCCATCCGACGCCCTCGCCGTCCGCGCCAACTTCCTTTTCTAACGTGAAATTCCGATTCAGCTCCAGATCGAGTGTATGGTGCTGTCCGATCTTCGTATGTGCCGTCTCGTTCACAATAGTCCCGCTAACATGCAGCTGCGAGCTCTGCGGATCGAAGTCGAGGTTCTTGACACGGATCTCGAGCATCAAGTGGACTCGAGCTGAGGTAGTGGAACCGGTTTCTTGAGTTGTGGTGACACGACGAATAGCGCTGGCGCGGAGGAGATCGTTCGGTCGTATGAGGTTGTATGCGTGCCACTAAAGCCGTTAGTTAAACAAAGAGCTACCCCTCGACCAGGAACAGAGTATACCGTACCATGTCCTCAGGCTCCTCAGGACACAAGGTCACCGTTCCGGAGCCATTGTGCTCGATCTTGTTCTTGATGAGACGCATCTTGGCTGTAGAGCAGCAAGGTTCCTCGCACGGCGGGGTAACGTTTTGATAACTGGGACAGACAGCCTCGCGTGGTAGCAGATGCCCTTAGTTCCTCGACCTTTGATTATAAGCTGAGGAGACCAGTATTTTTATATGTATCACCAGTCACTAAGGGGATAGGGTATAAGTATGTGATCTTCTCGACGGATAGATCCCTTCCAATCAGGCTCTGGATGATGACGACCGAACTGGCTGCGGTAGCCTCAGGCCAGGGCCAGCTGCGGGACCATCCTAAAGCGGACTAGCGAGTGTGTCATCCGACCGAGGCCTATCGATAAGAGGGGGAACCCTAAGACCTAAGCCCTGGTCGGAGATAAGATGATCAGATAATAAGCCCATGCCTTTGACTAGTAGTGGGTTAATGTATCATAGTGGGTATGTCAATTCGATGAACATTATAGCAGAGAGTCCGGAGACTCTCCCTCTCCACAGATATAAATCATCGGGGACATATAGAATCAGATAAAATTACGAAGATTAGAATTTAGCACACCACACCGGACCCTCTAAACCCGAGCTCTCATCTCGGCTCAACTAATTTACTTGAACCCCCATGCCTTTCTGTTCTCGATCGACGTGGGGCGGGATGAGCGGCATTACTTTAATAATAGTTCGTTCAGTTTCTCGGGTCGAGGGAACCTTGAGCTCCGGCGGCGAGGGCGGCAGATATAAATTAGTCTCGTATCTCTCCTTGTTGATCAATGGACAGCTTCTTCTACCTTTACACACCTCTCTCTGTAAGAATAGTAGATCCAAGGGCTAGAGATCAAGATGTCCCTCTCGCTACAGTCAACCAAGAAAATGCTCTCGGGGTACGAGATTCCCGTTCTTGGATTTGGTGTGAGTATACCTTCAATTCTGTCTGGATGATACCGTCTACTAATAAGCGCGTGTTTTGTATAGGTCTATAAAACGTGCGTTCCCACCCATCTATCACACCTACCCACTCAGGACCATCTCCTCAATTAACCTATCATCAACAGTCCCGCCGACGTCACCGAATCCGTCACCCTCAAAGCATTGGAACTCGGATACCGTCATGTACGCACACCACACCACAACCACCCCCTCTTAACCTATAAACCAACTAACAAAAGCCAATTGGGGAACGATAGATCGACAGCGCCCAACTCTACAACAATGAAGCTGAATGCGCCCTCGCTATTCAGCGCTCCAACATCCCGCGCTCCCAAATCTTCTACACGACCAAGATCCCCACCACGCACATGTCCTACGAGAAAGCCAAAGAAGCGATCGAGACTAGTCTAGCTGCTGCCAAGGGATTGGGGTATATTGATCTGTACGTCTGTTTCCATAATCCCTCTACGAACCTACGATTTAGATGCTAACAGTACTGGGGGGAAATGTAGCATGCTCCTCCACGCCCCCTACGGCGGCCGCAGCGGCCGCCTCGGTGCGTGGCGCGCACTCGTCGAAGCCCAAGCAGCAGGGAAGATCCGCTCCTTAGGTGTATCGAACTACGGCATCCGGCATCTAGAAGAGCTGGAAGAGTATATTCGGAGCGGCGGGGGAGGAGAGATTTCCGTTGGGCAGTATGAGATTCATCCGTGGTGTGCGCGGGAGGATATTGTGGGTTGGCTGAGAGCGAGGGGGGTGGTGGTTGAGGCGTATGCGCCGCTTGTGCAGGCGAAGAGGATGCAGGAGCCGGTGTTGAGGAAGTTGGCGGCGAAGTATGGGAAGAGTGAGGCGCAAGTTTTGGTGAGGTGGAGTTTGCAGAAGGTTCGTCCTCTTCCTTCTTTTTCCTTTTATGGGGGATGAGGCGGGGTGGTTGGAGGGATGCAATGCTAACGAGGTGTAGGGATATGTGCCGCTACCTAAATCAGTGACTGAGTCGAGGATCGTGGAGAATTCGCAGGTGTTTGATTTCGAGTTGTCCGCGGAGGATATGGAGGAGTTGCAGACGACGGAGTATGCTCCTGTTAGTTGGGATCCGGCGAGGGATTCGAAGATATAGATAAGTAGATCTGCTGGATGAGAGTTAGTCACTGTCAATGGAAGATAGATTAGAATGAACAGAAAAAGAAAATAGTGAATAGAAACAAAGCAGACAACGTTAAACAAGACAGTTAGTTGATTCGGAGTAAACAAGCGGTGATAGGAAGCCAATCTCGGCACAACATATCCCCGTCGCGGCCTCCTTCCGCATTCCACCCCAACTACGGAGTACATCCAAACTATAATCAACAACACATTCATACACCACCACACACGCATGGCCTCTCCACAATAACCTCCCTCCCTCTACAGCAAGACATGCCTCCTCATCCTCAAATGTCTTCCTACTTCCCGACCACCCCCCAAAATGCCCTCCCCAAGCAAGCGCATCATCCTCGAAAAGTCCCGCACCGTGCGCCGCCGCTACCAGCGCAGCAACAAGCGCTTCCAGTTCACCGCATCGCAGATCGCGCGCATCGAGCGTGAACAAGAGCGCGAGAAACGCGCCCAGCAGCTCCGCGACAAGGAGAAGAAACGAGTCGCGAATAAGAAGAAGAAAGCGGAGAAAGAAGCGCGCGATAGAGAGGAACGCAGGAGATTGGGGCGCATGGGATTGCCGGATCCGAATGCGCCCGCGCCGCCATCGAGTCAGCCTTTATTGTTCAATTTTATTAAGAAGAGGGATGGGGAGGAGGGGGGAAGTAATAGTGGAGGTGGGGATACAGAAGTAGATGAGGGAGGGGATACGGAGGTGGATGAGGATCTTTTGGAGGATTTGGAGGCGGTTGTTGATGCTGCTGAGGCGGATTTGGATTTGGATACTGGGGATGAGGGGGAGGAGGGTGAGGGCGAGGATCATAGGGATGAGGCTACGAGTTGCGATCAGGGTGAGAATGAGGGTGAACAGCAGGCTCAGGCTAAAGAGGAGGATGAGTTCTCTGATTGTTGTTCTATCTTTTATGATGAGGATATCATCAAAGAGACGGGGAATACTACTGCGCCAGATCAAGGAGCACCGCAGGATAAGCCGCAGCCGGAGAACCACGCTCAGCCGGAGAAGCAAGCTCAGCCGGAGGACCACTCAGCTGCCGACTCATTCCAAGACGACACGGCACTCCTCCTCGAAGAATTCGGTCACGAATATGATATAGACGAGGAATTCGAACAAGCACTGGTTGCGCTGGATGCCGTGTGATCCGAGCGAATACTTTTATAGTATATGGCAGATAAACAAAGCGCTTCCGACCCGAAGGCGATCCGCCTGTCGGATAGCGGCGCCCCTCGTCGGCTCGGGCGGTGATAAGCTGGCGGCTCGCCTCCCCGCCACGAAACCTTCGATCCGACGGATTCAGCGCGGTGAGTGAATGAGGTGAATGATGGTAAGCTGTATTGGCATGCAGCGGATGCAGCGAGGAAGATGAATATCGGAACAGACAAGTCGTGGTGGAAAGAGAGGCCAAAATGTTGAGGCCACAGCTCCCCGCACATGACGTCGGCCACCAGAGCTAGGTGCATATCCGATCGATCATCTCCGGCAAGCATCTCCCCTCTCAACATTCCCACCTTTCACCTTTCACTATCCATTGGAGACACATTCCAGAAGAGACACCATGCCGACCGTCACCGTCAACAACCACCAAATCTACTACGCCGATACCCACCCGGACGGTGCTCCGGCCAACGGCCAGACCATCATCTTCATCCACGGCCTGGGCTCGTCGCAGAACTACTACTTCCCTATCCTCCCTTACCTGAATAACCACCGCTGCATCACCCTCGATACCTACGGCTCAGCCCGGTCCACATACACCGGCGACGCCATCAGCATTGCCTCCATCGCATCCGATGTCGTGGGGGTCTTAGATGCACTACAAGTGCCCAAGGCCGTGGCCGTCGGCCACTCAATGGGCGGCCTTGTAGTGACACTCCTGGGCGCACAGTACGGCGACCGCATATCAGGCGTCGTAGCTATCGGGCCTACTCACCCGTCTGAGAAGCTCACAGAGGTGATGACGCAGCGCAGCGAGACAGTCTCAAAGGGTGAGCAGCCACCAATCAGTCAATCCGAATGTACACTAACATCTATCCCAGCTGGCATGGAACCCATGGCAAACACCATCCCCAATGGAGCAACCGGCTCCCGCAGCTCCGCACTCGTGAAGTCGTTCATTCGTGAACTGATCATTGGACAGAACCCCAAGGGTTACGCAGCGCTCTGCTTGGCGATTGCTAATGCGCCGGTGATTGATTACTCGAAGGTTACGGCGCCGTACTTGCTGATTGCGGGCGAGGAGGATAAATCGGCGTCGATGGAGGGGTGCGAGCATATTCATGCGAGCGTGTCGAGTGCGCAGAAGAAGTTGGAGGTGTTGCGGGGAGTCGGGCATTGGCATTGTGTGGAGGCGCCGGAGGAGGTTGGAGGACTTATTGGGGGGTTTGTGCGAACCCTGTAACTGGCTAGTATCTTAAACTAGATTTTATCATGTGATTAAAGCTATAAGCATAGCGTATGAATTGGTATGATTTAGATACCTCATTGTACGAATACGTGATGAAGCTACAATACAGCACATGACCAAATCACTCTGCACTACAAGTCTAGAACAATGCACAACCCAAACGTCAATAGACAATCGCTCATACAATACAATTTGTCACGTATCGAAAATATATAGATAAACGAATATAGAGTATGAAAGTAAATAGATCAGTTCGCCGGCGCCCGCACCAACTTAACATCATAGTTCAACTCAAGACCAGCTTGAGGATCATCCTTGCGAGGCACGAAATCCACAATCAGCGAATCCTTGACCGCAAACACCGAGTCATTGGTCAGGTATTTATCCTTGGAATCGAAGATTTGCGTCGTGAGGGGCTTGTAGCCGTCATATGTAGCCTACACCATACCTCATTAGTATTTCCACATTCCTTCTCCACAGTCAATATACAGAAGAAGGGGGTTAGTAGACATACAATAATATGAATATGCGCCGGCCTAAACGGATGTCTATCCATCAACTCGAGCAGCTTTCCAGCGGGACCTATATCACCACCATAGTTAGCCTACCCCTCATCTACCATTCCCTCCAACCCATCCCCCAAAGGGGAAAGGGGAATAAACTCACCATCATCAGGAACCGGATACGGCGTCGGCCTCAAGCAGTAGAAGCTATACCGACCCTGCTCATCGGTCTTGAACTTCCCGCGGAGATTAAACTCCTCCTGCTTGGGATCCTGCTGCTCATACAACCCATTCGTGCTAGCCTGCCACACCTCAACAGTCGCCCCGACGAGCGGCTCCTTGGTCGCAAAATCCACGACTTGCCCGTGCATGAATGCCATTTCGCCATCGGGCGGCGGGGTCAGGACGATGTTCGCCCCGTTGTCCCGGTAGGGGGTGTCGGCGCGGAAGAATGGGCCGAGGATGGCGGTTGCGGTGGGGGCGTCGGGGGCTTCGTTGGCCAATGTATATGTGATTTCGTCTACGAGGCTATAGATTATTTGTTAGTATGTGTCTGTGTGTGGGGGTTTGGTGGTGGTGGTGGTGGTGGTGGGGTAAGGCATACGATTCAAGTCCGATAACATCACAAACAAGCTGTCCCTCGTTACGCTTATCATCGCTCATTTGACCAGCCCAGTTGAGGAGCTTCACGCCAGCCATCCATTCGTCCACGGTGAGTTCGTTTTCGCGCGCAAAGTCGTGGACGTGGCGGATTAGACCGGTCATCAATTGGCGGAAGCGCGGGGTCGTTTTGGGACCCATGCTGTTGATGACGTTGTCCGTGAAGTTGGGGTCGAAGCGCGGCATTTTGAATATCTTTTCTTCTTTTAATTTTCTGTTCTTTGATGGGTATGTATGTATGTGTATGGGAGGGAGGTATGGGGTATAAGTGAGGGAGGATGTAGAGAGGAAACTAGCAGAGTTGAACTAAGATGGTGCTTGGTGGTTATATAGTAACTAGTTTAAGTACTTAGTAGTGATTGTTAATGGATCCCCCGGATTCGCTGTCGCTGGTCGGAAAGCCACTTTGGCGCTGATCGGATGATGTTCCGATGTCTTCCCCGCACGTTTCGGAAGGAAATACTGGAACTTTGTATGGGAGATAATTCCCCACGCGGATTGATCCATTGCCTGATGGTTGCATACGGCATGCATTCACTAACTACTTATCCACCATATTATGCAATTAAGTATCAAGTACGATTCCTTCCCGTCGGACCCCCCTTCTGTCTAGTCCCCTTTTGCGCCCATTCCGACGGCCACTCCTGCACCACCTGTCCGCGTTCCCAAATCTTGCCCATCTTACGCTCCACCACCACATCCACAAACTCCAACGGCACTACCTTCTCTTCCTTCTCCCCCTCTTTCCCATCCTCATTCTGATTTATGCTGATCCCCTCACTAAGAATAACCCCATTCTCACTCCTCCAAAACGGACATCCCGCATTCAACGCCTTCTCCAAATCCACATAAATCAACACCTGCGCATCCCTCCGCATCCCCGAAATTACCTGTCCCGGCGCCGCCACCGCATTTCCCGCCAACACATCTTCCACTGCTGGCCCTGTCGCAAAATGTACCTGGTTGCGGCCCATGCAGCGTAGTCCACCGGAGGAAAAGATGGCCGGCCATGCGGAGTGGAATGTGCCGTGGACGACAGTGCGCGGAAGTTTGTCTTTGTCGGAGAGGGAGAGTTTCTCGAGGAGGTGCGCAGCTTCAACGGTCTTGATGCTGTGGCCTTGCGTTGCGCGGATGAGGTAGTGCGTGGGGTTGGTGTCGGTGGTGGTTGCAGCGAGGGCGGTGGTTGTGGTGGTTGTGTCAGTGGATTCTTTTACTTCGGGTTCGGTTTCTGTGGTGGGGTCTGTAGATGTAGTTGTAGGGGTTGGTTCTGTAGCGGTTGGTGTAGGTTGGGATGTAGATGGGGTGTATAGCAGCGCGAATCGCTTCTTATCGGAGTTGGCGACGGCGTCGACGATCTCGGGGAAGGTGACTTTTAGGGACTTAAGTTTGCGCCATGCTAGCTGTATACCAAATTCCATATTAGTTGGTGATTAATCCTTGGATTATGATTCTGCTGGGAAAGGACGCACCACGTCAGACACATTGGCGTAGCCTTGTGCATCTATCGGTAGGCCTTCTTTTTCGGCGGCGTGACGGAGAAGCAGACTTAGTGCTTTGGACACCGTGACGGCGCGGCTGGCAGGAGGGCGACCCTTAGGCATGGTGACTTGCTGAGTGTACAATCAAGTGTAATTGCGAGATCGGTAGAGATGAAATGAAGTCGCAGATGGAGTGTTAACGAGATGTGCGGAGAGTAAAGATGGAGGGGCTCGGCGGAACTTTTCCACCTCCGCGGGCCCACTTCTGCTCCCCGACTATCACATTCACTATATCGTTCACTCTTTGACATGGAAAAAAACTGACAGTCAATGACAATACAGTTAATTATATTAATGCTATTAATGCTTCCCACCCATCTATCTCTAGATTATACTTCATGCATCAACCTAAACTAGCAAACACCGCGAAATGGGTATATCACAATAACGCATCCTTCCCAGTCAAACAAAATCATATATCCGATCCTTTACACTTATTCCAGATAGGGTCACCGATCACAAATACAACTACACTCCGCCACCGGACACACCTTATGCCGCGCAAACCATTCCCGCGCATGATGCGCATGGAACCCATGGTTGCAATTGATGCAGAACACTATAAACCGCCGCATCAGTTCCGTCTCAGATGGCCGCCGTCCCGCCGCATCTGCCGCCACACAAGCCTTGGACATCGGGTCCGGCGCTCCTAGCCATAGCGTGCATACTCCGCACCGTGGCATATGGCGTCCGCAGCGGGGACATACTGTGCCGGACATGGCGGCGCTGCCCAGGGGATTGCCTGGCGTCGGGTGTGTAACTTCGCCCGTCACCGAGGGGGTCAGTTGTGAGGAAGCGTCGTGCTGCGTGAGTGGTCGTGTACAGTAATTGCAGGTGAGACTGACTTGTTGGCGGGGCGGGTCGACTAGTTTGCGCCCGTCCCAGGTGACGGCGAACTTGCGGGAGCCGACGTCGAAGCGTGCGCGCTCCAGTTGCAGTTTCCATGCGTTGATCTGCTGGCGGTAGGTCTCGCGCCAGGATTCGAAGCGTGCGCGGTCGGGTGAGGTGCTGATGAAGCGGGGAACGGTGTGGCTCATTGCTAGTACGGCCGTTTGGATGTCGTGGTACTTGTTGATATAGGATTGGAATAGGTCCATGGCGGAGTGGTTGAGTCCGGTCAGGAGGATACCTTCAATGTCGCCTTGCTGAATGGCAGTGGTAGTGGTTTCGTGGAGATAGCTCGTCAGGTCGTCGTCTGGCAGCCAGCGCAGCGCTACCTCGATCCGGTATCTGAGCGGAAGGGTGGTCTCCTGGATGACAGAACGCCAGTCGCCCTTGCTTACGAGCGCAAGAATCGCTCGCGCGTAAGGATCAGTAAGCTCCTTAGCGATTTCAGCGCAGGTGTCTTCCCAGTCTGAGTCGGTGTCGCCTTTCGCGGCTCCAGCAATAGCCATGGCGAGGAGTTTGTGAGCTTGGGTGGGCTCGTGGCTCCGCAGAGCCAGATACGCGAGTTTCGCTTCGTCTTGGAACATGGCCAGCGCAGCGGCCTTGGTGTGCTGCTTGTCAGCAGACAATGTCTTGACCATCTCTTCTAGCTCTCGGTGCGATTGCGCCGCGCCGCACAGTCGCAGGCACAGCCGGCGATGCTCGGGGTATTCAGTCTCGCAGCCTTTCGTCTCGGGGAGATTGAGTTGATCCTGAACCAGCTCCACGATGGTTTCGTGAATGTCGGATGCCGGGTTGCCGCCGACTCGTCGGTCATGGAGACTCTCTCCTGTTGGAGTCAGCCATGCATGGCATCAGGCATGAGGTGACATACCTAAGTCATTGTTCCAGACATCGTAAACGCCCAGGTAATTCAGATCCAGCCCGTTGATAATCATAGATTCGTTACTAGAGTCGGAACGTGCGCCTAATGCGGTCAGTACAATCCGTGATACTCGGCTGCGCACTTACGTTCAACCCAATCCCAGAAGCCCTGCAGCCACGGGTCATCAGCAAGTATTTTCTTGTTCCGTGCCTCGTCAAACAGATAGCCTTCTTTGCAGCGAAACCGGTTCACCGACAACAGAGTCAGAGCATCCTTCACAGGCAGCCGACCGCCCAAGGTCCCCAATGACAAGGCATGTTCTCTAGCCTCACGGCTCGACAAAGGTGTCGCTGGCCGGTTGACGGCCCGGCGTCCTTTCTGCGAAGCCTGCCCATTCGACTCAGATGTCGCTCGTTCGCGGAGGTCTTCCACCATCTCCGAAATGCTCAACCCGTGACTGGACTGGGGATTGATCGCTCGGAAATCAGAGTCCTCATCTGTGGTACCCCATATCAATGTTCCCTGCGACGAAAGCCGCACGGGCGGCACTGGAGGCTTCGCAGTGAGAATCTTCACTTCATCATTGCCGGAAATAGTGATGGCGCTGGGCTCATTGCCCGGACTCATATTGAGAAAGTCATATGCCACAACCCTGTCCTTCTCATCGTACCCCCGAGACGGATGGTTGTAAGGCGTAACAACATCTCGGACGTGCTTGGTGTAGATCTGCTCGGGGTAGTTCCTCGCCGCGCCCTGCCCCAGGGTCTCATCCATGGACGAGCGCATCTCCTCGTCCAGATACTCCTTGACAATGTCGTAGGTTTTGAAATGCCCCGTATTGGATAGCACACCCAAGCAGCCCCTCTTGGTCCTAGAGAAGCGCAAACTCCAGATAGTCGACTTGGGCGCAATGACATTCCCGAACTCCAGCGACGGCCCCAGCTGGCTCGTCTCCAGGGCATTTGCCGGCCCAACAGCCGGCGTAATGAAGCGCGACCCAATGCGCCGATCCCAGATACAGATAGTCGGGTCATTAGTAGGCTGACAAGACGCGATATAATTCTCATCGAGCCAGTCAATAGCAATGTTATGCACACAGCGAGTGGGAAATTGCAGCGACGGGTTTCCAGGTCCCTCTGTTTTCAATCAGCACCCACCCACCAGGAAAACAAGGAAGAAACCCACCTCTCAAATCATAGATCCTCACAAACTGCCCCTTCACTCCCGTAACCAACGTATCCGGCTGATCACTAAAGAACTTCACACTAGTAATCGGTTCCGAACTGGCCAACTTCCTCAACGGCTCCACAAACCCCTTCACAGCCTTACTCGCCAACCTCTGATTAACATCCCAGATGTTCAAACAGAAGTCATTGCGCACCCGGTCCAGTCCTGCAGCCAGCAACCCATGCGTACTAAACGCAACCGCATTACAGTACCGCTGATGTCGAATCGGAAACGAGTACGATTCCTGACTATCGCTCTTCATGCGCAGAATCGTCGCATCCCCGGATGACTGGCCCACCGCGACCAACGATTCATCCACCGGTGACCAATCGAACGCCCGGAACGCGGGCACTTTCGTATGCGTCGCTAGCTCTTCATGCTCTAGACGGCCGCCGCGCTCATATGAGGTTACCTTGCACAATCGGAAGGCTTTTCCCGTCACGTCCACGGTGAGGAAGCGTTGTTCGCCTGTCGTGGAGGTGGGGGACCACCGGATGGCTTTTTCCATTTTTCTTTTCTATTTTTTTCTTTTTTGGGGTAGATGGATTGTGGGTTTTGTGATCTGTCCGCTTTTGTGTGCTTTAATGTGTGCCCACCTCTCACACACTCACACACTTACACTTGCACGCCGCAAGCCCCTGTGGTCTTTTCGGGGGCTGGGGCTAGGCTGGGCTGGGCTGGGCTGGGGCTTCGTCGCAGATGCGACTGGACCGGTCACCAACTGAGATATGATTTCAGCCGCGCGAATCTGATGTGTCACTGCCCATCGGTGGGGGATTATTTCTTCTTCTATGATTCCCAGTGTCAATCGCACATTGGGGAGACTGTCTGAGCAACAGCCAGGCCTGTAACCCCCGATCCTGTTGTAAGTAGAGATGAAGATGGTAAATTGTAGAGAAAAAGGTAAGAGAATAGTAGTACTAGTTCAATCCATATCCTTGAATTGCGGCGCGCGTCATGGGACTATCCCCGCGCTGATTGGCCAATCTCGTCCTCTCACAATCCGGGGAGCTTTTTTCCCGGCCCGATAAATGATCCGGCTATTATCACTTTTTCTTTAATTCCATTAAAATAATTCAAACAATTATCATCTGCCTCCCCTCTTTTCCCTCTCATTTTAGACGCTCCCGGAAACCAAGAATTCAGATAAAAATGCCACGAGAATACGCCCCCGCCCACAGAAAACGCAAATCCCACGATATCTCCGACGATGCCGATGCTGCTGCAGCGCCCGGAGCCGGAGCAGGCCCGCGCAAGAAAATCCTCCTCCCCAAGAAAGAACACAAATACCCGTCTGTCAACGAGCTCAAGAAACGTATCCGGGATGTGAAGCGTCTACTCAACAAGGCGGATTTGCCGGCCGATGCGCGCATCGTGCAGGAGCGCGCGTTGTCCGGGTATGAGAAGGAATTGGAGGATGAGTTGAAGAGGAGGGATCGGTCGAAGATGATTAAGAAGTATCATTTTGTTAGGTTTTTGGGTATGTTTTTCTTCCTCTACCCCCGCCCTCTTTCTTACGATGTCTTGCTGTGCCGTGGTTTTTATATGGGGGGCTGTTGCTAATTTGAAACTCGATCTGTAGACCGCAAAACCGCAACCAAAGACGTGAACCGGCTGGTGCGCCGCGAAAAGGAAGTCTCGAGTGCTGGACCCGATGCCATGGATACCAAGACCAAGGAGAAGAAACTTGCTTCGTTGGCGGAGAAGCTCCGGGTCGCTCGCGTGAACTTGAACTATACTATTTACTATCCGTTGGATGAGAAGTATATCGCCTTGTACGCGGAGCAGAAGAAGAAGGTTAAGGGAGACGGTGCTGAGGATGGTGGTGATGGCGCTGACTCGGACGGTGATGCGCGATTTGGAATGGTGCATGCGACGGTTGCCGATAAGCCGGCGATGTGGCATGTGGTGGAGAAGTGTATGAAGGATGGGACGTTGGATATGTTGAGGGATGGAAAGCTGGAGTCAGGGGCGAAGGCTGGGGAGAAGGATCGGAAGAAGGAGGAGAGAAGTCAGAGGGCTGGTGATAAGGCGAAGAAGAGTCAAGAGCGTGGGATGTCGTCGTCGCAGGCTGGAAAGAGCAGGGACAGGTCCAGGAAGGTGGATGATAGGAAGAGGTCTAGGGGCCCTGCTGAAGACCATGTCATGCGGGATGCAGGCAATGATGACGGCGATGAGAGTGATGGCGGTTTCTTTGAGATGTGAAATTGCCATGTCTGGGCTGGTTGAGCGTGAACGCATTTTCTGGAGTTGGAGTTACATGTCTTATCTGTTTCTTTCCTGGGCCTTTCTCATTGAAGTGTGCGGCTATGCCCTTATACGATACCCAATGATCAAGTGTTTTCAACTATCCGAGTTCCTACAGTAGAACGACAAAGGCTAGATGCTAAGAACCAGTTCGAGTCTAAAAGATTGTTTGTGGATGCTTTCACCAACTCCGGCTTCGCCATCCTTCTAAGTACAGTAGATGAACGAGAAATACACGTCGATCGTGTGGCAGTTCAGCTCGCCAGAACACCCGAAAGATGCGCAGTGGTGACCCAAAGATTCTCAGAGCAGTCAACACTCCCGATATCTCTCTGGGCCGACTAAGTGACTGGCACTTGTCGCGAAATCATCATGTCATATCTCATAGCATGCTCACAGCAGAGCGATGCTTGCAAATCCCAGCACGCGGTTCCAGCTATCCTCTACCCAACAGGGCGAGACGAACGCCGGTACATGCGGGAACAAGGTTTCCAGAACCTAGTAAATCAAAACATTGAAACGAGTGCATCGCTCCAAACACACTTTCTCTCGCAAGATCGACCAACAGACGAGTAGTCACCTTACATGACACTGCAGCCTCCTGTGCCGCCGCCTTCAGTGTGTCGCCGTCTTCCTGCCCCAAGTGTAGTGACAGCTCCGACACCGAAAGCTGCATCTTCGTCGTCTTCGTTATAGATTCTCTCGGCTTCACGGGCTCGACGCCGTCTTCTTCTCACCCCGGATCCTGGAGCACCCGCTTCTTCGGTTGCCATCATGTACTCGGCCCACTTCCGATCCAGCCTGCTCGCAGCCATAAGATCACCACGGAGAACTCGCTTGTTGTGTTCATCCACAGTCGGCTGCCAACCATAGAAGCACTTCAGATGGATAATTTCATTGGGGTATACGGGTGGCGGCGGGGGAGGTGTAATAGAGGAAGCAATTACAGTTGTGGACTGATTAGGATCTACCGTGTGGGTGACAACCGAGACTGTTTGCATGGATTTGCGGGTAGCACGCGGGAGGTAGGCATTGCTTGAGAGGACTTCTCTTACACCGGCCCAGGTGACATTGGCGCAGTCAAATACAACCAGACGGAGGCCAATTTTGGGAAGGTTCTCATCGTAGCCACGTTTGCGCACGCGGAAGCTGGCCTCCATCAGGGTCAGGTCGGACACCCGGGTGTTGTCCATTTCAACGGAACGGAGGGAAGGGCAATTCTTCATGATCTGCAAGGTTCCAATGTCGCCAATGCTTTCACAATAGCTGATGTTGAGGTGTTGCAGGCGCGCAGCACACGGGGACTTGGCAAGCTCGAGAAGCGTATGGTTGGAAAGCCTCTCCATGTCCTCCAGGTCGAGGTGTGTCAGACGAGGAGTGGTCCGGATCACCGCCATAACGGATTCGTCGCTGAGCTCAGAGCATTGTGAGAGTTGCAGGCCTTCCAGGTCCGGAACATTGTGGGCGAGCCACTTAACACCGTCATCTGTCAATTCGGTACACTGGTGGATGTCCAAGTGTTTCAGTCGTCGCGGAGGGACAAGCGCTCGTTCCTCAAGAAGGTCCATTTCGGGGTCGAGTCCATGCACAAGTGCCTTCAGACACTCGTCTGTAAGCTCCGTGCGGCTCATGATCAGGCGTTCCAGGGTATTCCGCTCGAATAGTTGTAGGGCGAATTCGACGTCGTCGAACCCACGGATTTCACTCGCTCGGAGATCCTTCAAGTTGTTACAGGCGCTCACAATCTTCTTGAGCCCCGCGGTGTGAACGCCGGTGCACCAAGATACATTCAAGATCTGAAGTTGAGGGCAGGACTGTGCGATGATCGTCATGGCAGAGTCACTGACAGACGATAATCCGGACAAGTTAATATATTCCAGTCGGGGATTGCGCAAGAGAAAGCAGTTGATCGATTGAGTGTCGATGCGACATCCTTCCAGTGAGAAATTGACGACGTTCCGGCACAAGTCGGTGATGCGATCGCCTTCAGTCTTCCACTTATCCTTCAGTTGGACACAGCCCCGGAGATTGAGATCGCGAACGAATGGCCCACCGGCGGTAATTAGCTTCACAAGACCATCGCTAGGGATATCGCGGTAGTAGTCTGTCGTGTCGACTTCGGTCCACAACTGTCCATCATAACACATTTTGTTCCATGCCTTCGAAACAGCAGCGCAACGGACAATCTCCTTCGGGGTGAGGTACTGGAAAATGCGCATCTTCAGCTCATCGGGCATATTGCCCCAGAAATCAAAGACCTTCTTTGGCTTCGGGGACGACCGCGCCGTGGCAGGTTGATCGGCTGCATCCGATCCCAACGGGGACCCACGAGATCCTGGTCGCAGATCGGTAGGCAATGGAACTGTCCGCGCATTGGGTGAGTCGGAACCGACAAGGCGGATTCGAGGACTTCCGTCATGGTCTACTGGAAAGGCAGCAGCACCGGGGGTGATTGGACGGGCGTTCAATCCGCCATAGAGTTGAGAGGTACTTCCATTACCCAGGCAAGGAGTATATGCGGATTGAGAGAGGGAGACACAGGACAAAGAGGCCTTGTTGTCACGACGGTATCCCGTAGAATGGGACCGGCCCCGTCTGGTCAGACTCGGACTTGACGAGATGCGCTGCAGGCTCTGTAGCAACTTGTGACGTCCCTTGAGTTTGGGCGGCTGTTCCAAAGGAATCTGGCCAGTTGAAGACGCCGGGCTCGCCGGCGAGGCCGCTTCGGGCGAAGCCCTGATTTCATCAGGGAATGCGGTAGCCATGACGGAATTGCGGTTTCGAGATCCGAGGCTCTAGGATGAACAGAGTTCTCAACAGTATTTCGGAGAAGACGGAGAGGTATGCGGAAATTGTGTAGACAGTCGGACAGCTAGCCTGGACGATTCGTGGCAGCGACAAGCACAGGTGGTCGCAGTAATCCAGTCCTAGGCAGTCATAATGAAGCCAGACCGCCAGCCGTTCCGCAAGTATGATTCTCGAGATAGCGATAGCCGCAATAACACCGTTATCACCCTAATCGAAGCAAAAAACGCCGAACCCCGATCCTGCGGATGGACAGGTTTTGTCGAGAGAGAGCGAAGAGAAAGCCGAATGGGAGAGGATGAGGGTCAGCAGGGCAGCAGGGCAGCAGACAAACAAGCGACCAAATTCGGGGGAGAGTCTCGGCTAAGAAGTGTTAATGCTGGTACCATGGGACAGGAGACCGCGTAACCCCGGAGAAGTGGCAGCGAGTGCGGGTGGCCGGCACAGGCTTTGGATTCCCTCCAAGTAAAAAAGACACTGGGTTTCCTGCAGACGTCACCGAAGCATCATCCAAGTGGTCAACACGAAAAAGTAAAGGAAGCAAGCAGTAAGGCTACACGCAAACGGAAGACCCTGCAGGAGAGCGAACAGCGAAGATAGAAGCTGATGGGAGAGAAAGAAAGAAAGAAAGCAGGCAAGCAAGAATGCAAGCAAGAAGACAGAAGGGGGGAAAATCACGTAAGGCTGGCCAAGTCAGACGACAGCCAATTATCGTACAGCGAGCAACTCACCACCACCACCAGTAGCAGAGAGAGAAACACCGAAACGAAAAGAGAGAGAGAGCGTGGATACTCCATGGCCTGCATGGCCACAGAAACAATGGAGTCGGACCGGGCGAGCTTACTGAATTGGACCATTCACAGCAGCCACCGTCCCCCATTCTGAGCAACACATAGCCAGTCAGTGGGAAGGGGGACTTTCCGAACAATACCGTACCTGTCGGGGATCCTTCAATAGTCAGTTTCTATCCGTAAGACGTGAGTTGAGTTACCCCACAGGCTTATCGAGACATTCCATTCTCTCCCTCCAGACTTATCGATTAGCGTGTTAATGGATTCCCCACTTGGCTCCCAGGCGGTGGCGGTGGTTCCCGGCGGAGTCACCACGCGTTCCGAGAGGCATTTCTTACCGTCTGTTCCGGTCAGTGAATGGTCAATTTAATTCGAACAATGGGCTTCTGATTCATCTTTTGCAGAGGCAGATAAGAATGGTGGTCTCATGGACATACTACTCCGGATCAGAAGTTCAAGTCAGCCGATCAATCGAGAAAGTTTCACCTGTCAAGATAAGGATGGCGGGAAAGGGCATTACGATCGGTATGCAAACGACTGGGAAGAACGGTAACGATAACAATGATAGTATTTGGTGTTATAGACCCGTCTCGTCGAGTGGAGGCTTAGCTCTTTCCTTTCTCTTTCACTGTCTCTTCCCTGTTCCTTGTCTTGAAAATGCAGTTACCTGGAGACAGCACATCCCTCAAGATTCTGCAGACCATTACCCATTTGCAAACAATACACTTGAACAGGACAAACAGACAATTACCAACTCAATCTCAATCCCAATCTCAACAACTCACAACACACAAACGCCTCTCCGAAGAGAACCAGTGAAGAAAAAGAAAAGTAGAATAGAAAGACAAACCCCCAAACCCAATCCCTGTACATCCTCCATCCTCTCCTCTCCCCTCTCCACTCCCACCAAAAACAAAACCCAAAACCCACTTTAAACCCACCAAGCAGAGCCCAGAACACCACTCCCCATGCCACGGTACACTGAGAGACCAGCCCAAAGCACCACAACAAGACAAAGGCCCAAGCCCGAACCGACCGGGGCTCCGTCCGAATGGCGGAAAACGGCTTTTCGTTCCTGGTCGGGTTTGTTCCTCTTACCTTCCCGGATTGTGCCCAATGATATTGCAATTGGGTGGGGGACTGTGGCTAAGTCAGTAAGACAAGCGATACAGGTGGGTGAGGAGAGAAAAACGGTCGTGTTTCTCCACCCCACACTAAGTAATTCCGTACAGTGCTAGTATGTATCTAAAGGATGGATGCTGAGTGTGTGTTGCTGCCTGGGTTGTAAGTCGTTGTTCGCCTCTCGGATATACACAGTACTAGGACGGAGTGAGTAGGTGTGGTGGACATCGCCACCACTGAGAGAGAGAACACTGGTTAGGAAGGAAACTCTATGTATCGATTGATTAACATATTGACTACTTCAGGTATTTTCCTCATGAAGTAAGGAGAGAGATAGATACATGCAGAGTATTTACTTAATGCGATAGATAGACTACAGTAGAGGGTATCTACTCGTACCTGATTGCTTGACTGACTGACAGGTCACCGGCCAATTCCCCCAAACCAGTAAGGCACCCATTCATCCATCCATTTATCCATTCAACCCCCGTCCTAGTCGATACTTAGTATCCACTTCTTCATCCCTGGGTCCAGTCCAAGTACCCATCCACTTTTGTCACATTCGCTAGTAACAAAGTAGATACTTTCTCTTACTTATGAGATAGGTAGGGGTCCCCCGGGGCACACTTGGTTTCCCCATTTTGGAGTCGATGTACCCACGGAATAGTAGAAAGAGTATGGTGTATAAAAGTGACCCAACATGACTAGCGCTACTTACTTTTACAAACTGTAGTGGTTCGTTGGAAAGGGGGAAGGATAGACCTTGGGTCCTCTAAGCCGAGGAATCTGACTACACAGTACCTCCTGTTAGGTGTGTGATCTCACAATGCATCACGGATCCTAACCAGAGTTTCTCAGGCGGCTGACGGCCACGAGTTCTACTAGTTACTTCGATAGCTAAATGACTACTACCGGTATGGCTAGACTATTACTTTTACGAGCACTAGCCTTTGGCCTTTTCCCCGCTTCTACCCCCGCAGTTGATACGGTAAGCCCGGCGAGATCCTCGCGCCATGTGGAATACGAACCAAACAAATGGTGACTAGGTAAGTGCATGAATGCGTCGTGTCTTTCTATTCGTGCCCGCTTATTCTAACTGCAGACAGGCTCTTGCTGGCTTAGAAACATATAAACACTCATAAAGGTAAAAAAAAACGAAGAACACCACCGCTGAGGGTATATCGGATCTCTCATATGCACGTACTGCCAATTCTCATCACCCCTGGGCCATGCATGGAATCAAAGATGGTCCAAGTAAATGCAAAAGAAGAAAAAGAAAATCATCTAAACCAAAAGAGCATAACAAGATGACGATGGGGTATCTCAGCCTCCGTAAACCTCTATACAAATGACCCACGGGCCTCCCGGTCTGTTCAGGCATTTTCGTTATCATCCATTCCAATGAATCCCGTCCCGTCTCGTGCTCCAATCCACAAGTCCCCCACGCTCCTAAATGCCCTTGAACCTGTTCATCCTGCTTGACTCCATCCATTTTCATCATTTTCAATCATAAGTGCCACTTCATGTGGAGTCATCGCATACGCTGGTCGTCATCTCCATCTTCAACATGATGGAAGTAAAAGCAAGATTGAGAAAGACCCATGTCTTTGCATAGGCGGGCGTGCGATGTCTGGAATGCTGCACAATAGTATCCAACGTATCATGCCATGGCGCGTTTTTATTTACTTTGTTGTCGAGCTCAACTGTCAATCATCCATGGATGCTCCAAAACTTCACTTATCGTCAGCCGGTTGTCCACATCTCGGTCAAGCATCCTTCGGATTAGGTCGATGCAATCCTCCGAGAAGGGCAAGAACGGAACTCGGAGAGGGTGGTCCAAGATCTCGTCAACATTGTAAAAGGGATTCTCTTTGTAGACGATGGTGTAGAGTAAGATACCAAGGGCCCAAATGTCTTGCTCCTTGCCTCGGTAGGATTTGCCCTGAAGAACCTCGGGTGCCGCGTAATCTTGGAAAAGTTAGCTTTACAGATTTAGGCTAAAGAATTGGGATATATTTACCAATCGTGCCCACGAACACATCAAAGGGTCCATTCTTGATATAGGCGGCACTTCCAAAGTCGATCAGCTTGATCCGACCCTCACCGTCTAGGATGACGTTCTCATCCTTGATGTCGCGATGCACAACCAAAGCCTTCGTATGGAGATGATGAATTGCGTCCACAACCTGCTTGAAGATGTTTTGGCATTCCGCCTCATCCATATTTGCTTTCAGCTCAATGTAATCAAAGAGGTCCATTCCAGGTAGCCCGTGTGGAGTCATCTCGATGTAATAATTGATATCATCCTCGAAGAATCCTTCCATTTCCACGATGTTGGGGTGTTTCAGACCGTCGCGTCGGAGATAGTTCAGAACGTGGATTTCCAATGGCACCGTTCCTAGACGACGATCGCGGGTCCACGTATCGACCAGAATTCGTTTCTTCGTAACATACTTCAAAACGACTTTCTTGGTTGGGATTTTCTTCATGCGCGCAAGCTTGACTTCTCCGTAGGCCCCTTGGCCCATCTCCTCGAGGATAATGTAATCGGCAATCGTTCGTTTTTGGGGCACCTCTTTAGTACCAGTCGGCCTTACTTCGGGCATTGGCTGGACTGGTTTGTCTGTTAGCGGTTGCGAAGCTGCCTCACTCAACGCCTGGCTCAAGGTAGAAGTCGGTATGTGCGTCTCTACCGATGTCCGCTCCGAGCCAATGGCATAGGGAGTAGAAGCTGTTGTGGAAGCCAGATTCGAGGCCGAAATAGAAGACGGGCTTTCGGTCCGGGACGGCGGAGAAGGGAAGCCAGCTGCAGGAGCTGCCGAATGGATATGTCTCGAATATGTCACCCAAAGTGCGTATACAAGCTCTGTGACAGCTTCAAACTCCGAGTCGCTGTGATCCCCCGAAGTGGATTCATCTCGTGCCTTGGGGAACATTGTACCGCTCTTGGCCACACGCATCTGGACATCAACAGCAATCGAGGAGCCATCGCGATGCACGGCAGCAAGGCCAGAGGGTTCTAGGAAGACCGAGGCCACATTGGATTTGCCATCGCGGAGAATAGAGAGGGTGCGCGCTCTCCGGAAGCTGGGTTCGGAGATTACTAGACCGTCAACCAGCGGTACACTCTCCTCCTCGGTGAGCACGTTCAGCAAGCTGTCGAAGCCAGGTATCAAATCATTGATGTGTAGGCCTTCAGGTCGCTCATGTCCAAACAGCGCTGACGAGAAGACTGAATTGGAGCTGACAATTTTCAGAGTCGAAGAGGATAGCACCATCATACCTGCGACATGAGGAAAGCTAGATATTCGAAGGCATCTTGAGCGATCGCCTTTAGTGATAGTGGACGGTATGCAGATACCAGCTGATGTGCGAGAAGCGAAGTACTTTGTCTCAGTGATTTTGTTGAGGCCTCGATCGACTGGAGATTCAAGGCAGTCGGGCGGAAGATTGGGAAGTAATTCCGTTATCCGATCTCCAGTTTTTGCCGCACCCTGACCCCAGACTTTGTCAATATCACCGGTGGCGTCAGCAATGTTCCAAGCTTCATCACAGCGAACGAATACAACATTCTCCTGGATCTCCTCCATGACCCAGATCAAGCCACCACGCTTTTCCATCACCCAGATGCTGGCAGAGCCTCTCTTGCCATCGCGCTTCTCGATGGGTACCACATCGCCGCACAGCAGTACACCTCGTGACTTGGTTGCCGGGTGATTCAGTTGCCTTGCGCTCGAGCCGTATCCATCGTCAGTCTGGGCCCGCCTTGGAGCCCTCGCTCGAGAAGGGGGCTTGCTGAGCAGCTGCGCTGTTACACCATTGCCCATCCCCATCGATTTCGGATTCACGGGCTTGACGCGAGTTTTATCCGGCGAAGGTTGGGCCCTTACGGCAGCATCAGTAGCGGGGTCCCGCAGTTTCGACTCAACCCACTGCCTGCGGTCTTGCTGTACGACTTCGAGGATACTTAGCTTGCGGAGCTCCGCTTGTGTGACACCAAAGATGAGACACGAGATGTCATTCGCCGCCAAGATGGTCCATGGTTCATGCGACTCGGTCCTGAAAACGGCTTGTGATGCGGGTGTCCACTTGCTGCTGTGGGTGTGTAGGACAGGAACCGGGAAACCATATCCTAGAGTTGAGGTACTGGTAGGAGATAAGGGGTCCGTGGTGGTGAAGGGTGCTAAAGTCTCCATCAGCTTGCCCTGGGCAGTAATAGAGCCAGCCTCGGTATAAGTACGTTTTTTTATGCTTACGCGCCTGGGGTACGGCCTTGAGTCTGTCCTCAGCGGGGATGCTAGATCTTCTGATGCTTGGCCAGAGGAACGCAGAGCATCGGGCAGACCCTGCTCCGGCGCCATGCCCTTGAACTGTTCCGCGGAAAGCTGGGATTCTGCAAATGCCCTTTCAAAGATATTGCCACTGTCCACATCAGCAGGTCCAGTCATAGGCCCGCGCGATAACCCAGCGTAGTTGTAGCGGTCATCCTTCCCCGAAACGCTTGTTTTCGACAAGTAGTCCACCACGCTTTGGGTGTCAGCATCTCCACCGAAACGAGCCTGAGCGCCAGCAAGCCCCGCATTGTTGCCGGTGGTCCAGCCGAAGCGGTCGCGCATGAAGTCTATTGACCTCTTCAGGATATTATGCCGATTATTCAGGAGTTCCTCGGATTGCTGGGCAAAGGAAAACGAGTGCAGCGATTCGCACGGGAAGCGATGGAGATCTTCTAATGTGCCAAATTCTTCGGTTGATGGCATGCGGCTGGGATGGGCTCTGGTCGAAGAAGCGGAGCGTGGTGAAGGTGAGTGGCTACGTGAGGTCATAGGCGCGAGCGATGAGGCAGACATGTTCGGAAGGGTAAAGACGCGTGATGGCTGTTGACGTATGCGATCTAGACCAGATGGGCCAAGTCCATGTTCATGATCCAGCAGAGAAGACCTGCAGAAGAGCAATAGAAAATTCCGTTTAGTTTCTGTCTGCGTGCTTTGCGCAAATGCATATACAATTCTAATGCAAGGAGATCCCCGCCCCATCGGTCACTTACCTAGAGAGATGATCATAGCCCGAGGAGAGGGTGTCTGCAGAGTATTTTATCGAGTCCTCCGTATGCACCGAGAGGCGTCTCATAAAAGGGTCTGACTCGGGCGACGCGGATAGGGGTCCCACGGGGGACGACAATGGGCTTGGTTCACCTGTATGGCAGGAGGTCGTTAGCTTCTGTTCTGCCAACATCCCTTTGCTCCCTCGCTAATTGTGATATCATCCGCTTCTCCTGCGCCCCTCCCGAATACACCCTTCAGCAATGTGGAATGAAGTGGCTGACTTGTTCCGAGATGCATATCCAAATATGTGGGTAAATGGTCTGGATAAGTCGATTTAGATTCCAATAGGTTGGACGACCATTTCGGCGAAAGTTCGACACGGTCGTCATTTCGCTCTTGCAGCTTCGCCTTCCCAGGCCGAAGCGCCTTGGTCGCCATTTGCGTAAACCTATCGAAATTGTCCTGCTTGAAGCCAACAACTCTTCCCCTGCTGGATTGGTGCGCTAGGAGAAGCAGCGGAAAGGGTGATGATCAAAGAGAACAATCACAGAAACTGGGAGACTAACCATCGGGATTATAGGAAGTAGAACCCATATTTTCCCAAGTAGGCGAGAGCGTAGGGGCCAGCACCGACCAGACCGATTGACAACAAGCGGTTCAAATCGGCGCAACTCGAAATGACTTGGAAACAAAGAGGGCTAGGAAAAAGTGACGGCGAGATTTATTGCTACATGGGATAACAGAACATTGACCATCCACGGCGGTTTGTTTGGCGAGACCTGCAAGTTTCTTGTCTGTCTGCCTCCCTTGTGGTTATCTTATAGGGAAAACTTTTTGGTGCTCTGCTTCGGGGTCTCTTTTTTCTTTCCCTTTAGTTTTTGTCTTTTTCTTTTTTCCACTTGCAGATCGGTGCGTTGGGGGTGGAAATCACGAGTTACTGCGAGGGGGGAGAGATTAACCAGGACCTCCTGCTTGTCGGGATCTCAATGCACTTAATGAGACAAACAAGACTTGCAGTGAGTCGGTCAGTCCGTGGTCGACAGTGAAGGTGGAGGGAGGTTAAAAAAGGCTGTCAGCGGACTGCGGGCGGGAAGTCGAGTGGGCAGCTGCCTCGTGAGGTCACAGGTACCATACAGTTGCGAAGGAGGCGTAGCACGCGGGGGGAGAGGAACAAGGTAGCTGGAGAAAGCCTAAGTAGTAAGGGAGTCTCTTGTTGGTCGGAATTAGTCACAGGGAGGCCAATGGCCTGCAGATGAAGCAGATGTTGCAGTGGCGGGTGGTAGAAGGGTAAGGGGGTGAGGTCGGCGCCGGGTCTTCGAACCGACAAATGTGGCCAAAGACTGGCCAAGGAAGAGGGGGAAGTTGTAATGGCCTCTCCAGTACTGGGGGGAGACCCGTGAGAGGAGGATCCGATCCTCTGGAGAAAGGGATGCCGTCGTAGGGAAGGAAAGGGAAGAAAAAAATTGGTAGAAGCGAGTAAGTCGGGGTGGGTAAATAGTGGAGACCGTAGTAGGGAAGATGAAGATGTTAACTTGACGATGTTTCTTTCTGGGAGGGGGGGGATAAATGACGTTCTGTTCTGGTATCCCGCGGACGTAAGACTATTAGAAGAACCAACAGAAATGAGGTTTCAGTTGATCCTTTCTCTTGCTCCCTTTTTAGTAGTCTGTCTAATGGTCTGTCTAGTGAGTACCTAGGTTGGGTATTGGGTCTTGTTTGGCAGCTCCACGCACGAGGAGGGGAGCTGTCAGGGAAGCCAAATAAGTAATAATAGTAGTAATGGTAGATCGGACTCAAACGGGGAGTATGTAAAGTCTTTCGAGAAGTTCAAGCTAGCATGCCAGTCAGCCTGCCTGCCAACCCGTCGATGATTTTCTTTTCTTTCCTTTTTAAAGAGTAGTACCAGGTCAAAGAAAATATCGGTGGTCCGGCACGGTCGGGGAGGTCGAGGGGAAAGGGGAAATAATACATGCAAAAAAGGCCTTCTTCCCCTCCTCATACCCATCCTGGATTCATGCGAGCCATTGACAACAACCACAAACTATGGAGTCACTAATGCAGTCCATCAATACCCTTCCAAAAACAACCTCCCATCGAGGATACTACTAGAGTTCCTAACTTCCTTGAGTCTAACATCCTCCACACACCGTTAACTACTACGGCTTCCAAGCCACTCATTCCAATGGAACCACCCCAACCATGCATGGTGGTGATGTAATTCCCGACGGGCTGCGGACGAAACCGATCATTTAGTATACTATCATATGGTTCGATCCATTCTGCTAACTTCGAAAACATGCTTCTGGACTACTCCAGCGTATTATCATTCTTCCGATCAATTCCTTGTTCGACGAATTTCCCCTCCAGCTCCTAGTCTACTACTCCCCCCAAGAGGAAGTGGATGATTCAACTTTCTGCTCGCCATCTTGGCGGCCCAAAGTAACTCGATCAGCCAGCCCCCGTTGCGGTTGTAGATCGCCGCAAGCACCGAATGATTCAATCGACTTGATTGGGACAGACCGCACAGGGAACTACCGGCCTTCGACTTCCATTAGACAGAAGGCCCCGACGATCAATTGTACACGTCCGCACTAAGCTCACCGGCGGGTTCCAGACCAATTGGCGTTCGCCGTGGCTGCACAGTAAAGACACTGTTTGGAACCTTAGAAGTTAGAACGTCTGCCAGTCACGCTGGCATGTGGAGGCCGCGTTGCTTCCATGGAAGATCGATGCGATCAAAGGGCCCCAGTACCGAAAAGTTCGTCGACAACTTACGCAAGTCAGGTTCCTGCTTAGGCACTTGAATTTCTTGTTGCCTACAATAGTCGGGCTAGCTTCAGGCTCCCGTCCGGCCTGCTATTCCCACTTTATACTCATTTCCTTCGTACATTCAAAGTACATTCATAGTAGTCTCTTGCCGTGGCAAAATCCCTACCCGAGTTCCCAGGGTGATGATAATTTGAAAATTATTGAGATGGACGCTATGAGCAAACGGACCGGATAATACATTTACGGCCCGTAGAGCCACGATGCAAAGGAAATGAGCAAAATCTGTAGTCCGATGCAGTCGCCTCAACAACGGCGATGGGTATAACGGATCACTAAGGTTTCTGGAGGCTGACTTCGAGAAAATATGTTGAGTCACACAGAAATCGCATCCGGACTATTCACGAGCTTTGGGTCCCCGAAGACTCCGCAGCGCCAGTCCGTCGGCCTCAGCGTCAGGTCTTCCATGTTCCTCGTCACCGTTGCCAAATAGGGTATTCGGTTTGGATCGCATTTCTCCATGCCGGGTCTGTTCGGGCGGCACGGATGCCGGACTAACGAAGCTCGAAAATTGTCGCCCGCCCCCGAGCATCCACGAAAACTCTGAATCTGCCAGTGATGGACGTACCGCATGTCGTAGTGGCATGGGTGAGGGAATCTGACCATTGCTTGAAGCTTTACGGGTTTTCGTCTCGCAATCAACGGATGATCGTGATGACTTCGCAGACATACTAGGTTTGCGCGTCGCCGACGAGGCGTCACTTGTTTTGCCCAGCACCGTCTCAGCTTGCTCGCTCGCGGGTTTAGAAGTGTCAGATAGCGATTCCTGGTCTCCCTCGCCACTTTCGCTGGGACCCTGCTCCACGGTACCTGGAGGAATGGAAGAGTCTTCAAGACAGCTCTGGACTGACTGAACTTGGGTGAGCGCCTTTTTCAAGGCGTCCGTGGTCTTTTTGTCGATACCCTCTGCTCTCATCAAGTGGCTCCGGATGTCATTTAAGGAATTGCCGAGACTTTTGGCCAGTCTCCTGTTCCGTTCCTCCAGTTGTTCAACCTTTGTCTTCCATTGGACTGCAATGTCGGTGCCATGGTCCCACGGCATGCCTATCGTCGAGCTTAACGGTTCATACCGTGCAGTCCGGGAATAGTGCTCCGACTGAATAGATTGCATGTTTCTCTTGGCTTCACTCACCGCTCCCCGGACAGCCTTGGCTACACCCCACGCCTCTGTCCGACGCTGTATGCCCTCCGAAACGTCCTGGAAGAGCGTCTCCAGACTCTTGGGGCTGTTCCTTGCAGGCGACCTGGAAGGGGAGCTGCTTTCGCTTAGATCTCTTGAGACGCTCCGCAAGCGGAACTTCTTGCTGTTTAAATGCTTTGGGCTGGGTTGCCCAAGTCCTTTGGTGGGATCCGGTGGTCTTCCGGAATATTTGGAAATAATGAATACTCCTCGATCAGGAGTTGGATTTTGCTCCAGGTATACCGCATCGTGTACGAAGCTCAGGGGTTCGTGGGGTTGAGGGGAAGGGTAGCGAAGCAAGAGACCCAAAGCACTCGAGGAATCGGCACGCAAAACTAGATCAACTTAGCACGTTGTAGCAAACCGTCTGCATAACAGATGTAACTCACGTTGCCATCGAATTCGAAGCAGCATGGCGACGCACACAAAATCTATGAGTTCGGCACGTAACCCCTCCGCAAAAAGGCGATCCCAAATGAGAAGAACATCTTGGAAAGCGAACTCTCGACCAAACAGCAGACGCATCCAACGCCTTTTGAGATTAGCATTGCAATTCAAGAGTTGCATAGCATACTGTACTTACGTGAGGAAAATCTGCGGTAAGATTTCAAGGGCTTGCAGATGATCCGCCAGCTCCAAATCTGCGGTTACTAACAAATCATTATGAATCCGGTGGCATTGGTGAACGATCGGTATAACGTCCGCCTGGCCATTCTCTGATCGGTGTCTATTATGCTCATAATACACGCGAACATTCTGCATAACCGAGCAAAATAATGTAAAAGAGTCGTGCTCCACATAATCGGCATCGAGGAGAGTGTGCATCAGGTCATCATCGGCTTCTTTGGCGCTGGACTCTCGCAGTGACTTTGGCTCAATGGCATCCCTATCAATGACCCAGAGGAGAGGAGCAAGAATCTCATGCATCCCTTGACGATAGCCCAAGTCGGGGTTCAGTTTCGAGTAAATGAACAAGATGTCGATCATTTTGGACTTGGTAGAGGGCTCGCGAAAGAAGAAATTTTCCTGCAAACATCGGTCGACGTCCTGGGCGATATCCGCCCTCGACTGCTCGTCATCACGTAACGTTTGCCATGGAGACTTCACAGGTCCTCTCATCAGCCCGTCAAGTCTTCTGCCAAAGAGAGCGCGGCCAGAGATAACATACCGCTTCATCATCCGCCAGTGGATCAACTGTCGACTGCAGGTCGTCTGGATGTTCGATGTATTTCAAAAAATGGGCTTTCAGGGCGACATAAACACTTCGCGAATCGGCGATCTTTTGCGACCATTGCGCTCGGTCGAGATCATCGAATAGCAGAAACGCCTACGCTCAGGTAAGCACGATGACCAGGTCATAATGGCCACGAGCGCATGCCTTCCAGCAAATAGACCTCAATCCATCCTCGCACAATTTATCTCCTTGTTCCGACCGAAGGGCAGTCCGGATATCGGCGGGGTGGTTATTGTCGCGAAAGAAGGTATTCCATCGTTGCCTGGCCGATACGTTAGCTGCATCTGTGCTGCAGATGGGGGACCGATGCATGGATATACCTTGTCTCCTCAATGCCCCTCATTTCACCAAATGGCTGCTTGCCGATATGAGTTGCCTCGTGTTGGCTAGCGCTTGGAGAGGTGAGGGGACAGAAACACGGTGCCGCCCGCAATTTAAGTACTAGCGGCGATCGTGTGGAGGAGCTGCTAGTGGACCGCCTTGGAATTTCCCTGGCTCAGCAGCCACACTTCCGGTCACGCTTTCTCTGCCTGTCCACCGGGGAGTGTCTAGTTTGGGGTTGGAGGCGCTCGTCGCTTTGGATATAGAGCTCGAAGGAAGTTCAAGGCGTTGCTTTAATTAGCTCTTCGACCTTTGCGACACATTTATTGTTAGACGTGTTCTCGTTCTTCAGGCCACAAATCACCTATCATTACTGCCAGTGCACACGCCTTATCTCCCGTCAATATAAATATATCATAGTCTCTCACTATCATACAGTCACCACATTATGTCTGCAGATCTCTTTGCGGAGTTTGGTATGGGAACTGCTCCCTCTCCTTCACAGAGAGGTTCAAGCCAGCAGTCATCCGCTGGGTTCCAGTCGACGTCTTTGATCCCTGACTTGGATGCATTTGAAGGATCTTCCACCGGTCCTTCATCCATCTCGAACAAAAACACAACAAAATCGGCTCAATTCGACGACGGCTGGAATGACTCAGCTTTCGAAGCGCCTAGTACATCAGGGCTATCCCAGTACGGGCACGGAAATGATGTCTTATTTGATGCCACCCTTGAAAGTGTTCCAGATGATGAAAGCGATGACTGGGGCGAATTCGAGACTGCGGACGTGCCTGCTACTAAACCACCATCAAATGCTGGGTTACAACCTCACAAAGTTTTGAAAGAATCTAAGCTCACGCCAGTCGCGAAAAAGCCGGCGCCTTCCGACTTGTTAGATTCATTATTATTAAGTGATGATATACCACCATCATCTGAGCGGAAGCCCTCTGCGAATCGGGTGGTACCTGAAGCACGCAAAAAAGGATTGCCAAATCCCAAACCGACTCTTTCTACCCAGGAAGACCCTTTCGAGGATTGGGGCGACTTCGTTGACGGCCCGCCTACAGTTCCCAGTCAAACAAGTACCTCAGGTGCTACAGCTTCAATATCCCGGGCGCCTCGCAAGGAGGTGCCGTCCCCCAACTCTATCGTTGGTCCATCGAAAACAATAAGCTCTTTCTCAACATCTAGTCATCCTACAGCAGCTGCTCAAGTCCGTCCGACCAATATACCTCCACCTTCTGTTTTGCTTGAGCTATTTCCTCGATTACTAGATGAACTTCGGCAAGACGCCGCCAAAGCAAGAAAGGATATGCAACAGAAAGAACAACTTGAGAATACCGCAACTCTGATTATCTACACGCTAAAGACTGCCGCGCGGGTTGTTGCCGGCAGAAGCCTACGATGGAAGCGGGACTCCATACTGAGTCAGAGCATGAGGATTGGCCCAGCTCGTTCAGGGAAGTCGGGAGGCATGAAGCTCAACACAGTAAACAAGAACGAGGATATCAAGGAAAAGCAACAAGCTGTTGATGTACTTGCCATGTGGCGTGACCGGACCGCAATCTTCAATTCCGTCGTTCAAGCCACCAAACGACAACCAGTTCAGGTCATACAGGAGAATACTCGGGTAACGACACTTCCTGCAAATCAAGGGGCTTTGAAGGCGCCTCACGCTTGTGCTCTATGTGGTCTTAAAAGAGATGAAAGGCTGCCCAAAGTCGACGAGCAAGTGGAGGACAGTTTTGGGGAATGGTGGACGGATCATTGGGGCCATACCGACTGCAGGCATTTCTGGGAAAGGAACAGGGGTCTACTCGGACAAAGGTAGAACGGCCACCGTATGAGCAATCAGCCGCGCAAACGTCAGCTGACATGACCGACCACTTATACCTTCGGAATCAAGCAAAACGCAAATCTTGGCCAAGGCTAATAGTAGCTACCGAATGGAATTCTGTAGAGTACGGAAGCTGCTTCTGCTATCATTGGAGGGGTTGGTATCATTTGGCAATCAACCGCTGGAAATGACTGGGTCATCTGCCAGATTCTGGACTTCTGCTGTAGATACTGGGCAAGGGATCTTCTAACATAGATGTCTTAACCCTAGGATACTGAATAGATAGATGCAAGTGTATCATGATGAACCATGTTCCAGAGCAACTTTGGCACGAGTGCTAGAAGCACTGACTTTTCTAGCTGATGCAAACTAGTCTGACCTCTAGTATCACAGCGTCACATAGATAGTCTTTATATCTGAAGATTAAGATGAAATTTTACCCTTGGATGTAATTGTATTGAGTCATAATACTAGTCTAGTCACATACGAGTGATAGGACAGAGTTTAACGAGACAAAAGTTCTAGGCGTTGACTCGGTAGGTGTGCATCAGAGGACAGTCATCAAGCAAGTAGCAGAAGGTCTCAAAACACACAGTCGACTAGTAATTTTGTGACCTAACTAAGATATATCCACAATAGACATCAATGGTTTTTTACAGACCTAAAAAGCGTGAGACATCACAAATGTGGATGACGCCGGAGAATATATGAAGGCAAAGAGGGGCAAAGCTGACGCGTTTTGACTATCTGTTATCGAAATCACTAGACAGGCCTCATCAACTTCATCTGCTAGTATCTACAGTATATCAAGTGCAAGACGCTTAATCTTGCCTTACTCCATCACAGGCGTGACTCAACTCCTGATTTTGTTTCAGTGGTAGTATACTTCATATATGATGTGAATGCACCGTGCAGACAGGTAAAGTTTCAGCCCTGCTTTGAAATCGTCTACTGCATTATGACTATAGCCAGGCTAGGACTGCCAAGAATTCCTACTATCACACCTTGTGCATCCAGGTGAATCTAGCGTGGATCCTAAGTGCCACTAAACAGGTCATAATTCTCACTCTGCGTACGGCAGAGACGGTATGCTACGGTAAGTAGGCTGCCATTATCGGCTCAACCAGGCGGGTCGGTGATAACCGCGATAAGGAATTGGTATGGAGATAAAGGAGTTGTGGGAAACCACTAGGACTATGCTGGCCACGGCAATAGCAGGGGATAGACATGAGAAGAAATGAAAGAAACAGAAGAGACTTCGGAACTAGCCAAGCTTACTCTAGCGGGTGGAGAGTATGATCCTAAAGGGAAATATAGCGGTCGTCATGGGGCCTGGCTCCCTTAATCCTGGTCCGATGCGGGGGTTCCCAGCTCCGGGAGCAGCTGCCCGATTACCACCTCCAACTCACCTTCTTCCATCTCGCTGCTCAGCCATTTCCTGTGCCACACCATTTCTTTCCCCCCAATCAGCTCATTCCTACCTATATTTTTACCCTGAATAGTCTAACCTTTTCCTTCGGTTTCTATCCCACTCTGTCGACCCTTCCCGTATCGATATCACCACCTGGCAGTGGCTGACCTGCCGTCTCCTCATTTGTCCTAGGCCCATCTCCGCTTATTCCCGACAAAGACGAGCCGCAGCTGCTTGTCACCACCCCCTCGAATACCTCCCATTCCGACTGAGCTCATGTGCAGTTCGCCGGAAGACTATATTATATTGGGGCTCTAAATCTCAGCACTAACTTCTACCTGGCAAGACAACCTCTTTCATCCGTCACAAGGTCCCCATTTTCTTGAACTACCGTACGAACAACTTCAGCCCCTCTTGCAAGAGAAGCGAAGCCACAGCAGGTTTTTGAATACGCCTTGCATCCTTTCTTGCCCCTCTCTACTCCTATAAAGCGTCGGGCTCTCTCGTGATCTGGACACCTTCATCCACTGGTGTATTCAGAGTTCACGTTTCAGGGCGTCTCCTGTTCAGGTGGCTTTGGGAAGGCAAGCACAATCAGGACACAATGGGTCTGGCATACAACATCTATCTTACTTCAAACAAAATCTTCGGGTGTAAGCAATGCAAAACTCACCTCGCTGACTACGACGATATCATAAGCCGGGTAAGTTGGGATTCTCCCATGACATATTTCTGTGACCTACTAATCATGTATCTTCGCTGTCATCCAGAATTTCCGCGGCCAGCATGGCAAAGCATACCTCTTCGGCAATGTCGTCAACATCACCTCATCCGAAGCGGTGGAGCGTAGCATGACCACCGGAAGGCATATTGTCCGCGATATTCACTGCAGGCAGTGCAAGGAGACGGTGGGCTGGAAGTATGACAAAGCATACGAGGCCAGCGAGAAATATAAGGAGGGCAAATTTATACTGGAAGAAGAACTGCTGTGCGTGGTGTGCTAGGTACCTTGATGCGTGCCGGGGCGTCCGTCTTCTTTCCAGGGATATTGATGACGTAGCATGCTGGTTTCACATGCAAGACTCCTGGGCGAAGGTCTGAAGACTATACCTGCGAAGGGCTGATACTTATAGTGAGCGTTTTCTTTGTTATATTGTCGTGGCGCAATGTGTATGGCGTTGGATGGAGTACCGCTTACTTGATGCGCAAGGAGTTCACCGCAGATCTGGAGCAATCGGTGGACCTGATTCCAATGCATAGCAGAAGCCTAGCTTTCCAGAACACCCCTTGAATGAATTTTTGCTCATTGCTGATTCCTTATTGCCGATAGCGTTAAATGCAAAGTACTTACTGCAACCTGAACCGCCAATGCCCATGTCTCCAACTCTGGTCGCGAAGTGGGGAACATTCCTCGGCGAGAAATCCGAGCATCGCTTGGAGCACACCATACAAGAACGAGGCCTGTTCCTAATCCTGCATACGGAGCAATGAAATGTCCGATTGATAGAATTTTATAGTAAGCGAGGAGTCAAAGGTTGAATGGCGGACATATCACCGGGGGAACTGGTCCGACTGTAGACTACGAATGTAACCATATCTTCTCTCAACATCCACCTGAAAATCCCTACAAGTGCGTCTAGAACCATAGCAAGGAACTGCACAACAAGCATATAATCCAAAATAATTCAGGTCACAGAAGGACCCTGGGGGAATCCGAATATTGCTACTATCGCTATATCATGAGTACTTAAGTCCGCGGGGACCCCGGCTGTCAAACTCCTGTCTCCCCCCCCCCCACTAATCATCTTTTTCTCTGCTTTATAATTTCTCCATAAAACAGACAATATCACAATCTCATCCTACATATAATTGACCTTCCAAGTACCATCTTCCACCTACCTCCCTTCTACCCCAACAGTCACCCCAATGACCTCTCCACCATGCCACCCACCCAGTCGCCGCCATCCGCGGTCGCTCACAACTCCGAGGGGAGAGGGAGGGAGGACCCACCAACGCCTCCGACCTTTCTTTTCCTCTCATGGGACAGGAAAACGAAACTGAGGGGCGGGCAAATAAGTAATAAACTGGCGGGGTGTCCGTTTATCGGACGCGTGCATTCCTAGAGAATTTTCCTCTTTCTTTGAAGTTGAACGGAACATAACTGTGAACACGATACAACTTATTTCTTCTTCTTTTCAAGATTTGGAATTCTCGGCCCCCTGTGTCTTAGCCCGAAGAAGGTAAATCAATCATGTCTGCGGACAACACTATGCGCGCGGTGGTTTTCCGCGGCCCTTATAAGGTCGCTGTTGAGGAGCGCCCCGTGCCTCGGATTCAGGATGCGGGTGATATTGTGGTTAAGGTGACTTATACAGCGCTTTGCGGGAGGTGCGTCTTCTATTTCTCTTTTTGTTTTTGGCAGAAGGGCTGATTGATTTATTGTAGTGACCTCCATGTGTACCGTGGCATAGAGCCTTCAGGGACGGGCTATGTCATGGGCCATGAAGTTACTGGTGTGGTTGTTGAGACGGGCGATGCTGTGCAGTCTGTCCAAAAGGGGGATAAGGTCGTGAGCGCTTTTACGACATCTTGGTAGGTGATTTCATTCGTCTTTGTCTTCTTCTCTCTGCAGGAGGGATTTGGTTTGATGATCGCTGCAAGTGATCATCCATGGGGCGTTCATACTAATGCATGCATGCACACTTATAGCGGGAAGTGCTACTACTGCAAACAAGGATACTCATCCCGTTGCGAACAGAATATGCTCCTGGGTTGCGACCATCTGGATGGTGCTCAGGCCGAATATGTGAGTCAATATGATGTTTGAAGTACGACGCCATGTCCGGAGCGGATGTCTAACGGTAATGGAACCTACGCTTAGATTAGAATCCCCAATGCGGATGGATCAGTCGTTAAAGCCCCTGAGGGCGTCGACGAGAAGTACCTCGTCCTCATGGCGGATATCTTCCCGACTGGCTACTTCGCGGCGCGGAATGCATTCAAGAACTCCACTAAGGAGCAAATCGCCGAGCAGACGGTTGTCCTCATCGGCTGCGGGCCAGTTGGGCTCTGTGCATTGATCAATGCGCTGGAGTACAAGCCTAAGCATTTACTGGCGGTTGACTCCGTTCCCGCGCGTCTGGAACTAGCCAGGTCGCTGGGAGCTGAGCCCTGGAACTTCCAGACTGACCGGGAAGGCCTCGATAAGCGCGTCCTGGAGTTGACGGAGGGACGTGGTGCTGATGCTGTCATTGAGGTGGTGGGATTGAGTCCGGCGCTGAAGACCGGCTATGACCTGCTGCGGCCGTTTGGCACCATCAGCAGCGTTGGTGTGCACAATGGAGAGGTGAGTGATGTTCCGAGTCCTTTCTGAGGTCTGTAGATTGACTGGGGACATTTTCAGATCCCGTGGAATGGCTGTGAGGCCTATGGAAAGAACCTCACGGTCCAGATGGGCCGGTGCCCTGTGCGGTCCGTTTCGGAAGAGGCGTTGGAAGTTTTGAAGAAGAACCAGCACCGTCTTGGGTATGTTACTCTTTCTTTAATCCTAATTTTGTGAATTTTGGGTGTTTGCAGACGCTGATGAACGCGTGGTAATAGCTTCATGGCCGACAAGATCATGCCCCTTTCGCAGGCGGTTGAGGCGTATGAGATTTTCAACGCCATGAAGGTGCAAAAGGTGATTTTCGAGGCGGATAAATAGAACAGGAATGGCACGTTGCTAGATCAATGAAGATAAGATACGCTTGAGCCCTTCCCATGACATGCAGTTTGGTCCAAAATGTCATCGATTATTATGTGGTGGTAGTAATCAAGGATAACTCGGCGGGTGTCAGCCACAGCAGTACAGCACGATCATCCCAGCCAGCGCGATGAGAAGACCAATTGGGGGATTTTTTTCCTGAAGTAGAAGTAAAGTAGATAGATCACACACAGCGTGAACAATGAATTTGAATTCGCGCGAGCCAGCAGCGTGGCGGGCATGAAAGGCAAGCAGGCATAGCCCTTGTTGATTGTTTCCCGCACGAGTGAACCGAAAAACGAAACTAAGCCCGAAGGTGTCGCATCAGCGCCGACTGACTGAGTGACTGAGTGACTGACTGTCTTTCCTCTTCTTTTCTTTCGCTCTCTCCTCTTCCTCTTCTTCTTCCTCCTCCTCTTTTCCTTCTTCCACCTTTTCCTTCTTTGCTCGCTTCCCACCACTTCCTCTCCGCTTCCCATCTCCCTCCTCCCTCCCTCCTCATTTCCTCTGCTTCTTTCTCCCTCTTCTTCCTCTCCATTCTTCATCCTCCTTTCCTCCTCTTATTCCCTCCACCTCTCTTCTTTCCCCCTTCCCTTCTTCCTTCCGACGTCTCTTTCGTCTTCCCACCCCATCTCCTAAATCCCTCCACCTTTTCCCCCGCCCGCCGAAAACCCCTCTGAATCCATCCTCGTTCTCCCCCCCCCCCCTCTCCGGTCTCCCATTCGACTACCTGCTCCTCTTCCCGGATTTCGCAGATTAATTCTCATCTCTTCGGATTTCCATCGTCTTTCTGCTTCACTTTACGACTTTAGGTAAGAACCATTATATTTTCCTGCTCCAATCCTGCGCGCCACCTCATTTGCTTCTTTTCTTGTGTTATCCCTTCACCGTGACATCTCGCGAAAATCATCACACCCCCTCCCGTGTGCCAACACTAATTCGTGGGAAAAGTTCCGTCAACGAAAAACCTTACCTTTTTTATCACCAGAATTTTTCTATCGCCCAAACTTCACCATTCCTCTTTTTACCGACATAATGGACCCTACCGAGTTGCACGATACCACCATGGTCGATGAGACCTCCCCCAACAACGTCGACATGATTGACGATGTCGATATTGAGACAACGCCCAAGACCGAGGAAGAGTACGCTCAGTCTATGCTGACTCTTCGCGCCATCGTTTCGTCCAAAGAAGCCGGCATCATCATTGGCAAGTCTGGCAAGAATGTTGCTGACCTGCGTGACGAAACCGGCGTCAAGGCTGGTGTGAGCAAGGTGGTTCCTGGTGTTCATGACCGCGTCTTAACCGTCACTGGTCCTCTGAACGGCACTGCCAGAGCCTATGCCTTGGTTGCCAAGGGTTTGCTCGAGGGCGCCCCGCAGATGGGCATGGGTGGCATTGTGTCCAACAATGGAACTCACCGTAAGTCATCCAAGTTATTCTACTCAACCAATATTTACTAGTGCCATCAAACTGACTCTTGTGTAGCCGTTCGGCTTTTGATCTCTCACAACCAGATGGGTACTATCATCGGACGCCAAGGTCTCAAGATCAAGCACATTCAGGATGCATCGGGTGTGCGCATGGTCGCGCAGAAGGAAATGCTTCCCCAGTCGACCGAGCGCATTGTCGAAGTGCAGGGCACCCCCGAGGGTATCGAGAAGGCCGTCTGGGAAATCGGAAAATGCCTGATTGACGACTGGCAGCGCGGTACCGGTACTATTTTGTACAACCCCGCTGTCCGTGCGTCTGTTGGAACCACCACCAGCACCAGCACCATGAACCAGAGCGTCGGCAATGGCTACAACAGCCGTCCTTACAACCGCACCGGTAACGGTGCTGACTTCAGCGACCAGTCCGGTGGCTACGGCAGGCGATCCAACCCCGACACCAGCAACCGTGGTTATCCGCTTGTCACCGAAGATGGCGAGGAAATCCAAACACAGAACATCAGCATCCCCGCCGACATGGTTGGCTGCATCATTGGCAGAGGTGGTAGCAAGATCACCGAGATCCGTAGGAGCTCTGGAGCCCGGATCTCCATCGCCAAGGCTCCCCATGACGAAACGGGCGAGCGTATGTTCACCATCATGGGTAGCGCTCAGGCGAATGAGAAGGCTCTTTACCTTCTGTACGAGAACCTCGAGGCTGAGAAGACCCGCCGCAGCCAGCTTCAGGAGTAAACGACCAGCACAGCTTCACCCTCCTCTTCACCCGCTCGACCCTCAATGAACATCCTTTTTCGGAAAACTCTAGTCGCGCGATCACCACTGCCCCTTCTTGTGCTACTCCTTTTTGATTCTTGATGCTGTCGTTTTCTCATACTATCATATTCTCTGTTACTCTATAATTCCTCTCGTATGTGGAGCTTCTTGCGCTTTACAAGAAGCCGGAGCCTGCTGAGGCGGACCATGCATGCCTGTTAGATACCAGTACTATCTCCTTGAATGAACCGCACTCGGAACCAACGACATCATGTCCCCCCACTGATGTTCCTGACTTCTCCCTTTACCCGCCCGTTTCGTTCCGTATCCTACCTAGTCTTGCCTTTCCGTCGCCGTTGATTGAAAAGTTGCTCTTCCTTCCCATCCGAAACCTCAAACCTACAATGAAACTGGGATCCCCCCTTCACACAACTCGCAATCTTTTACACACGCACACACACTGCCTTTGTTCTGTTCTACTAATCCTCTCTTCTTTTCTTGTCGAGCAACTATCCTCACTTACCTGTCACATGAAACATCTAAACCCAGGGGGCTACCCAGCTGTTTTTCTCTATTATATGCAAGGGTCCCTCAAATTTTCATCTCCGGGCTTCTCAGGCATGTACAATCAGGGACCAGGACTATCGATACTACAAAATGAAATGAAAACCTAGTGTGATGGAATATGAACATTCTCCATTCCAGAGGATGCTAGTACCCAGCAGTAAACATAAATCTATTACTTTTATTTATCTGTGGTATCAACAACAACCACCTACTCTCATACTAGGTAAGTAGCAGACAAATAACGTCATCACCCAGAATAAGCAAATCACCTGATCATCACAGCCCACGACGATCATCTGATCCCATAGACTGAAGAACATGACGACGGCCAAAACCACATGATCATCTGACCCTAGACGAACCAAAAAAGGTTGACGAACTACTAAAATAATTTGAAACTAACCGAACCGTCGATCATCAGCTGACTGGCTTGGCTGACTGATTGACTACTAACTAGTTAACTATTTATTTAGTAATTAAACTACTTAGTCGATCGATCGATCTTCAATAAATTGTCCGTATGGGTTTGCCATAATTAGACTCAGATTTCGCTACTATCAGGGAGATATTGACAGGTATGTATACAAAGCTTGGGGATTTGTTCTCTAACTAGTATTGATGGTGGTTGGGATGAGTTGGCTCAGGTGGAATGCAGATTATATTTGAATTTTTGTTCTGAGTGATATGACAATCGTATAGGAGGGGTTATTCAGATATACTTATCATCGTCTGGTGTACTTATTGATAATTTACCTGTGTCATAGTACGTGTATTTGTGATAGGCTACGGATAAATGGAGAAGCAAGGAAAAGGTCAAAACGAGGTCGTATTCATCATGTATTGACAGGAACAGAAGGAAAGTAAAATAAGAAACAATCATAGGCATAGTATACCCCTCTATGAGATCAAAAAGGAAAATAATGAACAGGTAGTAATGAGAGACAATCAAAGGATGTGTATGTATGTATGTATAAGAGAAAAAGACAAGACAAATAGTTCCGCCGAAGCACCAGGTCCAACAACACTCCATTCATTATTCGGAAGAGAAAGGAAAAGTATCAACGCGTGTCATCACCGCAGAGCCGAATATTTGTACATGAATAGATAAAATGATAAGAAAGATAACGAGTATCAATGACAGTGAGAAAGGAAGTTGGTGATGACAAGACAAACATATCGTGAATCCCATTACTGATTGAGCTTGTGCTGTGTCGTAGTCATACCCTCCCTTGGGGTCGACTTTGACAGCAAACAAGAATTTGTATGGATAGGTAAAGAAGAAAGAATAAAAGCACAAAGGTCCGTGAGGGTCGCTTGAACGGAATGATAAGCTCGTACAATGCATTGGGTCCAAGAATGCATGCATGTGTTTTGGTTTGTTTTTTGCAATAGTCAGTCAGTCAATCAGGTCTTGAATCGGAGGTCCTCGTTAAAGGTGATGATGCAGGCGGAAAGCGCTTCGTACACCTCGACATAATGTGTGCCTGGTAGGCCGCGGAATACAATGAAAACAAAGTAACGCCGGCTGAACTGAAAATCAAATACCAAGATTGAGTCGCTGCGTTATAAGGTAGGTGGAGGGCGTAAAGGACATGGAGATTTTTGGAGGTAGCAGACGTAAACATTCAGTCAACGCGCTGATCGAGACCATTGACGGCCTCATCAGAAACGGCCATCGGCCGCTGCCTAAGACCAAATCGTCGCGCTCCAAGGCTGTTCGCGCGCAGGCGATTCTGCGCAATCGGTGTGTAGCTAGCAGCCAGTTTTTGTGATGGGGCAATAATCCTTGTCTGCGAAGGCTCCTGGCGAGGGGTAGTGGACATAGCGTCCTCGGCTGGCATCTCACCACCGAGAGCGGCAGAGCCAATACCAGGAGACAGCCCATATCGACGCGAACCCGCTTGAATGTTTGAGCGGGATGTTGCGGGGACATAGCTGGGCGTTAATATGCTCCGACGGAGCGGGATTGCTGACTGCGATAGTGTCGGGGTACGAGGTTGAGGGAGCTGCGATGGTTGGGATGGGGTTGAATATCTAACGTTCCGCTCAGGGCTAGAGTCGGGTATGGATTGTGACGCCGTATATCCATGCGAGATCCGTTGCCGGGGCGAGACTCGATATGTTGCTGCTGGGTTGGTGATATCCGTCATGCTTCTTTGAATTGATCGAGCTTGTGGACTCTGATCCGGGGCATTATCGTCGTCCGTGTGCACCCTCTTGGTCCGCAACGAAGTTGAGAGTCGACTCAACCGTCTCACAGGCGCCGACGAACCAGGCGACTGTGTCAATTTGGCCTCTGAACTCAGATCGGTGCCCTTGTTGTTGCTTTGGTTGTCCGGAGCCGCGTTGTTCGCCATACTGGCCCGACGTGCCTCTAAACGGCTGGTGACTCTGCTGTTGCTCTGCCGTCTGGACAGGCTCTCTGGTTCCTGGATGGTGCTTCGGCGATATGGAGGGGTTGGTGTAATCGTGTCGTCGTCATTGTGGCCATTAGTTTGCTGGTCATCCGCTTTTCCCTCCAGGGCTGAAGACGGCTGCCGGCGAAGCTGATCATCAGACAGTGCGAGACACAGCTCAGTTAAGCTGCGGCATACACTGTCAGCCTTGCGCCTAGCGTGTCTGTCTGACGGAAGATAACCATTGACAATAGAAACACCGCCCGATGGAGCCTTGCTGGATGACAGTAGGGTAGACAGCGCCAGCGCATCGGTAACAGTGACTTCCAGAGCTGCGTAGACTTCGTTACCCAACACCTCCTTTGACTTGGTCAAAGCCGATTGTAAGAGGGGATGGACTGGACTCGGGGCCGCATTCTGGTCGAGGTCGCCTGTTGCTATACTTGATTTGCGGCCGCGCTTCGGCGAGGATGACACCGTAGTAACCGTCGTGGTCGCTGTTCGTGGTCGGTCTCCGGATGCAGACGAGATCGCCTCCTGGGATGAGGGCGGAAGCTTTCCAGTTAATTCTAGCTTCTTGATCCGCGATTTTAGATCCTCTAACTCGTCCCAGACGGTGGAAGGTGCGTTAGTCGACAAGGTGGACTCCGTCCCATCCTGACGGGACCGGTCTGGCTCGTACCGGGCGCGTTCCGTGGCCTCGGAGCTGGACGGTTGCCGGCTGCTTCGGATTGTTGAAAGGGCGGAATGTCGGTATGCTCGCGATTCGTGCAATGAGCCCCGTCTTTCGAGGTGCGATTCAGGGCTGTATGGGGAGGGTTCTGGACTGGTGCGACCCAATCGGCTTCGAGGGAGGCCAATGGTAGATCTTGAGCCAGAAGCATACGCCAAAGAGGAGGAACGACTGTGTTCATCCAGTGGATGGGCGGACGCCGAGTAAGAGTATGGTACAGAGGTGTGGGGGGTGGAGGGAGGATCATTTTGGGAATGCAAGGGGCTGTCGTAGGTATTCAAGCGAAGTTGCTCGGGAGAAGGGGTCTGTTCGGCAACCCGAGAGGTTGGAGAACGGAGCGCACTACCGGACATTCTGAATCGCGACTGTAAGTTCGTTACAATTGCCTGGTCAGTCTACAAGATACCAATTTATTGACAGGAATCACAGATCTGGTGTTACTTACGCGCCGGAGTTCTGAGCGCCCCAGCGACTCACGACGGTCGGAGTCCGACCTTGCGATATTCAAAAATACATCCTCACTTTTGGAGCGAAAATCGTCCGCGACTGGGGTTTTATTGCCGTCACCCTGACGGTCCAGGCCGTTCATGGCACGATTGCGCTCGTCAGCCAGCAATCTCCCTTGGGAGTATGTCACGGTGGATGATGGCATGATGCTGTTCACGTCCGAAATCGACTGCTGAGCGTAAAGGGACGACTTTCGACGCTTCGTTGCATTGGGACTCAACACACGGACAGTCGAGTTGGCGTCCAGGGGCAGCGCGGCGTCGCTTTCCTTTTCTAAGACCCGCCGCGGTGACGGTGGTTGCGAATTCAGCAGCGCCTGATCGCGAAGGTGGGACAGATGGAAGTTGGGGACAGAGCGCCGGGGGCTGTCATACAAGAAAGTGCGCTGGGGAGTAGGGGACGGGTCGGGACCCGGGGGCGTGTCGTCGCCGTTCAGCACAGAGGCGGCCGCGCTGAGGTGCGACGTCAGGGCTCGCTTGCGCAGGGGATACTGATATTCGAAGCTGAAACGGCTCTGCGGGAGGCGAGGGACGGGCGGCACGGAGGAGGAGGGGAGATGCGACGCAACGGGGGTGGAAGCCGATGGCGAAGAAGAGGCGATGGAAGCGCTTGGTGTTGTTGTTGTCGGTGCTGAAGGGGAGTCGCTGGCGCCGGCGGATGGGCTTGTTAGCGCGGCTGCTTTGCCCGCGTCACGGGGATCGTCCGCTCGCAACATCATGGTGGCCACGGCGGAACTACGCAGGCTCGGGGCGAGCACTCGAGCTCGAGGCTGGCTTCCCTGGGATTCCGGCGGAGTTCTCGGGCTTCCGTCCGGACGAGTGACTCGTTGAGGGGACGAAGACTCGGTCAGATTTGGGTTTGACTCTGACGTCGCTCCAGCACTGAAAGTAATGGTTCGGGCCCGATTCACGATCGAACGGCGACACAGTGAAGCCGACGGGTCCTCGAGCGATACATGGATGAGCGGGTGCACCGCGGATTCGGTTTTTCGCCGGCGTCGAGTGTTGAAACGATGGTCTGCTGGAGATGAGGAGAAGGAGGAGGAAGAGGAGGTGGAGGGGAGGGGAGGAGGAGAGGCTGCATTGCCAGCTCCTGCTGCGTCTGGGGACATCTGCAACTGCACCACCCGGTCAGGCATCCACACGCATTGTTCGATCAATCACTTGGATGGTCGTTTCCTCCAGTCATGGACTCGGAATCCTGAGGCGATCCGAGGCAACTGACACTGGGGAAATTAATCTCAAACAAATAGACGAAAAAGAAAAAAACACGGAGTGAGGGAAAAAAAAAAAAAAGAGAGAAAATAATATGATCTGTTCAATGAAGTGGACCTATGGGGTGGACATCATATATTATTATTATACTGGTTACGATGCGCAAATTAAAAATATCTACCATGCGATCTCTCTTCTATCTACGTACTACTAATTATAACTGACTCGCCTTGAGGCTCCAAGGGCGAAGGAAAAGAGGGGAAATTCCTGGGACGCCAGGGAAAAAAAGTGGACAGGAGGTCAATTCGATACTAAAACTCGAACATAAAACGGCGGACGGAACGGTTGCTGGCGGGTGGCTGGGCAACTCTGTAACTGCTAACCTGCTTGAGCTGGTCAAGGACGGGATCGAAAGAGGCCAGTGGGGAGAAGGAGCAAAAGAGAGAGAGAGACAGAGGGACGGAGAGGGACGGAGGAGGCGTCAGACCGGAGAATAACATCTGTCGAAGACGGATCTGTGATATCACCTCCAAGTCTTTCAGATCGGATTGAGGCTGGGTTTCCCTGCATTTTGAAACCCTTCCGATATCGACTCTCTAAATCGGGTTCAAGACTGGCCATATCTAAACTTGTATCTCCCCCTTCAACGGTCCAGTTTCAACCCTACGCTCTTCGCTTAGCAACGATCCTCATGGTCCGTGTGGAATGGCTATACTCCAAAAATTTCTGTGTTGTCTCCCTTTGTGAAAATTTCGCCAGTAAGACATCATACCTTGTAGGGAGTCAACCATGGTTCACTCTTAATGTCCCGTGGTTGGATCACTGTCAAGCTCGCTATCTTCATGTTTTGATCGGTAAAGATGTCTTATAGTCGACGCACACTCTCAGTCGCACACAAATTCGAGTAAAAAAAACACTCAGATTAGAAAGCAAAAGAGTTTATTATATGGCTGTTTCTATCTATCTATCTGAAGGGCCGCCTTCAGCCTCGAGTTGCGAGCCATTATAGGAATGCTCTATGTCAAACCATCGAGGGGATTCTACCCACTACACCATAGAACATCCTGTACTACTCCAATCATGACAACAGCCGCAATGTTTAGTCCAGAGACGGACTCTTTCATCTCTCCTGGATCGAGCTTAACAGTGGAAGTCACAATGTCAATCCAATCCTGGACATCTCTCGTGACTGCTCGTTTGCATGCGTTCACTACTGTACGTCCGGCTTGAATGCCAACGTCTCGGACAGCAGCCCAGGTGACCGCGGCCCTGTGAGATTAGGCCGAAGCAGGCTTAGGACATCAATCTAATTTATCCGGTCTAAGTTTCTCCCGTATTGTACATAAATGAGGGCCAGCCATAGACCGCGTTCTAGCCTATGGCACCCCGATCCCGAAAAGCGAGCAAGGACTACTACGGCCGAATCCTTTAGATCTACGATTGGTGCAGCGACCGTGCTACAGCAGTTGATCGTGTTAAGATCTCGAATTCAAGCGAACCATGACGAATCATTAGCTCATCTACCACGCAGCCAGTTGCGAGATGTATGAGGCAACGACGCATTGATTTGCTGTCTCTTTGACCTTGAGTAGCTAGGACCCTTTCATCGGTTACATCCGAACAAGTGTGAACTGAGGCACCTCGCTTGGGTATCATAGCTCGAATCAAAACAGATCGGCAGCCAATATAGCTCTATCAAGGTATCATGGCATTAGCCGATGAGGTAGCAGCGCTGCAGTGGAGCGGAACAGACCGTGCAGGCCGGTACCAACGGCAGGAAACGCTGTCATGTGTCATGTACAAAGGAGTGCTCAGGATCAGTGACCGACTCGGTAGATTCCGTCCACGAGAGAGTTGCTATGTGGTTGAGACGAAACAGCACCGCCCAAATCTCCAACCAACCTGGTTCCGCAAGCACCTGGACAGAGCTTGTTGGTTGGGGTAGCTCCTCCAACAAGATTAGGATCCAAACGTCAAATAATTCAGTGCGCAAGCTGCGAGGCTATTCTGTCGAAACAATCTATCTGAGGGACCTGTTTCACCATTAGCGTGTCTAGCTGCTCGGATTAGGGCCAGCTCTGTCATCGGCAGCAGATCGTGGTCGCCAGGGAGCTCCAGCTTCAAGGCGACCTATTCCACTTTATTCTGTAATTTTCGTGCTGCCTAGAATTACCTAGTTAGTTAACCATGTGCGCAACCGATTAGTCAACAATAATGACAAAAGGAGAGATAACTGACGAAGAGTAAGTTAGTTGGCGAGGGGAAATTTTCGCCCACGTACTTCATAATCAAACCCTCCCCACAGCAATCACCGACGTGATGCCGAACGGGCGGTCCAAGTTCTATGGCTCCAACCAGTAACCAGAGGAGAGAGCCCTGGCCCCATAGTCTCAGATAGACATTGCTGCCACGTGGGATTGGGACCAGAAGGGTCAAGTTTCATCAATTGTCTATAAATCTGTGACATCAGTTGCAAGGACAGTTTGTGCAAATCCATGGGGTATTGGCTAGCAGAAAGGCAGGTAGAACTGCGAGATTGGTGAGGGGTTGACGGTCTGATCTGACAGGGTAGTACTACAGCTGCTACTAGTTTCTATTTTTGAGGAGCCGTAAGCGCGGCAGTCTTCGGTCAGCCGTAGACAGTCGTGGTTTACCGACAGGATCCTGGTAATTAACGACGCAATGCAGTGCACGTCATTGAACAACAAACCCCCATGATTGACCTCAGGTCTGAGCATTCAGACGAACATCATTGCGTACACCCACCCATCGTCAGTGAAAATTTTGAGACCATAGTTAGCCGGCTCAACATCAATCACGTCAAGCGGGCGTTGTGATCGTCCACGGTCGCAAGTGTTTGATAGGCGGGCAGCGTGTGACGGAGGATGTCGCACACGTGACTGCGAGCCCCATCCGGAGGCGGACTAGTGGCTTAGCATTGGATTGGCGTGTTTCAAGCCGGGCTGAACCCCTCCACCGCCGTCCCCATTGGTTTGACTTAGCGCGCGCCCTCTTTTGGCTGCGTGTTTCAGCTGCAGTGGCCGATGGCGAGGTTTGTAGGTCCGGAGCTGTGTGGTATATCCTTGGGTGTGCCCGAGATGGTTGATACGGGGACTTGTGGTTGTCGACCGCGCTGGTTGAAACCGTGAGATGATACATCCCGCTGAACGAACCATTACAAATCATCCAGAAATTCGGACTCTCTTTCGTTGCGGCGGAGTACTAAGCACCAACCGTGCCGCGGTTTCTCCTCGTCCCACACTGCCCATAACGGACGGTCCACCGTTTCCAGGGGCTTGTCTGGGATGGTGGATCGCTTCAACTTAGCCCCAGTCAAGTCAGCCTTTGCGTTTCACCTTAGCCTGTGACCCTCCGCGCCGTTACCTGTTTCTCATAGGCTCGATGCCAGAGAGAGGTCCCTGCTGAATCGCCATCCGCATCTAGTAAAAAAGCGATTCTACCCCTCAAAGTTGTGTTCTCTTAAGTTCTGATCTCTTGCAGTCTGCTTTATCTCGTCCGGTCTGTTTTGGAGGGGGTTGCCCGTGCTTTTTTTTTTCATCTCTTCGTTGTTGTCTTCTCTCTCAAGCCGGCTTGACCACAAAGAACCCTTTGATTAAGCATCCAGCAAACAACCTTCCTGCGCGAACCGTGCACTTCCCCAGCGGGTCGGACACCCTCCCCCAATACGGTATTATTATTGTTGTGTGTGTGCAGAAGGTTGCTTGGATACGTATCCTGCCGGGTCTGTCTGATTATTATTACCCTCGTGGGTTAAACAAACAGTCTTTTTTCTTTCTTCTGTGTGACTTCTGGAAGTCTTCTTAACCTTTTCTTTTCTTCTGATCTTTTCTACCCTGACCGATTGACCACACTCCTTATTGTTGTACGCCCAGAGCTACCGTCGCTACGAGCTCTGCAATTGTTTGACCGGTGTACGGATTGAAATTCTTCCTGGAGTCACTATTCTCACCGGCATATTTGATCCCAAGCCTCACCTCCGGTTTCTGTTGAGGCTGAACGGACCATCTCCTTCAAGCAAAAGGAAGAGCTCTACAGGTATGTATACAGCTGTTTTATTTTTATTCCATTATTATTATCCTTTTTACTGTCGTCCATGTTCCGGTTACGTTGCTGCTTTCCTCTTCTTCCTGGGTTTATGTCATCTCTGGGTCCTTTCACACTAGTCCCCCCATCGCACTTCACTGCCTCTGTTGGTTTGTTCCTGGACCAACTATCGTTTGCAGCCTTCCCAGTGGCACCCTATTGTGGAGACCATTTTACTTTTTCTTTTACCTTCCTTTTCCAATTAATCGATTGCTTTTCTCCTGCACCTGACTTCTCCGAAGAGGACCCCAATGTGGAATTGGGGAAGACCTCGACTGAGTCGACCAAAACTCAGAGTTGGGAAGTGGGAGAGAGAGAGAGAGAATGAGAGATTGAGAGATTGAGAGAGAGTGAGCAAGAGAGCGAGAGAGCGAAAGAGCACAGAGAGACCCGAAAAGAAAATGCCCCGTCACGATTGCAACTCATGATGTTGGAGAGGAACCTTCCCCCCAGTTGATTTTCATGACTGTTCTCCACCCCCCTTGTCGCCGTATCGGAACCTTACCCACTCGACCATCACTTCCCAGTTTTTCCCGTCCAATTCCTTCCGTTCCCTTCATCCCCCGGGCGATGGGGCCAACCTGACTGGTTACTTGCCACGACCAGGATGGAGGAGGGGGAAAAAGGGAAGGAAGAGGAGGAAAGCATGGAGGAGGATGCTGGGATGGGGTGGCTCTGACATGCCGCTGTTGGGATGAATCTGGCATCTGATTTGCGTGCTTTTGGCGCCCATGATGCACATTCCAGCCTTTGCACACCAACCCGGGCGGCTAAATTTAGAGCTGCAGGCGCTGGATGTTCTGCTTCGACCGGGCGTTGATTGGGTGGCATCCACTGGCCAAATGGGGCTGTTGGGTATCCACTTTCACAGCGTCAAGGATGGTGATTGGCTGGCTGACAGCAACACGGCCGGCCGGACCCAATCAGGACATCCGCCCTTTCCCTTTCCCGTCCCAAAACGAACTGCAACCATTTTACGTTTTTTTACTTTTTTGACTCTCTTACAAGTCTGGCAAGTCACGGCGTCTTTTCCCATACCGTGCGGTGGTTTATTCTTAGCGCTCGGGTGGGTTCGGTTGCTTATTATTTGCTGCCGTTGCTGTGACTGCCGCCACTAAAAGAACTTGCTGCTTGTGCTGCTGCTGCTGCTGTTGCTGTTGCTTGCTGCTGTGGTGCCTGCCATCGGGAGAGACAGGCTCTAGTCTAGTAGTAGTACTTCGTGCTCTGTCACTCACACTCTCTCTCTTGCGCGCGCGCTCACTCTCTTACGCGCTTGCTACTACTCTCCCTCTCGCTCTCTTACTACTCTTTCTCTCTCTCTCTCTCTTTCGCCCTCGATCTTCTCTTTTCCCTTTCCCCTCTTCTACTTTTTCCCCCTCTCCTCTTCTTACCTTCCTTTTCCTTCCTTTTTTTCTTTTTCACTAAAAAAACACCCCCTCTCCCTTCCCCTCCCTCATCACAGGGGACTTGCTTCTTTATCCACAAGCCTGCTTTTATTTTCTTTTGGGTGGGTGGGCAGTCGTTCTTTGCTCCCTTCCCTCTCCTCTTCTTCCCTGTGACCGAGACCCTCCCACAACTGCTGCTTCTTTCGTCATTCCCCGGAGGAACGACTGCCCACACAATCACCGGGCGGCTATTCCTCCCAGTTGCATTGTGCCCTCCATCACTATTCAGAGACCCTCCCTGGTTTTCTGCTTATTTTCTTTTTATTTTTTTTATTCCTTTTTCTTTTCTGGTTCTTGTCGTTCCCTCCTTCATCTTAATTGTGACTTCTCGATTTCGACTTCTATCCATGTCGCCGTTCTTGCTTCCCGTTGACGTTTATCAATAACAATCCTTTTACGCCTGTCACTGACAACATCCTCCAAAGAGGCAACAGTTCTCTTGCGGCATTCCTTGGTATGTTCCCAGTCTCGGACCTTGTTGGGACCCCTCTGTGAATGGCTTTCGTCCCATCGTTCTATCCATCATCTGCTGCTGCTTCTCCCCTGGTTCTCTCCACAACCGCCGGTAGCTCTCTTGGTTTCATTTCAAGCTGGCCGATCGTCATTCTGGTTTCACCCTCCTTGCAGCCGTGCTTGCCTCTACCATCGAAGGTCAACATAAGCTGAAACATGGAAGCTGATTGTCCTCTGTCCAAAAGGTCATTTGCGCTGGTAGCAAGTGCGACTCTATCTTGTCTTCCCCGGGCTGGTGGCAATTCTTGTGCTACGGCTACACTATTTGCGCCAACGATCTATAGCAGCTGCGATCCTGAGAGGGTGTCCCCTTTCAAACGCAGGTGTACCTCCTCATCTCCCTCCTCCCCGGGCCTCACCATGCCTGTGCAAACCAGCTCACCGTCAGCCCCGGATTCGTTCCCTTCTTTTATGTCTGTGTTTGGGAGGTCGCCCGAGTTCCTCGACCCGAAGGGCCGAACTTCACTAGTCAAACCACTTAGGGTTCCGACCAATGTCACAGTCAACACATCGCGACGCCCACTTCCCTTTCAGCATCGCGAAAGTATATCGTCGATGACATCAGGCTCCACTGATTCGTCGCCCACTACCACCATCTCCACTTTCGATCCTCCTTCGGCCGTGGATACCTCCCCGAGTTCCTCGCCCGAATCTCCGTCATCGATGCCGTTATCATATCCTGCCTTTATGCCCGTTGCCCACAAGGCCGAGTGCCAAACGCACTCGGCGGCTCCAACCAGCGACTCGAAACCCTCAACGGATAGCCAAAATGTCGCACGGCCCGACTCCCCCGGCAGGCGCGCACGCAACCTCAAGAATCTTTCTCTGAGGATGCCTCTGCCCTCTCAAGGTTCACGCCCACCTATTGCAACGGCTTCTGTTGTAGAAACCACCTCCCAACACCATCTTTCTGCCCCGCCTTCCCCGATTCATGTGCCTCCGAAGGGCATGCGCCGCAAGCCCGCCAATCTTACGATACGCACTCCCGGGTTTGATCGGTCATTTTCAAGCAACGGTAACGATGTGCCGCCGACTCCGCACGCTTTGCGCCACACCGAGTCCTCCCCGTCCCTCACTTCGGTGTTTTCCCCCTCATTCGGCCCGAAGGGTGGCATGCAACTACCCCGACCGATGACCCATCATGGCGCACGGCGACCGTCGGGTGCGTCGGAGAGCAACCTCTCCCCTCTGCAAACGGTGCCCGACGAAGGATCGGAAGTGCTGCATGAATTGGAAGAGGAGGATGATCACCTCGACTCGAGAGAGTCGACGCGGCGCAACGAGCGAGGCTATCCGAATGGACCGATCCAAATCTATGACTCTGGCGTCTTTCTGTACCTGGAGCCGACCGCGCAAGAAGCTTCGCAATTTGATGTGGTCGTCAACGTGGCCAAGGAGGTGGCAAATCCCTTCACGGCGACTGCTGGTAGCACCGGCACGGTGGTCAGCACCCTGCGCAATGGATCGGCAAGTACGAAGCGACTGTCGACTGGCGAACCATGGACGGCCATGTCCGATGCATCCTTCAAGTCTGCCTTCGAATACCCCCCAAATGTCGAATCTTCGCCTGCCACACCTCAGAACGAGTCATCTGGACCGGAATATGTTCATGTCGGTTGGGACCACAACTCCGAGATCCTGGATGATCTATTCCCGCTCTGCGAGTTGATCGATTCTCGGATATCTGAAGGGAAAAAAGTACTCATCCACTGCCAGCTTGGAGCTAGTCGATCGGCATCGTTGGTTATCGCCTATGGCCTCTACAAAAACCGACAGTTGGATTTCAACTCGGTCTACGAGCTTGTTAAAGAACGCAGTCGCTGGGTCAGCCCCAACATGAGTCTGATCTACCAGCTGACGGACTTTCGTTCTCGGCTAATCCGCGGCAAGCTCTCGAAAGCGGCCCCGGAGGAGTGGTTTGTCGGAGGGGCGCGCAGGTGCTCCGAGCCTCAGCCACCACAAACAGCGAGGACGGACTTATCAGAAGCGAGCACGCCGGGATTTATGAGTGGCAGCTCGGATGCGGAGCAAGCTTCGTCTAATGGCCTTTCGCAGGCGTCGATGAGCTCTCTTTCGGTGTCCTCAAATCAGACGACGCCTCTGTCGATAGAGAATCTAGGCTTCTCTCAGTCGCTGTCACACAAGCGTAGCTTGTCTCCCCGGCCACTTCCGTTCCGGCAGGCTACTTATCACCTGGGGCCGACGGGCAAAACTCTACAATCGGAATATACTGCGCCTTCGTGGCGTCCCGAAGGCGGGCCATGTTCTCTGGCCAAGACGGATGTCTTCGTGCAAGACATGCCGGATGGAATGAGCTCCCTTTTCTCACCGCGAACCACTGGATTTCTGGCCCCGCCTCTTTCGCATTCTATTGCTGACTGCCTCGAGGACGACGGTCCACACGGGCTGCGGTTTGGGTCGCGAGTTGCAGACCCTCGATCACCGCCTCCAGGCAATGAGCGCCTGATCATGAGGAATATTGATGAGTTTCTGTAATTTCCGCCATAATGTCCAAGACAGCTTGTCTTGAGGACGGGCTTCCGGGAGCCCCGTCCAAGAAATGATTCCATGACCATATACACCTGAGGTTTACTCGTGTTGACCTTGTCCCATCTCTACAGCTTTTCATTATGATCTACTCGATCTACCGTCATTCCCTCTTTCAGCTGTGGTGGCATTTCTTCTCTTTCTATTCGCTTCTACCATTTCCCTTTTTTCTTTTCCCTCCTGATTTTATGACTTGATGACCAAAGCGGGCTTACGGTCGTTATTCTTTCGTTTATACATCTGCCACTGTGCAATTTCATTCCCTTGGTCAACCAGCGGTCCATGTTGCATTCAAGGCCGTGCGTCGACATTGCATGCGTTTGGTCAACCGGCGTCCTGGGTGTTAAAAAGATGATAAAAGGCGGCGAAGAGTTGCCTGGTAACTTGTAATATTATTACTGTTCGTTTGTGATGCACCCCGTGTATTCGTCCACTCATTCTGTGTTGTCGATATTTGGCATTTCAGCTGCGAAATACCCTGGGGCTAGTGATTGAATCAAGTTTAACAGAACTTTATATACCAGTAGCAGTGTATGTAATGTAGGTTGTAGTTAGTATGGAGTCTACTTTGTAGTAGCGGGTTTTAAGCGGCCCGAGTGCCGAGCGGCTGGCGTTCAACGTCATGCGGGTTAGACTTATGAATTTTCGACACAGCCAATCTGCCTTCAAATCAGAACACAAGAACAGTTTGGAAGTATGGCCGACGACAGCCATCCGGCGCATCTCTCGCCTAGCGAACTAGGCACAAAGGACTAGTAAGTGGTAGCAGCAGCAGCAGCCAGCGGAGATGAAAGCAACGAAGTTTTCAATCTACCCCGCTACCCCTCATGAAGAAATCCAACAACCCATATATCAACATCGATCATCAACCACCATATCTATACCCATCACCCCAAAATCAATCTATACCTCTACTCATAATAATGTTTTAATTAATAACAGCTGGGAAACCTTCTACGCACGCACCCTCTCCCACCTCTCCACAAAACACACCACCACCACCACAAAACCTACCTCTAACCCCAACCCCAACACCTCCGATGAAGATGAAGAATCCGAAGATGATATAGACGACGACTCCGATCCCGGCACATCGTGGTTCTCGGAACATAATGCCCCGGATAAAGTGCTGCAGTTCCTCACCGATGAGGAGTTTCCGCTTGCGCCGGTGAACACACTCCCTCCTCCTCCATCATCATCATCCTCCTCCTCCGATAATAATGAGAAAAAGGAGGGTAGTGACCAGCCAAGTATCCTCGACCTCGGCACCGGCAACGGGAGCATGCTGGCCCTACTGAGAAAAAGAGGTGGGTATAAAGGTGCCATGGTGGGGATTGATTACTCGATTAGAAGTGTGGAGTTGGCGAGGGAGTTGCAGAGGTTGAGGATTCATTCGGCTTATTTGTCGGATTCTGATGATGAGGAGGAGGGTAAGGGGGAAGGGGAGGGTGGAGATACGAATATTCGGTTTGAGGAGTGGGATATTTTGCATGGGGATGTGCATGATACCTCTTCTGGGGGAAAGGTTGATTGGTTCCCGTATGATAAAGGTGGGTTTGATATCGTGCTGGATAAGGGGACGTTTGATGCGGTTTCGTTGTCGGATGAGGTTATACCTGATGGGCAGGATGGTCATGCGTCCGGGAAGACTATTCAGAGGAGGGTGTGTGAGAGGTATCCTGGGATTGTGAGGGGGTTGGTGCGGAAGGGTGGGTTTGTGGTGGTGACTAGTTGTAATTGGACGGAGGAGGAACTTGTTGCTTGGTTTACTACTAGTGCTGGTTCTTCTGGTGGTGATGGTGAGGAGGATAAGTTGGTGGTTTGGGGACGGGTTGAGTATCCTCGGTTCAGGTTCGGGGGGAGAGAAGGACAGGGTGTTTGTACGGTGTGTTTTCAGAGGGTATAACCTGGTTTAGATTTTTGGTTTACTTTGGTATAGAGGTAATAGTATAGAAAAAAAAATAAATGTGAATGTGAATGTCTATGTCTGGCTCGCTGTTATATCTATGCTGTATCGTTGTCGTTAATCATGGCACATCCATCCATCCATCCCTCTCCTCTGGCATAGTTGCATTCACTCATCTCTCTTCTTCAAAAGCGCAACCACACACCACCGTCTCCTATTTTCCGGCCCCTCTCCCTCCCTCTGCGCCACCCACTCGCGACGCACCTCGCGTCCATCTTCCTGGCTCGCAATCAAATCCCGCTCGTAGATCCGCTCAATCTCCAATCCCTCCTGCACCGCCGTCTCAAAAAAGCCTGCGACAATCGCCCGTCCAGTATGAAATCCAGCCACCACCCAGACGCGCCCGCCAGGGGCGAGGAACCAGCACATCGTGCGCGCGAGGTTCTCGTGCTGCGAGCGCATCCAGTAGCAGTCTGCGGCCACGATGCGGTTGAAGCTGGCCTTGTTTTGCACGGCCCAGGGATCGGTCTCTAGGGTGCCCCATTCGTGCGGTTGGATTGTTACGGTTGTGGAGGTTGATGACACCTTGGGGGAGCGTAGGTTGTGGTCCAGGTTGAATTTGATGGCGCCTGATAAGGCGGGGGAGGAGGGGTGGTCGGTTGCTGTTACGGTGGATGCTTGGGCGAGGGCGCAGACGACGGATGGTAGGGCGGCGCCTGAAGGTTTGTTAGTATGTATGTTTTGTGATTTTTTTCAGGTATCCAAGGGAATAAGGTAGGTAGGGCAAATAGGTATACTGACCAGCGCCTAGTTCCAATACCCTCTCCCCCGTCACCCTCCACATGGCAATCTCATCCGAACTCTTCAATTGACCACTAGCTTCCAGCTCATCTGCCTTCTCCACCCCCTCGGCAACAACCATGGCCGCGCTCCAGAGGAAGTGCGCAAACAGCTTCCGGCCCTCTTCGATATGGTTGACCTGGCCGTCGGGGCGGGGCAGCCCCTCCGCTATCTCCTGGGAGCGCTTGCCGCTCTGGGTTGGGTACGAAGGCACCATGATTTCGAGATCGCCATAGCGTGGAGACGAGTAGAGGAGATGCTGGCCTGGATCGCCGTGGAAAGAGGGTGCATCATCTGGGAACAGGTGTGGGAGAAATGCGGCGAAAAGGTCTTCGGAGGATTCCTCCGGGTCGGCCTCAGTCTCGGGGTCGGCGAAGTCGGGACGAGGGGCAGAGTCCTCGGAGTTGGGGAGGGGATGTCGACGAGGGAGAGGGCGGAGGCGCGAGTGAAGCATTTCGCTTGGGTCTTATTATAGAGACTGTCTCAATAGTTTTCTCGGAGGGGCGCTTGAGGGGGGAAGAGAGGAGTTTGAAGTGGTTCTACTATAGACACACGGTGGGAAATTGATTGGTGTACCCACCGTCGCTGCGGCCAATCGGAGACAGCAGTGCCTGAAGTATAGGGCCGTCCCTTTTTTGGGGCGTGAAAGAGAGTTGACTATCCATGGTTATTCGGGGATGATGTGCAAGGTGGAGAGCTACGATGCTGGTTTCTGAATGTTCTAGAGGCGCGATGGAGATTAGCTTCTCGCTGTCCAGAGAATTACTGAGGCTTATCTTCGGGTTCAGTTGGGCGCGTCTGGACAGTAGAATGTGGTCAGTTAAGTACTACTTTGTAGCTACTCCGTAGTTAGCTTTACATTGCTGAATACCAACGAGAGGGGCTCCATTATAGTGTCTGGCCAGTAGACGTTTTCATTACCAGTTCATATTATCAGCGAGGGTGGAACGGCATCTGATGTACTGCAGCAACGGTCGCATCTCACTCACTGCAATCCGAGCAAGTGACCCTCTTCCGTTGGATCGAATCACCGGAAATCCTCAGGCCTGATCGACAAGCCGATCCTGATTTGATGCTTACCTTACTTTACTAGTCGTTCTCTTCTCATGTACCTGGTCAACGCTCGTGGTAACTTTTCTGCAGAGAGCATCGCGTATCACAGGTCAATGGATCGGTCGGATGCTACTCCGGACTACCGCTGATGCTCCGAGCAAGTCAACCCACGTCCGGTTGAAACTTCTCATGCCACCTGCGAACTTTAGTAAAACTATCACACCATACCTTTTGAGGTGCTTCTATAAGGCCTCGCGTTAATATGGCTGGCTGCTATATAGATACCCAATTGTGTCCAGATTCCCCGCGCGGTTGAAATCCCAACGGTCAAGGATCAGCTTCCAATTCCTTCTTCAACTACTCCTTCATCTGTAACCGACGACGAATCCTGGCTGTTGATCTGTCAACGCGACGTGTTTGTTCATAGCCACAGTGTCAACAGCGAAGCACAGATCACGCTATGCTGGTGGCATTGCCCCCATCCGAAACGCTGGCAATTTGTGTCTACCTTCCATGTCGGTAATGCACCTCGAAGAATAAAGTTAATGCGAAATCGGGGCTGCTCGTTGGGTATGCTGTGAGAGAGCCAAGTCAGCACCGATTTATCAGCTCATGCATCACCTATTGACATGGCCCGTATGATAGAGCAATAACACAGCGATTGACGCGTAGCTAGCGACTTGGGGCAACCTCGTCAATCTTGCGATGGAAGAATCAGGGGCCTTTCTTTTTATTCTTGAGACCATTCAGAATGGTTTCTGCTGCTCAAACGGCGGCCAATCGTAACTGCAACGGACAAAGGAGTAGGTCATTCTCAAAGGCATCCCGATATAGTAGAGCTGCTTTGTAAGTCAAGCGCACCACATCCCGATCACTAGCGAGAGAGTTAGTTAGTACTTTGAAGCTGATTATTGACTAGATAATTGTCCTCTGATAACCCCCCTCGACACGCCAGGCACATTCCTATTTGTAACAATGGGCGGCAATCGCTATCAACTGATTCGGGCCTCCTGACGGCGCTAGACCCGAGCAGGCAACTTGGCTGGGCTGCCATGGAGGGGGTCTCGAGATAAGGCCGTGACCCCGTCATATTACATTACCGGTACTCCAAACCGGGTGGCAGTTCCCCGGCCCCTCTGCCAATCACCCGTATGGTACCGTCATCCGCCATGATGTCATCTCCCCACCCGTAGGCCCTAGACCGGTCCATCGCAGCGTAATAAATTACCGTATGGTCATGGCCACGGGGCGGGCACCCCCGATCAGCAAAGTGAGTGAGTGATTTTTGGTGGGAAAGTCAGTCAGTCAGTCAGTCATTCACTCATTGTACCACAATGGATCGATTACTGGCATTAGTTCGTTCCTCTGATTCTTTGGAGGGACTGAAAATCATAATTGTCAGCTGTTGGATTTCTTTTCCTATTCTTTCTCTTTTCGGAGATCATTGTACCTTGTGACATAGTATCTTTTACAGTCTTTTTCGTTTTATTCTAGACCGTCTCAACTGTTTCTTAAAACGACAACAAGGCAGGAAAAGAAACAAAAAAGAGAAAAAAAGAAAAATATGTTAGAAAAAAGAAAAATGTCTGGGGTGTCACCATCCATACCAGGACTGGTGGGCTACTGCTGAACGGATGATCAGTCCAACAGGTGACGACGGACTGGGAACTACACTTGTCCTTTTGCGACAGAAATTCCCAGAAATAGTAGACAGGCAAAAAAGCAAGACAGACAAACAGAAACATTCCATGAAAGCTCTCCGCGGATTATTCACCTTCTGGACCATTCTTGTTTTACTATTTTCCTTCTTTTTATTCCTTTGTCATCGTTGTGTTATTATCAATTATTTTTTTGCAAGATGTTTTTTTTTCTCAATGGAACCCTCCAAGGCACTGGTTGATATCATCCATCCATCCAGACCTGGGTCTCCCGTTCCCTTCCAGTCCACTTCTCGGAAGCCCGATGCGGGTGGAGCAAATCACATCACTTGCCTGGTTATTCTTGTTCTTGCTGGCCGCCGGTTAGTCAGGAACCAGGGCAAACCCTGACCAGGATGGTGAGAGAGAGAAAAAAAAAATAATAATAATAAGCAGAAGATCCTGAAGGAATTCCAGTCCTTCTATTGAATCAATCAAATGTTTCAAAGTAAGATAATCGTCAGGTTGACTTGCAAAACAGCGGCAATTATTTTTTTTTTTTTTGTGATTTTGCCCGAAGCTGACGGATAAGCTGAATGGCGAAATTAAATGGAGCACTTTTAGTAACTTTTCCCAGTGTCTGATCGCCCGAACCCCCGCATTGCTCAAGGCCAACTCCTGGACTTGGACTAGCGAACCCAAAAAGGGCCGAATTGGAAAAATGGCGACCCCCCCGCAAAATAAAAGCAATGAAATTAAAACAAAAAGAGGAAGGAAGGGAGTAAAAATTACCTTAAAATATTTAGATCAATACGGGAGCATATCGTCATTCATCATTGAATTTAGTAGATTTCCGGTAATCTTGTAAAGTCGCAGTAATCGTACAATGGCCTCATCCAATCAAGGGTTGTAACCCGTCCCAGCCAGACGGCCTCGTGCTGCCATCCAATCCGTCCATCTTTGCATCGCCCTGCAGCTTTTTTGGTTAACCACTCACTAGTAACAGTAGCTGTTCTGTCGTGACTGTCTCTGTCTCTCTGTCTCTGTTCTGTGTCTGTCTGTCTGTCTGTCCTTGTCTTGTCTCCTCTTTCTCCTCTTTTGGTCTCTTACTTTCTCTCTCTCTCTCTCTCTCTCTCCTCTAACTTTCCTTCCTCCCCTTCCATCTTCCACGTCTACGTCTACTTCACTCTTCTCCTCTTTCTACTATTTCCTTCTCCCCTTTCTTTCATTGATCCACCAATCTCTCCCTCCCTTTATCTTAAATCTATCTCGCCTCCCCATTGACTCAACCCCCCTCCCCCAATTGACCCCGTGATTGACTGCTTGCTTGCTTGCTTGCTTGGGTCCTGAACCTTTTTACCCTTAGCCTCGCAGGTACCTGGTCGCCCGCTCGTATCCCTGGGATTCGCCTACCAGTTAAACTAGCTTTCCAACCGTCTCTCACTTTCTCCTCTTTCCTTTCTTTCGCCTCTCCCTTCTTTTTTTTTTTTTTTATTCTTCCTCTCCAGCTTCAACCTCTCCACCATCTGGCTGTCTATCAGCACCAACACTCCGCATCGATTACTCCTTCTCCATCGCTCGCCACAAAAAGGGCATTCATCGGATTGTAGGCCTGAGAGTCCACGTACTCAAAGATGGCCTCATTCAAGGTAACTTTCTCCAGCTTCCCCTCTCACGGCCACTCCGGCTATAGTCGTGTGTGGATTAAATCACCACCCTTTCCCAGTGGGTCAGGCTAACACAGTCATACTTATCTCTTAGGAATTGTCCCTTTCCCGTCCGCTCCCCCAACATAACCCCCGCCACCATTCCCACTCCATCTCCCTCGGTGCCGTGAACTCCAATTTCCGGGTGACTCGCCGCAAGAGCGTTACTACTGCTGCCGCCGCAAATGCTGCCGCCGCGGCGGTCGCGGCGTCTATGAAAGAGGCTCCTGGCGATGGGACGGGGATTACGATGCCCTCCCATCGGCGCGGGAGCCGGAAGGGCTTAGAGTCCAGCTCGGTCGGAGCCCCCTCCGGTTTCGGCTCTTATCTTTCACGAAGCATGAACAGTCCCAGCCAAGAACCGCCGGTCGCTCGCAAGACGTCACCCAACCAGGCCAACGATGGATCGTCAACGGGCCCAACAAATGCAGATGCCAATAACCCGAATTCCAAGCCGGTCAGCACTAAGAACCGAAACAGACGGGCCAGCGAAGGATCGCACCTGGTCAAAGGCGAAGGGAAGCGTGCCATGGCAGAACTTCGCTGCGATCGTTGCGGGAAAGGGTATAAGCATGGCAGCTGCTTGTCCAAGCATATGTGTGTATCCTCCCCCCATGCCATCCTGCCGTCTGGCTCGGTCCGGAGCAATGCGCCATGTCGGCTCTGTGCAAGGTCGCCCTCGTGGTCATCCAGCTCCCCTTATCTCATCTCTCCTCTCCTCTACCTCTCTCTTGCCGTGCTGGGACGCAGTGGGTTGACGTTTTATGGAACTTAGGTGGGAACACGACCCTGCATGGGCAATTACCTCGAAGCTTTTGATCTCCAAACATCAGCAGGTCCAGTTGCTGGAGGCTGCCTCCGTTCTGGTCACCATGACTCAGGATGATCCGGAGGAGAACGGAGAGGCCGAGTCAGATCTTTCTTCCGCGTCACCAGATGCGTCGTCGGAGCTTCGGGACGGCCTCAGCTCAGCTGAGACGACCCCGCCTCCGATGGACGAAGATGATGACGATGACGACGAAGATATGTCTATCGAACCGGCGACGATGGACAAGCGGTACAGCGCTGGCAACCTGTCAGCCCACTTCTCCCATTCCTACCAGTCCGGTCCCTCGAGCTCCTTCACCAGCAGTGCCCCATGGGCGTCACCAGCGTTTTCGCACTTCCGCCATTCCAGCATCGACACCCGCCCCTCCACCGCCGAAGCCAAGCTGCACGAAGACGATGAGGCCGACTTGGCGGCTGCCATCGGACTTTGCAACTTTGGAACCCCGCGCATGGGGCCACAGCAAATGTCTCCGAGCGTGCCACCGGTGCCTCCACTCCCTACCCGCTACTTGGATCAAGCCAGCTCCGTCGATAATCAGGGCCGTAGCCTGGACCAATCGAGAACAGGTGCTACCGATGCGGCTTTCTCCGGCACCACACCGAACTTCCTCTCGCTGTCATTTAACCCCTCCTTGTCTTATAAGGTGTCCGACGAGCGAGAAGTGAGAACCGGCAATGCTGACCGTGCCAAGCGGCAGCACCGCAACGCGGACGTCGACTTCGGAAGCCGGCCTACACAGGCCGATGATGATGACGATGGCGTCTTCGGCCGAATGGAAGAGTAGAACGACGACTGACGTCCGTCTAGACTTCCTCCTTCCCACCCTCCGGATTTTCATTTTCATTCTGGTCAGCCTTGGATCGCTGGCCAGACCGCTGTATTGCAGCCATCACTTGATGACATGTACGAGCTTTGCGCGACTTCTGTAAATGCCGGTTATTCTTTTTGACTAGTTGCGTTGAAACTGGAGTTGGAACACCCCCTTTTGCATGTATGCCACTTTACCCCAGGATTTGTATACCTCGGCCAGGTTTCCCGAACAAGGTCCGCCGACCCACCCACACTCACAATGTCCGTTTATACCAATTTCATTTGTCGTTTGGATTTTTTTGTACCTATTAAGTCGCTGCATCCTCGTACCAGACGTCAAGGTGTTTTTGCGTATGATTTCTTGGTCCCTTCACTTTTTCTTTTTCTTTTTTACTCCTATACTATATCTCGGTTATCCAAACCGAACGTCATGATCTTGCATTATCCATTTTTTAGGATCCGGCTGAGGGTGCCGTGAAGGAGGGAAGTTCATCTTCTACATTCGACTTACGAATCAATCATAAATCAATACAATATATGAATAAATAAATACATTCTTACGTGATGCGGAGGTCATAGATGCATGACATCGTTCGTATATCTGTATTCTACTGTTGTAGTAGAATTCTTGAACTGGAAACATCATCATTTTTTTGAAAGAAACAGTGTATCTTTCTTACTCAATGTATGGCGTAGTAATTTTTATTGTTCTTTCATCACCCGTTGTTCCTAATTTGAAAACTACGTGTCTCGAAGGAACCGACCTACCATACCTAGTTATTTGTAGCGATATTCGATGTAGGGTGGTTAATCGGGAAGAGAGACAACTTATAAAGTAAGTACCTTGATAGCAAATGACTACCTATCATATGTATGTATGATGATATTACACCTTCAACCGGATGTATATTTCGCCAACCGACGCCAAACAAGAAAAAACAGAGAAATAAGTGCAGTCTTTCCATTGAGAAAGCTTCCCCCAAAAGAACATGTGTAAGAAGACGGCAGAAAAGTAAATGAGGAGGGAGGAGGTAATGACAGTAAGAAAAAAGCAATCATAGTGGAGTGGCGTGATAGCTGTGCGTGTGCGTCCTAGACTTTTGGAAACGCCGGAAGCCCAGACGAATTATAATATGGTCAGAGAAGAGGAAGGAAGTGACAATTTGTCTGTATGTACGTGCTGAAGACCCCAGGAGTCCGCTAATAACTGGGAAGATTATGGGTTCAAGAATGGGAGGGTTCTTCGTGTCGTCATGTTAAGGTCCGTTCGGCGGGCCGTTGTTGGTGTCGCCGAAGACGGGGAAGTTATTCGACATATCTGCCCAGTCCCATTCAATTGTCATTGGCATTTGCCAAAGGTCTTGTGGGACGAAGGGTTGTTGGAAGGGTGCTAGAGGGGTATCGGGACTGGTTGTAAAGGGTGCCTGGTCGCCGAAGTTGACGCCTTCAAGGTCATTCGGGCTGATCATTTCGAAGTCTGATCCGAGCCCTGACAGACCGTGCATGCTGTCCTGGAGATTCGTAGTGAAGCCGTTCGCTCCAGGGAGCGGCTGGCCTGGGGTGAAATTTCGTGTCTCATTAGGTATGTTGGCTGCGGGCTGGTTGGTATTATTAGTGAACGAGGGAGATGAGAAGGGAACGGTCGTGGGAGGTTGCCGCGGTGCTGAATCTGTTGGCTTCGCAGCTGGTGTAGCGGGTTGGCGATTGTCATCTGCTGTTTGCCCTGGCGCATGCCGTGATTCATCGGGAGCAGATTTGCGTTTCTTCTTCGAATGGCTGTCTCTTTCGGCTTTGTCGAGGACTACCTGGGCAATGCGTTCAAATTCACCGCAGAGAGCGAGCATACGCTTGACACTTCCGTTCGACTCGTCGGAGACGAGAGTAGACAGGAAGTTGACAACCACGTTCATCAACTTGACGTCAGAGCGAGCCCGCGCATCATTAGGATTTTGCAGGATATTAGCAAATAGGGTAACCAGAGAGGAGACCGGATAATAAAGTATCAACCTATTCCACATTAGCTTTGAGCCGGGCAGTTTATTTCAGTGCAGTGCTCACCAGACACAGGCGAAATCGCCTTGTGGTATGTATTTGATAAGATTGATAGAGGCGCGCGCAGCTGTGACGCAAAGAACTGCCGACAAGAACACTCTGGGGTTCAACGGTCTCGCGTTCAGGCCTTGAATCGCGTAATTGGATAGTCGACTCGTCCAGTAGCCGTGGTGTACGGACATGCGGTGGATGGTAGTCAAGCAGTTGTAGTACGCAAAATGGAGCACTACAACGTGCAGTATAAGGGGCGTATGGGTTGTCTTGATTTCGTTTTCGGGTCGGAGTTCAACGGGAATGCTATCCTTCCATTCTTCGAGCTCTTTATCAAGATCTCCGATGGTGTTCAACAATTCGCCGTCAGACTGTTTCGATGCTTTGGCGGAATAGAGTCGCTTGTACACTCGGCTTTCAATGATGGCAAAGCGGCACATGGATCTGAACAAGTTGAACTTGGTACCGTCCGATAGTGGAACGTTGCCGATATTGTCCGGGGGGTCATCACTCGGTAATTCGACGTTCATGTCATCATCATCTTGAACTGGTGGGCGACCAGACCGGAGACAGATACTATTTGATTCGTTAGAAGAGGTATCGGTCTGACATATCGAACGTAACTTACTCTTTGTCCAGAAGGTAGGCAATCCAAAACACTCGTTTCCGCTGCTCCACTTCCACCGGATTCAAGCCGAACCCAGAACCCCGTTTGTGCAAACCAATACTGTGAGAAAGTCTGATGGCAGCTGCAACCAGGAAGAACGACGGCTGGGGGTTTGGTGTCCCTTGCAGGAAAAGCGACTACGGACCAATGAGCACTCTAAGACCATATCAAGATTACTTCTGAACTGGATCACTTACCATGCCGAGCAGCGCCTGAACACTTAGTAGATCCGTGTTTCGCATAGTAAGCTCAGTCAAAACAGCCATAGCATTCTTCAAGTACAGCCAGGCCTTCTTATCTTCTTCCTGGGGGACTAGATTGCTCATAACTCGGAGTCTGTGCGAGATCGCCAGGACCACGTTGATACTAGCCCACCAGCCAGATCCCTCATACGGATCCCGAGAATATTGACGTTCCACCAAGTGCATGAAAGTCGGCTCGTGGAAGAGCGGGAACATACAGTTGAAGTTGGAAAAGAAATCTCGAAAGAGAGACATGGCCTCTTCCTTGGGCGGCAATGGCTTGAACACGCGACGGGCAAAGATATCGCTGAATATCTCCGGCTTCCAATACATCCACTTATTATCGTCGATATACGCAGATGATATCATGTCTTGGAATGAAGTGTCGCCGGTCTTTTCGTTGACCCACTGAATACCCTTGGGAGAGAAGATCGAAAACCCCGAAGAGGAACCTGTCTAGTATTAATCCCAGCTCATGCCGTGGGTATCCAAGATACACTCACCAATGTAACGCGTTTCTCCGCAATTGTTCGTCACCAGCGAGCACATCATATCCGACAAGCCCTCAACCTCGGTTTCAGATTCTTTCTGTGATTCCGGCGACGTAGCAGCTGTGCGCGGGCTAGAGTGAGAATCCACACGGGGAGTAGAATGATGCGATGAAGTAGTCGGTTGCGATTGAGCGTTGGATTGAGGAGCATTGAATCTATTCGGACTTTTAGGACGACTTAGTCCACCATTTGCCAGCGATCGATCGGCCAAGCGTTTCTCCAGCGTTCCCAGATCGGTCTTTCCACCATCGTCTTCGGACAGTAATCCAGACAGACGGAGCAGCGACTCCATCCTGCCCAGCCGGTTTTCCAGTCCTTCGATATATTTGGCTCTGTTCAAGAGCAAAACCGTCAGCCACATAAAATACATGAACTGGTAGACAGACGGAGCACGTACCCCTTTGGCGGATTTCGTTTCTTCTCGACCTGTGTAAACACACAATCTGTCTTGTAATTGATGCAGTGCGAGCACTTGGGCATCTTCCCATCACACTTAATTTTCTTCTTCCGGCACATATCGCATGCCTATGCGGCGAACAATCAGCGTCCTGAGATCCAGGAAAATAACACCCTCCTTCATGCGCATCACTATCGACTTACCCTTGCAATTCTTCGCCTCTTGGCATCATTGGTATCTTCTCCGGCGCCCATTGACTGCTCATCCTGGTAAGACATACTTTGGTGAGCGGACGCCATCGGCGAACCATCCGGTCCATAGGCGCCGAAGAATTGCTGCTGCTGGTTCATGAGCATGGGCATGTCGAAGCCCATGCCATCGGGCGCTTCTCCGATGCCGTCCATGGTGACGGGGGGCGAGGATCCAGCGACGTGCAAAGTATAGGAGCCTGCCTATGTGACGAAGTGGAGTCCCAGTGCAAGCGGGTATGCTTCGAGCGTCTTAGGCGATGCGGGGTTCGTCCCCGACGACGTCAACGGGCAGATGGAAGGGAGCGGCTGTTGGGGCGGGAAGGTGTCGCGAAAATCCAGATGCCGATAAGGAACGACTAGGGTGAGCTGGGGTTAGAGCCTGTAGTCGGTGGGGTAAAAAAGAAATAGGATTGAAGTAGTAGTAGTAGAAGGTAAAGGGGAGGAATTAGACCGTAAGGCATTGAATGATGGAATGGCTGAGGAAAGAAGTGTGGCTTACTCAATCAATTCAATCTTTCCCCGATACAGGCACGTGGCGAGAGTCTAGCACGATAAGGCAAAAATGGAAAATTGGGGTAAGAAAAGAAATGTAACGGAGATGATGTCAAAGCTTCCCAAGGGGAAAATGAGGGACTAAAGGGGAATGATCTGATCTGTCAGACAGATTCAACAATAATCCATCAGAAACTCATGGGGGCATGCCACAGTAAAAAAAAGAAAATATGAACACGATCGTCAGTCACAGCTCCTGGAAGAGAGTTGGAGGAGTCATCGAGCTAACGAAGGTTCAACTGGTCACGTAACAGCTTTGCTGCCTTTTTGGCTTTCTCTGCCCTAAAAGAGTAAGAAAGGGTACAAACGAAAAAAACGAAAACACGAGTAGGTAAGCAGAGCTTCGATACTGTTCCAGTCAATACTTTGTTGTCCCTGAAACGGAGGTAAGTAGCGCTGCGGACGGACTTAAGGGATCATCTACAAGATCGGCTGAAGTGTGTTGCAGTTGCTTGAGGTTTTAATTGATGATGTTACTGTCCAGGCACACTGATCGTCGTCTCGTATTCACGTATTCTAATCAGTTGAACTGCTCCTGAATTATCTACTCGGTATCAGCCATGGAGTAGTCTACAGCTTGCTTACCGTGACTCGCATTGTTCCCCAGTCCCAGTCTAGGTACTTTTACAAGGATCCTATTCAAGACCCAGAGTTGACTAGTCCAGCACGGAATCTGATCCAACCGGGCTCCGTTTCTGGACGAATGAAAATGGGCAGGTGACGGATGGCTTTTTCTCCGAACAGTCCGTCCCGGCCGGCCTCGGCTTGGCAGTCTGGCTCTTTTCCTGAATTTGCTGGCGCCCATCGGTGTTTCGGACTTTGCCCAGTCCGGCGGCAAGCCTTCCTTTCCTTCTTTCTGCCTTAGGGAGTTTAACCCCTGCTCCATGTTACTTTCTTTCTCTGTCGGTGGGGTTCTATCCATTTGGCACGCTCTTCCCGCTTCAGATCGGGGGCGTTTTAGGCTGCCAACTTAGTGACGTGTGTCTACTAGCTATTTCAGGGGTGAATCTTGGACCCATAGGCAGTAGTCCAGTAGTAGCCTAGATGAAACGTAGATATTATCTGATGGTCTAGCGCATGGGCATATGAGTGCTTGGACTGTCAATCACTGTCTGCATGCACCTGATCAAATGAGGAGCTGTGACGGCTCTACACATCGAGTGCCATACAATCATGAAGCAAGTGCCAAGAGACTGATACAAGATCAAAGGCAGCGACTGGAAACCATTATCTGCCAGACACGCATGCTCCCGACTTACGCCACAGGCCCATCAGTAGGCCCTTGAAACAGAGAGAAAGCAGAAGGTATAGTGACAAACGAAATCCAAACGGATAGTTATATATTCAAGAGTGGCGATCTCATCAGGATATAGTAGACAATAATACAAAGCCCCACGCAAGGAGCACGAAGACATATCTTTCATCTTCGGAAAAAGGAATCCCACCAACGCCTCGCTATGCACACCCTAAATATAATCTCTCTTGTACAATAGAAGATACCTAAAGTATCCCGTGCATGTTCGTGTTTCCTCTCCCACACCACAAACGCCCCGAACTGTCGTCAGCTGAGCATCCGAGTAGGAAGAGCCTTAAGTGTGTTTGTCGAGGAACTCCTTGGCCTCGTTGATCTTAGTCGCCAGGTACGGGCTGCCTCCACGATCGGGGTGGTTGAGCAGCATGAGCTGACGGTGCTTCTTGCGGACCTTGTCCTTGTTCAGGGTACGCTCCCTATATAGTTGGTTAGAAATCGAAAAATATGGCGTGTCTGAAGGGTTGAGACGTACGGAAGCTCGAGAATCAAGGCGGCCTCACGGCGAGTCATGCGCTGCTCGAAACCACTGAATACTAGTTAGCGATCGATGACGGTAACTCATGATATAACGGCATATGACTAACCCCTTGTAGAAGGCCTTGCCCATGGCGTTCACACCTCCCTTGGAGCGACGGTAGGCAACAAGACCGGCGCGACCCTGGCAGATGAAAGTACGTATTAGCCTCATGTCATCCAGCATGCGGATACAGCCCATTTCCCAAGTCAGACTTACCAGGAAGGCCGCAGTAGCGACACCAAGACCGATAGCAATGGTAGACATCTTGAAACAGTCGAGCGACTAATTCAGAAGTAGATGGAGTGAGGGTCGTAGGACACAGCAGGAGGGATATCCAAGGAGTGACGTTGGGGGAGAAGCGGAAGTCCAGATAAAAAATCGGAGCGGCGCCGCATTTCCCGTTATGGTTTAGCGCCGGTTGCTCCACGCTTCAATTTTTGATGCGGTTCCTGTCCTGAACATCGGAGATCTTCTTTACACGACGGTGGGATCGAGGAGTTGTTTGTGGCTTCTTACCTCATTTATCAGAAATCTTCTCCTACTTCTTCTGATCGCCACTTTCGGGCTTACAGACTCTAAACAACTAGCCCAACATGAGGTGCGTGCCCCGGCGTTTTGCCTCTGCTCATCCCGGGAGAAATTTATCCAGCGGTAAGGACTTACGGCTGACCTACCTGACAGAGTTGAAACGTGCCACTTTTGCTCCAGGCCTGTTTACCCTAGCAAGGGTATCCAGTTTGTTAGAAATGACGCCAAGGCATTCCGGTTTTGCAGAAGCAAATGATAAGTTCTAGCCCCGCCCCGGTCTTATCAGGTTTAAGCTAACTCCTACCACCCATCAGAACTTCAAGGCTAAGCGCCAACCGAGACGTGTGAAGTGGACCAAGGCCGGTCGCGCTGCCAAGGGCAAGGAGATGATTGTCGACTCGTCGCTGGTGCTGTCCCAGTTCGCCAAGAAGAGAAACGTCCCCGTCAAGTACGACAGAAACCTGGTTGCGGCGACTATCAAGGCGATGGAGAGAGTGGAGGAGATCCGGCAGCGCAGGGAGCGTGTGTTCACGAAGCGTCGTTTGGCAGGCAAGCTTGCGCGGGACCGCAAGCGCGAGGCGGATCGCAAGGTGGTCATGGAGGGCGAGCACCTCATCCGCAAGGAGCTCCGCGAGCGGGAAGAAGGACAGCCGTTGGTGGCCGAGACTGCCAAGGCAAGCAGACTGCACGGCGAGGAGCGTCTCAGACAGAAGAAGAAGACCAGAATGTTGGTGGATGGAACTACTCAGGAGGAGATGGATGTCGATTAAAGGGCTATGCGTTTCTTACGTTTCTTTCTCTCCGGCTATCTAGTCGGGTTCGATACCTTGAGGTTATGATGGAGTTGGGTTTGTTCTGTTGTTTCAAGCTTTTCCTATCCAAAAGTATCCAGTGGTCTCTGGGATGAACTTTCATGTCCAAATTGTTGCTTTCTTTGCAGGTATATTGACTTAATCATACAAAGACGTGCTCTATAGAATCACCCGTTGTGAAGTGCTAGTGGATTGGAGGACGGAACTCATTGGTTCTCTAGCCACAGGGTGTACCAGTAGTACTTCTCTTGCGCCTTTCCAGCAAGAGCACTCTAACTTGCAGTAGGACCCTTCTATGGCATCACTACTTTAGTAGGCTTTCTAGTGTGTAATCTCAGCATTCCCCACCAGTGCTCCTACCGTCATCACCACCACCACCCGCTTCCAGCATCTACCCTATACATGCCGTAGACCACAGACAGATAGTGAAGAGTGATATCATCAATAGATCTCAACCTGATTGTGCAATCTTTCCAAGCACAGCCAGGATTACTGATGGATGAGGTCCACCGACTTCCTTTGGGTTCTGGCCGGCGGCGGCGGTGGGCAGATGAGTCAGCCGGCGAACGGAAGGACGAAAAACGCAAGAAGGCGGGAAAGCGCGTGAGCGAACTTCACAGGCGACCTCAGCTCCTCCAAGAGCTTTCCACCTTCCCCGCCACCTCCGTTTCAAGAAGAGCCTCTATGGCCGCATCAGCCTCGAGGTGCCATTGAAATCTCAGAACCCCGCCGCGCCTTTACCTTAGCCTCCGGGCTCATCATCCTCGACCATGGCCTCTCTGCTCCGGCGGCCTGGCAACCTTGCTCGATATTCGAGGAGAGCCGCAGACTGCCTTTACCGCACAAGGCCGCTCTCTGCACACGCTCCGCAGTCGAGACTGTCAGCCCTGATTATCGCGCACCGAGCTAGGACGTTCGCTACCCAACCCACCGGTGGTCCGAACCCCCCGAACGACAATGGCAACAACAAGAACTCGAGCTCATCAACCGGGCCCGGGAATAATGGCGGAGACCCGAAGAAGCCGGAAGAGGAGAATGTGCTCACCAAGGAACAACAGAAACATCTAGATGAATTCATCGCACATCTGAAAGAACGGTCACCACGGAGTCAACATGAGATGCTCGACGACGTGAAACTGCACATCGAGAGGAACGGATTACCTCCGCCAGTGAAGGATTTCATCGACAACCATATCTCCACCGGGCGTCCTGCCTCCCTCATGACATACATGCGTTTGATGCGCGACCTGGCCAGTTACCTCGATGACATCGCTCGTGGCGTAGCGCGGATCGAAAACGAGCGATTGATGAAGGAAATTGAGGAACTAGAGAAGAAGAATGCAGAGGAAGGAAAGCAACCAGGGAAAGAGGGGGAGAAGAAGGATCAGGAAGGAAAGAAGAAGGACCAAGAACAAGATAAGCAGCGAAAGGACCAGAAGGACCAAAACCCATTCGGCAAGAATCCGGGAGACCCTCGAGATATGATTGTTTTCAAGCTCGACAACATAAATTTCTGGGCGGGCTTGATTGTCAGTTACTATATCTACCGCAGTTTCTACCCGAGCGAAAACAGCAGCGATATCACATGGCAGGAGTTCCGGGCCAACTTCCTCGACAGGGGCTTGGTTGAGAGGCTGACCGTCATTAACAACACCCGGGTTCGGGTAGAACTTCACCGTGATGCGGTGGCTCAAGTCTACCCCGAATCGCCTGCTGCTCATCCGGGATTCTACTACTACTTCACCATCGGATCCGTCGACGGCTTTGAGAGGAAATTGGAGGAGGCCCAGCAGGAACTTGGTGTCCCTAGTGCTGAACGCATTCCGGTCAACTACCAGGGTGAAGTCCCCTGGGCTGCGACACTCATAAGCTTCGGTCCCACGGTCCTTCTTTTGGCTGGTGTATATTTCCTGTCGAGACGTGCAGGTAGCGGAGGTGGTCAGGGTGGCATCTTTGGCATTGGCAAGAGCCGTGCCAAACGTTTCAACCAAGAGACCGACATCAAGATCAAATTCTCCGACGTGGCTGGTATGGATGAAGCCAAGGTGGAAATCATGGAATTCGTCAGCTTCCTGAAGAACCCGGAACGCTTCCAGAAGCTTGGTGCCAAAATCCCCCGTGGTGCCATTCTTTCGGGTCCTCCGGGTACCGGTAAGACGTTACTTGCCAAGGCCACGGCTGGTGAATCCGGCGTGCCCTTCTTCAGTGTCAGTGGTTCGGAGTTTGTCGAGATGTTTGTCGGTGTCGGTCCTTCCCGAGTTCGTGATCTGTTCGCCAACGCGCGGAAATCGACGCCCTGCATTATCTTCATCGATGAAATTGATGCTATCGGTAAATCAAGAGCGAAGTCGAACTACGGCGGCGGTAACGATGAACGCGAGAGCACGCTGAACCAGATCCTTACCGAAATGGACGGTTTCAACACTTCCGAGCAAGTGGTGGTGTTGGCTGGTACGAACAGACCCGACGTTCTCGATCAGGCTCTGATGCGTCCTGGACGATTCGATCGGCACATCTCTATCGACCGGCCTACCATGGATGGCCGCAAGCAGATCTTCGGCGTTCACCTGAAGAAGATCGTGACGAAGGAGGACATGGAATACCTTCAAGGAAGACTTTCGGCCTTGACACCCGGTTTTGCTGGTGCTGATATCGCAAACTGCGTTAACGAAGCCGCTCTGGTTGGTATGTATACAAATCCCTTGAAGAAGAGACGATCTCCCCATATAATTATCCCTATACTAACCAGCTTCTGTACAGCTGCCCGTGAAAACGCCGATCATGTCACCATGAAGCACTTCGAGCAGGCCATTGAACGTGTCATCGGTGGCTTGGAGAAGAAGTCTCTTGTACTTTCACCCGAGGAGAAGCGTGTTGTGGCCTACCACGAGGCCGGACATGCCATTTGTGGATGGTATTTCCGCTGGGCTGATCCTCTTCTCAAGGTTTCCATCATCCCCCGTGGCCAAGGCGCTCTGGGTTATGCCCAATATCTGCCCGCCAACGGCGACACCTACCTGATGAACGGAAACCAGCTCATGGACCGTATGGCCATGACCCTGGGAGGACGTGTCAGCGAGGAACTGCACTTCGACACAGTCACTAGTGGAGCCAGCGACGACTTCAACAAGGTCACTCAGATGGCCACCGCCATGGTGACCAAGTTCGGTATGTCATCAAAGCTACGCTACATCTACTACGAGGAGGACCCGAAGAGCCAGATGCACAAGCCCTTCTCCGAAGAAACGGCTCGGGATATCGACGGTGAAGTCCGCCGCATTATCGACCAGGCCCACAAGCAGTGCCACGATCTCCTGACCAAGAAGAAGAAGGAAGTCGGCATCGTAGCCGAGGAACTCCTCTCCAAGGAGGTCCTCAGCCGCGACGACATGATCCGTCTTCTCGGCCCGAGAGAATGGCCCGAATCCAACGAGTTCGCCAAGTACTTCGACGGCCGCGGCGGCGCCACCATCGCTCCCCCTGAGCCCACGGAATCCACTGAAGGCAAGGACGGCCGCGACTCCACCCCTATCCCCCCATAGATGATGCAAATCCCGATTGGAAAATCCTCGAATACTATTCATCTCTCCCAAGAACATCACTCACGGCTGACGAAAGGTGCGGCGAGGCGGGGGTTTTTGCATGCATGTCTTCTTATTCATATCATATATCGTTGTCCTCTTTTACTTCCTCGTTTCCTTGCTTGGGTTTTGTATTTATTTATCTTGTGTGTGTCAACTCGGAGCATCTCCTTTCTAACAATTTCCCTCTGTTTACGCATTTCATCCATCCCATCCGTCTGCTGTTTGTTACCTTCCAAGTTGTCGCCATAAATATTAGGACTATGACCTTTTTTGGTGTTTCCTGCGTGCTTGGTACTTTGCTCCGGAGTTCCCTCCCCAACTTCTCTACTCCTTTCCCCGTCCCCCTCTGACATCTATCCCAGTGGGCAATTATTCGTCCCCTTGATATCTCTATCATCACTGTCTCGCTTCTCCCCTTCTCTTCCCTCGTTCGCTTTCTTGAGGAAAGCGTTCGGTGTATTGTACTGTACTGTATAGTAGGTAGTTATTTTATATTGGTGTTCTTCATATATAGATGGTAGGCGAGTTCAAATTATATTTAAGTATAACTCAAGTGACATCGTAGGCCATTGTGCGGTGTAGGGTAACTATACTTGTAAATAGGACTGGTTCGAGTCTGCAACACATCATTTGCGCTGTGCATTTAGAAGCTAGAAGGCGTGTTGTCAATTTCGCATACAAGGGGCCCGCCCAATTGCCGCGTGCTTCTTCAGTGGTGGAACTTTTCATAAATTCGACAAGGATATCAAAGACTGAACATGACAAAGTATATGCAGAAAGCAGAATGATATATGTTTTCCAGAAGATCCAACACCAAAAGATATGTACTCCAAAACAACTCGAAATCATCAAATGAAACCGGGATCAATGAAAATGATAAACACCCAGAACCGAAATAAGAGGCAGATCAATGTGAACTCGGCACATCAAGTATCCTCCAAATTCACTGGCTCTTCTTGTCCGCCTCGTGAGTAGTCTGCTCGCTCTCCTCGGGCTGCTCAGTGACAGCCTTGCGAGCCTTCTTCTTGCTGCTCTTGTACTTGGGCTTGACCGACAGACGGGGAATGAAGCGTCCCACGCGAGCCTGGTACTCCTTGTACTCAGGGTACTTGCCGGCGCTGATCGATTCGGTGAGACGAACGCTACCCTGGAAGATGAGCAGAAGGCCCAAGACACCAATGCCGGTCCACTGGACGTAAGATTCGGTGCGGTAGCAGTTCCAGAGGTACAGAGTGAGCCAGATGGCCTGCTCACAGAGGAAGTTCGGGTGACGAGACAGGGACCAGAGACCACTGACGACGAAGCCGCGCTCCAGATCCTCAGGCTCATACCGGCCCTTGTACTGGTCGGGGATGCGGGCTGTCTGCTGGTAGTTGTGCTTGGCAGTCTGGAAGTTCCATTGCTGCTGATCGGCGAAGTACTCGATGATAATGAAGAAGAAGGCCACCCGGGAGAAGACGAGGTCCGGGACCTCGAAGGATTTGTGGTCCGACAAGCGCGAGAGAAGGAGGAAGTTGTAGGTCGGAGCCGTAATCAAGAGTAGCAGCAAGGACTGCGTCAGGCTGATGAAGAGGATGTTGAAGATGAAGAAGACGAAACGGTTGTTGACCTTGGAGCGTACGACCTGCCAGCGGTAGTCTTCCGAGCCGATTGAGTAGCCACCACGGCGCCAGTAGTTGAACGTCAAGCGGGCCTGGGTAGGTTAGCAGGGGTGGACTTAATGCGCAGGCCATCACGGTACTTACGCTCCAAATCAAGGTGATGGCTGCGATAGTATCCAAGCTCTGAGTCTGAAGACCCGACAAGCGGGCCCAGAGAGCAAAGTGCACATTGTAGATGGACGGCAGGATACTCCAGAACCGGTCAACCTGGGAGTAGTTCCTGTTGATCTCCGAAGCGATGACAAACAGGACTGATAGGGCCAGACTCAAGAAGAGAGCTGAGATGAAAGGATTGGTGGAGAGGTAGATGTCCTTGAGGATATTCACATCCTTGGCTGCGGCTGCCAGCTGCAGTCGCTCGGGAAGCGCCGTGATTTGCGACAAGAAGGGTAGGACAGTGTGGCTGAAGGAGGCACAGTCCACGACAGACTTGACGTCAGGGAGGGGTAGCGCCATCTCGGTCAGATGCACTGAAGGAGGATTTTAGTTAGTTGGTTGCTGCTGGGGTGACAGGGAAGCTTCTCGCATGTGAGTGGAAGCAAGACAAGACCGGGTTGTGGATGGAGTCAAAACAATCACCACAACAAGCTGGCCGGGAATCGTGACCGAGCAACCGCCCGCGGCTGCCTGATTCAGGCCCCGCAACTTGTCCCAATCCGGCCATTGATGGGAGCTCGGGCCATTCTATAGGCCTCAGGCAGTACCAAGCATTTTCAGGCAAAAAGGCACCATACCCGTGACTCGCGTCTTTTTCGCGTCTACAACGACAAAGTAGATGAATAGTATGTGAGATTGTCCACTTCGCCATAAAGGTCAACACTCTTGTTTCGGTTGCGCTCTGGAAGGGAGCATCGGTCATGGGCATACCTTAGCCTTCCTGATCAACTCAGGCAATTGCCATGACGGCGCAAAGGGTGCTATGCGTGGCAGAAAAGCCGGCCATTGCTAAAGCTGTGGCCCAGCACTTGTCCGGTGGCTCCTTTCAAACAGTAAGTGGCTCAGTGCCGGGACTTGCCAGTCCTCCCTGGGGGTTATAGATGCTGAAGTAGCTGTACTGTAGATAGCCATCCGGGGAAATCAATATGTCAAAAACTATGTATTCGATTTCAATTTTGGTGGCTCTTGGGGCACTTGCTCCGTGACCATGACCAGTGTCATTGGTCACTTAACTGGTCTGGATTTTGAACGCCAATACAGAACTTGGCTATCTTGTCCACCATCAGCTCTCTTCGAAGCTCCAGTACACGAGTCCGTGGCTGACGTATGTTTTTCTGCGCAACTCTACGAAGTTCTGGTATGAAACAAGAGCTAATGCCCGGGGGCAGGATAAAGTAGCCATTGCGAAGAACATCCAGGAACAGGCCCGGAGATGCAAGGCCCTTTTTATCTGGACAGACTGTGATCGAGAAGGTGAGCATATAGGAACGGAAATCCGTAAGCAGGCAAAGGAAGGAAATGCTCGCATCGTCGTCAAACGGGCAAGGTTCAGCAATACAGAGAAAGCGTAAGGATAACCCCCCTCTCCAGATGATATGCATTGCTGATTTTCAGGTAAAGTCATGTGCTACACGCTGCTCGATCACTTATCGAACTTGATGACCTCCAAGCAAACGCTGTCGCAGCTAGAATTGAACTTGATCTCCGGATCGGTGCGGCATTCACTCGTCTGCAAACGCTTCAGCTGAAACCTCTTTCTGCAGCGCTACAGGATACTATCATAAGCTATGGTATGTTTCTATCCTTCCTTGTACGAGCAGTTCTGACTGCCGACCAGGATCCTGCCAATTCCCGACCCTGGGCTTTGTTGTCGATCGGTATCTCCGCGTCAAGAACTTCAAACCCGAGACCTTTTGGGGAATCAAAGTTATGCATACCCGGGACGATATCAAGGTCAATTTCCTCTGGAAACGTGTTCATCTATTTGACAGAGCTGCGGTGACGGTGATGCTGGAGCGGTGTCTTGTGGCAAAGAAAGCCAAAGTCACCAAGGTCACCCAAAAGCCCACCAGCAAATGGAGACCTCTACCGTTGACAACAGTGGACCTCCAAATGATGGGGAGTAGATATCTCCGCATGGACAGTCAGACGATCATGAAGGTAAGGCGTGTGGTCTGTCAGATGCTCGAGCAATGACTTACGCAGTCCAGGTCGCGGAAGCCCTATACACGAAGGGGTTTATCAGTTACCCCCGTACCGAAACAGATCAATTTGATAAGGGGATTGACTTGAAGAAGCTCGTCGAAAAGCAGCTACCGGACGGAAATTGGGGACAATACGCTCGACAGTAAGCATCTCTCAGACATGCCTTGCTGCGCTGCTAACGTCTTAAGTCTTCTGGACGGAGCATTCAAGACTCCACGATCAGGTCGACACAACGATCAAGCCCACCCGCCTATACATCCCATTTGTTGGGTCGCACCCACAGCTCTTACCGCTGATGAGAAGAAAGTCTACGAGTTCGTCGTCCGTCGCTTCCTTGCGTGCTGCTCTGAGGATGCCAAGGGTCAGTCGACGGAAATCGAAATCCAATACGGCGACGAATTCTTCCACGCCAAGGGCCTCCTAGTCCTCGAGCGAAACTACCTAGATGTCTATGTATACGACAAGTGGGAGAGTAGCCAACAGCTGCCAAATTATCAGATGGGCGAGATGTTCGAGCCCACTGAAGCCAAGATATTCGATGGCAAGACCTCACCTCCCAACTACCTGACCGAACCGGAACTTATTGGCCTCATGGACGCCAATGGAATCGGCACCGATGCTACCATGGCGGAGCACATTGCTAAAATCAAGGAACGACAATACGTTGCCGTCCATTCGCGTGGAAGCGGTCGAAACGCAGTTAAGGAACTGATCCCCACCCGATTGGGCATTGCTCTGGTGGAAGGATATGATAATGTCTTCGCCGGTATACCGGATAGCCCTTCCCTGAGCAAACCTTTCCTTCGGAAGGAGATGGAGCTGCTAATGCGGGAGATCTGCGCCGGCAGGCGGACACGACAGCAGGTCGTGCAGGAGAGTCTTGACATGTATCGGGAGGTATTTGTGCACACACAGCGGCGGATCAATAGGCTGAAAGACGCCTGTCGGAAGTACTTGGTTGAACAGGAAACTTCCTGACTGTGTTGTTCGAGTGTAATATCTGGAGTGGCTGATTCTGATACCCCTGGCTGGTGAAATTTACCGAATTGTATATTCCCGTGTGGCGTTGGAAAGAGTATTTTCATCCTTATGATTCAGGTCTCTGCGCGAAGGTCTCCGGTATGTTGATTATTTGCAGCTAAACAACTCACATACAGACGTGAGTTTCGTACAATGTACCAAAAGCTACATATCCACATAGCTGCACTCTGTATACATCGAATATGAATCTGCCGGGAATCCTCCGGTACATGCCGCCTTCATTGTCCATCAAGCATACAGACACAGCGACTCCGCTTCTGCGAAGGGTTAGTAGAATACAACTTAACAAGTCAAGGACAGCTATAAAGATACCTTTACCTTTCAACTCAGATGGGTCACCGTCTTCATCCTCATTCCCATCCATCCACCAACCCACCCCTTTTCATCTAACACATCCTATCACCAATGCTGGTTTCAAAGTTCATCGTATCCACCACCATGGATATCTGCAATCTGTCATTCACTTTCCTCCTCCTGTCCACAACAGTCATGTTGTATTTCAGGACTCTATTCGCTCATCCCATCCACATTACCAGCCCCCCTGCACCCGTGCAGGTTCCAGCTCCCTCGCCAACCTACACCCTTGCCTTCCTCGACGAGCCCGTCTTCAAACCACTGGCATCTCACATAGCGGAGCATCCATATCCGTGGCGTGATAAACGTCCATTCCAGGAGACTAATTATGCGTTGCTTATGGGTGCTGTTCAGTCTCTTCTCGAGGCTGAGATTGAGGAGGAAGAGGGTGGTGTGGCATTGAATGAGAGCTATGAGCAGCAGGGTGCCGTTGAGAGTAACTCGACTGAGACTTTTCTTCTTTGGGTTGGGGCTGGGGAAGATGAACAGTGGCCTTGTGCTTAGGGGAGGCGCTCAGATGAATTGAAGGGAGAAGGTTCTCCTTCTTGACTTGAAATTGTGAGAAGTACAATGCGGGAGTGGATCTTGGAATTGTCTGTGACGGGATGTTCCTATGGGGATTGCCAACGAGAATCTGGATTATATGTCAAGCCATAATAATGTGTTAATGAAACCTCGCTTATCGGAGTAATTCTTTTCATATATATTTCTGTCATCGTAGAGTTCCACTTCAAGGTTTGAAGCAGCTAACCTGATGATATGTTGAAAATAATGCTCGGTAGCGGGAAGCGCCTTCAGCTTCCCATCCGGAGAAAAGGAATAACCCATCAAATACACGCTAAGCCTATAATAGTACTGGGTATTTGCAAGCTTGGTTTTGAGACAGAGTCAGACTCATACAATACCAAACAGCTAGATTCAAACACGTGCATCGTGACGGATGATGCTAAGCCAAAAGGGGACTATGGTCGTATAGGGTAAGAAGTAAATTTTATTACATTCAGACAACTTAAGAGGATATAGCCACTAGATTCCACTACTATTCGCTGGATAATGTTTACGGACAAGAAAGCGATCCAACCAGCATGTGACAGAAAAGGAAACTCGGAGGAGTGTGTACAATGTCGTGCTAAAAAAAGATATGTCTGAATCAAGGCGGTCTCTATTTGGGCTACACATATCTAGATATGGAAAAGCGGACTATAAAATTCCCAAGATAGGTTTAGCACTAGTATATATCTAGAAATTATTCGGCGATTTTAGGTGATTTTCTATTCAGATATAGTAGTCAGCATATAGCCCTACAATGGCTTAGCTGTAGAATCCTTTCGCCCGTACATAAAGTCTAGATAGCGTTCGCCAACATTGGAATCGATCACACTTTTGCTCTGTATCTGTGTCTACCTCCTTGCATTTACTCTCACGCGCTTCTCTCCATGATGGACTCATCTCCCCTCCCCTATCATGGCTCCTGCCACTGCGGTTTAGTCAAGTTCATTGCAATTATCTCGATGCCTCCAGTTGGAGTCCGGGACTCTGCAGCTCCGCCTCCGCCCTCGCCTTCGCAGCCCCGCTTTTACAAATGCAATTGCTCGACCTGCCACAAATCCGGCGTCTTCCATATGCGCTTGCCAGATGCCCCAAACGAGTTTTTCTTATTCTCCCCACTAAATCTAGAAGAGCTTAGCAATTATCAATGCTTTAAGCGTCTGGTAAATTGGTATTTTTGCCCTACATGCGGCGTCCGATGCTTTGGTGTCGCAGCGCGCTGGAAAAAGGACTCTATTGAACCCGAGAGATTCAACATGGCGATTTCTAGTGAGGAAGGAAAGGAAATTACCCCCATCAAGGGTCACGATGAACAGCAAAGGATATCGGTCTTGCGATTGGACCCCGAAGGTTATAAGGAGAACCAGACCGGATATTTCTCCCTGAATGCTCTTACCATCGATCAAGACCAGCCTCATGGGAATCGTCTTGATCTGCGTCGGATTGTCGATAACAAGTGGTTGGAATATCTGGATCGCAAGGAGGGAGTAGCAGACATTCGCTATGATTACCCGCAGGAGGGAGGTACATGGTGATGATTCCTGTCAATGCACGCTGCAGGCCCCTTCTGTGGAGGCGGCCATCGCAACACCCACAACAAGGCTGTCACACGGTGAGACGAATCATGATTCGAAAAATAGTATACTAGAAAAAGCGAGATCAAAAACATATGGAACAAGGTTGCGAAGTAGTGCCAAGAGAATCCTTAATATGCTTTCATTTAGTTGAATCTGATTAATATCCTGAGATAGAGGTTTGTTGTTTTCTTTGCATGAGAAGCCAGGGGCACATCTTCATTTAGCATTCCAATCTGTCGTTGTATACACGAAATAAACCTTTCTTGTTCATATATAAACCTCCTTGAGTGTCTATATCAGCAAAAGTCCGCAAAAGATAGATCGAGGTTATATGGATAAACCCGACATACCAATGACCTTATGCTATATAGTAAGCCCCGGTCTTCCTGCTGTGAACATGAAGTGGTATATAGCACATTATGTAATCATAAATATCAACAAACTGGGGTTATAGCTCAGTGGTAGAGCGCTCGCTTTGCATACCCATAGCTAAACTGCGAGAGGTCAAGGGTTCGATCCCCTTTGACTCCAACTTTTTTTCTGCCATCATCGCCATCATAGGATGGGGACTTCCGTCTTTTACTATTGCTATCTTTCTATGAAAGGAAGATGGGTTTTCTTTTCTTTTCCCTCTTTTTTTGTTCCCCATCTGCAAGTTAATCACAAAATGAGTGAGTATGTGGCTGAACTGCTCTGCATACAAGATTGCCTTACCAAATGGAGACACTTCGTTGATACACTCTTACAATATATCTCTTCTGATACGGAAAGTTACATTCCCAACTGGGGTTTTATAGACTGAAGCTTTGCATTATCTGGACTCTGGGCCATTTTAGCTAACATCGTGAAAGCTGCCAGACGTCTCCCACATCTACGTAGGAAAGACAATGAACCCTCAGGAGTTACTCATCTCCAGTGAGATGCAAACTACACACGGTTATGGCTGGGAACTGCCATCAAGGTATCAGGAACCTGTCTGGCGCTTGCAGATCCTCACATCTATAGGCACAACCACTGAAGCTTATCTGTCTCACTTAGAGACAGAAAAGAGCTTCTCTAAGGAGAGATCAAACCAAATGGAGTTATATAAGTCTGCTATACTCCCTTCATAGCCAAATCGAATGAGAGCGACACCGATGCAAATAACCCTCACCTTACTCAATTGGGTCACCCACCCCCTGCTCCAGGAAACACCCACGCCAAAACAAATCAACACTATGGACCCCTTCAGCATCAAAAGGGTTCCCTGCATCGTGCTATGCAACATTATCCGACAAATCCCCGACTGGGTGACACTCGTAAACCTCATCGAAGCGTCCCCACGAATACGGGAGATCTTCGAACCCGGCAAGAATCCCAAGGAAGACGCAGAGCCCGCAGCAACGCACATAGTCGACATCATCGTGAAGGATAACCCCATCACAAAGAGCAGTCTACACCGTCACTTCTGGAGAATCACAGAACTAAAACAGCTAACCCCAGAAGGAATCCAGGAGTCATTCCGAGAAGCACGTCCTTATATCCGAAGAAGTGGCTTAAACGAAGGAGAGCCGGAACAACGCAGCCTAACAGAATTCCTCGCCCGCCATAAGCCTCCCACTTCTATATCCTGAGCCGTGTTATGGGAAATGGTACACATAGCCGCCAATATCCAACGATTAGCCTGTGCGTGCTTGACATTCCTCGAAGGCCTGCTACAAGCTCACTTTTACTGGAACGGAAGGTTCCATGTAATGAAGGAACTGGATTTGAGCCGGCCCTCGTGGGAGGAGGAATATCGTGTCTATCGCGCCCTGTGGCATTTGCAACTATACTCTGTGTTGCATAAGGGAGGTGTTCTCCCCGTGGATGGACATATTGTGTGCGTCCGCGGCCAGTATCAGCCCGAGGTTGCTACCTGGGATTTACTTCCTGGCGTTGCCCGCGTTGAGATTCAGACTATATCCCAGTGTCTTTTGAACCTTGTCAATGGGAATCATAATCTGAATCTGAATGGGTGGAGAGAGTGGGCGAATTGGAAGAAGTGGTACCCGCTTATTACTGAGTTGCCTGATGCATCTCGGCTGGAGTTTGGGTTTCCGACTCGGAGTCCTCCGCCCCAGCCTGGCTGTTTGCGTGGTGTGATGGATCCTTTTGTTGAGAGGCTTAAGAAATATGCGGTCCAGAATAAGCTTAATTTCAAGAAGTCGGGGCTGGAGTTGCCTCATAGCTGGCATATTCCGGGAAATAGGATGATTGGGTTGATGATGTGGGATGTTCGTCGATTGAATAATTCAGGGTTGTGGCCGTTGCATTATTAGAGCATTGAGATCATACTATGGATTTGCCGGATCTTGAGGACTGGGGCATCGTATTCCGGGAACCAGATTATTGTATAGGCAGTCAATAAAACTGAGAATCTAGTATGGAATGTCCCTTTTGTTCTAGCTAAACTTTCATAAAGTTTTTACAATAAAATAATTTGTTAGCTTCATTTAGGCACTTTACCATATCTTCTACTGCCTACATGGCCTCTGTCACGGTTTTCTTCTAATCTTCCTTCTTTATAGCATTATGAGCATCTAGATGGTCATGGAATCTGACTTTGGCTTCTATGCATGTAGATCTCAGAGCCAGAGGGTTAGCGGCAGAAGATGCTAAGGACACTTGACTAGTATTCTTGGATATTACGAGCAGCCATCTAAAGACTTCTTCCTTTCTCTAACTTTAAAAGCACACCATGACAATTTGATGAAAATGGCTGGGCTCGTTCAAGGACAACTTGTATGTCTCAAGGGTTATTTAGGATGCAAATAGCTATAGAACAAGTCGTGACGAGAAAAGAACCTAGAGCTTACCCATGTGTCTGTAGGTTTCGTGTATGACCGGTTACAGCTTACCAGGGGTGGTGCTTGGACTAGATGCATTTGTTGTGGTCGGTGGATTTTGGGAAAAAGTCGGGATGAAACCACGGCTGAACGTTTACCGATATCTTTTGTGCAATTTTTATTCTATTGATATATTTAATTTTCCTCAAGAACTCCGTAGGAATTGAAACCTTCTCGCCTAGTATTCATTCCCGTTGGTTCCAACCCACGCAGTAAATTGGAGAAGGCGCGCAGACTTGTGAATCAGGGGGAGCGAGCATGTAAGCCCAGTAAACTATACACGAACAGTTACTACAGGCCACATTAGGCTACACTCTGCCGAAGATGTATCTCTTTCCCTTGCTATAAATCAGTTTACCTGGTTCTATACACGCGGACACGCGATATATCGTTGCAGTCCACTACGGGCGCTCTGTTGTCCCTTGACTCTTCATGCCGTGGCCCGCCTCTCGCTCTATTGCGATGTAGTGTTAGTATGATGTTTGACACTAAATTCAATGTCAGGATTTCTAACAGGAGAGGAGCCTGAGGGGAGGCGGGAAAGGTTCGCTAGTACTTACTGGCTCAGCTTCCCTACACTTTGTACCTTTTCATCTTGACCGACCCACTCTTTCGTTACACAACATACGAATGACGACATTATAGGCAGTATCAAATCAAAAGAAACCTACGAGGTCTAGACATATCACTTTATGGGCTCCAGATGTTGTGTGTCTACAGTCATCCGTCTGTTTGCTTTGCGCACCGCGCGGTTGTTTTGCACCCCTGGGGTTTTTCTGCACCACACTTTCTTGTTTTTCCCGTTCTCTTATTACATTATTGGCTGTTTGGTCAAAACCGTATTGATATGAAACCATACTTAACTTTATTTAGCAGGCTTTCAAAACGTACAGTATTGGTGGTAAAGGATGAAAGAACCAAACGGGCGGGTAAGAAAAAGGGCCTTTTGTTTATTGCAGTCTTTGTTCAGGGTTAGTAGGAGACTGTGAACGCATCCTGCCTAGTACCTGGGGGGCTTAAAACTCTCTGCTGTACGCCCCTTTTGTATCAGTAGATACATCGAATTTGTGGCTAGACAGCAACCAAGACATTTTTCTCATACTCTTATCCCGAGACATTCTCCTGATACCCTTATCCAACTGATCATCTGTCACACTCCAGGTGCTTACAATGGAACAAGATCAGCACGGACGTCGGAGGAGCATACGCATCATTGAAAAGACACTGAAAAGCGAAGCCAATACAGAGAAAACACCGGCTTCAAGTTCCAAGAAGAAAGGCCGTCAGCAAAGTGCTCTTGTCCATACGAGGGTACAGAAGAAACAAGCCAACACGGGGAAACAAAATCCTTCACGACGGACACAAAAGCCTCGAGCTAATACATCAAGACGAGCACCAAAGAGGACGGCACCGCAAGAGACCCCCAACGCAGCCAAACGTGGCCGTCCAAAGGAAGCACAGGGAGCAGCCAATACAAAGAAGCAACCTAACCAGAAAGAATACCAGCATAAAAGGGTATGGCTTGAGTACTTGCGCACTCGAATGCCTTAAGATACTGACTCCATGTCTGTTTTAGATACGTCCCTCGACCAAGACACAGAATAAGCGGAAGGCACAAACACCAGAACCATCATCCTTTAGCCCAGAACCGCAGTCCAAAAAGCAGCGTCAAGAGCAGAACCCCCCAGTTCCGGATGACCAGGAGGTTGGTTTGCGTATGTCTTGCACAATGGAGACCGGATCAAAACTAATCTCTTATTAGTTGCGTCTAGAAAATCCACAAATCGAGGGGGATGCTGCCGTATATTACTGGATCACCAACGGAACTTGGCCAAAAGAAATGCCTCAATCTACCCCTAACACCCAGTTATCAAATGTCCACCTTGCTTCTAGGCCTCCAACCAATCCTCTAATGACACAAACCATCGAGCCAACAACAGGGGCCAAGTCTCAACCCTATGCTACAAGTGCCTGTGAGAGATACCTTGAGTCTAAAGGCAGCTACTTGAAAATTGAGTATGGGGTTGCAAATAGGGTTGCAAACGATGATAAAAGACTGTGCCAAAATCTTCTCAAAAGAGATGGATATGAAACTCCCAGTGGCACGGCATTCGAGGATAACGCTTGCGCCTATGTTCGGGAGCGATTATCAGATGGGAACGAGACCGGAGTCACTCGAATGATCAGTCAATGGATTGTTCCTTCAGCTGTCCTTGAGATGTATAGTGGACGACTGAACTCTACTCCGAGTTTGATTGAAAGTATGAATCAGCCTTGGAGTTGGTCAACTTCTCTCGATGAAGATCCGAGCATACGACGAAGTTCAGGGACAAAAGAACCGAATACATCTCTCCCAGCACCACGACCAGACTATGCCGTAGGCTTTTCACAAGGTGCATTTACCTGCAAGCAGATTCGCAAGCTCAAGCCATTACTTGGAGAACCCGACGTGACTTCTGTTTGCAAGGGCATAAAAGAGATGCTTTTCCCATTTCTGGCTTGCGAAGTAAAGTCCCCTGCAGGTAATCTCACAGTTGCAGAAAGGCAAAATGCTCACACACTGACTCGATGTCTCAGAGGTGTCGTTGAGCTTTTCAATTCACTGGGGCGCGTGAATGAATTACACCGGAGAATTCTTGGTTTTTCTGTCTGTCACGATCATGAGACGGTGAAAGTATACGCTCATTATCCTGTGGTTGTAACTGGAGAGCCGATTTCATATCGTCATGAATATATTGATGTATGGAACTTCATTTCAACGGAGCACAGGTGGAGGTCTTACAAATTTGTAATGGCCATCTATCATGATTGGGTTCCAACGTATTTTGCATTACTTTGTTCTGCAATTGACCGTTTACCGGATATTCCTTCAGACGTTGCACCTCGCCGGTCTGTGGTTCAGCCCGGGAGCCCAACTGACCAGGATTCCTCACGGGGGGAAAGTTTATTGCCAGAGGATGAGGAATTGGACGCAGATACTAAAAGGAAGCGTGGCAATCAACCTCAGCCATCCATTGGACGAAAGGCTTCCAGAGGTTCAAAGAGGTTGAAGGAAGGACACTAATGATAGGCTGCGCTTTTCTCCTGGCCGCCCACAACACCTTGGCCATAATTATATATAGTATGTTCCTTCAGTTCGGTCTCCATATTATAGTCCTCATGGCGGGTTTCCTAAGTTTCTTTGTGTTATCAATTCGGACAACATTTCTCATGATCTCATTGATATGTCACGGTATGGTTTGGGAAATAATCATGGCTGCCCGGATCAAATTGCAAAAGAATGGCATGATATTCAGCACAATATAGAAATATACAATACTAGATCAGAATCAGTCAAAAGGAAAAGTAGTTGGGTACTTTTCTAAGTCGTAATGTGCACCACCTGGCGAAATTTGTTCCTTAGACGACAGTTGATGACCATGGGGTTCTAACACGCCTTTTGTCAACCCCTGTGCATTTACAAAAAGCGGCCTGTATATCTAGTACATACTATCATCAGTTATTAGCAAGGATCATTTGCAACCCAGCTGCAGCGTACACGTGTATCTTGAACCATATGCCCTTAACAAGCCATGCATCATCATCATCCCAGTTACCCTTTTACAAAGCAAATCTATCTTGTATGCTTAGAAAATTCCTTGTGTTGGATGACTATAATACCTAGATAATTGCACTATTCCGGGATCTGGGCGAGAGAGGAGAGGCTACGATTGCTGCTGATGAGGGCCGAGAAATGGATAGAAATACTAACTAGTATCTATCATTCCTTAGTAGCCTAAGCAATTTACCAGAGGTGGTGCCTGGCTACTGTGAATGTCTCTGAACATAATATGAATTGAGTCAGATAGGGGCTGTGTCAACGATTTATCTTTGAATGCTATATAATCAGCTATCCTGAACTCTCAAACGTCTGGCTAGTGCCATCAAAATGACTGATATTGGACATATTGCAGCACCTTAATTTTCAAAAACTAACCCAGCAAGCTCCAACAGCTCAGCATGACCGATCTCAACATCCCCTTCAGATGGCCCCCTTGATCTCCCCATCAGGTCCTTGAATCCTAGCTTGACTGAATCACCCTCCACATGGGGTGTTTCAGCTCCATAATTCACTGTAGTCGTGGATTTTAACACAGGCCGATAATCATTTGGGCCTCCCTTGGACTGAGACCTAGTGTTAGGAGACTTTTGATCTTCGGGGCCATATTTCTCAAGCACAATGCACTTTGTTTGCATTAACACATTGATGATCAAGACAACTTTAACTTCCCCAACAGAGTTTGCAATCCGCCACGCAGCATCCTGCCGCAGACGTGGCATAGAATCATCAGACACTGCAGATTCCACCACAAAGGAAGGCCAGTCACGCTTGTCAGATCGGATAGCAGGATTCTTGAAGGCACTGTCCCCTTCTTTGATCGCGCCCCATGGTCCTTCAAATTCTGAGGCTCCTAGGGACACGAACTGATTGTCATCGATGTTCATGTCAGCGAGTTTGGTCGATATAATGTGGCAGAGACTGTCATGTACAGTTTCAGTGGTGCTGGTAACCACCTTGAGTACGAGGGTGCTAATTTCAGGATAGTAAGTGAAACGGACTGCGCTGCCCAGTTTCTTTCGACGACTTTCAATGAATCGAAACTCTTTTAGAGAAACATTCTTGAAAGAAAGATATTGGCTCACATCTTCTGTTTCCAGTCTTTTGTGTAGATCTGCAATGGCCTTGGTGAGGGCATGCAGGTCCTTGTAGGGTGTAGCGGGATACTTCCTGATGAGGGCGAGCTCGGAGGAGGAAGGCATTGTGGGGATATTCTTGGAAGATGGAGCAGCAAAACAAAGATGTGAGTATAAAGGGTGAGGCTTTGGGTGAATGGAGAGGGGGGTGCATAGAACCCGTTGGCAGGGGTGAAGCACGGCCTTAAATAAGTCAGAGTGTCAGAGAGTAGAGCTTGACAACATTTTCTTGCCTTTGAATTCTCGGGGTGTTCTGTGCTCATCTCCGGGGTGTGCCGTTCATTATTTCATTGCAACTACTTCTTTCTAAAAAATTCTCTTAGCATGAGGTGGCCTAAGTGATGCCGGACTTTTCCAGTAACGACCCCGAGGTGACAAATTCGATGGACTTTGATATCGGCTGTTCTCATTGCCTACATGGAGTATACTTGTGTCTATATCTGTTTCTTCATTGAAATGCATATTAAGCAGGCTACGCCACCTTTATTACGACGTGATGACCCCGCAGTCCATTTCCTTTCTTTCAATTCCGCATTACTACTCACCATTGATTAACGAAAGAACAAGACTCTTTGTTGAAGGTAATGGTCCGGAACATTCCAGGTTGAGAACAAACAAGCTGCACAAATTCTAAACACTTTGTAACTCTACCATGTTTCTCTGTCTTTTGACCCATTTATGGGTAGTACTATATACTTCCACAATTCATCCTCGGCCATGCTGCCATCAATGATACTCATCATTCTTTACTTGATTAATCCTGCAAACCAACTCTACTCAATACAATCTATCTCAATTCAGTTACTTCTCCTTCTTCTCTGCAGCCAAAATGCCTCGCATAGAACAGGTTCATCAAGAAAGCCGTCGAAGAAGTGATCGCATTCGTGAAATAGCACAAAGGAAACTAGCCAGCACAGAGAAGCAAGAACCTTCTTCACCATCAAACAAACGTACAAAAGTATGTATAATGCGAGCAACTTGCTATTTCACTATCAGACACTGACGTTGTGTGTACCATAGTCACAAACCAAACCATCAGCCAACATGCAGAAAAAGCGAAAAGCGCCGGCATCACAACATGTGGAAAAACAGCCCAAGAAGCCTTGTCGGCAGCAGAATCCTGCTGTACCGGATGCCGGAAACATCGATCAGGAGGTATGTCGCTCGCCACTTTTCCCATGAAGAAGGAACAAAATAGAGCTGACACTATTCTAGTGGATTCAGGCATTCCTACAGACAGTCAAGGGCTCTTCCATACACTACTGGATACAGAATGATCGATGGCCGAAGACGCTCTTCAACAATGTCCTTGGGTTTGTTCTTGTTCACCACGAGAAAGCTCGGAGCCTCCTGAAGAAGAATATGAGGACGACAATGAAGAAGAGGATGAGGATAGCTATAAAAACCGTACTGAAGCCTATATCGATAACATATTCGTGACCTACCTTTGGTGCCAAGGCAGTTATCTCAAGGACTACAGGAGTGGGATTACAGAGGATGAGATAAAGATGTGTCAGGAATTACTCAAAAGAGAATGTGAGACCCCCAAAGACACACTAATGGACAGCAATGCTTGGTTTCATATATGCAAGAACATAGCTCAGAAAAACAAAAGTGCAATCATTCGGTCAATAGCTCAATTGATTGTTCCTTCTGCCGAGCTTGAAATATGCAGAGGTCAAGTCAGCAAAGCTATAGATCTGGTTGAGAGTATAAACGAGCTTTGGGATCACTCGATTCCACTTCAGTGGAATCCCAGACTCATACAACGAAGGCTCCCGACCCCACGACCTGATTACGCAGTGGGATTCTCTAAAGATGCGTTCACAGACGAGCAATATGCCAAACTAGAGCCTCTGCCTGGAGAATGCGGAGAAGCTTCTTATTACAAGGGCACGCAGAGTATGCTCTTCCCATTCTTTGTAGCAGAAATAAGAGATGCTAGTGGGTCATTTCTAGTCGCAGAGCGCCAGAATGCTCACAGCATGACCCGGGCTCTTCGGGGTATTGTCGAGCTTTACAGACTATCTGGACGTTGTCAGGATGAACTGGACCGGAAAATCCTCGGATTCTCAATATGCTATAGTCATTCGCATGCTGAGTTATATGCCCACTACATCGTGACTAAAAATAAAACAGAGACATGCTATTACCGCCATTTTCTCAGGACGTTTAATTTCGTGGGAGGTGGGATGGAGGAGAGATGGAAGTCTTATAAATTTGTAATAACTCTTTACAATGACTGGGTCCCAATCCATCATCAACGACTCTGCTCAGCAATTGACAGTCTACCGGATGTTGATCCGCATACTACTTGGACATCCGAGCTGCCTGCGCTTATAAATGGAACTGTATCAGAGAACATGACCGCTGCAATATATAGCGGGGAAGACTGATTGAACTTGCTTACGCCCACTTGTTCTGACTTCATTCATACTTACTTCCCCATAGTTCCCCTTCGCGATGTCAAGTTTGATTTGATTTGATTTTTTTTTTTTTTTTTTTTTTCCGCCAAATCACTGAATCACCATACTGGGCCTTCAAGGAACTCTGCCTACTTCAACGAAAACGAGTTATCCAGATTGCGACATAGGTACCATTTATAACTTGCCCAATTAGTTTATATACCCATCTACAAGCTACATGCTACACACACTTACAAGAAACTATGTACTCCCTAGAGTAGAGCGCTTTTCTCCACATTCAAACCAGTTAGAACTCACACCGTGCACTATATTCCCCATAACGAAATTCAATACTCATAAACGCACTGCAACTACTCTAAAAAAGTAACTGTGAAACAATACCTCTAACTAACTTGAGAAGAGAAAAATAAATAAATAAAAATAAAATAATAATTATTATTATTATTATCATCATAATCATAATAACCCCCAGCCTTGCTTTGCTTGCAAGGCTTCCATCTAGCCAGGGAGGGGTCAAAGAAGGAAAAAGAAAATCCCAAAAAATTGGAGTCAAAGGGGATCGAACCCTTGACCTCTCGCATACTTGCGAGGATGCAAAGCGAGCGCTCTACCACTGAGCTATAACCCCAGGTTTCTTGTGGCAAGATTAGTTATTTTAAGATATATTGTAATTTAGAGCTGTGGAATGGTTGCAGCTTATGGATCATGTAGACTTCAATGTTTGAAGCTGGGATGGAGCTACTGGCGAATGTAAATCTAGGTACCTGTTGTTGTAAGGTATTTGTGAACAAGGTAAAATTATGGTTTTACTGGTAAATTACTCGGATGAAGACACAGTGATCAGCTAGCTGTCTTCACATTCAACATCTCCCGAATGTAAGGGTTCAATATGCTAGTGGTCTCTGGTTGAGACTTTATATATCTAAGCAGGTCGTTCGCATACAGTCATTAGTAGAAATGTGCTCATACATCCACATGCTCCAACACCACACTTCCCTTTCGTGCCGTCGCCTCCACATAGCCCGGATTCTCTGCCTTCAGCTGCTTGAACGTTTTCTCTGCATCCCATACCCATGGGCTGTCCGACGCGAAAAGCAGATCCATGTCCTCCAGGGTACGTTGATTGCTCTCTGGGTAGAATGCCCACACCATCGGGATTGCGATGACGTTGCTGGCCGCGAAAACATATAGCGTCTTCTCGCCAATGGCGCTGAACATCACAGGGCAAAGAAGTGTCTAGTCGGCTGTGTTAGCTTTGCTTCGCAATCTAGGACGATGAACACACCAGCCATCCGTTTCCGATACTCCACCCGACTACGCCCCAGGCGTTTCCGCGGGCTCGTACTGCCAGCGGGTAGATCTCGGCGGGATAGATCCAGGGTACTATATGTGTGCGAGTTAGCGACGGTCTCTACAGGAAGAAGCTTGGTATGTACCTGTCAGCCATGTAGCTCCGAAAGCAGCTGTAAAGATAAAAATCATTGCGGCCGCGGCTGCTCCGAAGGAACTGGCGCGAGCAGCATCGCCCGAGTCGCGGGCATTGATGGCTAGGCGGGAGAATCCTCCGGCTAAGAACATGGCGATTCCTTGACTGACTGCTCCCCAATATAGGGTCCAGCGACGACCGATGCGATCGAGCGTAAAGACACATACGAGTGTTGCGAACTGAGTTGTTAGCAACGTCCCATGATGAAAGATACAGCACTCACCATGTAGAAGACGTTGTTCAGTCCACTAAGCCATTGACTCTTCATCGAGTCGAAACCGGCAATGCTGAAAATGGTGGGCGCATCTGCTCATGTTAGACTAGTCCAGTAGATGTGCTTTGGTAGTTGACATACAAACAGTGACACCTGCGATACCAACCCATTCTTGCATGATCTGCAGCCAGACAACCAGCTGCACACGTCGTCCAAGATGCAATTTGCCTGTCTTGTGTCCAAAAAGCATTGCTAGGTACAAAGTGCTGTGGTTCATTGACCGTTCCATTTCTGCAACGTTCTGAATATCCCGGAATTCGGCTTCAGCGCGGACAGCATCGTCGCCAGTACTTCCTCGAAGACGCCCAAGGATGTAACGCGCTTCTTGCTCGCGACCAACTTTGACCAGCCAACGTGGTGATTCGGGAAAGAACCAGACCGAGACAAACAGGAGGAGCAAGAAGATGATTTGAAACGCAATAGGGAAACGCCACCGGAACGCGGATTTGCCGCCATCGATAAAAGACAAGCCACTACATCAATTAGACAAGCCTCGAGAGAAGTAATGTATACTTACAATTCAAGCCAGTAAGCCACCACGACACCGAAGATGTTGAGAGTAAATTCGATTGCGATAAACTGTCCACGGGAGGTATGTTCAGCTGTCTCTGTAGCCCAGACGGGCACGATGGCGTTCAGAATCCCCGTGCCGATACCATTGATAAAACGGGCTGTGATCATACGTCAGTTTAGAGTGCGAATAGGCTCTTTGGATCTCTTACAGCAGATCATCCAATTGTGGTTCTGCGCTGCGCATTGCAATGACGCCCCCAAAACCGCCCAGACCGTACCTGTAGCGATAGTCCTGATTCTGCCAATCTTGTCACCGATCCAGCCACCAATTAGCGCGCCACACAACGTCCCCAGGTAGTAGACAGACACAATCCCGCCTTGCAATAGACTGTTTGTAACGACAGGGGTGAGCTCTCCGTCTTCCACTTTGGTGTATCCGAAGCCCATAAGGTCGATGTAGTCTTTGGAGTTGTTCACACCCGACATCATCCCCTGATCATACCCGAAGAATAGGATCGACAAGGCCGCGATGCAATTGATAGCGATGAGAAGATTACGCTTCTCCAATTTGTGGACGATATTCCATGATGGTATTAGGTCACTCATGGTGACTACGCTAGGGTAGGCGGTTGCAGTGACTGCTCGGGTGTATACCGGAAGATACCTTCTTCCGCTTGGGTGACTTCAAGCAGAAAGACCGCGTGATTTGGGGGAGAGATCAACTACCTGCTGTATAGAACCACGTGCGAATGGGAAGGAAGGTTACAGAGACAGCGGGCGACGCGACGATTAAATAGAACGGACTATAAGCTTGGTGGTGCAATTTGCGCCTGAAGATCATCCATTTTCAAAGAGCAACCCCATGGCGCAGGACCGGTGCCAGCCCGATGAGTCGAATATGGTTACATCCCGGGTGGGAGGACATCAAACAGCCACATCAAGGCACTTGGTCCCACTCAAAAGCAGAGACGCCATTGGAATACGGGACCCGCACGAGAAAGTCTGGAGAGAATGGGTGGGAACCCGACCCCAGACCGGGACGCGGACGAGTCCAAATCGGTCATCCGGCCAGCGCCTATGCTGCCGACCTGCAGACCGAAGGATTATGGACCAATGTCCGAGGTGGAAACAGTGACGGCATGCTAGTGTGGTCTGTATGTGTCGTGTAGGAGAGCGAGGTGCTAGTCAACCGAAACTCGGCTGTTCACACTGCACCATCCGGGGTTGGCATACTGGGGAACGCACTCCATGTACGAACTTGGGGATTCAAGAAAGCAGCGGTATCGGCGGGGCACTAAAGCTGGAGCGGGTGGTACAGAGTAGTTGGGATAGCGGATTAGGCCATCAGGAGGAGTGGATGGCCTGAAGTGTGGAGGTTTTCCGGGGATTTTGGTCCAAGCGGGTGGGGATTTCAGCCAGATTGAGGAAATCCGGAGAGCATCGCGGCGGACCAACTCCGACTCTCCTCTTTGGGACATCCCGTGCCAGTTTAGCCTGCCAACTATTTTTGCTGGATGTTGAAAGAAACTTATTCAGATGACTATCTTCTTATTTCTTTGCAAAGTTCTCTTTATATTTCGTAGACAACTAGGTCTCTTGCAAAATTGATATGTCTTAGGATAATAGCTTTATCAACGCACACAATAAGCTATGTCGGGCTCACTAATCCTGCCACGAATTTGGCAACCTGACTATGAGATAGTGACATGCCACAATACTGAGAAGTGGCCTGGCTCTTGTCCATGGCAGATATGATTTGGTTGTCAGAAAGCTGTGGGGACTGTCTGAGATTTCCTACTGGCGCATCGATGATCCCAAGAACCTGGTGAGGTGAGGCTCATCCGAAAGTTAACATTAGAGTGTGATAAGTAGCTTTGTTAGTCCTGCTTGCTCACCTTCTGCTGCTGCTGCTCGAGTATCTACGTACAACCCTTGCCTGGGGTTAGAGGTTTACTTCATCTCGGCATATTGAAGTCTAGGGGCTCCTGCGCTTTTGCACTTCGCATAGGCAAGCATAAGTATACTAACTCTGTTTTTCCTGGCTTCTGTGAGCCGTATGATATGAAATTTAGGAGTTCTCTACAGTTCTCAGCTGTCAGTATATATCAACGGTATGGGAGCAGTAGTTTCGAGGATGGCATTAAGATTCCCTTATTACAACAATGACGGAGTTTTGCAAGTTTGAAATGACACTTTAAAAGACATAAGAATACCGCTCTTGCCAAAACTTGTCAGGACTTGGTAAATTCGTCTCTAGTATGACTTGTTAGCCATGGTGGTGGTCCAGTAGCATTTTATCATCCCTTGGCATCAGGCGACTGAAAATTTTGTGGCTCAATAAAATCAGGGCGTAGCAGAGCGGAACTAATTGATATCAGATCACAAACACACCCTACTCCGGCCGAAATTGGAGCAACCGGTTATAGAAGACTAGAAGTGCACTTTAATATAGATTGAGTGGGCGCCAGCAGCATCCGAGCCGCTAAACCGTGTTTGGGGCCCGTCACCCATCTTGGATAGACAGCTGTATGTCCAATTGATTCCCCTATTGCTGTGAGTGGTGTCTCATTGCACTCTGCTCCTGTGCAATCAGTATTGCCATGACCAGAACGCGAGCTCTGGTTGCAGAGGAATTATTCGCCTGTGCAATGTAATTTTAGCCGTGCCGTTTTTCAACGGTTCTCGTTCCGGACAGAACAATTTTGGGCGAAACAATATAATTCCGGATCTGCATGAGAGCATGAGTGGCTACTGGGGGAAAGCCATAATTCTACAAATGACCAAAACAACACATTCACAGTCAACTTAAGGCGCTTGAATCGTAGCCTAGAAACATTCCATTTTCCAACGAAGCACCGCTGTTACCCACTGAACCATCCCCAATTGCCAAGCCAGTAACCACTACAGGATGCACGCCAGTTGACCAGACACTGTGCAATCTTATGGTTGCACCAAGTTAAGCTGATTTAGATTCAGAGCTACGGACGTCGATGCTCCGCAAGATGCGCTCTGCAAACGCAAGTCACGTCATATCAGTTCAAGCTCATCCGCATCATCCAATAAAGAGCGCCAGCACTCCAAGTCAGACTGGGATGAATTCCATCCGAGCAACCCATTCAATCCGCGCTTTAGACTTCCAGTCCAATGGCCTTCAGCCCAAGACCTGGACTACCTTTAGGTGCCGTGCACTGGCTCGAGCCATGCCGACGATAGCCTTTATGGAGCCAGGGGCTTGGCCAGTTACCCGCGGAGACTGACGAGATTCGGTAATTTTCATTCCCAGAGACACCGGAGAGCAGTTCATGATGCAAGATTGACTGTTCACTGGGAGCGTGACTCCTGCAATTACTCGAGACTGCAAGTGATTCCCTTCTGCTGACTCCGAAGCGGGAGAGAGTCTGGTTCCTTACCCTTTTGGGCGATTCTATGAGGTATTTTGGGCCGTAACACTGACCGGTATTCAGCCAGGTGCAGCCCCGGCACGGCCTCGCACGCTTGATGTCAAGCGATCAGGGAACTACCCCAGATATCAGAAGCAGGAGAAACTTCTGGGGATTGAAGAGCCAGACACTGTAGCGGAATTACGGTTCAGCACAACATCGGCAACATGGCAAAGGTTAGCCGAATTGACCCGACGCTCACGGGGGCGGATGATTACATACGCGAGGCATACAGTATCGATACCGGGCCGCCAGCTTTTGCTGGCGAACCTCCAGAAAGCTTCTTGTCCCAACATCGTTTTTCCCTATCATCCTCTAACCACTTGAGCCCGTCTCCTCCCACCTCCAATTGTCCCCTCCCCTCCCCTTCGTTGCTTGTTCACTGGGAGGTCTGGTAGTCCGCTGTTCTTTCTATATCCTTTGACTTTTTCCTTTGCCCTTTCGCCCCCTTTTCACCATGTTCCGGAGTCTTTTGCCGCGGGCGACTCCGCGGGTTGCCCTCCGCTGTGCCGGTCCCAAGGCCGTTCCCTCTACCTTCGTCGCTGCTCCTTCTCTCGCCTCCTTTGGACGCACACAACGTGGCTATGCCTCTGAGTCAGGTAGGTGGCCTTTTTACTTTGCGATGGGCCCGTCGCAGACGGTGCCTGCGCTTCCGAAAAAAGTGGCCCCCGGCTAACCGTCGGCTGGAATTAACGCAGGCGAACACGATCTTGTCATCATCGGTGGTGGTGTCGCTGGTTACGTTGCTGCCATCAAGGCCGGTCAGGAAGGTCTGAAGGTGCGCTATCTATCGTTCCTCGAAATGTTCCGGCTGGACGATCTCTCTAACGACTTCATTTTCACAGACCGCATGTATCGAGAAGCGTGGCCGTCTGGGCGGTACCTGCCTGAACGTCGGCTGTATCCCCTCGAAATCCCTGCTCAACAACTCCCACCTCTACCACCAGATTCTCCACGACACGAAAAAGCGCGGTATCGAGGTCGGTGATGTGAAGCTGAACCTTGAGCAGATGATGAAGGCCAAGGACACCTCCGTCGAGGGTCTGACTAAGGGTATCGAGTTCTTGTTCAAGAAGAACGGTGTCGACTACATCAAGGGTACTGGTGCTCTCGTTGACCAGAACACCGTCAAGGTTAACCTCCTTGAGGGTGGTGAGCAGACTCTGCGCGGAAAGAACATCCTCATTGCCACCGGTAGTGAGGCTACTCCTTTCCCCGGCCTCAACATTGACGAGAAGAGAATCATCACCAGCACTGGTGCCCTCTCCCTCAAGGAGGTCCCCAAGAAGATGATCGTCATCGGTGGTGGAATCATTGGTCTGGAAATGGTGCGTATACCCGGTGGAATGCATTCCGATTTTGCCGTTTGAAAATCCATGCTCATGGTTTCTTTTTCTACCCCTCAACAGGCCTCTGTTTGGTCCCGCCTCGGCTCTGAGGTTACCGTCGTCGAGTTTCTGAACCAGATCGGTGGTCCCGGCATGGACGCCGACATCGCCAAGCAGGCCCAGGGGATCCTCCAGAAGCAGGGTATCAAGTTCAAGACCGGCACCAAGGTTACCAAGGGTGACGACAGCGGTGCTACCGTCGCTCTGAGCGTTGAGGCCGCCAAGGGTGGTAAGGAGGAGACCCTCGACGCTGACGTTGTCCTCGTCGCCATCGGTCGCCGCCCCTACACCGAGGGTCTCAACCTCGAGAGCGTCGGTGTCGAGAAGGACGAGCGCGGCCGTCTGGTCATCGACCAGGAGTACCGCACCAAGATCCCCAACATCCGTGTGATCGGTGACTGCACTTTCGGACCCATGCTTGCCCACAAGGCCGAGGAGGAGGCCGTCGCTGCCGTCGAGTACATCAAGAAGGGCTACGGCCACGTCAACTACGGCTGCATCCCCAGCGTCATGTACACCCACCCCGAGGTCGCCTGGGTCGGCCAGAACGAGCAGGAAGTCAAGGCTGCCGGCATCAAGTACCGCGTCGGTACCTTCCCCTTCAGCGCCAACTCCCGTGCCAAGACCAACCTCGAGACTGAGGGTCAGGTCAAGTTCATCGCCGATGCTGAGACCGACCGCATCCTCGGTGTCCACATCATCGGCCCCAACGCCGGTGAGATGATTGCCGAGGCCACCCTGGCTGTCGAGTACGGTGCCTCTTGCGAGGACATTGCTCGTACCTGCCACGCTCACCCTACCCTGGCTGAGGCCTTCAAGGAGGCTGCCATGGCTACGTACTCCAAGGCCATCCACTTCTAAGCAGCTCCCCCCCTGTCTTGATCATGAAACCATACACACCCACCCGCATTATCCTGTACCCTTTTTGGCCTCTTGTCTCTTATCTTAGTCTAGCTCAGCTAGTCACTTCCGTGTAGCATTGACCTCATTAAATTTTCCTATCTTTGGTTGTGTATTCAGATATAACGAAATCAATAGTACTGCCTAACATTAACATTACACCAGTTGATGAGTAAAAAGAGTATGTAGTCAGTGAAAAAGAGCACCAATCAACCACTCAACCAACTGAAGTTTTCGCAAAGTGGAGAATGTATAAAAACATAAAAAACAAAAAGAGAATTTGAGCTCCGATAGGGGGAATCGAACCCCCGGCTGCCGTGTGAGAGACGGCGATGTTAGCCACTACACCATATCGGATGTTGTTGAGGAACTGCCCTTTATTTTGCAACATAAACCAAGGATAGATCAAATAACACCTACTACAGCTTTTTCTATCTATAGGGCTGTCTCCTTTCCCACTGTAATACTACATTTCTACATCCTATATCCCTTAAGCCTTTCTCGAAACACGACTAACGATTCAATTAACAATTTAAATGCTTTAATCCCTTACACCAACTATAATACTAATGCCAAAATTTCTTCTCCTTGATCATACTCTTCTACTACCTCCCCATAATCAGATCTACTATCATGTTCATAGAGCCCTCAGCCTCCCGCCTTAACTGCCAGGCATATATAAGTAAGTAATCAATGGAACCTCAAGGTCGCCGTCACCGCCGCATCCAACAACAAACTCGTGGCATTAACATAACTTGCCGACGGACTAAGCAAATAAACAATAGTATCGCCGACCTCATCACTCTCGGCTGCACGCTTAATTGGTATAACGGCCTCGATCTCCGCGCGCACCTGGGGGTTCCGCTCCAACTCGACGTCCAGAAGAGGGGTGCGGACCCAGATGGGGCACACAGCGTTGCAGCGGATGCCTTCGGCGGAGTGATCCAGTCCTGAAGTGAAACATATATTAGAGAGAAAATGAATTTGCATAATGTGTGTATGTAGGCAGGGAAAAAAGAAGAAACTTACCAACCATCTTCGTCACTGCCATGCAAGCATGCTTGGAGACGGTATACGATCCCTTTCCGGGCAGTCCGGCGAAAGAGTTGGCTGAGCAGACGTTTACAATGGCGCCGCGGCCAATGTCTCGGGTGCCGGTGCGGCTGGTGAAGGTGCGCGAGGTCTGCTTGCGCATGGCGGCGGCTTCGGCGCGGCAGCAGAGGAACATACCGCGGGCGTTGATGGTTTGGACACGGTCGAAGTTGTCGATGTCGGTATCGGCGAAGGGGGTGTGGACGCCGTTGTCCACCTAGTTCTTCTGAGTTAGTCTGGTGGGAGAGAACTATGTTCTAGGTTGTTGTAGATATCCTTTAGGGATGATGGTGGATGAGTGGAGGTGGATGGGACTCACTCCTGCAGCGTTTACGGCATAGTCCAGCCGTCCGAACTTCTCGACTACAAAGTCAACCATGGCTTGCACGCCGTCTTGGTCGGTGACGTTCACGGTGAAGTGTGTGGATTGGTATTCTGGGTTCGTGGCGTATTGCTTGCTCTCTTCGGCGGAGGCAGTGGCTGTTTCGGTGTTCATGTCGGCGAAGACGATGACACGGGCGCCTGCTTCAGCTAAAGAGAAGGCGGCTTGTTGGCCAATGCCACGGCCGGACTGGATTTCTTGGAGGTTAGCTGGGAGGTGATCTTTCTTGGAGATAATACTGTGGTGATGATGATGATGGTTGGGGGTAGTTCTTACTCCGACGACGAGGGCAACGCCATCCAATTGGGTACCTTTGATGACCATTGTGAGCGTGTATATAGAGGAAGAAGTAGGAGATGGTAAGAGAATGAGAGACAGAGGGAGATGAGTTGGAATGAAGACAGAAGAGACGTTTATGAGCGAGAAAGATAGAGAAACCAAGGGAGGGGAAGTCCCAGGGAGGGGTGATCTTATAACTCTAGAGACAAGGTCTATAGATAGGACATGGATAACGTCCACTGAGCCCCCGCACGGACAGCGGAGAGTCAATGGGCTGTCTCACACATTTCATGGTTAATCTCCTATGATCAGGCTGGTATCCTTGTCGCGAACCACTACAGTAGGTTAACCGAGTGGCCCATAAGAAGACACACCCGCTGGGATTAGTGGAAAGGCCGTTCACTAACTGCGGGACTTTCCCGCCATTGGATGACAAGCCCATGTCTAGTCAGAGTGACTACTGCGTCTAATTTAGGTTGTAAGGTGGGCTGGTTGAGAATGGACTTGGCTGCAGTCAGAAATTAGGATCCCCTGCAGCCTGGATCTCAATGAAACCTGATTTGCGGGCATCGGGAACACTAACCACCACAAGCATTTAGTGTAACATAACCGAATGCTGGTCCTCTAGCGCCTCATAAGTTCTTTGTTCCTTTGGATTAGTTGTAGTCTATATCCATAGCCGATTGGTGATGTCCTAACGGGAGCTGAGGTGGCTTGCCTTTCCTTTTCAAGTATTGATCGGTCAATCCCTGCTAGTCTACCCACAACTGACTGTGATCACGCTGCGCCAGATAACTGTTACAGCTAGACGCCGCCTTGTGCCGCTTTCAAAGATGTTGCTGGTACAGTGTCGTATAAGTACAATGCTAGAGATATTACCTTCCACAAGGGCCACAGATCGTGCTTCATTCCGGGCATTATGGCACCCACACCGGCTTCCGTGACTCTTGAGCCCCAAGGGACACCAACCATGACCAACCCAGACCAGCACGCCTGGAAGCCCTTAACATGGTCTCTCATAGTCTTCTTTTTACTAGTAGCGCTTTTCTATTTTGCGCTGGACAACACCATCATGGCCAATGTACAGCCAGCCATCATCGGAATACTAGGCTACTACATGCCGTGGTACCTGGTAGGCGCATGTCTCGCTCTAGCCGGCAGCGCCCCTTTTCTCTACCGTCGGTCCAGACAACAGTAGCGCCCGTCTGTATGGCTATTCGGTGCTCACAGCCTTTGGCGTCGGGTACCACTCCCAGGCTGGGTTCCCCGTGGCTCAGGACAAGGCCTCTCCGGGGCTGCTCTCCCAGGCGGGTGCGTTTATTGGCGTCGGTTAGGACGGTGGTATCGCTCTCGCTTTGACTATTGCCTATACGATCTTCCTGAATAAGTATACTGGCCGAATTGCGGCTATTCTTCCGCAGCAGCCCGGCGACACTATCCAACAGGCTATTTTTGGTGTGCGTGCGGAGTTCTTCAATTCGTTGAGTGTTGATGATGTGTTTGTCTTTATGATTGCTGCTGCTGCTCTTTCGGTGGCGTTGGCGCTGGTTATGAAGTGGGAAAGGTTGTTTGTGGGATTTGGATCTCCCCATGGAGATGATGCAGAGGTGAAAGAGGTGAAAGAGGTGAAAGAGGGGGAGATCGGGTTTCTGGGTCAGCCACAGCGTACATTTCCACCCCAACTGATAGATCGAAGATTGGAAAGTAGAAGAGGGCGCTGATGTTACTAGGTAGTGCTAATGATATCTCTTGGGCCGCATTCCTGGATCCTAGCAGATGGTAGCACTGTGCCGCCGCCCAGGATGTGGCTATACCTTGCTATATGGGCGTATAAAACCACATACATGGCCAGCAACCATACCTATGCCATAGGATTAGGACATGATTGCTAACTTGTATCAATTCAGACCGCGGTCTATAGATAACTAAGTAACAGGCCGATCCACCCACCCACACCAATACCTCACCCAATAACCGGCCGCCAGCAGCCAATACCTAACCGCACCGTGCCAAACGGCACTCATCATCGACCAATTCTGAAGGTACTCGCCATACCAAATGCTCCTGGCCCAATGCAACTCCGCCGACCTAGCAACCTGATACTCCCACTCCCTCTCCGACATACCAGCTGTTTCCCCTCTATCCAACCACCTCCCCATCAGCGCTGCATGCGCCGCCGCCTGATTCGTACTAAACGCTGCATGCGGTCTCATAAGTGTTACCGCATCGCCCACCAACCTCACCTTACCACCGAGAAAACATGTCCTCTCCACCGGCGGATAATCCGTGATGAGATGCAGAAACGGAGCATCAATCAGCGAGAGAAGTTCACGGAAGGGAGCTGGGAAATCCAACATGTCCTCTGCTGCCTGTGCACGTTGTAGGTCCCATATCCGTGGCGGTACCAGGCCCGGCGCTACGGTGGTGTGATGCCGCACGCCATGGATGTCTGTCATGAGAGTTGGGAGGTCATGCGCCGGCACGTTCTCGTACCAGCAGAAGTTGAGATAGCGGGTACGCGGGGTGATGGAGCCATTGGGGCCGGGAATATGGTAGACGACGATGTGGGAGCCGTGGGTGGGGCGTTTGCGAATTAGATAACTGATGTTGGACTGGAAGATAGCGAGGGTGGCAGGGGTTATGCGGCTTTCGGGGATAATGGCGCGCCAGGCGAGGTAGCCAGCGTATTTGCGGTGGTTTTTGTTGTCACCTTGAGGGGAGGGGGGCAAGAAAAGTTGGCGGACGGTGGAACGTGGGCCATCAGCGCCGAGGACTAGATCTGCTGTGTATGTCGTTGTGGCTCTTGTGCTACTGCTGGTGCTCTCTGTGACGATAGCTAGCTGTCCAGTCGATGGGACCTCGGATATGTCGACGACTCGCTGGCCATACTCGTATCGTGCGCGGGCTCGTGCGTCGCATGAGGATTCGTCTGGTAAGGTAGAGAGGGGATCTGGAGGGTTGGGGATGTAGTCGCTGGCTAGACCATCATAGTTGGCGCGGAGACGAAAATACAAGGCATCCCAGGAGGTCATGATGCGCTGAAGGCGGAAAAAGGGCTTCGGTTGGCCCGAGTGGTCGACGGATTGAAGCTGCGTGGCTGGGATGCCCAGTGGAATGTGGGAGACGCGGTCAAAGCGCGACAGGAACGTCTGGACGTCTGGACCTATGCTAACGCCGGCCATGTGCGAGACGGGAGTTGGTGTGGGACTCTGTTCGAGGATGTGGATGGAGTGGCCATGTTGATGGAGAGTGATGCCTTGCATTAGAGCTGAAAGGGAGCCGCCGACCTAGAGCAATTGGTTAGTGTTCGTACTTAAAGGCATTGGTTGCAGGAGGCAGGGAACTCTTTTACAATGATTATTTTCATAGGAGATGGAGACGCCATGATTAGGCCACTACAGTAGAGGGCTGGGAGGACTGAAATAAGTTGGTGGTTGTGAGCAATGAGAAGAGTGGGGGAGATCAGGATTCTTATACGCGGCATGAATGAATGGATTTGCATATGACTGCAGCAACAGCTGATTCGCGTCGGTTTGTAGTACCATATCAGTATCTACACCAATTTTGCAGGCCTGTGTGGTTGTACATCTCCTCTGACGGATATGAAAACTACGCCTACTGGCGTCGACTTTCCATCTTCTTCTCTGTTTTCTCGACCCTCTACTCCTTCTATACCCGCATCCTTATCTTCGCGTTCACATCTCCGTAAAGCCAGAGACATGATCTCAGACTTCCCAGAGTCCATCTTTCTCCATACTGCTGCCGGTGTGTGATGCAAGATGATTCCAGACGGGCTAGTCCATCATGACCGGTCTGTATAGTGACCTGCTTAGGGTGCCGCGAGGGTTGTTATGTGTCGGACTACCACCTGGACAGAGCCCCTCAAGGCAATGAGTAGGTAATACTGGATTGCTCAAACAGGGCCAAAGGTCTTGGGAGAGCAAGCTCCCTTGTCTGTATAGAGCATGTTCAGGTTGAGAGAGACGGCTCTTCCGCAGTGGAAGCGACAGTAGTGTGCCAGCGCACTCTAGAGAATTGCCAGTTGGCAAAGGCTAAGTGGTTGTGTAACACCTCGCAACACTCCGGTAACTTATGATTAGAGACATTGTGCGTCTGCATTGAGCTAGCACAACCTTGCAGCAGCACTGTTATCTCCATAATACTGCAGCTAAGTACATAACCTATGGCACCTTTTGGCTCCAGGCCATTGTCCCGTCTTTCGAGCTATCAAGGTATGCAGCGGAGAGTGACAGTAACCGAAATACCGCGCGGCACATATCCATCATTTGATGAGGTGCTGGTCGAAACTCTTTGACATAGCAGCCTCTAGGGCGAGTCAGGGGAGTCATTCGAAGCAACCAAGAGGATTAAAGCCCATGCAATTGAGACCTTCAAGATAGAAACCCGTCCTAGGATTCATGTTAACGCGGGATCGTGAAACAGTCTATCTATCACTACAGCCCTACTCCAAACACTACCCGGAATTATCACGGTAGAGATTCATTGCGTCGTATTCATGCTAGTCTTGCTGCTGAAGTGGCAACACAGGGGCGGGGTCAACCTCCCCCAGCTGTGTTCTATAGTCATTCATGAACATAAGAAAAGATATCACCCAAGCACCTCATCACTCTTACTGGCTACTTATTTCACCTGGAACTTAATGCCCGAGGAAGTAACCTGTTGCTCATTGTAAGTCATGCCTGGAGCAAAAGGCTGGACCCATTCTTTGATAACGGTCAGGAATGTGTCACGGACAGCCTCGACGGCTTGGTCTTGCGACGCTCCGCTGCTTTCAATATAGACTAGAATGACAATTAGCACTGCGCCATGACTCTGTTTGATGTCCAACATACTTTTGACTTTAGGTTCTGTGCCCGACGCACGAATGGTGAATCTGACTTCCCGATCCATCCATAGTGTCAGCATCTGGGTGTTCTTGTCAACCGGAAGTGTGGGCGTGTGGTCCTCGGTTCCAGAATCGTAACCCTCCGTCAGGTCTCGCCATCGCTGGATGTTGAAGGAACCAAAGGACTTGCCGGCGCCGAACGGTCCGGACCTGATTTTTCGGAAGAGGTCCATCGTAAGATCTGGGTTCGTCGAACGGACGTAGGTGTTGAGAGTCTCGTGGTGCCCATGTTCCTTGAAGAGTTGTTGAAGCTTCGTATAGGGGGTGAGCCCTTGAGCATTCCATTTGGCTTGGGCTAGCAAGAACACCATAGCGGCGGAAATACCGTCCTTGTCGTAGCACACCTCCGGAAACATGTACCCAAGCGCTTCTTCAAAGGCGAATGGAACATAGTAGCCGAGTTCCTCGAGTCTCCGCGCGATGTTGCCCATCCACTTAAACCCGGTCAACGCTTCTTCGTAATGCATCCCCTTGGCCTTTGCCATTTTCTCCAACATGCACGTAGAGACGGTCGAGTTCAGCACGGCAATTCGTGTGTCGCTGTCGATAGTCTCCAAGGAATCAAACAGGTGCGATGCAAGCAGTACTCCCAAATGGTTTCCGGTGAAGGAGAACCACGATCCACTGCGATGGGTTAGCGGGGTCCTCTGGTGTGTAAGGCAACGGATACATACTTGACCTTCTCAGCAGCCGCGAAGCGATCTGCATCCGGATCATGTGCAATAATCAATTCTCTACCCTCCCGGTCCGCGGTGCGCATCGCGAGATCCAATGCCCCAACCTCTTCGGGATTAGGAAAAGCTACCGTGGGAAAGTCGGGGTTCGGTTCTTCTTGTTCTGGGACGACAGTGAAATCTTTGATACCAACGGAACGGCACAAGCTGGGGAATACCAGGCCTCCTACACCATGCAGAGGAGTATACACAAATGGCTGTGGCTGCTTCCATTCCCGGACCGTGTATGTCTGCAAAGCGATGAGCCCATGTTACAAAAGCACAATGCATAGAGACTCACAGCGTATTGCCATACTGCTGTGTTGTAGTGTGGCAGAAGGTTGTCGTACGCCTTGGGGCGCAAGTATTCACCGGGCTGCAAGTCTTTCCAAGCGTTGGGCCAGGGCGTCAGATTCTCCTCGATAGATCGAGCTATCTCCACATCCATGGGGGTATTGATCTGGGCGCCATTTTTAAAATAGCTGGAGCATGTTAGTGATAATCAAAACAGGCTGGATGAGCGCAACCAGACACTTTGTAACCTGTTCACCACGTCCGTCAGCGATACGGTCCGGCTGTCGAGGAGCAAGCCATGGCAACCTACCATTATCTTGTGCTGGATTCTAGGGCAGGATTAGCCACATGATCTTCGAATGGCGGACAGGGATGCCTTACATGGCTTGCCGTAACCATGATGCCTGCAGCAGCATGCAGTTGGGTTACACCGAAAGGCACCGTCGGCGTAACAGAAGGCTCGGAGTAGAACCAGACCGGGATCCTCTGTGCGATGAAAGCGTTTGCGGCCAGAGCGGCGAACTTGGCGGAATTGTAGCGAGCATCATGGCCAATAACGACGCCATAGGAGGCAATATCACCATGGTGCTTCTTCAAGTACATCGCCAGACCCTGCGATGCCTGAATGACAGTCAAACAATTCATGCAAGAGAAGCCCGCTGCCATGCGACCCCGGAGACCAGCGGTGCCAAATTGGATTCCTGCAGTTTTTGCGGATTAGACATGACAGGCAGGGGAGCGTAAAGAGCCTAAATTCGGTACGAGAAGATCAGATGAAGCATGTCTCGAGCCCACACGTACTCTTTTGCAGGCGCTGCTGCAGCTCCGTCAGCTCTCCCGCATCGCGCAGCCGCTCAATTTCCCCGCGAGTAGAGGGATCCTAATGGGGTTGGGCATTAGCAGCTAGACATTTGGGAGGTTGTGTGTGGGGAAGTAAGTAAGAGCATTGAGTAGCAGCAATACCTCCATCACCACCACTACTATGGGGGGGAGTTAAAGCTGAGCTGGGCGGAAAGGAATCTGACAAATGCAGGGGACTTACCTGGTCCCACTCAAGCCATTTTTGGATCAGCGGAGAGAGGGAATCCTGTCAGAAAGGACCAGCCGGACCGAGTCAGAACATCCACACTACTTTTCTGCCCCTATCGATCTAGATAGAAGCGTGGTGTAGCCGCGCACACCGGGAGTTGACTATACCTCTCCTGGGTTGGCGGCCATGTTGGATCATACGACGCTGACAACTGGACTGGGGGGGGGGAAGAGGACGGACGGTGGAGGGGGGGGGGAGGGACTCGCGGATCAGAGCTTGGTTTTGGGGGGGAAGAGAAGGGGGAGGAGAGGAAGAGTTTAGAGGGAGAAATGCAGAAGCGACGGTGGGAAGAGAATTAAAGGAGGGGAAGAAATGAAGACAAGACTAAAAGTTAAGAAGGGAAGAAAGCAAGCTGCTGATTGAAGGTAGTAAGTAGTAATAGTAGTCAGTGATGGTGATGATGATGATGATGATGATGGAACGGGGAATGAATGGGCGAGACGGAGACAGAAATGTGGGTGGAATGACACTCGCTGGATCGGGTGACGATCGCCGGCACGTTTCATCTTCGCGTCCCCGCTTTTCTATTAGTAGTTCCATCTTCATTCTGTCCTTCCACCTCCATCTGGTCTCTTCCTCTCTCGGTCTCTGGATTGTAACATCTCATTCCACTACCCCTCTAATCTTCTCTCCCTACTAGGTCTTTGCACTATATGATGCCCCCTTGGGCTGATCCTTCACCCTCTTTGTAAACCCCCCTTCCCCGATACCCTGGTTGGAAATTACACTGGTACCTGTTGCACTGTACCATGGTCACCGCTCCTTCTACCTCCGCGGCCCGGAAGGACACCATTTTGTCCCGAAGGTATATTGAGGGCCTGATTTCAGAAGGCAAGCATGTCATCATCTTCGACGGTCGCGTACTCAGAGTCGATGCTTGGATTCCCTACCATCCCGGAGGAGACAAGTCCATCAGACACATGGTTGGGAAAGATGCCACGGATGAGATCAACGCGTATGTGGCCCATGAACCCCGGATGCCCGGATGCGAACAGACCGTTGACTCCGACGTTTCTCTTCTACAGGTTACACTCCAAAGAAGCGCGCCAACGAATGTTGTCCTTTCAGATCGGTCGCATCGAGGGCCCATGGGTGAACTTCCTGCCGCCCATCCAGGGCGGAAAGTTTCGTCCCTATACCGAGGATTGTTTGTCCGATGAAGAAAGCTCTGGTCCAGAGAGTTCCGGTCAGGAAACATCACAGCCGCCATCCCCGATCTTTGATGCCGTCGATAGCACGTCAGGTGCTCGTCAGCGGAAACCTGCGCCCGCAACCCCAGCCTCGACCGCCAAAAGCGAAGAGTTCAAACCGAAACCGTTCTTTCTCGATGCTCGCACGCAGGAGGAACTCGTCTTCGATACGGCCAAATACCCCTCCCTAGATTTGGAAAATCAGGAGAAGATCAAGCAGAGGTATCGTGAGCTGGACCGGCAGATCCGTGCAGAGGGGCTTTATGACTGTCGCTACTTCTCGTACTTTATCGAATGCTGCCGATATACGCTCTTCGCTGCCTTGTCCTACTATTTCCTACAGATTGGATGGTATGCGACCTCAGGATTCTTTCTTGGATGCTTTTGGCATCAGCTTGTGTTTACTGCCCATGATGCTGGCCATATGGGCATTACGCACAACTTTCACGTCGACACGGTGATTGGTATCATTATCGCCGACTATCTTGGAGGACTCAGCCTTGGGTGGTGGAAACGCAGCCACAATGTCCACCATATCGTGACAAACGCCCCCGAACACGACCCGGATATCGAACACATGCCATTCTTCGCCGTTTCCCATCGCTTCCTTACCAGCCTTCGCAGCACCTACTACGACCGCATCATGGAATTTGATGCTGCTGCAAACTTCCTTCTCCGCTTCCAGAACTACCTCTACTACCCTATCCTCCTGTTTGGACGTTTCAACTTGTATCGCCTGAGCTGGGAGTACCTCTTCATGGGCCAAGCCCCGAAGAAAGGTCCCGCCTGGTGGCATCGGTGGTTTGAGATTGGCGGCCAGGTCTTTTTCTGGATCTGGTTTGGCTACGGAGTGATGTACCGGTCGATCCCCGACTGGAGCAGCCGGCTTTCCTTCCTTTTCATCTCCCATATGGTTACCTCTCCGCTGCACGTGCAGATCACGCTTTCTCACTTCGCCATGTCCACCTCCGACATGGGAGTCAACGAGTCTTTCCCGCAACGAATGCTCCGCACCACCATGGATGTCGACTGCCCAATTTGGCTCGACTTCTTCCACGGCGGTCTGCAATTCCAAGCCATCCATCATCTCTACCCCCGTATTCCTCGGCACAATCTGCGTCGGACTCAGCGCCTGGTGCTCGACTTTTGCCGCGACACTGGCATCCCTTATACCATCTTCACCTTCTACGATGGTAACAAAGAGGTGATTGGCAAACTCGGCGATGTCGCAAAGCAGGTCCGCATTCTTGAAGAGTGCAGGAAGTCATGCGCGGAGAATGGTGTGTTCTCGGATCATCATTGAAGCCATTGAAGACTATCTATGCGAGTCAGTGACCAAGCTAGATGCATCCCTTCTGTCACTTTATCAAACATGTACTATCCCCCGATCATTGTTGTAAATAGTCCCACTCTACGCTACGCTACGCCACCCCACCCCTACCCCACAGCACTATATAGTCTATCTGGTGGTTGTCCGGATATGGCTGACGCCTTTTGACTGCCTCGCAGTGCTTAATGAGATAATGCCCGGTTTGTGATTTTATCGGTTTATAGAATGCATTGTAAATTACATGAATATCAGTATAAGATTCTACCTTCCACGTCTTATACTTACCGCTGGTATCTAAAAGCCATACAGGACCATAAGTTATCATATTCATGCAATCACCAATACGGTATGCTATCATATCAGCGGATTAAACACATACCACGTGTCGAATCCATACTATACTAATGTACCCCATAGTCGTCTTCTTCCTCCTCCTTTTCTTGTCGCTGTTGCTAAGTAGTATAATCCGACTAGCTATTTTCTTTCCCTTAACTACAAGTTCCAATAACCTTCTATACATGATACTAAAGATATATGAAGGAAGCATTAAATACAATATCCTACACAAAAAAAGATAAAATTTTAGTTCGATACCTAATAGCCACATTAGAAATTACAACCACCCTCCCTTCCTCAATACCATACCCATCCATCCACGGAGTATTCAAGTATAGTTCCTAAATAGTTCAACCATCCAAACCGATTCCCCCCAATCCCGCTGACTCACCGCCCACCTCCCAAACCCATAATCATCTAACCACATCCAGCCACTAGCTCCCGAACCAGCTACTTAGGCGAGCGCCAAGCCCTCCACCCGCACAAGCAAGAACAGCGGATTAATAAAAATTGAACAAAAAAAAGAGAGGGAAGTTCACGATAATTGTTATTCCGCCCGGCAATCCATCCAGACTCTCTCAACGGCCATCATCACCTTACCGAACCCCGATAGTTCAGGTCTTGATTGGCAGTCCAGCCTCCCTTGCGGTACGCCTCTCCTTCTCCTCCTCTCTCCTTTTCTTTTTTTGTCTTTTCGTCGACGACAACTAACCTTCAGGTCCATCCAGCATCTCAAATCCCACCGGTCACCCCACCGTCTCAACTACAATTCAAGATGTCTTTCCAGAAGCCTGAGAAGGATTTCGGCGAGGGCCCTGTACGTCTACCACCATACCATTATTATTATCATCATACATATACATGTCTCAATGCGATGGATATGGACATGGTATTTATATATATTCAATTGCGACAGTACTAACAAGCAATTCCTGCTATTATAGAAGGTCCACAAGATCCGTATCACCCTCACCTCTCGCAAGGTCGCCTCCCTCGAGAAGGTGTGCTCGGAGCTGATCGACCGTGCTCGCTCCAAGTCCCTCCAGGTCAAGGGTCCCGTCCGTCTTCCCACCAAGACCCTTCACATCTCGACCCGTAAGACCCCCAACGGTGAGGGTTCCAAGACCTGGGACAAGTACGAGATGCGCATCCACAAGCGTCTCATCGAGTAAGCACCCCCACCTCCCCCTTTGAAGATGTTGGAAGGGAAAGGATGGAAAGCTAATATCTGTGTTCAGCCTCCTCGCCCCCACCGAGACCGTCAAGCAGATCATCATCAACATCGAGGCTGGTGTTGAGGTTGAGGTCACCATTGCTGCTTAAATGTACCCCTACCTTCTCTAATGGTTTGGGTTCGTGACAGGGGTGGCGCGGACGATGAGGATATGTTTTGTGGTGCTGCTGCGGATGCAGGGTGCGTGCTAGGCATTCGTCGATACCCGCCAGTTCCTGGCCTGAAAATGAAAAAGTTCAAAAAGCAGTAAAACTATTACTCATATTGAATTGGATAAATGGATGGGTTGTAGTTGTGGTGTAGCGTAGTGTGTGTAGTGTATTGGTATCAAATATTAGCAGTGGTTGAACTGCTTCCGTTTGTTCCGTGTGAGAATATCCCGCCTGGACGCCCTTCCCGTCCGTGAATAATGCTAATCATCTATATAATACAATGCCCAAGTAAACCATGCAAAAGAAAGTCCTGTCCAAGAGCTTGAATCGGCTAAAAGTCGAAGCTCACCCATTCTGTCTTCGGGGGCACGCTCGGAATCACTCCGTCCTTGAAGCATCCGTTTTTCACAAAGAACTCGTACTGCTCGGTGACCTCAACTGTATACTCCTCGTCCTTTCCATGCGCATCCCTTAAGCTGGCTGCGTCAGGCGGCCCATCTGGAAAGAAGATGCGGACGTAGGTCTGACGATCTTGCGGATGTAGATAGCAGGGTTCGTTGTTGATGTACTTGACCGGTTGTCCCTTCCAAGCTGAAAGCCTTTTGGTCATAGGGTCGCGGATGGTCTGACCCGTCAGCGGTGGGATGGGGTGCAGCTCATTGGGGTTGTCTATCTTAATGATGGCAGGAGGGCCGGTTCCTGCGGTAGCTGTTGGTGTGGATGCAAGAGCAGGGGCAGGCGCCGACTGGCCCAACTGTCCGAACCCGCTAGCGGGCTGTCCAAATCCTGAAGGTGCAGCTGGTTGGCTTGGAGCTCCAAAGGGACTCGGGGCTGGGGCCGTGGATGGTTGACCAAAAGGGTTTGAAGGCGGTTGCTGCTGCTGCTG